ATCTGGCAGCTGGGGTCCTGGGGGTCTCCGCACGAGCGGGCTACCTATGATATGTACTATACATACTACTAGTATAGTCACGGGTTCGCCCCCGCCTCGCGCAATTTGCAAGTGGCTATTCCGGTTCAGAGTTCTCGCCCGGACCTTGTTCTATTGATTTTCTTGATTTCAACGTATCGATTCAGTCGTTTTCCATCGTGGCAAGACATCTACATATCATAGGTAGGTACTTATGTAAGTACGCTTACCCCCCGAAATCCTCCCAGTCCTGCCCGGTTTCTTCCACGTTTGTAGAGTGGTTGGAGGACGCCAGGGAACGCCAGAATTCCCCAGGCTTTCCCGCTGGAACTGGAGCAATGTGGCGTGAGTGAGTTGCTGTGATCCACATCTGCAGGTCCTATGGGTATGTAGGTACTAGGTATATAGAGTACACCTCAAAGATATCACCAGCGGCTTCTCCAGCTCCGCGGACCGCACAGGTGGGTAGGTACTGCGCCGACCGACCGACTGACCGACCCGCCGACCCGCCGGCCGGCCGCCGGGAGCGCGCGTACCGCACCGCACCGCACAGGCGAAGCGGCTGTTGCAGTTTATACATAGTAGCCGGCCAGTCGGTGAAGTGAGTTGCACGTAGAGTAGAGTAGAGTAGAGTAGAGTAGAGTACGTACCTTTGTACGTAGCTCCGGCCTCGAGATGGCGTGGGGGATCGATCATTGATGGGTTGTGGGCCAGGTCTGGGATAGGATGGGGTGGTATGGGATGGGATGGAAGGCTGCTCTGCTCTACTCTATGGTACTGTACTGTACAGTACTCTGCTTTATAGTAGATACCGCTATGTTTGGTAACTGCTACTATACCTACCGTACTATCTATATAGTAGACTACCTAGAGCAGAGCAGAGTACGTTGTTATATCTACACAGCATAGCATACCGGCTACCTACTCTAGTAGTCCGCAACATCGCCGCACCTCGCAGTATTGCAACCCAGCTGAGGCCGCCAAGAGCGCGGTGCAGGCGGGATACGTACTTTACGTACACAAGTACCCGAGCAGGTCGGTAGATATGAAAGTACCGAATCTACCCAGGTCGGTAGGTAAATACCGTATGTAGGTAGTCGTATGGATGTGGCAGTAGTCGATACGGATTGACGTGCAGCTCAGTCAGCTGACCGAGCTGCGCGGGCTGCGTGGGCTGGAGCAATGGAGCATGCCGCAACCGAGATGACGATGTTCGCTCCTCCCCAGAGTCCAGCATGTCACGGCTCACGTCAAGCTTTCGTTCGTTGCAGAGTATATAGATACTTGCCTGGAGCACCATATGCTGTTTCCCCAGCAGAGATCAGGACTGGGATTGTTTATTGCGTTTATTACGTTTATTACAGTTATTAGAGTACAGTTATTACAATTATTACAATTATTACAGTTATTACAGTTATTACGATTATTACGTACCCATGGACTGCACGGTGCACTTCACCTCACCGCACCTGCTGCCCTCCCCCTCCTCCATGGGCATAGTTACCCAAGTATCCTGAAAAGCTTCGGGCGCAGCCACCTGCGGAGCAAGGTGAAAGAAAACAAGAAAAGAAAAGAAAAGAATGGGAATGCCTATGCGTAGCGTATCGCCGTCGCGATTCGTCCACCGTGAAGGGCTATGATGCATACAAACTGGCTAGGGCTTCCTGAAGGGTCTCGGATCTCGGAACGGGGGCACCTTGTTGGGTATCTGGTGACCCTGTGGGAGGTGGGCTGCTAGTTATAGGCTAGCGCTGGATTATCGGCGAGTGATGGTCGATGCGGAGGAAGGCTTCGTGGATAGGTATCACTCGCTTTGCGCTCTGCGCTGGGCCATCTGACTGTGTGATCACTGACGGTGTCCATTCGTTCCTATTTTCAAGCAACAAAATTTAACCTTTCAAGCTATCTATCAGTTATGCATCGGCGAGGTTGCGTTAAGCGGTCAGCCGGTAAAATATTCTTGTTAAGCTTTGGAGAGGCGATCAATCCAATGCGGATTTGTTGTTTGGTTGGTACCTATTAGACGCCCACGCGGTGTAGATATTGAAAACCTCTCCGTGGTAATCCATTCATCTTCAGCGGATCCTATATCAGCCTCTCCAGTTCTTCTGCCGTCCCCAGCTGTGGATTAAATACATACAGGCGCTAAATTCGGCAGCGACGTGCCACGTATCTGCCTCCACTTTGCTGCTCGTACGGATGCGAATGAATTAAGTATCTATGTGCAAATACTCGTCGTTCCATTATATCCATGATCCATCTCCGAGTGTTGTGTGAAGTTATGACCACGTGGTCCCGACGCCCCGGAGTCAACTCATCACTACATATTCACGAGAAATCCGCTTATGTAGTTAGCGATGAGCATGAGTCGACTGTACTAGTAGTAGAGTCATGTCATGTCTCCGTACCTTGATCTTCGGGAAATTGATCTTACGCATAACCAAGATCTTGTTACCGAAGAGCGCAAAACTGCAGGACAGACGTGAGCGCTCGGCCGCCGAGCGATGGCATTGGCACTAATGCACGATATTTACCCAAGTATTTCCCGCAACTCGACAGACCAAGGGAGGGATAAGCCCAAGTCCCGCCTTGGGTGGTAAACTGGCGATATGTAGCGACATCATGATACCCGACTTGCCACGACACGACATATGATGGCGATAGGTGGCCAGACAAACCACCTGCGAAGGCTACCCCCAGACCGCCACGATCTCTACCTACCTACATATGGGCTGGATGCGAGTATGTACATAGGATCGATCAAACACGAAGTCTGCTCGCAGGCCGCAGGCCGCAGCAGGGTTCGTTTCCGACCGGATCCGTCGTTTCCAGTCGCCCTAGGTACGTAGGTACGTAGTGGAGACTCGTCCCGATCACGGCCAGTCTTCAACGAGCCCTCCGGTGGGTATCGGCTGTTCGAGCCCGAGCTCGGGCAAAATATGTGGTTGGGAATCGGGCCGGGCCGGCTCATGCCCGCCACTATACATAGTACCGGCACCCATCACCGATAACTGGCATACCCTTATCCAGACCCTCCAACAGTTAGTCAGTTGAAATGGGAACACTGGTTTAAACAGTTCAGTTCTGGTTAATTTTGTTCCCGGTTCGGTTGAGAACAGAGGCTGTCAGTTCCCAGTTGGTTTAGGTACGTCTGGCAGTTGTTCCCGGGAAAACTGGCAGAACTGTCAGTTCAGCGGATGAACTGCCAGTTCCACTAGGGGAGCCAAAGTGGGCGAGATGGGATCCTATGGACACGGAAAAAGCGGTAGAAAATGGGTTCAGTACTAGTTTTGAACGGTCACAGAAAGAGCGATAGAAGATGTACATTACTAGATTTGAATTACTACTCCAATGCTACCTACCCATGGGAGTACGGTGATTGGACCTCTTGATAGCGCAGAGTAAATTACTGTTACTGACTAAACATGCACCCGAGTAAATCTGGGTCAATCAGGATTATTGACTTGGAACGCGCTCGGGTCAATAACGTTTATTGACTAAACGGGCTCCGGAGTCAATCGGAGTCAATCACGATTATTGACTCGAGATGGCACCTAGTCAACTACGGAAATCGATACCTTTGGCTTGGACACTCTCCAGAGCTTCAACACTCTCGGTACTTAGGGAATGCCGATGATCAGTCAGAATCATCTTGCACTCGGAGAAGAGCCGTTTAACCTCAGCCGACATGGCTGGAATAGACAGAATGTCAATGGCCATTCGGCGGAGGTTAGGAAAACGTCGTTGCTAGGGCGGTTCCAGCCACCATTCGAACATTCCTCTCGACGAGCAGTGAATAATAGTCTTGGAGCTCATCAACCGTGGCAGCGTGCTCCATATTTACCCAGCTGGTTGGTGGGTTATAGGCTGTTGGCCGATGGTATGGTGGTGGCGGCGAGTTTCTCCCTAAATTTTAAGCCTCGCTGAACTGTTGGGCCAAGCAGTTTTCCCAGTTCAAAACCTGGCAGTTGGTTCAGTTACCAGTTGGTTCAGTTTGCCAGTTGGTTCAGTTTGCCAGTTGGTTCAGTTTGCCAGTTGGTTCAGTTTGCCAGTTGGTTCAGTTTACCACCCCCCAACAGTTGGTTGGTCCGGGAACACCCCCCCGGTTTGTTCCCAATTCAAACTGTTGGAGGGTCTGCCCTTCTCCATCCGCTGAGAAGCATTACCGAGCCATCGACTCCCGAGCGGCGAGATCTTGATCTCTCAGTCTTTCGGAATTATTTCCGTCAAATATCATCTGCACACAGCGAACGCTAAAAAGCTCAGTGGGATTATATTCAACAGTAAGACTCAGTATGTACAGCCCCGCAGCCATCCACCGAGTGACTAGCTAGCCCACCTCCTCCATCACCCCCGCCGGTCCAAAGTACCGAGTGATATCGCGTGCACAACCCTCGTATCCGACCTGACGGGTGTTCCGTTTCCGCAATCGATGTCCTATTTTTTTCGGAAACGGTCGGCGTGCCTATACCTAGGCTGTAGGTGACAGCTTGGCGAAGCCGGCTGCCTACTTAGGTAGTCGAGAGTGTACAAGCGTGTTATGTCGGTCGAGATGTCGGTTTGCGAGGGGTGATACTTTTCCGTATGACTGCCGTCCGAATCCTCCTCCAAAGTCGGGGTGTCAATGCGCTGGCAATGAACAGGTGGCTTGGATCAAAGCCTGCCGACCTCCTCCTCCTCCTTCTCCTGGACTTTCGTTCCGTATTTGCTTCTGGTCACTAGTCTAGCGGTGAATGTTATGCAGAAACGTGCCCGCCTCCCATTCATAGTCTTACGGAAAGGAATTGCTGGTGGCGTGAAAATGTAAGAAGATAGGACTACGGTAGTGTCTAAGGGGGTATGGCTACCTGGTTCTTGGATAAATGCAGTACTCTACACGGGCTGATGACACGCCGTCTTTACCTTCTCGAACGTTGTCACTTTTCTACGACCGGATGTGGGCGGGTCTAGGAATAGCTTGTCTAGGACGGCTCAGAAGTGGTAGTTCGAATCAATTGGCCTGAGCTGCGCCCGATTTCATGCAACAACCGATCACGGGTGATGGCGTGTGCATGTCAATCCCACTCCCGCTTAAAGCAATCAAATGTCCAGCTTTGATATTACAAAAATCAATTCCATCACAACACGCTAGGTACCATACAGCCCCCTCATCACATCCTCAATCTCAAAGCCCACTCGACCGGCAACAACCAGGCTACCAGGAGGGGCACGACGAATGGCGAAAGCATCGCCAGCAGCCACATGAAGTTCCTATTATCCAGGCAAAACGCGGAGAGTGCTATGGCCGATGTGATATACTTCGGTATATCGTCGGGGTCGATCCACCTACCCTCCTCGACGATGCCAGCAAGATACGTGACGCCGTCTCCGTTGGGGACTTCCTGCCATGTTTGCTCCCCGCTTTTGGGGTCCGTTTGGGACTCCCATTCTTTCCACCAGCACCAGATCCCGCCGGCAAAGTCATCGCGCGGGTTCTTGACGTAGCGGTCTCGCGGCCGGACTAGCCGGCCGTTGTGGTAGCGTGCGGCAACTGTTTTCTCCACCATGTCGATGATAAAAAGTTGGTCGCTAACCATTGCGCCGAGATACCGCCCATCGACACTGATGGTGAGGGCAGACCACGTTCTGGAGGATCCCGCATTATCACTACTGGAGCTTGAACACCAGACAGGAATTGCGTATAGCAGGGCGTCAGAGCTAGTGTTGGGCACGGTGGATGAGGCCCTGCTCGTTGTGCGATAGTCCCAAACGAGGAGCTCCCCGCCTTGTCCGCCGGAAACGACAAATTTGTCGGTGAGGATGAAGTCGTGCTCCAACACTGTGGTTAGTGCGGTGATCATACCCGGGTGGGAGGAAATGGGCTGGCGACTGAAGACCATGGTGCGGCAGGTCTCGCCGGTGCGCAGGTCCAGCACGCGGAATTCGATGCGTGTGAGTTTTGCGTGTGAATGATCCGGCGAGCGGGTCACGAGACATACCACATGTGTACTGCATACGGTCAGTACCAAAGGACGATTTTCGAACCAGGGAATATGATGTGCGTACCTCGTCATGTGGAAGTTCCGGATCCGCGGATACCTCATATAGTCGTCTTCGGTGTCCTCCCAGTCACCATACACATGCTTGTGTTCCCACACCACATTGCACTTATCACCATCCGTTGCTCTCAAGCAGACGAGGCTCCTAGCGCTCGGGTCCGTCCCCTCCAGCGTGACTGGCACGCGACACAGCCCGACCGACATATCACCGCACGTTTTGAAAGTCAAAAACTTTCTCATGCCAGTATTCCAAGTTCTCACCACCCGTCTCTTCTGCTCCGGTGCCATCTCCGAAATCCGGACTTCACCACCCTCCTTCCCGCGCGATTCCACAAACCCCAAGCAAGGTGAAAACTGACTCTCGTCCTCACACAGCTTTGGGTAAACATACGCCGGCACGACCAGCGCCGGATCCAGGAGGCCGTTATCAGGACTTACAGCCTTATCGCAGTACCTCGCGCCAAACAACGCAACGCCGCCGTTCCTTGCCGCCGCATGCGCCGCAATGTAAGACGGGCTCGCTGTCGAGCCCTCTTCGGCTACGCACATCTGTACCGTCTTTCTCCGCGCGGGGTTGATACGCCACCACGGGCGCGGGATCACTCCTCGGGCCCGCTGTAGCACCGGCATCGTTGCGGGCTGATCGGAGGAGGACGATGACGACGGGAAGGGCTGCGCCCAGCTGTAGTTGAGGCGCACGACGTGGATCCATTGGCGCTTCTGCACCGCGGATGTGCCGGCGTAGAGGAGATCGTCGAGTGCGACGGTTGGCGGGATTCCGAGCGAGGCGGCCAACGGATACCAGAGGAGGCGGTCATTAGTGATACAGAATACAGCATGGTGCAGGACGGTACAAGTCTTGCTGGCGTTTATAAGGTCTCGGAGGCCAGCACTGATGTTTTCGTCCGTCGAGGCGAACTGGAGGATAGAGCCCAGGAGCTCCGAAGGAAGACGGAGAAGTGGGCTATTCATGGCTTGTGGGAATTAGGTATGAGGATACATGGCAGTGGGTTGTCGGTCCCTTTTGTAGAGAGATGCCGGTGCGTCATGCATGGGTTACGCGAGTGAGGTTGCACAGCCCCGCAATTTGTTTTCCCGACTGAGATGGACTGAGATGGACACAGAGAAGCGCTACGGTTTCCTTGGCTGAATATAGGTGGTAAAACGTGGGATGAAGTTACGCCGGTTAGCTAGTCTCTCGGCGGTGGCTCCCTTTGGTGTGGACGTCGTGATCTACTTGGGTCTATAGACACGTCAGTAAAATGATTCACCCCCGTGGGATGAAGTATCTATTAGAATGATACTCGTACTCGTACACAACATTCAGCCCATGTATGTACAAAAATTCGACCCTTGAATTATTCGAGTCACAGGCCATGACGACGCCTCGAGCAGTGCAATCCTCAGCTTCACAGCTCATGACGTCTAATTATATACAGTCAGAGCTTTGAAGTCTGAAGTTCTTTGAAGAGCAACCACGTACTCAAAATAGCACTCCACCCTAGAGAGCTCTCGGGAGCCGGGAGTCGGCGCTCGGGAGAATGCATAGGCAGTTACATAAATGGCCACTCCAGCACCATCAACGCGGGTATGCTCACGACCACTGCGGCCGCCCCGCCCCAACCCCAAAACCCAATATTCCCCGCCGCCTCCGCCTTCTTCGCCACCTCCGCCTTCTTCGCCGCCTCCGCCTTCTTCGCCTCCTTCTTCACCTCTACCTCCGCCACCCCTCCTCGTTTCCCAAACTTCAGCGCCGTAACCTTATCCTTCTCCCGTAGAGGTAGCTTACACGCCTGTCTCGCCAACGCATTCGCCACATTAGTAAATTGTCTATTCACCAACCAAAGCTTGACCTCAACACCCTCCTTCTCTAGTCCGACCATAACCCCATCCAATTCATCGATCAAATCGTTATTAGCAACCGTATCCCCCTTCGAATCAGTCCATCCAGCCGCCCTCCACTCCTGTACCGACTCCGTCATCGCGCGGTGCAGGAATATGCTATTAGTGACGATAATGATCTCGCCGACAGTAACATCCTCGCCTAGCTCCGTGGCCAGCACCTTCAGCGCCGCCAGCGCCGAGCCAACCTCCGCGCGCTGATCGTTTTTCCGCTGTTTATCAAACAGCATGCCCAACCTCTGTCGGATGTTATGCGGACTTTCGGGACCGAAGTAGCACCCTATACCCATCTGCATACCTGTCTTCTTTTCTCTCGTGCACGTCCCACCGACGACCACCACGACAGCGCGGGTGTTCGTTGTAGACACTGCGTGCGAGAACGGGGTTCCAGGCCTGTAGATCTTCGGAAATGAGGGGTTTTGTATTCCCGAGGCGCTCCGTGGATCGTAGGATCGTGGGTGTGAATTGGATTCATGGGGCTTGTCCTGCCGTTCATAATTGTAACGGTGTTTTTCGTTCTCTCCTCTTGGTTCGCGACGGTTTTTTTCCTGGCGTGCTAACTGGCGAGGGGATAGCCGTCGGCCCTCGTGTGCTTCTTCGTGACGGAGCTCCTGTTCTTCAGCGCTGCGGGAGGACCGTTGTGGCCGGTGTTCTTTTTCGTAGCGAGGGTAAGAGGGGCGTTCTGGCCAACGTTCCTGCTCTTGTGAGAAATCGGACTCACGGTAATCAGATTTCTCCTCATCACCTTCACGTTGGAATGACCGCCGTGGCCGACGCTCTTCTTCGCGGTAGGAACGGGAGGGACGCTCTGACCGACGCTCCTCCTGGGCCGAATTGAATGGGCGGTAGTGTGCTTCCTCTTCATACTCTCCTTCACGACGAGAGTCCCACGGTATGTCCTCTTCATACTCTTCTTCATGACGAGAGGCCCGCCGTGGCCGATCGACCGGCTCTGGTGAAAAATTAAGTGGGCGGTAGACCCCCAATTCCTCCTCCGGTTCCACCTCCTCTTCTGATCGGTTCAGACGGAGACTCCGTGATCGCCGATACACATGGACTTCCGGCTTAAGATCCGACTCTCTGGGGCGCCATTCATCCCGGTGAGAATGCTCTGTCGTTTCGGTTGATTCCTCAAAGGTCTCGCGTTGCTCGCGGAGTTGTGAGCGCTTCGCTGGGGGTTTCTTGGAAGAGGTGTTCGCTGAGTGACCATCGACTGTGGACGCGTGTGAAGGGGGCTCGTAGTTTTGATTGCCGGCAACGGTACGGCGAATTTTGACGTGCCGAATGGAGGGGCGTGATGATTGGAAGGAGAGAAGCTGTCGTCGACAAGTGGATATTGGTCGGAACATTGTGAGGTGGTGGGGTGGTGGGGTGGGTTTGGGAGAAAAAAACTACTCTAGCGATATCCGCCAGCATGAAAAGCCGCACACACCACGCAATGCACGTCATAGATTGATAGCCAGGGTTCCAATCCGTGGCATCTAGATACTTCATACAACACTAACACCATAACGCCGTTTGTCCATGTAAATATAGGTACAGTATTATTTCAGAACTATTCTTCCTCCGTTGCCCTGATCGGCGTATTGCCGAAACTTTCCAATCCCCTATCGGCAATCCCCTCCGGGCCCGCACCACCGCCGCCAATGCCCGTCTCCTTCCGCAGCTTCTCGTACTGGCCCGCCGCTTCCTTGAGCCTGGTCTGCACCATCTCCTCCCTCTCTTTGATCTGCCTTTTCTCCAGCACCAAGACCTCAATCTGTCGTGCCGTCTGCGCCTTCCTGATTTCCATCGCCCGCAATGTGCCCACCAGCCGCGCAACCACATCTTCGATATCCGGCAGTGCGGTAGCAGTAGGCGGGTTTCTCGCCAGGGCCTCCAATTCTCCCTCCAGTCCCTTCGCTGCATGCTCATTGTTTGAGAACGCCCCCTTCCGGATCTGATCCCGCTCCCACTCCTCCACCAGGCTATCCCTCGACAAATCCGACTCAGCACCCTCGTCGTCCGCGCCCTCGGCCTCAGCGATAGTCATCCTGATCGCCTGCTTCCTCCTGCGCTCTTGCTCCCTTCTCGCCGACTTACTATTCGTAAGTAGCACCCTCTCCTCATCATCCACATAATTGGCGATCTCATCGTCGTCATTGAAATCATCCGGACGGGCCAAGCGACTCTCTTTCTTCTTCTTGGGACGTAGCATAATCTCATTCCTTCCGTCCTCGTCCGACGCGTCATCATGTAGCGAGATGAAATCCCCCGCTTTCGCTGCCGCCGCCCGTTCCTTCCGGCGAGCTTTCATAACGCGTACCAATCCCTCATCCATAATCCCAGTGCCGCCTCCTCCTCCTCCCCCCACAACCGTAAGCACACTCGACTTACCAACCTCAGCCATATCGACATCGGCCGCCTGCGCCTCGTCCAGATCAACCATCACCGCGTCATCATCGGTGGTTGGAAGATCCGGCGTAGCAACCTTCTGTGCACTCCGTAGCTCCTCCAGGTACTCTTTACTATACGTCACGCGCTCCGCGGGGGAGATTGACAGCTTCTCGAGTCCTAGCGCGCGTTTGGCCGCATTGCGCTCGATGGCCTTGCGGCTTAAAGCGGACTTCTTCGGCGTGAACGCTGGCTCGGAGGTATCGGCGTCTGTAGGGTCGCCGCCGAATGAGAGGCGTGTGGCAACCGTGGGCTTTTTGCGGGGGCGGGGGAACGCGAGAGGCGCGGGTTCGGCGGAGGATTCGGCTGCCGCCGCCGCTGCTGCTGCCGCTGCCGCCGCAGCGGTGCTCGTGTTGGTGCTGACGGCGAGTTTCTTGCGCACGGAGAGGGACGTCGGCCGCTTGGGTCTGTCGTCGGATGAATCGCTGTCTGAAGCTGCGACGGCGATTTTGCGCGGCTTTGCGCGGCGGGCGGCGAAGCTCATTGTGTGTATTGTTTCTGTGCTGGGTCGGGTGGTGGTGGTGAGGTGAGAATGAGAGAAAGTAAGAGCTCCGGTAACTATCGTGTGTTACCAAATCGCTTGGCGCGATCTTCGGGGCCGTTTAGAGGTACACCTTCAAGCATCCTCCAAAAAAACCATTTGGTGCTTCTCTATCTTGACAAACCTCCGGGGAGTCGTGTTGACCTTCGAGTCCAGCCACAGTAAATCGTGGCCATAGATTCCTGCCATTTTCCGGATATTTCTATCGTTGTCAAAACTCCACCGCCGTCGTCACTGGCCACACAGTTAACGTTAGGGTGATATGCACGCGCGCCAAGCCTCCAAATCCACCCTTCACGCTGCGGGCCAGCAACACGAACCTCACTCTCGTTCACCACCACACGACTCCTCCACCATCCTACCTAATCACCTCTCAACAACGAAATAATGCCTCAAGCCCAACCCGAACTCAAGAAGGCAAGTCCTCCAGCTCTGCCTCCTCCTTTCATTCAGCTAACAAGACGCTTCTGAGAAAAGTACCTCGACAAGCGCCTCTTCGTGCAACTCAACGGCTCGCGCAAAGTCATCGGCGTCCTTCGCGGCTACGATGTGTTCCTGAATATCGTTCTGGACGACGCGGTTGAGGAGCGCGACGGCGGTGAGAAGGTCCGCATTGGGACCGTGGTTATTCGGGGAAATTCCGTAGTTATGCTGGAGGTAACTTGACCTCGCTCCTGAAGATTGGATAGGAGGGTTGGATGGGATGGGATGGATGGATAGATGCTGATGAGTGGACAGGCCTTGGAGCGGATAAACTAGACGGACACCATGAGGGGAAGGGAATGCACGGGGTGAACATCGTTTTATGTGTTTTTCTTCATTGGTCTTTGGCTCCTGCGAATATGCCCTGCTTCATCTGTTCCGTTCGTTATTCATTACTTCTTTCGCACGTCCGGCCGCATCGTCGAAATCTACAGTAACAACTCATCCCACCACATTCACCAACCGACCGGCCGACCAACCGACTGATCGACCGCTCACCGTACTTCCTCATCGAAATACCCTTGCGCAACCTCTAAATCCTATTACAATCAGCTTCTGTCCACGCCAACTTCCAATCTCGGGGACCTACATGCGGCGCCGGCGAGTCGGGCAGCTATGGTCGCATCATCAGTCTTGATCCATCAGCCTCGGGGAGGAGGAGCGTGACAAACATTAACCAAAACCGCGGGATCCTTCAATTTCCTATCCTTCAAATTCGCCAGGTCCTGTCCCTCCCACAGAACGTCATGTTCAACGTGTGTACGTGCTATCTATCGTAAAGCGTAGACAATGCATACCTGGTCCATCACTTTCGTGACGTTCGATTTCTACCGCGTACCCGCAATTAGCCGCCGCACGTAGCTGGTGGAGGGAGAACGGCACGTACAGAAGGCCGCTTATGTGCCTGCACCGTCTCGGCAGCGACTTGGGTGTCCGCGAGCTCGGCGACGAAGGTGGTCGGGCTCGTAATGGGGGGCTCGGTCTCGGTGTTCATGGCTGTCTGTAGACGTGTAGTATGGAGGAGATGGAGATGGAGCTCGAGCTCTGGGGGTGGAGTGATGAGGGGAAACTTGGAAGTGCTCTAGGGGTCTAGGTGAGGGCTAATTATAGAGAATTGGATGGAGTGCAATTATCCACAATGCACATGACTGGACGGTGGACGGTGGTCACTGGACAGTGCATGCGGCGTGCGCATGTCTGGTGGTACGATTGGGGGTGGCGGGTTGGGTTGGTTCCAGGCAGCCACCTGATTGCGCTGGAGGACTTACGCGGCTGAGATGAGCCGAAACATGCATGTAGTTCATTGGCGGTTGTCAAGTGAGAACGGGCTGTCTACTTCCTTGCTTTCTTGCGATTGCTCGTGTGTAGAGTACTCTTCAGGGTCCAGGACTGGACTGATGACCACGGACCACGGACCTGCAGCCGCCGAGGAGTTACCGGCCATGTCAGTGCCCCGGGGCCATGGTCGGGGCTGACGAAGTTCTTCTCCATTCAGGCATCACGCCCTACCTTGCGGTAATTTCGTGGGCGAAATACTCTATGCAGGTGTCGTCTGCGCGGCCGGCAGAGTCGAATCCTGCACGCTGACTTCATACTTCAGCAGACGACCTCGCAAGAAAACATGCCCTGATCACACGTACCTAGCGCTGGACCAGCCGCCGTGATAGATATGATCGACGACGCACACTTCAGCCTTACCCACTCACCCTGCTTTTCGATTTCAACCCGCGCTGTTGATCCCACCATGCCTTGAAGCTTGACTCAACACCGCAGACCAACATTCAACTTCGTCTCGGCCCAACGATGCCAAGGGGATGGAGTGAACCAGCGCGAACAAAGTTCTCTTTCATTGGTGGTTATGCAGTGGTGCCGCAACTGGCGGGGTGGTAGCGGGATGGTAGCGGGGTCCCACTCCGAACCTCTGCAGGCCGGGTAGAAAGCTCACCTGGTTTAGTTCTCCATAGTTAGTCTAGATATGTCGGTAGAGGCCGTAGCCTTAAAGAACGGCCATCTCACTCCACGCGAAGATATCGGCTAGGTATGTACACCGCTCAAATTCTTCCGAGTCAGATATTATGATCAACCTCATTGGGGTGCGAACCCTACGACCCTGCAATCCTTCTATGCAGGGCTTGGAACTTCCACCTTCAACACTAGGCCGTTTGTTTCTCGGATTCTTCTCTCCCTCCTTCTTACTTCCCTCTCTTAGCTTCCTCCAACAACACTCATCATCGCTCAATGCAAATATACAACAACTACCATCACTGGCTGACACCCAACACCCCGGCTCATGATCTTCTGTTCTGCGGGCCTTCCATATATATGGTTATCACCATGAGTGAGGCCAATTTCCAGCGCGGCGAACATGTTTCCATCACCAAATACCGCAGCCTCGACATCACCCCCACTGGCCACCGGGCCAATCTCACACCTCTTCCACAAGTACCCAGTCGGTGAGTTCTAAACAATGCAGTTGGCATGGCATACTCCCGTTCAACTACTGACGTCAGCTTTCAGGACTCGCTCCCTCATTCCAGCCGCGTTGTCCAGAAAGGACGCATGTTCTATGAAGGTTATCCAGACGAGGACACATGTCGGGTGTTGGATACCTACATAAGAATGGGTGTTCTCTGAGTGCAAGCGGATCATCCCGATGACTGTCACTTACTATATTGATAAGATTGAGGCTTTGAAGTGCCTGAAAAGTTACCTTCACAGTTATATAGTAATACTACTACTTACTTTGTGCTCCTGTTGGCTGTTGATACTGCTTCTGCTACTGTTCTTCCACGCCTCCTTCTTCAACATGCCGTGTATATATCCTGTTATCTGACCAAAACAAACTGGGTAGTGTGTGTAGATACTGAGGAGACATGAAATTTTGGGAAATTTGTAGCATTCAGCTCCAGCACACTCGACTCATTCTACAGTTTTATCCCCAACAAATCACAACCATGACCCAACACGTCCAATTCATACTCCCACGCGAGCTCAAAAGAAAAAAAAAACCGATCAAAATCTAAGTGCCGCGCAGGTATGACATGCATTTGTGTAGAGTAGAAGCCAAACAAAAACCCACCACTTCATACAGGATCACCCGGGCCCTAACCCAAAAAAAAAAAAAAAAGCCAGAGCACAAAACAAACACCCACAACAAAAAGCCATAATCAATCAATCACTCAGACAATCAAAGCAGAACTGTTTACCGCACGTATACCCCTCGTCTCCACACTTTCCTTCTTCCATCTTGACCACCGGCGCTTCCACAACCTCAGGGACGTCGGGATTGTCATTTCGGCTACGTGGTGAGCGGCGTGCGGAAAGAGAAGGAGAAGCAGTAGTTCCATTGCCGAACTTCGGCGGGGTAGCTCGAGGCGGGATTTCCACCGAAAAGGCGGGCGCCGAGCCGAGTTCCTCAAGGTAGTCGAGGACGCCGGATCCTCTGCGTGCGGGAGTCGCGGTCCATCCCGGCGTTGGAGGTTGCTTCTTGACGGCCTTCTTTGCGGTGCTGACGGAGGATTTGGGAGTACTGGTACGGTTCTGTCTGGCCGGCGTCGTCGTGAACCCGGCGGGCTTCTTCTGAGCGGCCGGATGAGCGGTAACGGAGGCAAGCGGGATTGATGGTGTGAGGAATGGGGTGAAAGGCGGTGCCTTGGGAAATACGGCTGGTGTTCCGTCCGGGTGTTCGTCGTCCCACTTGGGGTTGTAGAAGGGGTCGTCCGGGGTAACGGCCCAGGGGTTGGCAGGTTTCGGGGTCTTGCTGGGTGGTGCAGCTGTTCTTTTGGGGATGCTGAGCGGTGCAGCTGTTCTTCTGGGGATGATGACTTCTACATTGGTGATTTGTCGGTCCCGGCTGGCACGAGGAGAACTGTTTCGGCCTCTGTTCTGGAAAGATTCCTTCGAAGCTTTTTTCTTACTCCGACTTGCTTTCAGAGTTGGTGTCTGTTTTCTGTTAATGGGAGAAGATGGGGGTGCCATTCTCGATGGGGCGATTGGGAGTGTCTCGGAAGTGAGCGGTGTTGAACCACGGGTTAGCGTCGGCGCGGATGATGACTGTAACTCGTCATCCGAGTCCTTGTCGTACAAGGAGCTGAAGGGATGGCTCCGTTTCATACTTGTCTTGCTGGGTGTGTGATACAACCTTCTGGCCACGATGAGTGCCCTGAGCTTAGATTTGGGCGTGAAAGTCCGCAATGCAGATGAGAAACTTCGGTATGGAGACGGTGCGCTTGGAGACGACAGCTCGTCCATCTCATCGTCCTGGATAGTTACGACCATAGACTTCCGCCTCATATTGACCAACCCTGAAGGGGTGGGGTTCGCTGGAGAGCTAGTAGCCCAGTTTGGTAGCCTTTGTGGCGTAGCTAACGGTCGTGATGGGGTCGGCGGAGGGGGCATAAGATTGGTGATGCTTGGTAACGAGACAGGCGACGAAGGCAATACCGGCTTGGTGATGGATACTGCTACAGGTGATGGTAGACTGGCAGTAGGTACGGGGGGAGACGACGGGATGGAAACCGACGTCTGCTTCCTCAAAGGTGAGGAATTCGTAGACGATATGTCTTTCTTTGGAGAAGGTGACGGAGCTCGAACCGACAATGGCTTCTTCGGGGAAGGTGACGGAGCTCGAACTGAAAGTGGTTTCACTGGAGAAAGTGACGGAGCTCGAATTGACAGTAGTTTCTTCGGGGAAGCTGACGGCGGTTGGCCCAATCTCAACACCTTTGGGGAAGTGGTAACGGGAATCAAGATTTGCTTGCTCGGAGACGGCGCAGTGGAGGCCGGCATCTGTTCCCTCGGGGGCGAGGGAGGTGAAAATGATACTTGCTTCCTTTGGGAAGGCGATGGAAAGAATAGAAATCCCAGCTCCGTTGGGATTGACGCGACAGAGCCCGAGATCTTCGTACTCGGAGGCGGCGCAGCCAGGGTTGGCGTCTGTTTCCTCGGGGGTGGTGGAGATTGGGTTGGTATTTTCTTTGCTGAGGGAGGCGATGGGACTGATGCCGACCTCAGCTCCCTTGGAGACACCGCAACCGGGACCGATACGGGCTTCTCTGGGGACTGCAATGGAACCGGGACTGATGCTTGCTTTTCCGGAGAAGGTAACGAAACCAGCTCCGACACTGACTTCTTCGGAGGCGACGGAGTTGGGGCCAACACTCGACTCCGTGGAGGCGGACGAGCTGGAATGGATGCTGGCTTCTTCGGAGGAGGCGCACGAGCTTTAATTACTGCTGGCTTCTTTGGAGAAGGCGATGGGATCGGAGGGAACGAGGGCTGCTGTTCTTCGGGCGACCAAGTTGGCTTGCTCGGCGAGTAGTCGTTTATGGCGCTGAACGACAGCGGCGGACATCTCAAGCAGCCCGCAATGGGTCCTAGCCGACACTCCTCACAGCCATCCCCGCTCAGTTTGACACTCTTCTTCGATCTAGTCTCCTCGCTCTTACCGCGCTTCCTCTTCGCGAGCTTCTTCTGATTGTTCTCTTTCGGCTGCAGCCCCTCCGCCAACAGATCCCCGGCCAGTAGCTCTCCCCACCGGAACTTCTCCTCGTCATCGTCCTCACTCTCACTGACCATGCCTCGGATGTACCCATTATCCACCAAGAGCTCTCCCGTGTCAAGATCAATCTCGTCCGCGCACCCGTCAAAATCCTTCCCATACTTTTCAAATATCAATTCCCACGATTCCCTCAGACGGCTAGCGCAGGCTTCGCGCTCGCGGAGGAGCTCCTCATCGGCGCTCGCTTTCTCGCGCGCTTTTTCGGCGAGCTCGGCGCTCGTGAGTGGTACGCGAGGCGTCTTGGTGCGTGGCGCTTTGCTGATGCTCTTGCGCAGTGTGGTCTTGTCGGTTGGGATGGTGGGAGCGCGTTGGGGTGTGGTAATGACCGCCATGGTGCGTGCTCAGCGGACGTGTTTGTCGCGTAAAGTATCGGGTCGAGCGCAGGGCGCGTCGCAGGAACGAATTGCGTGCTCGGATGAAAGTCGTATATTTGGTTGAATTGGTGAAGGCGTGAATGTAGTGGTGATGATGTTCTTAGGAAGAGGAGGTGCCTAGTAGTGGTGGGTGTTGCTTTGGAGCAAAGCCAGCACCAAGGGAATTTGGAATGATGGACGTGAATTCCACCGACTAATAGAGGCCGGGCTGGTTAACCTAAGCGACACGAGGAATCTTGATCCACGTGCGGCCGCGTCCAGTCTACATATGAAGCAGCCCAAATGGAACCTGTCGATCATCTCCACTCGTCACCACAAAAATGCCACGAACATTCTCAGACGACGAAGCCGCAACCATCGCCATCGCCACATTCTCGCACACTAGCCTACCCCCCGCCCAGCTCGAAGCAATAGCCACAATCGCAACCCAGCTCGATTCCGAAGTCCCCTTCGTCGAGGACCTAACCACCCTCTTCACCGCCTATTCCACCCTCTACTTCCGCTCGCTCCTGCAAGCAACCACCACCTTCGCCTGGTCCACCCGCATGACCTCCTGCGCAGGCACGTGTTCCCTCCTCATCGACAAGAGCACCAAGCTTCCGCACGACCCGCGGCAATGCGCCGTGCGCCTCTCCGAGCCACTCCTCAAATTCCGCCCGCGCAGCGACACGCTGAACACACTGCTGCACGAGATGATCCACGCATACCTGTTCATCGCGGGCGGACGTCACGTGCGCGGCGACGATCCGACGGGTCACGGAGCGGGCTTCCAGCGTATGGCGTTTGCGATCAACGAACATGGCGGGTATGACATCTCGTCTACGCACACTTTCCATGACGAGGTCGAGAGCTATCAGACACATGTGTGGCAGTGCACTGGGAGTTGTAGGGAGCTGCCGCCGTTTTGGGGCGTCGTTAGGAGAGCGATGAATAGACCGCCTGGACCGAGTGATACTTGGTTTGAGGAGCATAGGAACAGGTGTACTGGCGGGATGTGGGTCAAGATCTCGGAGCCGCCGCCGAAGGTCAAGCCCGCGAAGGCAGGGCCAGTCCAGAAGAATAAGATCGATCAGTGGGTCAGGAAAGAGGGGTCGGCGAAGAGTGGCAGTGGGCATAGCGGCAAGAGGGCACTACCGGCGGACAGCGAGAGCGAAAGTAAAAAATCGAATCATAAGCGGCCAAAGGCAAAGGCAAAGGACCCGTCGCCTCCGCCGGAGGTTTTGGTGGAATGTCCAGTGTGTCCTGCGCGCATAGCCGAGAAGGATATCAATATCCATCTCGACAAAGTCCACGGCTTTTGACCGAAGATGCGATTTGAGATAGCAGTTCCGAACCCACGACAAAGTACTAGTAAAGTCGGGTGGTCACTGTCCCCACAACACTGTGAAAGCGGCGAAGCGCAAGAGATCAATGACTGAGGCGAAGCTCATAGGTTGGGTCCTGGGGGACAGTCTCAATACAAAAGCCCGGCACAGGTGCATTTGGGCGAGTTGGTTGGCATTTTCAATGTACAAACACAAAATACCAAGGAAGAAGTTTCTGCGGAATCGACGAACGAATGAGATTTCATGAAGCCTCATTTATATACTCTGCGGGTTTATATCCCTGTCCCCAATGGAATAGAGTTCAAGCTGCGACATCATGATATAGAGCTTCAAAATTATTCTTAAGAACTGCCCCACAAATTTGACGATATCGACGTTAGTTGAACCATTCCATAGATCGAGACTACGCCAGTAACAGTCCGAGACACGGCACACGCACCCAAGCCTTTTCTCGCGTCGCCCCTTTCACTAGGTATACTATACACGTCCTCCCCGGATCCTCCCCACGAAGACGAAAAGCTCCTCACCAACATCACCAACACAACAATGTCCGCCTCTTCACCCGCAGTATGGAAGTCAATTCCCGTACCACTGAGCGAACTATGCATCTCGACTGTCCTGCGCTGTGGGCAGTCATTCAGGTACGCATTGATCGCGGTAACTACCCTCTGCGGGCGGCCTAGCTGACCGTGAACTACCTACTACAGATGGCGACAATCGGGCGATGAATGGTACCTCCCCCCTCTATTCCCTAACCCCAGAGTCCCCCGCTCACACCCTCAGGACCTGCGCGCTCCGGGGGCGAATCCTGACGCTGCGGCAAGACGCGACGCACCTTCACTACCGGAGCATCTTCCCCGCATCCTCCTCCGCCTCCTCCTCCTTCTCCTCCTCTTCCGATGACGACGACACAGCCGAGCTCCTGCACGACTACTTCAACCTCTCGCACTCTCTCTCTACACTGTACACGCAGTGGTCTCGCTCCGACCCAAACTTCCTATCAAAATCCGCGCGCCTCTCGGGCGTGCGCATGCTGCGACAGGACCCGTGGGAAACCGTGGTATCGTTCATCTGCAGCAGCAACAACAACATCGCGCGGATCAGTGGTATGGTATGGAGCCTGTGCGGTGCGTGGGGGGAGGCGCTGGGGGAGGCGGGCGGCGTCGTGTATCACGACTTCCCCCCGCCTGGCAAGCTCACCGGTGACGGTGTGGAAAAAATGCTGAGGGAGCTGGGGTTCGGGTATAGGGCGAGGTATATCGCCGCTACTGCGAAGATTGTGGATGAGCGCGGGGTGGGGTGGCTCGAAGGGCTGAGGAGGGAGGGGTATAGGGACGCCCATGAGGCCCTGTTGGAGCTGCCTGGCGTGGGACCTAAGGTTGCGGATTGCGTGTGTCTCATGAGTCTGGATAAGGCGGAGGCGGTGCCGGTGGACACCCACGGTTCGTTCGTGCTCTTCCTTCTTCTGCTCACATACACGGCTAAACTGGACAACAGTCCTGCAGATCGCGCAGAAAGACTACGGCTTCGGCAAGACGAAGAACAAGTCGCTGACCAAAGCGGTCTACGACGAGATTGGAGATCATTTTCGGAAGCTGTGGGGGAAGGAGGCCGGGTGGGCGCATTCGGTATGTTCGCTGTCTCCATCACGCACACATTCACACGTTCACACGTTCACACCATCTAACGCCGAGTGTGATGCATAGGTGCTGTTCACCGCCGATTTGAGCGCGTTTAAGGAGACGAAGGTCAAGGTCAAGAAGGAAACTAAGGTCAAGAAGGAAACTAAGGTCAAGAAGATCACGAAGCGGCAAGCAGCGGCTCTAAAAAAGGAGGCGCTTGAGAAAGCGTACTCGGTTTGTATCAAGAAGGAGGAAGAGCAGAGTCGGGGGTTGAAGAGGGTAAAGGCCGAGGTATCTCCGGAGGAGGAGGAGGAGGAGGAGGAGGAGGAGGAGGAAACTGTCACCAAGAAAAAGGTCAAGGTAGAGGTCAAGCTGGAGGAGGCAGTGGAAGGTGCAGAGCTGTTTTCGCTGGCGGAAAGGGTCAAAACGAGGACTAGAAGTCGGCCGTTGCCGGCGGGGAGAAGGGGGATTTAGATACCTAGGATCATCTGCGATTTACTACCTATACACACATAACGGTCCCGGTTTGCGAGGGAGTGGGAGAGTGAAACAATGTGGGGACTAGGCACTGAGGTAAGAAGGCGAACCAGTCTCTGGCTTTCTATTTCCTCATGAACAATCGTTTCCACAGCAAAATAGAGTAGAATACCTAGAGCACAGCACATGCAATTCCCGGGTTATTCTGCAGCGTTGTAGCGCTGTAGCGCTGTAGCGGTGCAGCGTAAGAGCGTGTTTCAGACATTTATAGACGCCGCCAGCGGCCAGCGGCCAGCGGAGGCTTGCATGGGCCATGGATATCTCCGACTCCAAGTCTCAAGATGGTGCCGGTACCGGCATGCATATCTATATAGGTAATTGCGGGGGTCTGGAGCTTGGCTTGACGGTGGAAGAAATAAAGAAAGAAAGAAAGAGAGAGAGAGAGAGAGAGAGAGAGAGAGAGAGAGAGAGAGAGAGAGAGAGAGATGGATAGATAGATCGTGAAGTTCGACAGATAGGTACGGTGCCACACCGGTTGTTGCGTTCCGAGGTGGCAATGGGCATGCGGTGCGGTGATATTCCATGAAACACACGCTGCCCGTCTCGAGAATTACATACCCAACGACGAGGCGGAAGTATATAGAAGCACTTCTCGCGGGCGATGCGGCGGCCTGGCACGTCCGTCCCTCCCTTATAAGTTATCACGCCAGGTGTACCCCGCCACATATAGGGTGGGTGTACCCCACTCACGAGTCACTATACCGAGGGCAGGTGCCAGCGGGCGGTAAACAGTTATCTCCTGTTCAACGTATCAGGAGGGTCCCCATGGATCATCTACACATACTCAGTGGCATTCATCCATTCATGTGGCCGTCTGTGTCCGTCTGTATAGTTGGTATATCGGAAACAAAACTCAGACGAGCATGCGCACCAATGATAACCCATAATACAACGACAAGAAACTCCTAAACAGCCCAATCCCTACACTACCTATCGCTGATTCGCTGTAACTATAGGTATAGATAGTATTAGGGGCGCTCAAGCGGAGGGCGGGAAATCACTCTATATACTATCGTTCGCTGCCTGAAACTGGTCATCCGGATTCCAGACGGCAGATGGGATATAGGTCGGATAGCTCGATAGTGCATCTTGACTCTTGACAGGCTGTAAATAAGAGTGGAGTAATGAATAAACGAAGAAAATCCCCTATATCCCCGAAGCTTTGAACTCCTATTTCTAAATACCGGTACATACAATATGAAATACACTCGATCGGTACCTAATGTACTCCACTGCGAAATCTATCCGTCGCAAGACGGCCCGCGTCACTTCGAAGTTCGGTCCGATTCACGATGGCAGGACGGGACGGACGCACGGATCCTCGCGCTGTTCCTCGTGAGTGATATCCGATGGACGGGCTGGGTAACTATCATATGGCCACATTAGAACGGTATGTACATAGAGTAGGTAGGGAGATGGGAGATGGGAGATTCCCATCGCGGCTAATAGCCCCGGCGGATTATGGATGGTCTTGGATGGATGGCGGACCCGGGTTCGGGCAGTGGGGAGTGGCTTGAGATGCATATCCAACAAACAATAGGCACATGAATCAGGTATGTGCGATGGTGACTACATCCTACTATTGGTTTCTAAACTATGATAGTATTTGTAGCCGGTGAAACCATGGTGGAAGCAGAGTGGAATAGCAAAGTCAATGGTATTACTGACTCTGCTCGATGAAGGCATTGGCTACATAGCACCGTCAAACTCGATTCATCAAGCGGATGATTACCTAGCGGGCCACCCCAGGGGAGCATGTGCTTAGAGTAGGCTTCTTCGGCATGCATCTTCGTTGTTGGCCCTGGACAGTGGATGTGCACGGAACGCCCGAAGAAACGCTCCGGGTGATGGGTGGTGACGGGGGCTCAAGATGCCTGCGCTCGACGCTTGTGCTCCATGTACTGTACATACCCGTGCCACCTCCTTCTCGATGCAAGGTCCCCATTCCCGTCTAAGCAGGTACATACTTCATAGGTCATACTGAATGTAGGTACACCGCATAACCCTCGACACCTCGACACCTCGTCCCCGTCCCCCCGTCCCCCCGTCCCCTCGTTCTCTCCTCCCTCCATCTGGTGAAACCCAAGCGGTGATGAGCTTTTCCCTTCCCTTCACGAGCGCTTCCCCGCTGCCCAGAGGAGGGACAATATGAGATGAGCTTTGCGGTGGAGGGATGCTGTGGGATGCTTGATGCTGGGATCCGCCGGCCGCTTCGGGCAGCCGGATGACGAATCGATTAATTTCATTTTTTTTCCCTGGAGTGCCGGGTGGACTCTGGAGACGAGCGGCCGCTGGGCGCCGGGCGAGGGCGAGGGTGCGCGTCTCGTTGGTCGGGCCAGCACCGTTCGAGTCAAGGTGTGCTGCCAGTCAGCCAGCTAACTAGCCAGTTGCATCGCCACCTTGCCTGCCTGCGTGCCTGCCACGGCCGCCCCCCGCCCCACCTATCAACCACAGCCGCCGACGACGCCGCGCAGCCGGGATCTCCACAGCACCGCTGCACCTCCGATGCCTCACCACTCGAGCCTCGTCTCGCTCTAGCCAGGTACGCAGCTGCGGAATTCTGAATCTGTGTGGAAGGCACCCAGTAACCACACGACACTAGAGTAGGTACGCTGCATACCTGCGCATGCGTGCCATCACATCGCCATACCCAGAGTGCCTGCCTGGCCCACCCACCCACCCACATGCGTGAGTGCGTGTGCCTGCATGTGTGTGTGTCCTGTCGCCTGCGAGCGGAGAATGAGGGCAGTGGAGGGGATAATACCGTAGTGTCACCCAAGTATGTCACTTCATACTCAGCATACCACTTGCTCGACACACCTAGCCGTCTCATCGCACCCACACGACCGCGGTATGCAGAGTACCTGATCCTCGCTGGCTGGAGGGGAAGAGGGAGGACGGTTCAGCGGCCAGTAGTCGGCGGTCAACTGCAGATGAGGAACCGGGCTGTCCTGGCTGATCGTTATTTTGTGCGAATGCATTACTATTATCCATCCCCCACCCCTCCCTGCCAACCTTCAGCGCCTCTCACCGGCTTTTCCTTCCCTCTCTCTCTCTCACTCTCTCCATCCCTCCCTCCATCCCTCCCTCTCGCTCCCTGCCCTCTTCGAACGCTCTCCCTCCCTTCCTGAGACTCGTTCGGTTCCGTTCACTCGCTCGTTCGTTCGTCGCTCGAGTCCGCAGCCCCGTCCTCCTCACAGTACTCACGTACTCACATACTCACAACCTGTACTCCCTTTAGTGCCTGCTTCTCTCTTTTTCCTTCGCTAAAGCGTCGGATTGTCCACTCTTTTAACAATATCGAATCGTGCTGCGTGCTTTTTGTCATTCCTTTTTCTCTCTTTCGTTCCTTTCGTCATCTACATACTTCGCTACGACGTTTCTTACACTTCAGTCTAAACACCAACTACGCTCCCTTCGCTTTTCTTGATCTTGTCCCCTGCTTGTTGTCGACCGCAAGAATACTGGGGAAGAAAATAGGAAAGAAAGAACACAAGAAAGAAAGAAGAAAGAAACACAGCAGCAAGACCCTGAAAATAACCCGTCTTGTTCTTTTCTCACTTCACCTTCATTATCTATCCGCGTTCAACATCCTCACAGCCACCCCTTAAAAATTCCATTCGCTCACACTTACCGTCCGAGCATCGTATCCCGACCAGCGTATCCCGACCACCGCACGCACTCTCGTCCGCCCCGTTCCGACACACCCCCCACACAACTTGCATACCACTCGGACACCTCCCACCACCACCACCAAACCACTCATTCACTCGTTCACTCGTTCACTCGTTCGCTCCCACACTCACTCACTCACCGCCCCCAATCCTCTCGGCATAGAAAGCACGCGATAGATTTCGACCCCGCGACTCTCTCTCAATATCACTCACTAGTACTTTACGACATCTACTTCTGCAGCGCACGAACGGCTTGGTAACTTCGCTCCCGCTCCCGCCCTAGTCCCTTGCAGTTTTCCGTGCGCGCGCCTGTTGTGGGTCGCCTCTGTGCCTGGAACGGCGTGCTACCGGTTGTCTTTGCATTGTGTAAATGTACCCTGGTGTAGTGGTGGTAGCGGTGGGTGCTGATCCTGTGTGCTGCGTATTGCTGTAGGCTGGTGCCAGTTCATCTCTCTCTACTCTATCTCACCTTGCATGAACAATTGAAACAACCTCTACTTTAATACCTACCGCCGCCCACCCCCCGTTCCGTTTCTCGTTGCGCCTCGCCCACCCTACATAATCGGTTCCGCAGTCCATCATCCATCGACCCACCCACACACACGCATCCATTTCCCCCCGTCGCTGTCGTGTTAGCCCGCTCGCGCAGCCTTGAACGACATTCCTACATCTGCGCCGCCGCGATCACGTAGTATCACAGCACCCAGCGCTCCCGCACGAGGAGGGTGTGTGTGTGTGTTTCCTCATCGCGGAACTCTAGACCTCAAATGGCGTGGACGATATGGACAACAGTGGCAGTCACGGTTTCGCTCGCGAGCGCGCTTACTGCCCCAACGCTGGTGTCGCAACCAATATTCGATCTCGATGACTTAGGGCGGGTGGGACTGGCGGGAAATTTCGATGGGATTTCGCTCTATGAATACACGGGACAGACGCAGTCGGCGCCCTTCACCAACGGGAGTCAGAGCTTGCTGACGCAGTTGCCGAATGGACTGTTTTCGTCGCTGGGACTGGCGGACGAGGCCATCAATGCGATGTGTGTCTACGAGTTGAGCGATGGGACGCAGAGGGGTGTGGTGGTGGGAGGGAATTTCACGAGTCTGGGAGGCATCGAGGCTAAGGGAATCGCGCTTTACAACCCGGACGACGACAGCATCACGACTTTGGGGGATTTCCAGGGTCGGGTCAGTGCGCTGCTGTGCGACAAGGGCACGAGTAGGGTGTATGTGGGGGGAATGTTCAGCATGAACCAGTCGGAGAATGCTGCTGCTTGGGAGGATGGCGAATGGAAGAATCTGCCGTTCGAGGGCTTCACCGGCCCTGTCAACACCGTCACCAGGTCCAACAACAACACCATCCTCTTCGGCGGGAACTTTGACGGACTGAGGAATTTCTCGGCACCCACGATCAGGGACGCCCAGACGCTCAACATCGTGTCTGCGGAGATTACTGCGGAGCAGACATCCGACTTGGCTGGCTTCAACGACCCCGCCGCCATCACCTGCACCAACGGCACCGAAACGCAGTGGCTGGTGCGCGATGGACAGAGGGGATCGTGGACTGCTGCCTTCCGCTTCGAGTTCTTCCCCACGAAGCTGCGGCTCATAAACTCGGACTTTGAGGACCGGAGCACCGAGACCTTCAGGTTGACGGCGTTCCCTCTCGGAGGAATCATGAATCTCACCTACACGGATTCGACTGGAAACGAGCAGCACTGTGCTGAGACGTGCCCCTTGGCTGCGATCGATGAGGCTCAGGACTTTGAATTCATTGATGTCGTTGGGATGAAGTCCTTCCGCATCGATATCCTGTCCCACCGTGGTGCCGGCGGAGGACTTTCGAGTGTCCAGCTTTTCCAGGACAACATCTTCACCTTTGCGATTCCTGAACTGAACGAACCGTCGTGTACCGCGGCGGACGTCCCTCGATCGGCCTCAATCGCTTCCGGTGCCTGGTTCGAGACCGAGATGAGTGCTGTTGGAAGTTCCAATTACCTTTCCGTCGACGTTGATGCATCGACCATCCCATCGACATCGGTCGTCTTCGAGCCTCACATCGAGCAGAGTGGCAGGTACCAGATCCTCATCTTCACCCCCGGGTGTGTCCAGGACGGTTCGTGCGCTACCCGTGGAAGGACCAGTGCCACTGGTACCGTCACCTCGAATGGAAATACGGTCAACCTGCAGTTCGCTCAAACCAACGATTTCGACAAGTACGACGTTGCTTACGAAGGCGACGTTGATGTCGCGAGCGGTTCATTCCGACCCCGCATCACCCTTGCTCCCACCCCGAATCAGCCTGCCGATACCGTTCGGATTGTCGCCCAGAGAGTGCAGTTCAAACTGATCAGCGAGAACAAGCAAGGCGAGACCCCCAGCGGGACCAGCACAGGATCCTCCGGGTTGAACGGCATCTACGAGTACGATCCCCAGGCCACCGGCACGACAGACCCTGCCGATTCGCGCATCAACGCTGCCGGTCTGAGGTTGAACGATAACGCCTCCATCGCTACGATCGTCGTCAAGGGCGATTTTACGTATGTCGGTGGCAATCTGACGACCGGTGACTTCCAGCACTTCTTCATCATCGACAAGAACAACGACGCTTTGCCCTCGGTTCCCGAAGGCGGCCTCGACGATGCGGTCAACATTATGCATGCATCGGGAGATTTGATTTACGTTGGAGGGGCCTTCTCTGGGACCAGGGACGACACCATCAAGGGTGTGACTGGTATCGGTGCATACGATACTGCGCAGAACTCTTGGGTGGCGCTCGGCGCGGGTGTCAACGGCGTCGTCAGTGACATCGTCCCGATCAGCCTCAACCTTACGTCGGGAGTCGAAGAGTGCATTGCCATTAGCGGTGACTTTTCGGCCGTTCGACCTGACACCGATGCTGCGAATGCGGTGGAAGTGGAGGGTTTCGCCGTCTGGATTCCGTCGACGAAGCAGTGGCTCGAAGCCACGGATGGGGTCATCTCGCTTTCCGGTATTCTGTCGGCCGTTGTCACGGCGGATAACATCCCTATCTACGCCGGTTCCATGGCATCAAACACCATGGTCTCGTCGGGAGCGGTTTATCTTTTGGACTCGGACGTCAGCAGGAACACGCTTGCGCCGTCTGCCCTCGAGATGGTGACGACCCGGGACACCGCTTCGAGAAAGCGCGATGTGTCTCCGCAAAACGTTACCGGTGTCGTTACCGGCTTGTTCTATGTCGATAATGGTAAGAATTTGACTATCCTCGGAGGCAACTTTGAGGCCCAGGGACAGAACGACACCACTATCCGTAACCTCGCCATTATCGATGGAAACAACAACGACGCGGTGGACGGTGCTACCGACGAGTTCGCTTCCGGAAGCACAATCCTGGCCATGCAGGTGTTGGACAAGTTGTTGTTTGTTGGCGGATCCCTTGAAGGTACCACTAACGGCACCATCGGGGGCATTGCGATCTGGGACTTGGATCAGATGGCATTGGCCGCTACTCAGCCTCAGCCCCTGAACGGAGACAATGTGACGGTGCTCGACATCACGAGGCGTCCGGATACTAATGATATCTATGTGGCCGGTGAATTCGCCACTGCCGGATCATTGGACTGTGCCAATCTCTGCATCTACCAGAATGATGCGCAACGATGGGTGGATGCCTCGCCAGAAGTCCCGGGTCGGATCAATACCATGCGCTGGGTCGACCAGGACCATCTGCTCGTTGCCGGTGACATGAATCTGAACGGCACCGCCATGTATCTCGCTCTGTACGACACACAGCTTGGAATCTACAAGGCCGTCGATGCCGACGCCAGCAACATCCCCGGACCGGTGACCAGCATTGCTGTGGACTCGGATACTTCCGATACGCTGTTCATCGCTGGTACCGCTACGAATGGGACCAGTCCGTACCTGATGAAGCTCAAGAACAAGAAGTTTGTTGCACTGCGTAAGTCAGCCCGCTTTCAGTCCTTGACCACTGTGCTAACGGATCACAGAGGCCCAGTTTGAAGAAGACGCTACGATTCACAACATCCAGGTTCTGAACCTGCAGAGCAGAAGCACGCACGACGACAATGATTTCCTCCAGGGCGAGCACATTCTCCTGATCACTGGAGACCTGAAGGTGTCTGGTTTCGGCAATGCGTCGGCCGTCACATACGACGGAAAGGACTGGAAGCCGTTCATGCTCACGTCGAAATCCAACGGCGACCCCGGCACCATCACCACATTCTTCTCCCAGATCGAACCCGTGTTCTCGAAGCGCAAGTCACGACTAGCTAGAGGCTACGTCATCCTGATCTCGCTCGCGATCGCCCTGGCACTCGTATTCCTCCTGGTCGTCGGCGGCGTCATAGCATCGCGCATCCGACGTGCAAGGGAGGGATATGTGCCCATGCCTACAATGTCTGGCGCCGAGAAGTCGGCCCAGATGCAGGGACGACTACCGCCGCAGGACTTCCTGCAGGATGTAGGTGCCGGTCGAGGCAGAGGGCCTCCTATGATATAAAACAATAAACTAAACAAACCAACGAACCGAAAGAGAAAAAAACAACACCGACCCATGCAAAACAATTTAGATCTGATTTTACTGTTATAGCGACCTTTTTTCTTTGCCTTTTTTCTTCTTGACTCTTTTTTTCTTTTTCTTTTCGCTCTCTTTTGGGATTTTCAGGTTCGGTGTGTGGTGGGTAATTTGTACTTTTTGCACAAGGAGTTCAAGCGGAGTTACTTAAGTCTTAGTTTGATACCGAGGGCAGGATTGCGCGTGGGTGCGGTGGGTACTGGTGGGTGCACTGGGTGGTGGGTCGGCGGTGGTGGTGGTGGTTTTATGGCTTCTTTTCTTTTCTTCGTTTCTGCTGGATGGGTTTAATCTTGATACCAGTTTTTTTTCTTTTCTTTCTTTCTTGTCTTTCTTTTCGCTCGTTTGCACTAGGTATGTTTGTTTTGCGAGATAATACGATGTAGTCGTCCGATGTACTCTGTCGTACCTGTCGTTGTCGTCAACTTGTTTTGCAGGATTCACTTTACGCCCTACTTGCTTTTTTTCTTTACTTTGAGATACGTTATGTACCGTCGATTTCCTACTGATGACTGGATCTGGATCTTTTGATGAATGCTGGATGGAAGGCTGGAGGACTGATGGAAGGAGGACTGATGCATGGATGGAGGATTGATGGAGGACTGATGGAAAGAGGGCGGGCTGGAAGGAGGGGGAGGGCGGGAGGGAAGGGTGTTGTATAAAGCTGGAGCTGGCTGGACTACTTGGGCAGTTTCTCTATGATACAGGTACTTAATTGCTTAATTGGTTTCGTTATGAGCTTGTTTGGACTCTCGGGAGATGTGGGTGTCGATGTGAAGGGAGTGTGTGGTGAGTGTTGAGTGTCGAGTCTCGAGTGACGAGTCTGGACTCGAGAAGGTGAGTCTCGATGGTGAGTTGTAAGCAGTATTCTCCATAGGTAGTCCAGTCGGGACTGCAGTCGGTCCTCACCTCCGAACATTTTGGACTACCTAGGTAGTCCGGACGGACGGGACGGGACGAGTCGGACTGCCGAGATATAGTACAGTACAGTCCAGTCCGGTCGGAGGCCCAGGATGGACGGGACGGACTGCCACAATCCAGTCCCGTCCTGTCCGTGACTCCGTGCCATTTGGAGGACGGGGGACGGGATAAAAGTACCTACGGTAGTCCGTCCCGTCCGCCAATTTGCTGGACGGGGTTGACCGTTGGGCCGCAGTCCGGGTGTGAAAAAGAAAAGTGCACTTTTCGGCACTTACCCACCCACCAGATACATTATCATATGACAGTATTTCCCACTATCGTAATTCGTGTATTCACTTTCGTCCAGTAGGTATGATACCAGCAACGCCGCAGGGTAGGTAATCTTCAGTCCATGCTCATACTGCACCCATACTACACATACCCATACTACATTCATACTACACTCATACTTCCCCGAGCCTGAGCCACTACAACTACATACAACCACCGATAATACGCGTGGAGATTTCTCTGGTTATTCATGTCGCCTCAGCTATGATATGAATGTTTTTGCCGGTCTTGGAAATTGGCAGTCAGTCGACTGCAGTCTGCAATCCGTCCCGTCCGAAGTTCCGAACTTACTCTCCTGGTGGAGTAGGAGGTAGGTAGGTAGGTAGGCAGTCCGACAGACAGACAGACAGATAGACAGACACCTCCGGACGGACTGGACTGGACGGACTGGACGGACTAGACTACTTAGGTATGTAGAACACTGCCTAGTATAGAAGAAAGCACTCACACGGAGGAAACCAGAAGATGTGCACGTGAGGGTTGATCGTCTAAGTTCTAACTGGATGATGATGATGATGATGAAAAGAACAAGAAGAAGAAGGGGAAGGAGAATAAGAAGAAGGAGAATAAGCAGAAGCAGAAGGCTATATATGCATACATAAGAGAGCATACGGTCGGCACCGCTGGACCCCCCGACGCTGGTGCTGCCTACCAATATACCAATCCCATTCGCTTCCTCCAGGCTCCCGCAGACACATGCGTTACATACGGTACGTCCTCCTCTTTCTGCCTCTTTTCGCCGACAGACTTCAGCTCTCCCATCGCTCTGCAAGACTGCAACAGAGCCGTCTGCAAATCCGTTGTGTTATGTAGTAGGTGCTGCATCTACGTGCCAAGTCCCGTGATACTCCAAAAGATCGCATTGTAATCTGTAAGGACCTAAATGTTTGGTGAAATGCTATGTATGATGAAAATACGTGTTCGTAGGACGTTTCCAAAAGCAGCAATACACAGTGAGCAAAATCTGGTAGTTCTCCGGTATGTATTAAAACCACCACGGTATTTTCCCCGTAACAATTGCACTCCACATTTTTCCACTGTATCTGTGAAGGAAGCTAACCAGAAGCGAGTGACAATGGCACCGGCGGGTGATCTGCCATGCTCCCATGCTCCCATGCTCCCATGCTCCCATGCTCCCGCAGCAGTAACTACTCTATAGTAGCACATGACGTCACTATCACCTGCCTGCGAAATTACCTGCCGCGTGTGTGGCACCAGATACGCGTGTTAAGGGGTGGGATGGGTTGGGGGAGGGGAGGGGGCCCGGGGGACGGGCAATAGATAAATTGATTGAGTGATTGATTGATCGGACTGACGCGTACACGTACCGTACCGTACCCGTAACCCCAGCTCCCCAGCTCCCCAGCTCCTGTCTCGACTCGACTCTCGACTCGACTCTCGACTCTTGACTCTTGACTCGCACCGACGATCCGGTCGCCACATTTATCTGAATACCTACATCCTACATACCTCAAGACCTACAAAGCAGTTATCGGAAGATACGACGATACACAGGGACTATACGAATAACTCGACGGACACGACGGGCAGATAGACACGGCGGACGACAGGCAACGATGTCCTCGAAATGGGCGGGTGCGCCACATATCAAAGGTCCGACGGAGGCGGTGAGGATGGTGTTGTTGACTATTAGGTATAACTACTCCGGAGTCTTTAGCGGTGGTGGTTGATGGGCGGGCATGCTAACGTGGTGGTGGGAAGTCTTACGGGCGTGCAATTGGTTTGGGGAATTGAGATGGCTTGTGAGCTCCCCCTTCGCGATTGAGTTGTTCCGGTGGGGAGGATGAGATGGCCTCATGCTGATGTCCGATGTCCGATATCCTAGACTGCGCACCATACCTCCTCTCGCTCGGCCTCACGAAGTCCCTCATGTCTCTAGTCTGGAACGTCGGGCCAATCAGCGGAATGATCTGCCAGCCGATCGTAGGAGTTCTCGCGGACCGTTCGACCTCACGCTTCGGGCGGCGCCGACCCGTGCTCGTGATCGGGAGTGTCTGTGTCGCCGCCGCGCTGCTGATCCTCGGCTGGACCAGGGAGATCGTGGGATTCTTTGTCCCCGCTGGCGACGCGGCGGATACACTCACGATCATCATGGCGGTGCTGATGATCTACGTGGTCGATTTTGCGATCAATGCCGTCCAGGCGTGCTGTCGTGCCCTCATTGTGGATACTCTGCCCGTCACGAGTCAGCAGCATGGCAGTGCGTGGGCGAGTAGGATGATCGCGGTCGGGAATATCGTGGGGTATTTTGCGTATGTGCCTCTGCTCTATCTACAGAAAGTGGACATTGGCTGATGGGATGGGTGAAGCGGCATGATCGATCTGCGCAGTATCTTTGGTAATGCCCTGGGTGACTCGCAGTTTAAACAGCTGATGGTCCTCTCGGCGTTCCTGCTCATGCTGTGTGTCGGCATTACGTGTGCGTGCGTTACAGAGAGGGTGCTGCTGTCGAGAAGGGATACGGGCTCGGGCGTCGTGCATATGTTCCGTGTCATATGGAACACGATGTTTCATCTGCCGAGGAATATCTGGGCCATGTGAGTTTCCCTTCGAACGAAGAGGTGGATTGACTGCTAATGATGATGTAGATGCATAATCCTCTTTTGGGCCTGGGTAGGCTGGTTTCCCTTCCAAGTGTATAGCACCACCTTCGTGGGCGAGGTTCTCAAGCGTTACGACACTTCCTACACATCCACTGGCTCATCCGACGACAAACTCGGCGAGATCGCGCGAGTCGGCTCCATGGCGCTCGTGCTCTTCTCCTGCGTATCCCTGGTCGCCTCCATCTCCCTCCCATGGGTGATCGAGGCACCTCCCAGCGACACACTGCACAAGAAGCCCGTGCCGACCTCCAACAGCACCGTAGCCCGGTTCCTGCGCTGGGTCGAGCTGCGAAAACCCGAGCTCACATCGGTCTGGGTGTGGGCGCACGTATCGTTCGCAGGGCTGATGTTCCTGACGCTATTTGCGGCGAGCGTCGGCTTCGCCACGTTCCTGGTCGCGCTCAGCGGCGTGGCCTGGGCGCTGATGACCTGGGCGCCGTTCTCGATCGTCGGCGAGGAGATCCAGCGGCTGAGTGGCGACGGGCTCGCGCATCGCCGCCCGCGCTCAGGCCTGTACGAGCCAGTCGCGGTCATGGACGAGGACGCCGACGCTGTCGAGATGACAGGCCCCTCCTCCGCCTCTGGCTCGCCGCACCTCGCAAGACCCGTCGACCTCGAATCCGCATCCGTCTCGAGCAACGAGTTGTCCGGCGTCTAGTATTCACCCCACTCTCTCTTTCCAAGAACTCGTGTACTAACACCCCCCAAGCCTAGGAATCTTGAATATCTTCGCCTGCCTCCCGCAAATGGTCGGCTCATTCATCAGCTTCATCGTGTTCTCGCTGCTGGAGCCAGGGAAGAGCCCCGAGTTCTCGGACGACAAGGAAGCCATCGAGCCCCCCGAGGGCGGCGTCAACGCCATTGCTGTGTGTATGGGTATTGGAGGCGTGTGTACCCTCGTCGCCGCACATTATACGGTCAGGTTTAAGACGGGGTATCAATAGTATGGGAAGGGAAGGGTGGATGGATGGATAGAGGGCGTTTAAATCTTTAAAATCTTTTTGTAACTACGGTTTGGTGGCGAATTTATTGTTTTTGGGTTATTGTGAAGAGAGGGTGGGAGGGTGCTCTGCTCCAGCTTTGCAGGTGCGCATGTACTCTAAGTGGTCTTATCTGTCCTCACTTCTTTCGCCCGCCTCATGGTGGATACCTCCTGTCACAGTGAGGGAATCTATGTCGTTTCCAGACTGAGAAGGCGTGTGTAGACATGAATAAGCTCGGGCAGGTCGGATGAGGCCTCAGATTATGAGTGATGCGTTGCGCATAAAACGGCGGAAGTCGCCAGTTCAGTTTTTACCTAATGCCTACCGTGCATGATAAGCCCGGCTCATCGTTTGCATACTTTGCCTCTGAGATACGGAGGTGTTGTATGAAGTGTAGGTACAGTCCTGACGTCCCGGCGATTGAGCTCCGAACCCAATTCGGGCTGCAGCTTGGCGGTAGTCAAAAAACGGAGCTAGAGGTGGGGCAGGACAGGCAAGGCGGGCAGCAGGCAGACAGGGGACCCATAGTTTTGAGAAGCGACCCCACCAACCTGACCTGCAGAAAGATTCTCTCGACTCAATCGCAACCTCAGCACCCCGCGCTGTCTTCAAGATGATCACTATAAGTGTGTTTCCCCACCGCCATTGCTCCTTTGGGAACTGTCACTGACGCGAGCGAAACCACAGAGGTCCCCTGCTCCTCCGCCAACATCGGTACCCACCCCTCCAGTCCAGCTTCGGGGGGCCAGCGAACCTCTAACCAACTCAAGCACGCCAGGTCCCGGCTTCGACGTCCTCGGGATAAGTCTATCGATCTGGCTGGAGCTGCAGGTCACGTACGACCGCAGCGTGGCCGCGTCCACCTACCCGCTCAACTGCAAGCTCAGCTACGAGGGCGAGGGCGCCGACCACGTCCCGCTCGATGCGGACCACAACCTGATTACGCGCACCGCGCTGTACGTCCTGCGCTGTCACGGACAGCGCGCGTTCCCGCTCGAAACCCGCGTCCACGTCATCAATCCCATCCCGCTAGGCCGCGGACTCGGATCCAGCGGCGCGGCGGTCGTCGCCGGTGTGCTGCTCGCCAACATCACGGGTGAGCTCGGACTTGACAAGGACCGTCTGATGGACTACTGCCTCATGATCGAGCGGCACCCCGACAATGTCATGGCGGCGATGATGGGTGGGTTCGTGGGCTCGTACCTGCGCGAGCTCGACCCGGTGGATATGGAGAGGAAGGAGATCCCGCTTGCGGAGGTGCTGCCGGAGCCGGCGGGCGGCGAGGATACCGGACTGGAGCCCCCGGAGCCCCCCGTTGGCATCGGTCACTACATCAAGTTCGGGTGGGCGAAGGAGGTGAAGGCGATTGCGATCATTCCGCAGTTCGAGGTCTCCACCGCGGTTAGTAGGAGTGTGCTGCCAAAGATGTACTCGGCAAAGGATATGGTATTTCTTCTCCTCGGCTAGTAGATCGGGAAAGTGGCTCATCATGGGATAGATCTTTAACCTACAGCGATTGGCAGTGTTGACGACAGCACTCACCCGCTCCCCGCCAGACGCCGAGCTGATCTACCAGGCCATGCAGGACAAGGTGCACCAGCCCTACCGCAAGACTCTGGTTCGTCTCCGCTTTCCCACTCCGACGATCGATCACTTACAGGTGTACCCTTAGATCCCCGGGCTCCCAGAAATCCTGGCCTCGGTCACTCCCAAGTCGCACCCCGGTCTCCTGGGAATATGTCTTTCCGGTGCCGGGCCCACGATCCTGGCCCTGGCTACCGACAACTTCGAGGGTATCGCCAACGAGATCCTGGCGCGCTTCAAGGTGGAAAACATCACCTGCGACTGGAAGCTGCTGGAGCCGGCCCACGAGGGTGCGCAGGTCATCCATTCGTAGAGTAAAAAGTCGGGGACATGGTCAAAATAGAATAATGTGGGTCTTGGCGTATGTGTGCATCTAAAAAAGCGTGGGATCGTTGCAACATTACAATTACATTGTGTATTCCTCTGATATTGTGATAATCTGCTATTTTGCGAGAACGCTGGATATTCGCAGGGCTAGATCCAAAATCTGCAGATGCTCGTCCGAGCCGTCGGCTAGACGCTTGTCGATTTCAGAGAAGATGAGTACTATCTCGTTCTTCTGATCTGCCGTCACCACGTCGTCGTAGACCAATCTGTTGTAAAGCTACCCAGCCAGTCAGTTGGTATCATCCCCTTGACGACGGAGCGTGAAGGCGAACCTGGATCACCACCTGCGAAGCATTCCACCCGTCGGCCACCATATCCTCCACCATCTTCGCAATACCGGTATACACGCCCCCTCTAGCCTTCGGATCGCACGCCTTCAGCAGACGATCGATAACCTCATCCGGAATCACACCCGCAATCTCCTGTATCGAGCTAACCGTGACCACCTCGGACACAGCCTCACCCGCGCTCTCCTCGCCGCTATCCATATCCACATCACCCTCCGCATCCGCAAACTTCCCCGGATTATGCAGCTTCGCAGCGGACTGCAGGTACGTGATCGCCCTCCGCAAATCACCATCCGACACCTTGATGAGGGCATCGACCACGCCGTCCTCCATCTTGACGCCCTCGAGCGCCGCAATCTCCTCGATCCTTGCCTTCGCATTCATCGAGTCCAACGGCTTGAACCTGAACTTCGAGCACCTACTGGCCAGCGGGTCGATGATGCGCGTGACGTAGTTGCAGATGAGGCAGAACCTTGTGATGCGCGAGTACGTCTCCATGGTGCGGCGCAGCGCCGCCTGCGCATCCTGCGTCATCGAGTCCGCCTCGTCCAGGATGATGATCTTGTACGGCGGACACGGGTAGTCGCTGCTCTGCTGCGCCGTGCTGGTCGACACCGTCGTCCGCGCGAAGTTCTTGACCTTCTCCCGCACGATCGAGATGCCGCGCTCGTCCGAGGCGTTGAGCTCAAGCACTCGCGTCTTCATCAGCTCGGGCCCGTAGAGCTCTTTGGCTAGTGCGAGCACCGTCGACGTCTTGCCCGTGCCGGGGGGTCCGTAGAAGAGCATGTGCGGCAGGTTGTTGGATTGCAGCGTGCGCTTGAGAACCGTGATCGTGTGGTCTTGCGCCGTGACATCGCTGAGGGATTTGGGTCGGCTGTGCAGGGCATGGTTAGACGTGAATGGGAATGTGAATGGGACTGGGAGGGGAGGCTCACTATTTCTCTACCCAGGGAACAAGGCGGGCGGAATTCTTGGGGGCGGTGGATGGGGCTGCGTCTTTGTCGGCAGCAGCGGCGGCTTCTCGCCGTGCTTTGAGATCGAAAAAGGAGGCCATGGTGTGTGCTGATGTTGGATGAGGAGGAGGTGGTGGTGAAGAGGTGGTAGAGTGTGGTAGTGGTGGTGATAGAAGTAAAATGAGTAGACGCGACGGGCTGCAACGACGCGCTTGTTGGCGAGACCACAGACTGACAAGCAGGGATCCGTTCCCCTCGTGCAGCTAAGTACTATACTTACGCAACCACCAACATCCGATTCCCTCGTCCCGTCCCCTCCGAGTTCACCACGACGCCCACTACCACGAATACTGCCCTTCCTACGCAAAGAGACATAACACAGCTCTATGATTCAATGAGCGATGTCGAAGCCTCTTCCCCTTCCTCTTTCTCGTCTTCCTCTGTCGCCCCAGATGCTCCGCCGCACATCTCCACGGCCGACAGCAACAAGGCTCATCTCACGCAGAAACGCAAGGAGTTTCTAACCCACATGCTTCGAAGCTTTGATATCATCACATACGCGCATCTATCATATCTATACTTCATGGAGTACCGTGCCCTGGATCCACATCTCATCTCCCAGCTAGCTGCTGACGCACCGACCAACAGCTGTAGCTTTCTTCGCTTCGCACTGCGCGCCATGATACAGTTCCTCTTCCTGACGCCGAAAATCATAAACCTCCCGCTACCGCCGCAAACACGGTCGCCAGTAATTGGTATTGCTGGAGGGTTTACGCTTTGTGTCTTGCTGCATCTGTGGGAGGCAAATCCCGCCGCGGGGGAGTTGACGCATGGGTACCTGCACGGCGGGTTGATCATAGATTTCATCGGGCAGAGTACTGTTTCCTACAGCTTCCTCCCGCCGGCTGGGCTAATGAGAAACAGAGGGCCCCATATCCAAGTGGCGACTGATATACGTTGATATCCTCGTCGTCCTGCTGCAGCTGTTGATGCTCACCCTGGTGATTACGAAGCAAGAGCTCGGCCCACCACCGGAAGAGGCGTCACCAGACACCAACGAGGCGGGTGATCCACCGCAAGATGTAGAGAGCGAGGAGCGTGGCGAGATCAGGCCTCCACCCGCACCAGCGCCGGAGTTGAGTCGGCTTCTTAATGACAACCACTCAGACGAGGGCGAGGAGAACCGAGACGAAGCGGTCGAGCTCGAGAGAAGGATGTTTGAAGTCACATCGGGGGAGTTCGTAGCGGTCAGCTTGGATGTTGTAGGGGCAGTAAGGAGACAATGGGCGGATGTTGCTGTTGCTGTTGCTGATGGGGCGGCATCGAGGAGTACAGGCGCAGCCGCCGCCCCGCCGGTGATCGCTGGGAGCGCGAGTGGGTGGAGGTCTGCGATTGCCGGCGCTACTAGATCTTGGTAACGATGAGATGTATTGCAGTCAGGCGTTTTGATTCGACGGGTGTACAATAATGGAGTTATGATCTTGATCAGTTTGTATACATATCGCGATGTGATGATCTTCAACAATGGCCGCGCTAGCTAGTGCTCAGCCCTATGCACGCGCAATCACTTGAAGCTCTCGAGTCTGTGGGGAGGTGTTACTTGACAGAAGCGTTTCTGCCCTCATGTATGTAGCAGTTAGATCTGGGGAACTGTTGCTGCTTTGAGAGAGCGTTCACCTTTCTGCCTCTATATCAAGGAAGATCAGCAAACACTGGATCTGATCGCTTGAAGAATTACCTGGTCGCGGTGGGCCAAAGTTGGTAGTTATGGATATAGAAGCGTTCTGTGAGGTGGGAACTGTGAGTCGGCCACACGAGTGAAGCGGACGGTGGGGTCGGTACCGACATCTACCAGGCGGGGCCGGTATACGAATATCCACCACCCATCGCTAACCGTCACCATCGCGATGAATATCTCCTTGTGATAATTCGATGCAACCGAGCTAACACTCGGTCTTGCACGAATTAAGACTCTTTCTTTCGTTCTCCCATCTTTCCTGCTTCATAGCTTGCGCATCTCGCACTAACAACGGTGTGTGTGGGTTACCCGGCCCAGCCTTCCCACACAGATCCCATCTGTGTGTGACTGCCTTCTGAGCCCCCGCACAATTCGGGTTTGGGCATCCGAACCAATCTAGCGCACAAATCCAGAAATCCTTCCCGCCGAACGAACAACGACGACGCCGAACGACAACCCAGCAAACCGACACCGACCCACCCAGCGACCACCCCCCCTACGACAGTGAGTTCATATCTCTCTCCGCGCCCCCCTCGCCCGCCAAAATACAGATCGTTGACGAGAAATTTTTGTTTCGATATTTAGACCTACCAAGATGCCGGAGTCCAACCACAGACGTATGTTTACCTATACTCGGGGAGGGCTATGGAGGGGTTCGAGTGTGTGGGAATTTGTGCTGATAGCTGTTTAGTATACGTTAAGGTGAGCACACACAACTTTCGAGATTCTTCCGAATGAGCGATGAGCCCCGACGAGCTTCTCCCGGTTTTTGCGGTTGATCAGGAGGTGGAATATCGACATGGCCAAACGCGTCGCGTGATCGGGGGAGGGGGGAAGCTTGGAGGAGCTCTGGGTTGGGGAGGAAGCTCGGCTCGGGAGAATGGGAGGAAGTGGAAGCGGAATGATGGAGACTGATGGTGGATTTCTTCGATACTCAGGCTCGCCACCTTTCGTACCAGCGGGGCAAGCGCAACACCAACCCCAGCACCTCTCTCGTCCAGATTGAGGGTGTCGCGACTCCCAAGGATGCCACTTTCTACCTTGGAAAGCGGGTTGCTTTCGTCTACAGGGCCAAGACCGAGAGGCAGGGCTCCAAGATTAGGGTGGGTTTTCTGTCCGGGAGCTGAATTGTGGGGAAGGAGGAATATGAGACTGATGGATGCTTCGGTATAGGTGATCTGGGGCAAGGTTACTCGGCCACACGGCAACAGCGGTCTCGTCCGTGCCAAGTACGACCCCAACAATCGTCCTCACGATGATGTTCGCACGCTAATGTTTCTTCTCTAGGTTCCGCAAGAACCTCCCTCCTGCTTCGTTCGGAGCTACATTGAGGGTCATGCTCTACCCTTCGGCCTTGTAAATGTGGGCTCGTCGGATAGATAGGTGTTCGGGAAAAGCAGTTTCACGATTCTTGTTCTTGTTCTGGGATTTCAATCGAGACGGTCTCCTCGTGTTTGTTCATGTGATTGCGTGATATCGATTGTACTATCTGTGAAGCTGCAATCACCATCTTCGGCGCCATGCGCTCAGGCTCACCTATTGAACAGACCCTTATCTGTGATGATTCCGAGAGACCACGGGGATTCTATGCTTGGATCCCCTAACTCTAAGCACCTCCAGCTTGCCCGTGGGTAGCTACATATGTGTAATACTGTTGCCCGTAACTGCTTGAAGTCCGATGTATTCCATTACACTACTCCACCTCTTCCCCGACTCATCCACGACGGCGTAGCGGGCCTCCACGCCAGCGGCCTATCCGTTTGCCTTGGTGCCATCTCGGTTGGGTTGTCCTTCCGCGGTCTGTCCTGCCATGTTGGCGCATCCCTGTTTGGCGGTTGTCTCTGTTGCTGGTGATCCGGCGTGCTCTGTTGATCTTGCGATGGGCCCCTCCGGTCACCACTGTACGTGCGCTGCTGATCTTGCGATGGGCTCCTCCGGTCACCAACGTACGTGCTCTGTCGATCTTGCGATGAGCCTCTCCGGTCACCACCGGGCGTGCGCTGCTGATATTGAGATGGGCCCCTCCGGTCATCACCGTGCGTGCTCTGCTGATCTTGCGATGGGCCCCTCCTGTCACCACCGGGCGTGCGCTGCTGATCTTGCGATGGTCCCCTCCGGTCACCACCGTGCGTGCGCTGCTGATCTTGCGACGGCCCCCTCCTGTCACCACCGTACGTGCTCTGTCGATCTTGTGATGGGCCCCTCCGGTCACCACCTTGCGAGCTCTGTCGATCTTGCGATGGGCCCCCCCGGTCACCGCCGTACGAGCTCTGCTGGTATTGCGATGGGATCCTCCGGTCACCACCGTGCGAGCTCTGAGCCGGTCTCCACTGCAGCTCAGCAACCCCGCCTCCTCTTCGATCGCCCACAAAACTCCTCGTACCCTCCACCTTAGGACTAAGCCTAGCATTCATGTCCTGCTCATCCCTCGCCTTGAGTGAACTAATCCTCTCCCGCGCCGCCGCCGACGCCAATGGCATCTTATCTGCAACGGACGCCCTCCTCGCATCCCTCGCATCTAGCATCGCCTCCATCTCCATTTCCGCATTCTTGGCATCCCTCTCCTTCAGGACCATGAACTTGTCGACGCCCCTCTTCACCTCTGCCATCAGCTCCTCCCACGGCGCAGAGACAACTTTGTAAACGGGATGATACACCAACGTCCCGACTATGCCCCCGCGCCCGCCCTCCTTCATCCGGTTCGCGACCGGGAGCGCACTGCCATCCTCACGGTACCCGAACTCTGCCAGCGCCAGTCGAGTCGCCTCGCTTATCCGCCGCCGTATGCGATCGCGAACGCAGTTGGACTTGTGGGTCGCGACGCCCACGACCACGTAGAGATTCAGCTGTGTCTGCCGTGCTTCGTAGCGGGCCACTGTGCGAGCGTGCAATGGGTGCATGCGGTTACGGAACGGGATCTCGTTCACGACGGCGAAGGGCTTGGCGCTGCCGCGGAGCAGGAACAACGGCGATTTGAGGAGGACCGGCCCGCGGAAGTAGAGGAGCGATATTGGTTGGTGCATCTTGCCGTGTGCTGGTAATGAGGATGGAGATCGCGGTGATGTGAAGGGGTGCTCGACGCACGATGCTCTTTCGCTTTTTTTCTTAGCGCGATTGAGGACAGACCCCCCACAATCATATCTTGGCGACTGCGGGGTTGTTAGTTGCATGCAGTCATGGCATATGCCTCACGGGACGACGCAGCCAGGCAATGCCTTTTGGACGAAATTATATACCTCTCCTGAAGGCTGTTCAAGGCGATAGCGACACCTATAACAGTAGCAACTACTGCCTAGATGACACGAAAACCACGGTCCGCACAGCGCGAATCCTACCACCTTGACAATGCGATATTTACTGCGTTGTCGGCTCTATAGCCGACATAATATCTCCAGTATCCTCTTCGTTTGCAGTGATTTTAACCTTCCTCCCAGGACCGTGTGACGACAGCCTCAATGAGTCCTCCTAGAGTACCAACACAGCAACAGCGGGTCCGATAGCCCCCCACCCCGCCTTCTCATCGGTGCCTTTATACATCGGCTATTATTTCTTGTTAGACACGGTTTGCCCTTAGGCCCGATAGCGACCTGAACTTCTATTCCACCTTCAGTCTGCATGCATTCATAGGATCTCGGGAGTGCTCAACGATACGTCAGTCTCGCGGATTCGCGCCGTGCAGCGCCGGCACTGCCGCTTGTCCATCACTTGTAGTAGCGCTCAATACGCCATAGCCGCGCGATACGCTACCGAAAGCCGCGAGATATAACTGGCCACGTCGGGCTCAACCAATCTCGAGCGTCTCTACAGTGACATGTGAATCTTCATGCACTACATTGGTTCTTCTATCTTTCGCGGTGCTCGTACTACATACATCTACCAGCCTCCCTATTCGGGGATTCTCGAGATAGCCTTTGGATGATGTGCATGGTGCCCGAGCAGAAAAGGCATGAATTGACAGCGAACTTGAGAACTCGGGCTAACGAACGACAGCAGGACAGATATTACTGGTTACCGTCCAATAATATATATCGGTTATTGTCTTTTATCAAGTAGGTAAACAACGTTCACTGTCCTTTGAGTAAGTAAACGCTCCGTGTTGATTCTGGGCATCTACGGGCACTCGCAAATGCTTCTCCCCTACCTAGAAGGCACGGAAAACGATTGCTATCTTGAGGTCATGCGTTGGACTCTTTTTCTTCGGAGTGCCCAACTAGCAGAGAGCTCGATATCAAGAATATCAGGACTTTGGTAAAAGGCTAAACGAATGATTGCTTCATCAATAACTCGAGTGAAGGTTCAGCGCTTTTGAAGCATGTTCATCGGCATTGATTGCAAAGGTCTCAGCTCAGGGATTGCCAAATGACGTCTCTACATATGAGAGTGATTGAGGGTCATTCGCTTTGGGTCGGCAGAGGGGATTTTCACCGAATGGCCAGCTCCTTGCTTCTGCTTTGTGGAACAAGACCATCAGACTTTGGGATCCATCGACCGGAGCCTCGCGCGGCGCCATTGAGGGTCATTGTCATTGGGTCGAGGCAGTGGCATTTCCACCGGATGGGAAGCTCCTTGCCTCTGTCTCCGGTGATATGATATGTACCACAGTCAGGCTTTGGAGTATTACCTACGAAGAAGGAAGCTACGCAGAAAATTCACGCCGAAGGAGTCGTTCGCAAACAATCTTTCTCTTGCAATGGCCCGTATAATGTATTTAGAGAAGAATCGAGGGATACTAAATCTTACACATTGTGCTCACCACGAGGGCCAACCCTATTAGCCCAATTCCTCCAGCCATACACGTTGTACGGTATGTGCAGGATCATTGGGTGACGTGAGCGACTGAAAACGTCCTCCGACTTAAGTTCCTCTCGATTATCTATAGCACGATATGTGGCTGTTCGGTGGAACATTCTTGTAATGGCTATAGGCCATTCTTCTGTTGCAGTTATGTACAACACTTTTATGCAGTTTGACCCAGGTACCGTACTACCTATCCCTTTCGTGCGTCTTTCGGAGCTGATTACTTTCAATAACGGCCGTGCTTCTCACACTCACTGTGCAGCTCCAGTTCAACGGGGAACTTGATTATATGTGCCGTTTTCTGGAATTTACATATCTACTGTTTTTGTTTTCGGGTGGGAAAGTAAGGGTCCGTTTGGATGCACTCATGATCACTTGTCGGAAGGGGAGTCCATGGTTGAAGATATAAGCGGTACTGAGTGGTGGTAGTGAAGAAAAGACCTCCAGAGGTCAGTTCCCGTTTCGTCGCCGGAGCCGCACAGTTTCGGTTTTTTTCTCTCGGTTTTTGTACCATCCAAACAGGGTTACAATCTTGTTTGCTCAGTTTCTCGAAAAACTGACAATTTTCGCTAAAACTGAGGCCATCCAAACGGGCCCTAAAGTTCTGGTGAAGCCTACCTATTATTTGGACTTATGGCTGAGTATAAGATTTTCCGGAAGCTGGAATTGAACAGTATTCGGTGTCCCGGCGGGGAACTGAATTTGGCTTTAAAACTGGAACTGATGGATGCACGACGCTCATTCATTTTTTTAGCGTGATTGGGAACATTCCCCCACCAATCTTAGCGACCGCGGGGTTGCCAGTTGCCAGTGCAGTTACATTCAGTTCAGTCCAGCGTCGCACTTCGGTGACATCACCGACGAAACCCCACAAAGTATCTAAAATCTACTTCTTCTCCGCCGGCGGCGCCGCGGCAGCCACCTCCCCACAATTCTTGCACATTCGCACCTCCTCGTCCTCCTTGAACGCGTTGACCGCATCTTTGATCTGCGTACCAAGATCCGTGCAGTGGAACGCCGCCTCGTGCACAATCTTCTTGCACCCTTGGCAGTACCAGCGTAGGCGGTCAAGGCTGCCCTCCGGCCGCGGCTGCTCGATGACGATTCCGACCGTGTCTGCGAAGCGGACCGGGTTGTGCGGAGTATTCGCTTTTCCCGGTGTCAGCACCGGCACATAAATAGTACCATGCGGGAGCGGGACGAGGAGCAGCAGGAGGAGGAGCAGGAGGACGGTGTCGTACGTGGAAGTAAAAACATCTCCCCCTCGTTGATCCACAGATCCTTAAACTCGCCGTCGTCAACGACTTTGAGAAGCATCGACCCCTTGTATTGGTAGAACCACTCGGGCGTCTCATTGATGTGGTAGTCGTTGCGTGCGTTCGGTCCGCCAACGATCATCACCGTCATGTGTTCATCGTAGACGCAGTAGTTGTTGATCGGTGGCTGGAGGAGGTGGGAGTTCTTCTCCAACCTGCACGGTGGAGTCAGTGGTAGGTGGTGGAAACAAGAGGGAGGGGACGGGGACGGGGCAATGTTACCAGGCGGGGATGTTGAGGGGTTTCGAAAGCAGCATCTTGTCTCTGAGCGGGTGTGGGGTAGTTATGGGGGCGGGGCGGGGTCTGGGAAGAGAGCTGGACTGGAACTAAAAAGGGAGTTGTCCCACAGCTTTGCATAGAATCGGAATGCTCATTGCTCATCAACCTCGGCCATGCCATCATATCCCAAAACTGCTGCACTGATCACCCTACGCCGATTGCAGCCGTCATCCCGAATGCAGCGTCTCACCCGCCTCGTGTCGTCTGCACAATCCCACACCTCGCTGTCATGTCGTACCACCAATTCCCCCACCCTACCCCAAGCTTACCCCCCATCACCACCCAAAACCCCCGCAAAACAAACCAACCAACTAGAGTAGAATGTGCTCTATCTGCCTCACTTTTTACCCGGTCGTCTTCCCCTACCGGTACTTGGGGTCCGGGCGTCAGCGATAAGATGCCACCGCGCGTCGCCTTATCCTGGGGATAGTTAAGAGGTCCGTATCCCAACTCGCCTTCGACCGCACGCAAAACGACAGACGACAGACGACAGAAATGGACCACTCCCAACACCACCACGCCGCCAGCGCCGCAGGAATGGACGACGAAATGATGTCCATGCCCAACACTGGACACCGCTGCCAGATGTCCATGTGCGTCTCTCCCTCCAGCTCCCCCGCTCCCCAGCTCCCCCCTTCCCCTTCCCTCGCTGACGTGTCCGCAAAACCAGGCTGTTCACATGGAACACGCAAGACCTGTGCCTGGTCTTCCGGTGGTGGCACGTCTCCGGGCCGCTGTCGCTCGTCCTCTCGCTCCTCGCCGTAGTCGCGCTCGGCATGGGCTACGAGTACCTGCGCCTCGCCAGCCGACGGTACGAAGCGCGGTGCGCGGGATTATCCAGTAAGCACTCTCCCTGCCCCCCCTCTGCCGTGAGGCAGTTCCCGGGAAGAAGGAAGGAGGAGGAGGAATATCGCAACCCCCTTCTAATCCCCCGCCGTCGCCCTCCCCAGTTGCCGGAGATGAAAGCTCACCGCTGCTCCCCGCGTCCACAGTCTCGACCGCTGCCACCACCACCACGCGCCGCGGGAACCCGCGCGGACACGTAACGAAGGCGCTGTTCTACGGCGCCCAGGTGTTCTATTCCTTCTTCATCATGCTGCTGTTCATGACGTACAATGGCTGGGTGATGATCAGCGTGGCGGTCGGAGCGGTGCTGGGATACCTCGTCTGGGGCGCCGAGGCGAGTGTCGAGAAGAGTGTTGCTTGCCATTAGATACCGTTGGGGGGAATGGCTTGCCAGGGTGGATGGGTGGACGAGCGGAAGTGCGGATATGGGGGGAAAATATGGCTGTATCTAGGGAACTGGTTCGACTTTTTCTTCCACGAATGTTCCGCCGATCAATGAGGCGTCTGCGGTCTGGTGCCTGGTCCCTGGTGAGATGTACCCCACACTGGACCCGCCGGCAGGTTACCAAAGACTAGTGGAAGCCTGTTTGCTTGTCCGCCCGTCCGTTGCAGTAGGGCTTAGCTCGCCGGCAACGTGGGCGAAACCGCGAACCCATTTTGTCACTCAACCAGCATACTCTGCTTCACAGAGAACGCAGGATCGTGCAATCAATCCGCACCACCGCTCATTCGTCCCATTCCATCCAATATTTTTTTTACGAGCGACGCGGAGCAGACAGAGTAGACATCAACATCGAATAAAATAAAAACCACTTGCAAAGAAGACGAAAGATTCCAGATTCCAGCCAACCGTTACGATAAAAAAAGAATTGAAAACGAAAAAGAGCAAACTAAAAAGGGCCACAGAGAAATAAAGTTCACATTACGAAGGAAAACAAAAAACAGAGGCTTCTAACTGGCCCCTACCGAAACCCGTGTGCGCCTTGTGCTATGCTGATTTTTTACAACTTGTTGGGAACTGTGCTCTGCACTGGCCATTGGTAGCCGGCGGGATCGTTGAACTTGTAGCCGTAAGACGCGGTGAAGTCGTCGAGAACCGCAGGTCCACGTGATCCTGTAAAGTCAAAGTCAGCGGGGTGATGTCATGGCGGCATTTCTAATGGATTCATACCGTAGGGGTACTCCATGGGGATAATCTCCTTGTTCTCGTCAAGGTAGTGCAGAAGAGGCGTGAAGATCCTCCAACTGGCGTCGAGCTCGTCGTCACGGACAAAGTTGGAGTGGTCTCCCTTCAGAGCGTCCAAGATGAGCGCCTCGTACGCCTCAGGGATTTTGAGATCGCTGAACCGGCGTCGGTATGTGAGATCCAACTCGGTGACGGCCGTCTGCATGCTCAAACCGGGCAGCTTGGAGTTCATCTTAATATAGACACTCTCGTTGGGTTGCACACGGATGACCAGCTCGTTCCGGGGAATGTCCTTGAAGATACCGCTAGTTACGTCCTTGAACTGGATACGGATCTCGGTCTTCTGCTCGTTAAGGGCTTTGCCGGCCTTCAAGATGAAGGGGACACCATCCCATCGCTCGTTCTTGATGTACACGGCGAGTGCGCAGAAGGTCGGGCACCGAGAGTCCTTGGGAACGGTGTGGTCATCGATGTAACCGGGTTTGCTTCCGTCGAGCGACTTTCCGTACTGTCCAATGATGACGTTCTTGGGCTCGATAGCCGGGATACCACGAAGCACGCGGACCTTAATCGAAAAAATTAGCTACAGCACCGAGAATCCCACCGGTGGGAAAGTGCCTCACCTTCTCGTCGCGGATATCCTCGGCGGAGAACGAAATCGGACGTTCCATACCGATGATCGTCAATACCTGCAGCAGATCTACGCAGTGTGTTAATACGCTGAGTTGGACGCGTACATCGGAGAAACTCACGGTTCTGCATGACGTCACGAATAATACCAAAGTCGTCGAAATAACCTCCACGGCCTTCCGTTCCGAATGGCTCCTTGAATGTAATCTATATCCGCGGGCGTCTTCAGTCTGTGTTCATCGGATCTGATGGTGGCCGGAAGGAAAACAAACCTGGACATTGTCGATGTGGTTGCGGTTCCACGTCGCGCCGAAGAACTCGTTACCGAATCTCAGGATCAGAAGGTTCTTCACCATCTCCTTACCCAAGTAATGGTCAATGCGGAAGATTTCCTCCTCCCTCCAGTCCGGCTCCAGGGCCTTCTGCAGCTCCCTCGATGATTGCAAATCACGTCCGAACGGTTTCTCGACCTGTTCGAAGTCTCAGCATACCATCCCGCCGCTGGCCAGCCACGTCCAGGAAGAAATCATACAATCAAACGAGCAATGCCCCTATCGGGGTAGCAGTTCTTCTTTAGGTGCTGCGACACAGTCGTGAACACGCTCGGGGGCAGCGCCATGTAGAAAAGGCGGTGGTTTTCCGGCCGTCCTTTCTCAAGCTCGTTCAGGTGGTCCCGGAGCCGCTGGAATGACTCGTCCTGATCGTACATGCCCGAGACGTAGGTGCATCTCGTCAAGAACTCGTTCAACTGGTCTTCCATCTCCTTCACGGGTGTCTTGATGTATGATTTAACTCGGCTGTGGTACTCCTTCTTGTCCATTTTCGTGCGCGCATATCCGACGATACGGCAGTCCTTGGGAAGGAAGTTGTGTCTGAACTGTCATTGGTGTTAATTTGGGACGTCCGAAGAATCGCTTGTCAGCTGTGCGTGGATGATGTCACTTACCAGACCGAAAAGCGCTGGGAACTGGGGGGTACACCGTCATTAGATTAAGTTCTTCAGCCTGTTACATCGATTGAGAACCCACAGTCTTCTTCTTTGCGAGATCGCCGGATGCGCCGAGAACGACGACGATGGTATTTTCCTTAAGCTCCAGTGTGCTGCGGAGGGGTCAGCCCAATGTGCTTGCGGCTCGCCAGCCGAGAGCGGCCGCGAAGTGAATCATCGACGCAAATGATCGATGGATCCCTCGCAAAGGATGAAGGACGAGGGGGATTCGAGTAGCTAGCACGACGGTGGCGCGATTGGGACATTGGTGGCACTCACCCAGCATTGGCAGGGACATCGGGGTGAACGATCGTGTCCGTCATCTTGGGTCGCTGTCTCGTCGTTTCTCTTCTGTTTTATGGTGTAGTGTTAAATGGGGAGGTTCCTCCGTTGTATTTGTTTAGCGGGTAGTTAAGGTGGGTGGTGGCGGGGGGTGGCAGAAGAAAAGAGACTCTGGGAACTTAAGGGAAGGTTTGTTGTTAAGTGGATGCCGTCAGAGTTGGGAGGAGAGGCGGAGGGGGAGGGGGAGGAGGGGTAAGACAGAGCGAGCGGGTTTCTTCTACTTCTTTTGCGGAGGGAGGGGGGCTCAAGAAGCTAAATGGAACGTAGAAAGGGCCACTCCGTGTTGCTCATCAGCCTGACGAATTCAAGCAGCGTTTCAAGCACTTGGCGCGGCGCTGCATCTTGGACCTTTCTGTTTATAAATCGAGAAGCCCACCCGCCTGAACTCCGATCGTCGACCGATGTCGCGCACCGGCATCCCGGCGAGTCCAGCAATGGCCATCCAGCCAACTCCTCAACGGCAGCGAATTTGGAGCGGAATGAATATTATCTATTCTATCCTGTAACTCCATCAGGCCTCCTCCAACAACTTTGCAATAGCTGGAGTAGGTGGTCTAGGAGGGAGTGAGGGAGGGAGGGCGGTATGCGATTGTTGTGGTGTTGGTGTTGCTGGTGGTGGTGGTGGTGCTGGTGGTGGTGGAACATGCGGACGTTGGCCGTAACCCCACCATCCATGGCCGTACTCCGTGAGATCAGGAATCTGCGACTCTACCGATTTACAAGAACACGAGCTCGAGGAATTTCCGCACGTAATGGAAACAGCCAGATGGATTAGGCAGTCGTGACCTTTCCGTCGAGACAATCTTCACGATGGCTGTGGAACGTTGTTCAACGCCGTAGTAGACGACTGATGAATACGAAGCTCGATTCCGAGTATCTACCTATCAACACCACCACCACCACCGAGTCGACTGCAATGCTTCTACCCCCACAACTGAGCGGGTATCGAGCCCAATAAGAGGGGGGAATAGAAGCGGAAGCGCCTCATTTTTCGTTCCGAATTCCGGCAGCGACTGCTAATAGCCAAACGTAACGCTGTGGAGTATCACGATGTCTCACGCATCACAAAACCTGTTGGTCTTCCCCTTGTCCTCCCTCTTACGATCCAGGCTGAAATTCTGCATGGTTCGGTGAAATCATGCAACGCGTTTTGGCATGCCCACGCACGCTGTCCGACCAGTTCGGCACATTGCACTGGCGAGCTTTGCAGTAGGCCTCTCACGCTACCCGCGGCCGCTCTGCCCGATTTCACATCGTCGTCGGATGGCTACGACATGGACGGTATCTCCGCGCCGACATCTCCGCGCGCCCACATCTCCGCGCCGATGGCCTGGACACGCCAGCCCTGAAGCCAGTGCCGCCGATTTTCCCGGGCTTCTTCCGCCCGCCCAACAAAATTAAAACGAAGCGAAAGTGCTTACCCAACCCCCGCCCCGATGGATGAAAACCCTTCTTCCCTCCTCCTCCTTCTCCTCCCTCCCCCGATACCAGAATATGTCTCACCCGACGACGGCTGGCAGCGGCTACCCGCGCCGTTAAGACATGTGTATGTGAAGGTTCCTTCTTGCAGAGCTCCAATATTGCACGGCATCGCTGCAGCGATATATATCACCGCAGTGCAGTCCGACTGTGTTTCCGGGTCATAAAGGTATACCCAGCGTCGTGTCCTGCATATACGCCGACCATGTAACATGCATATCATGTATCCTGGCTTGCACTATCTTCTGGAAGGATTTGAAGTTCGAGTTCTTCTGGTGCTAACACGGTCAGAATAGCCTCGAAGTCCCTAGCAAGCATTACGTAGGATTATGTACTCACCTTTTCCAAGGGACACATAATCCGGCGGGGGTAGACAGGGACAACCAGCCCACGGGCTCGCCGCTACACCCGGGCCCGCACATCGTCACCTCGTCACCATCTCCACTCCTCTTGCAACGTGATACTCGGGCTCTCGCCGCTTCAGCCGCCCAAACCTGCCCAAAACCGTGGTCAGGGCTTCTGCCATTTTCCATTCAGTTATTCAACTTCTCGACAAAGTCCCGGTACTTTAGGCAAGAAGAAAATACCCGGAGGTGCATGAGTTCCCCTCACTCCGTGACACATGGCTCCGGAGCACCCAGAAAGTTAGAGAGTGAGAGAACGTCAATTTATCGTCGCATAACACCCACGAAGTGCCTGAAGTATGTATCTGGATCGCATTAACTTCAGGTGGGAATAGTTTGGTGTTCGTTGCAAGTGTGATATTAGCCTGTCTCCGAACAATTTGCACATGCAGGTTCGATAGTGTACAAAACCGACAAGGTGTTATGAGCGAGAGATCATCAATTTATTCGCATACAGCATTTCTAGACTACCTATGACGAACCAACTTAACCAAGCCTTTCCTGCCCACTCTACAGAGGGTCCACTATGTACCATACAGTCCGCTGCGGCGCCGCTGTGTAGACAGAGTGACATGACAAGCAATTTTATCTCCAGATTTCATCGTCGAGTGCTTCGCCATGATTCTCCGACCGCTAGCGTCTTGGCAGGTTGCTACCGCGCCTTAAGACCTCTGGCGCGTCTGATTACACTCCCGGCACAACCAACCATGCAAGCACTCCAGATCCCGACTGTGACAATTGTGAGCATCCAAGCCCCCCTCTCTTCTTCATCCATTGACCTCGGTCGGCTGCTGATAAGCGATAGCATGACTTAGCCGCGTTCCACCACAGCCACCTCTGCCAAAGCGCCGACTTCTCGACCTGCTCGCCGCTCTGCGATGCCGACAGCGGTGATGTGGAGGAGGTCTTCGAGGAGCAGGAGGAACAAGATGACTTGGTCTACTATCCAGACGGAGTGAAGCGCACGCTAACGGACGCGCAAGTCGCCATGTTCCGCTTCTCGGAGATCCAGCAGCTCTTGAGTCAGTACTTCCCCGTCCCTCGCTCAGTACCTTGAACGGACAGCAGACAGCCTAACGTCCGCAGAACAGAAACGCCGTGAAGACGAGCTCGCCGCCAAAAAACGCAAGAGGAAGCGCGACGACGCAGATGTCGATCCGTCGGAGATTCCCCAGCCAGCTCGCGTCTCCCGCGAAGACGTGAGGAAGAACCGCCTCGAGGCCGCGCTGTGGGCCGCGAAACATGATTGGGATGTGTTCGGAAATCCGGTAGATGCGCCTACTGAACCGGGGGAGTTTGTGGCGGAGGTACAGGGTGATGCCGAGTCAGGGAAGACTTTCCTGTGGCCGAAAATTGAGCAGGATTGAATGCGCGGCCCTTTGATTTGGTGGTTTGTATTTGAAGCCCGTTCTTGAGTTTCGGGTGATTTGTGAGGCCGAGGTAGGTTGTGTTTGGAGGCTCACCATAAAATGTTGCCTTGAAGTAACTTGCCGTCGTCTAGAACTCTTTATATTTGACATTACCCAACTTTAAACTCATCCTGGAAGCTCCAGCAAGCTGTCAGTTGTTGATTTCTTTAGCGCGTGATAATTCCCCATTTCGGGTCAAGTCCGTCATGGTTACCCTCGGAGTACACACCAAATTTAGTAGTATTCGTTTACCCTGCAGCCGTGAGCTATCTACTGAAGCTGTTGCATTGCTCCCAGCATCCACCTCAGTCAATAATCATACTTCCCACGCACCCGTTCTAGAATGTCTACCGTCAAGGGCGCCACAACCTTCAAGAAGAAAGATGGGGTCCTCCAGCTCAACCGCGACATCGTAACATGGAGCCCCTCCGTGCCCGCGAACTCGCCGCCCACAGTCACGATCCAGGTGGGCAACATCGAGAGTACTTTTTTTTGGAACCTCCCTAGCCAGCTATGGAGCGCAGTACTGATCCCGCGCAGATCTCCAAGCGACGCCCGCCACCTCCGCCAAAGTGATGATCAAAATCTTCACCAAGGGCGAAGGCGGCGAGTCCTACGTATTCGGCTTTACGGCCGCGACCGCGCGCGCAGAAGCCGACGCGATGAAGGACGCCCTCGGCGCCGCGATCCAGGCGCACAAGGTCGGCGCGCAGACACCGTTGGGCTCCGGCGGGGCGTCGTCCGCGATGATGGCATTGACTACCGCGGGAACCACAACGGGCGGCAGTGATCTGTGGAGCGAGGCACGCCTGGCGGAAGACATGGCGCTGCAGATGTCGCTGCTGAAATCTGACTCCGCCCTGAGCAATACTTTCAAGGAGGCGGTCATGTCCGGGTCGGTCACGAGCGAGCAGTTCTGGTCCACGCGGATACATCTGTTGCGCGCGCACGCACTCGAGAAGTCCCAGATCCGTGGGCCGTACAATGTTCTGGCGGCTGTTAGGAGCACTACGGTGGATGGCGTGGCTAGAATTTCGCTCTCGAGGGAACAGATTGCGGATATTTTCTCGCAGCATCCGCTGGTTAAAATTGTGTACGATGAGAATGTCCCAAGAGTGTCGGAAGACCAGTTCTGGAGCAGGTTCTTTCTGAGTCGATTGTTCAAAAAGTTGAAGGGTGATAAGCTGCTGCAGACGGATCCGACGGATACGCTGTTCGATCGATATCTTAATCGAGACGATGAAGGTAACTGCTATGGTGCTCACGGTACATGGAATGGGATGGTTAAACATGAATAGATAACTCCAGGAAGCGGAGAAGGATCGATTATGTTCCACTCACCATCGATCTGGCAGGAAATGAACAGAATATCACCAAGGTTTGTTGGACTCGAGGGATAAGTCATGAACATACGCTAACAAACGTAGGGAAGGGGAAATGCTCCGGACATGACCATGCGGCCATCACGAGTGGAGAACACTCCTATTATACGCACCCTAAATAGTCTGAGCCACAAACTCGTTGACCTCGTAGCCCCGTACGTATCTCGTGCCGCGTGCCCATGACTAACCCTACTAACCTCAAAACAGAGCAGACCCAAACAGAGACGAAGACCAGGATGAGCACTATATCCAAGAGCAGAGGCTTGCCGACCTCGGCGGGGACATGGAAGAAGAACGAATCATACTGAACATCCAAGACCAACGCAACTTCTTCTCGAACGAGCAAGATGACGGGGGTAAAGGCCAAAACAAGTTTGCAGGAATGGATGCCACCGTGGCGTTGGAAGGCATGATCCGGGACCTGGGAACCAACCACTTCGACATATCTGACATCCTCCCGAACGAGGAGGACGAGGACATGGAGGACATGGACGGTACAGCCACGGCGCGGAAGACCAGCTTCCACCTCGCCACAAAACAGGTGACCGAGGCGGTGCGGGACCGCACATCCCAGATGATCTCTGTTGGGGCCGCCGGCACCGCAAGCTCGCTATTCGCTACCACCGGCGGCCTGCCGCGTGAAGTCTTCGAGTCCGTCCAGTCCGTGCACGCAACCACAAACGAGTTTCTCCACCACTTCTGGCTCGCCTTCCTCTCCGGCGACGAGAAGCGCGCAAAAGACATTAACAGCATGGTCTCCAGTCTGCGCAAGTCGAAAGACAGAATTGAGGCTGTGGCGATTACTGCAGAGGAGCAGAAGGAGGTCGAGAGGGTGAAACGCAAGAGGGATCTGCACGAGGAGTACAAAAAGACTGGTATAAAGCCGAAGAAGAAGGATATGGAGGTTGGCGGTGGCAGGAAGGTCGTTGATGAGATGCTGGCGCCCACGCTGGTTGCAATTGAGAAGGCGCTCGTGAAGTACGAGAGTGCGTTGGATGAGGCGGAGAAGTTGGCTGCTGCGGCGTAGGGAGTTTGGCTGGTATTACAGGCGTTTGGGAATCTTTAATAGACTGCATGTACCGGTACCTCACGAAAGAAGTGCTCGGAGGGAGACAAACCATTCCCGTTCCCCGAGGATGGATGCTTGTGAACTGTGTGCTCGTTCCGATGTCTAGACCCCCGGTTGCACGCTGCCGGCCGGATTTCAAACGCCTTGCTTTAGCTCTGCTGTATTGAAACTGAGAAAAGAACTTGAATTGATTGATGTAATGCTACGAGAAAGATGAGAAAGGAGACTGCTTATAAGAGAAACGAGCTCGTTGTTTACACAAGCTGAAGCCGTAGACAGAGGATGCGGCGATACATAGTAGCCGTCGCCGGACTCGGGCTAGAGGCTTATTCTGGTGAGAAGCCAGGGACAATCCTAACAAGCCACGAAGCCATCCAGACCATGAAGGCTGTATGCGGCGATGCAAAAGGGACAAAGGGCATAGAAAAGTAGCAGTGACACCGGAACAGGCAATAAAACGCATCATATCAACGTGCGGGTATTCGCCGTGACCGAGTGACGGGTCCTGACTCTGTAATCCACGCAGTTTGCGCAGATCGCGCACGCCGCGCAGTTTGCGCACGTTGAGCGGGTCGCGCACTTCGCGCAGTTCGCGAAGCAGATTTATAGAATTTTACGCAAGTTCCGCACGTCGCGCAGTTCGTGTAATTCGTGTAGTTTGCGCAGTTTGCGCAGTTTGCGCAGTTTGCGCAGTTTGCGCAGTTTGAGCATTTCGCGCAGGCCGCAAAGCAGAATATTGTCGCACAGAATCAATAAAGTCCCACAGCCAGTAGTGGGGTCGGGCCACTTCTTATGGCGTCAATCATGTCTGATGTTAATGGTACATAGGACGGTGAAGTCCAGTACATCTCGCATTTGCTACATAGATACTCTCAGTGTGCATCTGCATCCCCTCTCTTTCACCCACACAACACCCATTCTCAGTCTATGATACATCCTCGTCCACTGCCCACCGCAGGTTTTATACAGAACTCAACATGCTCACGTTTTTATACCACCCTAGCAGCGGATTCTCTCCACAATTCGTCTGCGTCTCCTCGAGGTAGGCCCAGCGACTCATAAAGTCCTCATGCTTCATGACCCTCGTCAGCTTCCCCGTGAGTGCCTTGTACATATCATCCATTACGTCGAAATCCGTCGGGAAGAGGATATCGAAGTAGCCTTGCTGGACCTGAGTGTGCGGAGAGTGGTTAGTTAGCGGATGCGTGGCGGGAGGGAGGGCGGGAGTGGGGGAACTTACGAAGGGCGTGGTGACAGCGATAGTCTCCCGCTCATACCGAGTCTGGACCACAGGGCTGTTTACCCCGCTGACAGCGTCGGGGAGACTGGAGAAGTCACTCATGACTAGGCGGTGGGCTGGGAAGCGCTCGCGGAGGACATCGAAGAACATCATTGCCTTCGTTGGGATGTATTCTGGCACAGTGAGGTTTGAAGATGACGGGAGAAGCTGCTTGAGCCTCCGCACGATCTTGGGGGTGTTGAGGGGGTGTTGGTAGTCGCCCTGGACAACATGATCCCTAACGCGCAGGAAGCGCTCCGCGACTGGGTCAAGGTGCGGCGTGTAGAAGTCGTGGAAATCTCCGTCTTGATCGCAGAGGACTATTCCCTGGTACGGCACCTCGGTCTCGGGATGGTACCGGATCATGTCGTGGGCGAAGTTATCAAAGACTTCGAGGGCAAGAAAGAAGCACGGATCAGGGACGTATGTGTCCCAGTCGAAGACACTCTTGTTCACAATCTCGATCTTGTCTGCGTGTCCCTGTGCGTCCGCCTGTTTCCGCTGCAGCCCTGCGAGGTGCTCTGAGATCTCGATCACCTTGTAGCGGGTGCGCGCGTACACCTCTGGATCGCTTTCACGGATGTAGTCGAGCACGTTGGACATCATTGTTCCGTTTCCAGCTCCCATCTCATAGATGATCAGGTCTCGGTACGGGTATAGGGACAGTTTGTAGTTGGTGACGAGGTACCGCGCGATGGCCTCGCCGTAGTAGGGCTTAAACAGCTCCGTAGGTGTATGCCACAGCTGCCGTAGGGGATTCGGTGCCTCGGCATCCAGTTTATCTTCGAATTGTGTGTACTCCTCCGCCAGCTGCTGGTGGAACTCGATCTCGTCTTTCATCGCGGGGAAGTTGAACGGCTCCTTCGTCTCGAAGATCACCGCGTGCTTCGAGAAGTAGCCGTAATGGGGATTGTATAACGCATCTACATATTCCTCACGCGCGCACTCCTATCAGCTACCGCGCGAGGGTTGGAGGAAGGAAGGATAGGAGGGGCAGGCAACCATCGATATAGTCCCGCACCAACATCTTGACTCTTCTCGGCCGTTCCTTCCGATTCGCTAGCTGCGCGGCGGTCACCATAGGATACCGCTTAAACTCCTCGGACATGTCAATCTGCAGGAACGGTGATTTCGGCTGCCATTCGCCGGCGGAGGCAGCGGCCTTTGCGTCGTCGCGCTCGGCAAAGATGGTCCGGCATTGCTGCTGCCGCCGGGGGGTTATTGGGGTGCGGGGGAGCAGTCTCGCGTTCCGGACGCACGGTCGATGCCGGAAAAGTTGGCGGAAGAGCGAGGTTGCTAAAGGGGTGTCCATTCCATGCGAATTGCTGAGTTGGGTGACGATGGTGATGATGGAATCAGTTAATTCTCCAATGTGGGGGAGGCTTGATGGTGACACAGGCGTAGATACACTAGCACGTAGCACCCCCGTCTCGCTCAGCCGTGACAGGTCACGCTCTTGCCCAGCTTCCCCAGAAGGTCAATGGGTGCTACTCCACACTTGTACCCCGTAAAGTACCTAGGGAGATACTCCACATAGCTAACCGCCGGCCGATACAAAGCGCGGGTATGCGACCACGATACCCCATCACCTGAACACCTGGAGCAGAGCACGCCGCTCTTCTTACTATTGCCCCTTCTTTTCCTTCGACCTGTAGAGCACCATTTTTGGCTTCAAACAATGAATTCCATACGATCCATCCGCTCGTTGAGCGTTCTACGACAGTCCTTCCCTCTAGCGAGAGCTACAAAGATACTTGCATCCACCTCAAGCAACAGCTATAGCTCCTCCGCCCTCTCTGCCGGAAAGCGAAAGCTCAACCATCCCATCGAGTTCAATGCCTCCAGCTAGTAAGTGTTCCTAACACCGTCTCGATTGGATGATTGACCCATGCCATTCACAGCCTGTCTCACACACCTCAACAATGCCTCTCATCGCCGGAGCTCTCCTCGGCCGTCAAATCGACGAAAACCAAGCGGATGAACCTCTACAGCGCGATCAACGACGCCCTATCCACGATCCTCGAAACGGACTCGAAATCGCTAATCTTCGGCGAAGACGTATCCTTCGGCGGCGTGTTCCGGTGCACGACCACACTGCTCGACCGCTTCGGCTCGCAGCGAGTCTTCAACACGCCGCTGACGGAGCAGGGAATAATGGGCTTTGCGATTGGCCTCTCCGCGTCCGGGTACACCGCGCTGCCAGAGATCCAGTTCGCGGACTATCTGTTCCCCGCGTTCGATCAGCTGCATAACGAGGCGAGTAAGTGGCGGTACAGGAGCGGCGGCGCGAAGGGATTCAATAGTGGGAATCTGGTGATTCGCATGCCGTGCGGTGCGGTCGGGCACGGAGGATTATACCACTCCCAAAGCCCCGAGGGGTTTTTCCTCGGAATGCAGGGGGTTAAGGTAGTGATACCCCGTGGCCCAGCGCAGGCGAAGGGATTGCTCATCGCGGCGGCGAGGTGTGGTGATCCGGTGGTGTTCATGGAGCCGAAGGTTCTGTATCGTGGCGCGGTGGAGGAGGTGCCGGTGGGGGAGTACACACTCCCCATTGGCAAAGCGCAGGTGGTGCAGGAGGGGAAGGATGTGACGCTGATCAGTTACGGGACGATGCTGTATACGTGTGAGGCTGCGGCAAAAGCGGCGAAGGAGAAATTGGGGGTGGATGTGGAAGTGATCGATTTGAGGACTGTTCATCCGTGGGATAAAGAGACGGTCGTGGCGAGTGTGAATAAGACGGGGAGGTGTGTCGTGGTTCATGAGGCCTCGAGGACGGGCGGGATTGGGGAGAGTGTCGGTGCCGAAGTTCAGGAGAGGTGTTTTCTGAGACTGGAGGCACCGGTGACGAGGGTTACGGGGTGGGATGTTCCCATGCCGTTGGTTTTTGAGAACCTGATAATTCCGGACGTTGCCAGTCAGTACTCTCGTACCGTCGGAAGTGGATGGTTGCTAATGACTGTGTATCAGGGGTCTTTGACGGAATCAAGAGGACGATCGAGTACTAAACGCTTCTGAAGTTGAAGGAGTTGGGAGTTTTCTTCCTTACCGGAGCATGTTGATCCGCTGTACACATTGTTTGTAGATGCTTAGAGACATATTTCACATATACATACCATCATATCACAGAACTGGTCACACTTAGCAATAGTCGTGATATCACGTAATTACATCCCTTCGGCGAAGGACAAGATATATAAACAAGAGAGCAGGCAAAAGCAAATCCCAACCCAAACTTTTCGTCATGCTTCTATAATCAAGATCACCGCTTCCCCTTCTTCGGCTTCTTGTTCTTAAACTTCTCCACCTCCTCCTCATAGATCTCCGCCGCGCTCTCGCCAGCCTTCCGTTTCGCAGCTGACTTGCCCGTCTTTACCGAAACAATCGTACTCCGTCCCTCCGACTTCGACGATGCCGCTTTCCGAATCTGCTTCTCGGCTTCTGTCCAGTCACCTTTGTCGGCGGGGATTTCATATCTATCATCTTGTCAGCAAACCAGGGATTCAAACAAAGATCTTGGGGAGGGAGGGATAGAGCTCACTTCGACAGATCCAGCTCATTAACCATCTCCCTCTGCAGTTCCTTTAGCCTGAGGCCTTCCATCGCCTCCTCGCCCGCCTCCTCCAACTCATCGCGCAGCTCTCCATCAACGGGCGCAAACTCTCTCGCCTCGTCCCCACCATCCACGTCCATCTCATCATTCTTCCTGTGGGCCTCTTTTGGTAGAGTTTCCTCGATGGATTTGCTTAGCAGCTCGCGGAACGCTGTAGCGACCTTCCGCATAATTTTCTGGAACATGGAGAGAACCTGAGCATTGCCGACACCGAGTTCCTTCTCCAAGCCCTCGAGGGTTTTCCGTTGCAGGCCGATGGCCATAAGGACTGCGCTTTGGATGGGCGAGATGGAGACGAGGTTCTTGAGCCGGCCAGTGAAGTGCAGATTTGCGATCTGTGGGACCATGTCCAAAATTACATGGTAGTCGAGCATGTTGTCGGCGTAGGACTCCAGACGCTTGAGGTCGAAGGGAGAGAGGAGTTCGTCAAGTTGGGCTTTTGTTAGCTGCGCTGGCGACTTTTCGGCCAGCTTTGCGCCGGCATTGGCGGATTCCAGCACGAGGAGAGGGGTCATGTAGTTGAACTTTCGGAACTCGTAGGAGAGGAGCTCTAGGAAGCGCTTGCGGAAGTCCGTGGCGAAGGCTCCAAGCCAAGCACTGTCTTTGTCCGCCAGGGTCTTGATCATAACGCACGAGTGCTCGCCGGTGAGCTCGGTGGCGGTCTGACGGAGGTACACGGGGACGAAGGCGGATTTCTTCCAGAACTTGTGGAGTTGATCCGTCAGACCGTAGCTTACACCGAGATAATCCAGAAGTTCCGGTCGTTTCTCGGATAGTCTCAATAGCAGTGGTGGCAGCGATTTGGGATCCCGCACTTTGACGGTATCGGTTTGGAGTTGCGAGTTCTCGATCTCCTCGTCGGTGACGCGGACGATCTCGTCCTCGATGTATGTGCTGTCTTCCTCTAGACTGGCGAACTTGCCCTCGTAGAAGTCCGTCAGTAGGTCCAGTGCACGCTTTCCGTAGCCCATTCCCACATAATCCGGATTGGTCGCGATGCGCACTACTCGGGCTCCCGAGAGACCGGCGAACTCCTCATCCTGGAATTGCTGCGACACGAGCCAGGGGATCATGTCACCCCCCTCACGCTTTCCTCGGCTTAGAGCGGCCTGTACGCTCTTCTTTGAGATCTGACCCTCCAATGCAACTTGGATAACGACCAGTGGGTCCGGAATGTGGTTACTTCCCTCCTCTGCTGGTGCCAAAAGGACGAACAGCTGGTGGGCCGGAGCATCACTCATGAGCTGGAGGTCATTGGGGGAATTCTTGTAGTGAGACGCAACGTAGAGTGCCATCATCTTCTGGAGGAAGCGCTCGGAGACAGGGTGGTAAGAGAATAAGCTGTCGCGCGATACGGCAAACAGCTCGCACTTGTCCAGTGATGGGGTACCAGTGTTGTTCTTGCGCTTGGGAGGAAGGGTGGCATCGAGGCAGAGAAGGTTGTTGAGCCACTTCTCGACTGGGTCGCCAGGTGCGTAACGGATGGGCTCATCCAAGGTCGCCTCTCGCAGTGTTCGACCACCTACTACGGCAGAGCCGGAGGCTTTGGCAGCCTTTCCGGCGCGATCGGTGGTTACGCCCTCCGAGGCTACTTTGGTGACGCCGCGAGACTGGTCGCGAAGTTGCTGGATCAGCTTCAACGACAACGACCGTCCAGTTCCCTCGTATCCGTTGATTGTAGATGCCATGAAGACTAGGTAGGGGCCCATAAGCTTCTTCACCAGGGGCAGTGGGATAGCCGCTGCTTCATCAATAACCACCAATTCTGCCTGACCGAGAACATGTGCGTCCTGTGGCTGGATGTACTGGATAGTCTGTCTGTGTTGGCGGTGAACGTTGACACGCACGATGGCCTTGTTGAAAGCCGGGTTGGTGGACTGGATGATATCGTAATCGAGGTGGTCACTGTAGTTCAGCGCATCGAATCCTTTGAAGATGAAGCTAAACAAAGTCTTCAAGTTCTCTGGCGACGGCGAAGTAATGAAGATGTTGGAGTATCCGTAAGCGATAGCTGCGGCAATGGCAAGTCCCAAAGCCGCCGACTTTCCACGACCACGACCAGCTGTAAGCGTCACAGTGCTCCTCAAAGACTTGTCCGCAATCGCATCAACGAACGTCATGACCGCTTTCGCCTGGTCGACAGTCTTGGTGATCTCGACCAACGAGCCGGACGGCTGCACATCTGCCAAGCTCTCCTTCAGCTCCTGCAGCTCCTTCTGCTCTGGTCGCAGCGCCTCGTCGGCGCTCGACACCGGCGGGAGTGCCTGGACATTCCTTCCTCCGGAAATCGGGAGTACGTTCAACTCGTCGTCCACCACCAAGCAGTTCGCGCAATCGCTCAAAGACAGAATGAACCGCTCGTTAAACCGCGCAACCACATCGCCATGTGCCTCCGTCCTGTAGCGCGAATGTACATCCATAGACATGGTGTACAGCTGCTTCAGACTCGACATGGTCTTCAGCAACAGTACGACCAGCCCACCACCCTCGACCGTCTCGATCGTTCGCGCTAGCAGATTCGGCGTGAGCGCCTCAAAGTCCTGGAGAATACACATTCCGTATGTGTTTCCGAGGATCTTTTCGGTTTCTTTGTAGTAAACATAGCGGATGTCCGTGAGGGAGATGAAGAGTTCGAAGGGGTCCTCGGTGTTGGCTTCTCGGATGCCACGCTTGACTTCCTTCTTGATCTTGGCTTCGCGCTTCTTGCGGTGACTGGTGAAGCCGAGCAGCTTGTTTTTGTAGGCCCAGAGAACGGATTTGTTTTGCTTCGGATCGGCGCTGCCGAGAATGTAGTGGAGATTCAGAATTACATCTTTACCGCGATCGCCAACGACGACAAAGAAAGACCGCTTCTTCTCCTATATGATGCAAGCTCTGAGTTAGCCCCCATTACCGACAGAGAAACAATTGAGACGGGAAGACGAGAGAGCAATCTTCGTACCTGAACACCATTGCGAATGAGGTCGGGAATCCGCTTGTCACTGTGCCAATATCAGTACCAAGTTCTCGAGACACTGTATGAGAGAGTGCGACGGCAGGAGAACCACTTACACCGCTTTCTTAACCATGGTGGATGCTGCGCAAGGAAAGCTGGTGGGAAATGTCTGACGAACTTTGGCGTCCTGAGAAGGTCAGAAAAAAGTCGCAGAGCCGCGCCGGCGCCGCTTGCAAGTCTTGGCGTGTCGGAAGCATGCATAATCAGATCGAATTATGGTTATCTATCACTCATGTCTTGCTTCTGATATCCGGTTCGGCCAACGCCGAAGAAAACTTGGAGTCCTAAGGTCGATGCTGAGCAGAAAAGAAGGAAGCTTGGAAAACTTCTCTCCACTTCATCCGGCGGGTGCAATGATTCAATCGCATGTACCTAGTTAATGTTACAGGGTCGTTAGTAAGTATTCGGGCGGCTTGCCATTCTTCAAACGCACGGCAAAGACGTCCTCCGAGTTTCAATTCCAAGGGTCCATTCTTCAAGCTCAATCAAAGAGCACTAATCATGATGTTCACCCTCACACCTCGGCGCCGATTATTCGATCACTCATCAGAAGAAGGCTGGGAACATTCGTCGTTGTTTCCCAGCCTCCCGAGTTCGCCACCACATTTGTTTTCCCAAGAAGCTTCGAACTCAACAGCCAGGATCCTCCACCCCTCAACAGACAGGCCTCCGACGCTGGTTTGGATAGGGCATAGCACGTACTCGGACATGTTAACTCAACATGGCGGCCCCACGAAGCCGAGTTTTGTTGGGCGAGGCTGTGTATAAAATAATAGATACCGACCCCGGAATCGTACGACTCTAGAACCGAGCCCCCACCGGAACCTCCCCAAGTTGATCTCCCCGCGACTTTCGCCCCGGAGAGGCAGTTCGGCAACGGGTCCCTTACTGGGACGCTGTCACTGCAATCTGCAGCCAAGACTGCCACTTTGACCCTTGCGCTGTTTGTAGGAGTCGCGGACCCTTGTGGCTTTACGTGACCCGATTGGAAGCAACCCCACCACCATCATTCCGCCGCCGCCGCCACGAATCCCACCTCGTGAACCGACCAGATAAAGCTGTTCCATCCCGCACCTCCTCTTCTATCCCCTCAATTCCTCCCTCAACATCCTCCTCGCACTTATTCATCTCTATCCCACCAAACAACCGCCATAATGACCCTTCCCACCGTCTACATTGTCTCTGCCGTCCGCACTCCCATCGGCAGCTTCCAGGGGTTTGTCCCAGCAAAACGGCTCGAAGTCACATTGCTATATGCTAACTTGTCGCCAGCTCGATTTCCTCCCTCTCGGCTACGGAATTGGGTGCCCACGCCGTCAAGGCAGCCATCGCAAAGGCAGGTGTCAAGCCTGAGGATGTCGAGGAGCTTTTCCTCGGAAACGTGCTCTCGGCCAAGTACGCTCCCTTCTCCTTATTTCTCATCAGCTCGTTGTGCTCACCGTTATCCACAGCTTGGGTCAGAACCCCGCCCGCCAGTGTGTCCTCCAAGCCGGACTTCCTCAGTCGATTGTCGCCACAACCGTCAACAAGGTGTGCGCCTCCGGTATGAAGGCGATTATCCTGGCTGCGCAAACCATCATGACTGGAAACGCTTCCGTAAGCTCTAGCCGTCCATTGCCTTTCTTTAAAACCTCGCATTCTAATCAGCTTCAATCAGGTCGTCGTCGCCGCCGGAACCGAATCCATGTCCAACGTCCCCTACTACATCCCTACCGCCCGCGGTGGCGCCCGCTTCGGCCACAAGGAGATTGTGGACGGTGTGTTAAAGGATGGCCTTACCTGCGCTCATGACAAACTTCACATGGGCATGGCTGCCGAGAAGTGTGCCTCGGATTACACCTTCTCCCGCGAGGACCAAGACGAGTACGCGATTGCATCCTACCAGAAGGCACAGGCCGCTCAGAAGGACGGTCTCTTCAAAGACGAGATTGCTCCTATCGAAGTCTCCGGCGGCCGCGGAAAGCCCAACAAGGTCGTTGACACTGACGACGAGATCTCGAACCTCAACATCGACAAGCTGAAGGCAATCAAACCCGCGTTCCAGCCTGGTACCGGAACCGTGACCGCCCCCAACGCTTCCCCTCTCAACGACGGTGCCTCTGCCCTCGTCCTCGTCTCTGAGGAGAAACTGAAGGAGCTTGGCCTTACCCCCCTGGCCAAGATCAGGGGATGGGGCGATGCCGCTCACGCTCCCGTCGACTTCACCACTGCCCCCGCCATTGCCATCCCTAAGGCCATCAAGCACGCCGGCTTGACCGCAGAGGATGTCGACTTCTACGAGATCAACGAGGCGTTCTCGGTTGTTGCCCTGGCCAACCTCAAGATCCTCGGCCTCGACAAGAGTAAGGTGAACGTTCACGGTGGAGCCGTGGCCATCGGCCACCCCCTCGGCTGCTCCGGTGCCCGGGTCGTCACCACGCTCGTCAACGTGCTGAAGCAGAAGGGCGGAAAGATCGGTGTGGCTGGTATCTGCAACGGTGGTGGTGGTGCCAGCGCTATCGTCATCGAGGCTTGCTAGGAATTGGTGAGGGCTTCGTGGAAGGCGATGCTCTGATGAAGATACCTACCTGTCCAATTGAACCCTGGAAATGATAAAAAGGGATATGCAAGTGCTAATATGGGATGTGTGTGATGGGTTATGACCTTTTTTCGGTTTGTTGGTACGTCTGATATAGTCATGGAGTTCGGAAGCATATACCTAAGCGTGGGAAATTGAGAGCATCAGGAAGAAGCAGCAGTTGATCCTTTAGTAATTCAGGCCCTCCAATGGCCCAAATTGGCCAGAAGTTGTGAGTACTTGAGTATATAAAACAGAGTGATGCCTACTCGTGCTGCGTGAGTGAATGGGTGAGTGCATGAGACATTGCAGACGATGGTGCTGCGAGAGTGAATGAGACATTGTAGTTGATTGTGCTGGGAGAGTGAATGGGTAAAATAACGGGGCATTGCGGCTGATTGTGTCGCGAGAGTGATGGCTTAGAATCCTCTATATGCAGTCTCCAAATTGGCCCAGTGAAAACGATAAATTTATCGGCATGTTTTCCAGCATCCGACGGTCCAGCCATAAGGTCTATAATGTACAGAAGAATAGAAAGGAAAGAGAAGAGAAGAGACAAATCACCCACTTCGGATTGTCCTTTTGTTTTCGCATCACATTAGAAAGCGTAAGCACCGATGAGCACGGTAATATGTATCTTATTTTGGGAGGATATCTATTTCGCAGCAGCAGGAGCAGCAGCAGCAGCCTTGGGCTTTCCAGCGCCTCGCTTCATCGACGTGCTGTTGGCAGCCAGCTCCTGGGTGAAGGGGATGAAGTCGGGAGCACCGGGAAGGTACTTCCTCAGAGGCTCGGGGATTCTCAGGCCCTGTGGTTACATATTTTTGTCAGAAGTGCATGGAAATGGGGAAAGTGGGGGTGATGAATTACCTCCTCGGTCTGGTAGTTCTCCATGATACAGCATAGCGCACGCTCGGTGGCACACAGGGTCGAGTTGAGGCAGTGGACATACTGTTTCCTTTCGCCGGTCTGGCTGACGGCACCGAAGCGGATGTTGAGATTCCTGCTCTGGTAGTCTGTGCAGTTGGAGCAGGAGACGAGCTCCTTGTACTCTCCCTGGAACGGGAACCATGCCTCGAGATCGTACTTCTTCGCCGCAGCGTTGTTCAGCGCACCGGAAACAATAGCGACGACACGGTAGGGAAGTCCAAGGGACTGGTAGAATTCCTCCGAGTATCCAATCATCTTGTCGAACTGCTCCCAGGACTTCTCCGGGTCAGTGATGACGAACTGCTCGATCTTCTCGAACTGGTGGACACGGAAGATTCCCCAGGCGTCCTTTCCATGGGCGCCGGCCTCACGACGGTAGCAGGTTGAGAAGCCTGCGTAGCGGATTAGAAGGTCCTTGCCCTGCAACCACTCGTCTGCGTGCAGCGCCGAGATCGGCTGCTCTGAGGTCGCGATGAGGTATTTGTCGTTCTTTGAGTCGCCGTCGATCACCTTGTAGAGCTCTTCATCGAATTGCTCCAGCTGTGCGGTCTTCGCCATCATGTCCTTCAGCATGAACTGCGGGGTCTGTAGGGGTGTGTAACCCTTGCTGGAGAGGAATTCGAGGCCGTAGTTGATCAGTGCCTGGTTCAGGAAGACTCCCCACTGCTTCAGGAAGTATCCGCGATGTCCGACAACCTTCACTCCGCGCTCGGACTCGTAGCCGTCCAGACGTGCGAGAACGTCGTGGTGGGAGAGACAGTTCTGCTTCTCGACCTTGACGCCCTCCGGGCACCAGCTGCGGATGAGCTCGTTGTTGTCCTGCACACCACATCAGTCCTGCCATTCCCGAAACCCCGCCTCCTCCTCCAGTATAACAAACATACCTCGTTGTTGCTAACAGGAACCGACTCGTGGACATAGTTCCCAACTGTGCCCACCTTGGACTGAAGTTCCTTCTCCTTCTCGTCCGCAATAGCCTCGAGCGCCTTTTTCTCCTTCTCAAGCGCAATCTTCTTGGCCAAAAGTTCGCTAGCATCCTCCTTTGCCTGTATCGCCTCACATCAGCCCTCACAATTTCTCCCGCTCCATATCGCAAGAAAGATACGCACCTTCTTCTTCGCACCAATTTCCTTCTGCACAGCGTTGGCCTCCGCGCCCTTCTGGGTAACGTTGTATCGCGCTGTCCCATGTCATGTCCGTCAGACACAGACCACTCTTCCATGTGTGTACCGGCAGTAGTAAGAGAACTCACCAGCCTTGGCCTCCTCCGCCAGCGCGATGATCTGGTCCACTACCTCTTCGGGCGCAAATCGCTTCCTCTGGGACTCGCGGATTTTCTCGGGGGTGGCCCCCTTGTCGCCGAAGAAATCAAAAACGTCGAGCATGGCGGCGTGACTGTCGTGCTGTTTGGGAGACGAGGAAAGTGTTGGTGGTTGTCGTTTGCGAGAAGAAGCGCGAGTGAGTCGGAGGTGGGGCAGCACAGCGGGGCAACAGTATGGCCAGACAGGACAGGCACCAGGGTAAAAAGGGCCGTACTACTCTAAACAAAACAGCCAAGCTTTACTCACGCGGCAGTCACTCGGATTTCTGATTTGAGGCCAGTGGAAGCCACGCTCTATTATCCCTATTACAATTATACCCACGTACATATCATACTACAAGCCTACAGCCTACACGTTCAAAAAATTTCAACTTACAATCCCATCAGCTTCCCCACTCCTTTCACACGGCGCATTACCGTCTCGCCATAGCCCACCTCGACAAGGCCCTTGGTAAACCTCCATGCGCGCTCTCCATCCTTGAGCGGATAATCCACGACAGGCGGGATTGCCGTGCTCGCGATCCTCGGGAACCGGTCTCGCGCCACCGCCTTGAGGTTACAAACACTGCGTAGCCCCTCGGCACCCGCAAACCGTCCATATCCGCTTCCCTTGACACCTCCGAAGGGCAGACTCTGGTTGAGATAGTACACGGCGAAATCATTGATCGACACCATGCCGCAGTGCATTTCCCTGGCGACCCTGTCGAGATCCTTCTGGTTGCGCCCGAACACTGAGCCGCCGAGAGCGTACTCGGTCGAGTTGGCGATCGAGATCGCGTCGCCGACGTCGGAGGCGCGCATGAGAAGGCAAATGGGACCGAAAACTTCGTGCTGGGCGATGGCCATGCTGGGGGTTACGTCGACGAGGAGGGTGGGCGTGAAGTAGTGGCCTTTGGGGTACTTGGGATGGTTGTATTTCTTTCCACCGGCGAGACAGCGTGCGCCTAGGGAAACGGCTTGCTCGACTAGTGCTTCCAGGCGTGAGAAGTGGGCATCGGAAATGACGGCGCCGCAGTCGACGCCGGTAACATCGTCAAGGATGGAGCCGATGCGAAGCTTGTTGATGCGAGATTCGAGGATGGAGACGAGCGTGGGATAGACTTTAGGCGTGGCGATGATACGTTCAATGCCGACGCAGTTTTGGCCACATGACTGAAAGACACCGCGCATGAGGATGGAAGCGACAGATGGGAGGTTGGCCGTATCATCGAGGATGATGGCAGCGTCTTTGCCGCCGAGCTCAATACAGAGGGGAGTCAGAACTTTCGAGGCAGAGGCAGCGACGTGGTGTGCGACAGGGCGGGAGCCAATGAAGGTAATGTGTCCGATTCCGGGATGCGATGTGAGGTGAGGTGCGACTTCGGGCCAGCACATGATCGACTATGAGAAAATCAGCCCCAGAAACTCGTGAGGGTAGCGAAAACACGGGAGACTCACGTGAACGAGGTCCGGGCTATGGCCACAGGCAACAAGAGCTCCCTTGACAATCGAAATATAGTATTGCGAACTCCAAGCAGTCTGTTCACTGCCCTTGACAATGATTCCGTTACCAGCGAAGGTGGAGCTGATGATCGGGCCGAGAAGGTTGTGGAAAGGGTAGTTCCAGGAGACACATGCAGCAACAACACCGAGCGGCTCATACCTCAGTTCTACCTTCTTGTAGCACTGCAACGGCCATGAATTCTCCCTCTTCTCCGGGAGTAGAGCCTTCTCTCCGTGGTTGAGAACCCATTTGATTTTCTCCGCTGTGACCAAAATTTCACCGAACGCGGCATCGACCTTGGTCTTTCCGGAGTCCAAGCAAGCGACAGCCGCGATGGGGTCTTGGTTGTCAAGAATGTACTTCAGCAGTGTGCGCAAAAACTTTCTACGTTCGTCGAACGAGGTCTTGGCCCATTGTACCTGGGCAACGGCGGAGGACCTGATAGCAGCGTCGATATCCTCGGGGTACGCAGGAGTGACCTTTCCGAGTGATGCACCGGTGGCAGGCGCGTAGCATTGGATCAAGTAGTCGGTATTCGATTTGATGGACGGGTGCATCATGGCTTCTCCTTTCCAGTCCGGGTCTACTTGCTCCGGTATCGGAACGCTATACGGCACGCCGTTGAATCTGGAGGCCCTCCATTGTTTGAAGAACACGTAGCTGAGGAAAGCGCATACGATCGATACGAGTACTGACTGGCCCGATGGGAGCGACTCCTGTGATGGTAGAGCTTCGAGTGTTGAGAACGAAAGGCTATCGCGTGAGACGGAACAGCCGATTTTGAATCCCGAGACGAGAAAGTCAAAAGATACTCTGGGAAGCATAAGCTCGGGGTCGCAAAAGAAGAAAAAACTCGGCGTACGGACGGAAATAGGGACTGTACCTCATGGCCATGATTGTGGAAGACTTCGAGGATGGTAACCTCTCCTGGTGCCCCTTCAAAGTGTGGTGCGAGGTGGATGGTGAACTGAGTGACACGACACGTCAGGGAATATTGCACGGGTCCACACTTTACTCGTTGTTAGGGGCGACGCGCTAAGCGAGCTTTGTCTCGTGACCTTGAACTTGCGTTGCACACTCTCAGTGGTCGTCAGCCATCCAATCATCGTCCGCTTGGATCAATTGCTCTATTGATAGTGGGGGGACTACAGCTTGTACCAGTTAATTATGGCCGAGGTACATGTTATTCTTCAAAATATCTACATACCAAGGCCAAAACGCACACAGCTTTGTAATCCGCACCTTACGAAGAACGTCCATCCACCACGAGTTTCCCTCAATCCTACGCCTGCAGGAAGGTCAAATGTGCATCCCTCGATGCTTGTGCCTGCGTATCGCGTTGAGACCTCCTTGGAGGAGTTCCGCCGGATCTGGCTCCACGGAGATCCGGCATTGCCTGAGGGCAGTGAGTTGAGATGGAAGAAGCAATCTACTTATGTCGATTGGGACTGTGCTCGGTATCCTTCACTCAGGAATGTGAGCAGCAGTCATGGTACCAATGGGGGCACAGTGTTTGACGATTCTGGCTAAGGGGAGTCGCCATTGGCAAATCGGGACTCCAGCTAATCACACGATATCACCCATACTCACAACTCACGGTGTTGTTGAAATGTACGAGTAATATTGTGAGCCTATTTCTTCTAGGTGTTGGTTCGCAAAACACAGCGGATGACTGAGCAGCTAGACGTACCAACAGAAGCAGAAGCAAGTATGGAAATTAAACAGGATTCTCGAGACGTGCCGCGTGCAAATATTACCAATATGACCAATGTGCAAAACCTTCGATGAGTGACGGTGTGGCTTGATTATGTACCTACATTGTGACTTTTGAACGAGAAACGCAACAGGCGTTTTGTTGGAACCTGGGCTGTATACGTTCCTGCAGTACACATGCCGCATTTTTGCCCACGGTACGCCGCTATGCAACCGTCGGCCGACAATCTCCTTCAATGCTGTCGTGCGAAGATTCCACGTGCACTATCCCACGCATATAACAATCTTGTCATCAATCAGGTTAATGACAAACCACTGTGATGGTGGCGGCAGAACCAACAGAAAATTTTACGGTCTGATGGGAGTACCTATGGTCCGCAAGACAACCAGCCACTCCCAAGACACTGGAGATGGCTGGTTGTCACGAGGGGATCATGCAGGTTAATGGCAAACCACCGTGATGGTGGCGGCAGAACCAACAGAAAACTTTACGGTCTGATGGGAGTACCTATGGTCCGCAAGACAACCAGCCACTCCCAAGACACTGGAGATGGCTGGTTGTCACGAGGGGATCATGCAGGTTAATGGCAAACCACCGTGATAGTGGCGGCAGAACCAACAGAAAACTTTACGGTCTGATGAGAGTACCTATGGTCCGCAAGACAACCAGCCACTCCCAAGACACTGGAGATGGCTGGTTGTCACGAGGGGATCATGCAGGTTAATGGCAAACCACCGTGATAGTGGCGGCAGAACCAACAGAAAACTTAACGGTCTGATGAGAGTACCTATGGTCCGCACATTCACGGTACCAATGACAACGAGCGATAGGACCCGAATGCGCGCAAGACAACCAGCCACTCCCAAGATACTGGAGGTGGCTAATTGTCACGAGGGGATCGTGGAGGCACATGAAAGCATTGCAGACCTGCGAGGGGTTACCAGCGGGAGGTCCAGAGACGGTTAACAAGGACGTTGTCATACTCCGGTGAGAGGTTGGAACGACTGCTTCCAGCTTACTGGCTGTAAGTATCGAATGAATGAGCACTTGTAAAGATTTTTGATGGGTTGTGACTACTCGGTGGCCCCTTGCGCTAGATCTATCCACAGAATTGTTGGAACCATAGGGCTGATTCTGCAGGTCGTTTGGAAGCTGGAGGAGAGTGGCGTGGAGGAGGCCGTGGAGGAGGCCGTGGAGGAGGCCCTATGGCGATTGTGCAGCGGTGCTTTATTATTGCAATTGCAGACGCATCATATGTAGCTGGCCAGTAGCATGAAGCTTTGCGCTTACCGGTGAATCAAGAATAGCCCCTCGAGGAGTGATTCATAATCTAGCACCGCCACCCGGGCTGACACCGACGGTGGAACTGAAGCCGACTCCCGAGGGTGTGTGGTGAAATCCGGCGGCTTAAATCCACGTCCGGCTCAACGGCTCCCATGCGACTCTACTATGAGCACGGTATGTACCGAGAGCACCGGAATACCTAGAGCAACCCTCGAATTAGACAGTGCTCTGGGGTGGAGAAGAATACGAGAAGACAGACAATGGGGGACTCGGACTTGCACTCATCCGAAGCTCACTTTCAGCCCGTCGTTGCCCGTCGCTCAAGATTTCGGCGCTTCAGTCTTCAGATAGAGGCTAGGTATTGCGGCTCAAGCTCAGTACTACCGGTATATACCGGTCTGTAGAACCTATATATCGCAGAACCTCCATCTTGATCCCCGCTCAAGGTGGCGCTTTGCCCCATCAGGAATCCGAATATCGTACGGAGCCTTCCAAATTGAAGATTTACTATGTATGCAAGCATATCTCAATTCAGGTGGTGGTCCGGAAGTCTTCAGAGCCGGTCCACAAGTAATCTGTGGCTAAAGTCTCGGTGGTCAACGGGTGGATATACTGGTATGTACCCAGGTAACTATGTTCGGACGGAATCGAGCGATAAAGACGCGATGAAAACTCGACGCTGGCCGCCTTGGATTCCGACAACCGCACGTTGCCCGTCCCCCGGATTCGGACCCCCCGGATTGCAAAGCATCGAGTTGTTTCCGGACTCCTTCGAATACGGTAGATCCCTATGGCGGAGTTCCCCCGCCCTTATAGACTATCAAGCACTATATTTGTGCCGTATTTAGCCCAACAGCGTCTATGTCTGAGATCATCGTGCATCCCCAGACTCGGGACCCGGGACTGCCGATGAGATGCGCAACGTGCGTGGGTGGCTAGCCAGAACTTAGCCGGTGTAACCTGCATCGCTGGCACGAACCACAGCGCGAAAAATTCCGAATGTACTCGTCATGATCTGCGCGAAAGAACAACGATGGAAACTTTGGACGAACACCCAATTGCGAGGACCGCGAACGCACTACCACGGTCTTTTCCGGCGTGGCCGGACATACCGTGGAGTTATAAGATGGCTGGCTGACGGCTCAGCCCTACGTGTGCTGAGGAATTCTGCCGAGCTGCAAGAGTCTATGGACAAGCGGGATACAAGTGCAGGACCACGCAGACTGCTTGTCGCTGCTGGCCACCTGCTACTTGTGAGACAGGTCGAAGTATCTACCTTCTTGGTTCGTCAGCGAAGTACATATACACACAGTCACAGTTTGTTGGCCGTGCATGAAGACCAACTTCAGCCTCAGGGGAAGAAAGAAACCTGGCCGCTAGGCGAACTGAAGAACTTGGTCGCTGGAAGGAGTGGGGTGGGGCGTAGGAGGAGGCGGGGGGAACACATCATCGCGCGCCGGTCCTGTCAAGTGCAAGTATGTAGAATGTAGGTGACTGGGTTCGGCGGGTGGATTGCTGGGCTGCCTGAAGCTCTCGTTAGCTCTGACGGAATGGTAGTAGCCGCAGCCCTCAATTCATAGCTCTGTTTTTCAGCCGGGCACACATAAGTACAGTCTGTGTCCAGCCCTCGTCAGGCTGGTAGTCTGTATCCTGTGCACTGATTCCCATTCATCCATAATGCAGTTCCTCGGCCACCTGCTGACATCACTCGTTTTCGTGGGCGTCGTCTCGGCGGTTCCGGCTTCTGGCCATGGGGGCAGCAGCGGGTTGCCAGTTGTCGATTTGGGATATGTCAAGCACCAAGCAGCCGAGTACAACGAGACCGCTGGAGTCTACGTCTACAGGAATATCCGGTTTGCGGCACCGCCGGTTGGGAAGCTGAGACTGAAGAAGCCTCAACCACCGTTGAGGGAGAGTGGGATACAGAATGGTACTTACGGAAGGAGTACATCCTGTGCTCAGACCAATGGAACTGCTCTTCTGGGAGATGAGGATTGTCTGGTGAGTTATCCGTGCTTCATGGGAGAACTAGTGGCTGACGTCGATATAGTTTCTGGATATCTACGTCCCGAAGGAGAGCTACTCGAAGAGAGGGAAAAAAATTCCCGTACTCGCCTGGTAAGCTCGTGCAGACTGCTTGAATTCCGCCGGGTCTCTAGGACTGACAAAAGACATAGGTGGTTCGATGGCGGCTACGTCGTTGGCAGCAAAGAGGCCCCCGGAGCTCCATGGGGACTCTACGAGGCAGCAAAGGAGCCCTTCATCTTTGTCACCGCGAACTACCGACTCGGAGCCCTCGGATTCATCGCTCCGCCGGACCCAGATGTGGATACCAACATTGGACTCCACGACACCCGTATGGCTATGGAGTGGATCGGAAAGCACATTTCCAAGTTCGGCGCCGACACAGAGAAGATGACGGCCATCGGACTGAGTGCGGGTGCTGGTGTTATCATGCACGCAATTGTGTCGTACGGAGGGAAGGGTCCGAAGTTGCCGTTTCAGCAGGTGTGCCCCCAGTTCGATATTACCCGTGTGATGATGCATACTGACGGTCTGTAGGCGATACTTCAGTCTCCCGGGTGGGTACCGGAAGCCGATCCGGCCGGCCGCATTCCGCTGTGGGAAGCCTTCAAGGCGAACACGGGGTGTGCTAACGCTACTTGTATCCGTTCGCTGCCGTCGATGGTGGTGCAAGCAGCGAATGCGTTGACCATTGGACAGTGGATGTCGGGAGCGCTTGGCTCCACTTCGGGGCTGTATCCAGTGGTGGATGGAGATTACATTCCCGACTTCCCGGTGAAGCTCCTCGCCGAGGATAAATTCCACAAGGAAATCAAGAGCATCATATCCTCGAGCTCCCGACACGAGGTATCCATGATCCCAACCCGCTCCGAGTGATACTCTAGCTAACACCGCATAGGGGGGTCTTTATGTGCCTACCAACATCACCAACGCCCAATTCCCTACCTTTATCGGCATGCAGTACTCCCCCAACGCTACCATCATCGGTATGATTGCGGAGGCCTACCCGAGCGACGGTAGCATCACCGGAGCCTACCGTCGCGCCGTCGAGGCCGTCGGCGACCTCATCTTCAACTGCAACGGTTACTGGTTGGCACGCGCCTTCTCCGCCGAGGAAGAAGCCGGCCATAGCTCCCGTCGGTACATGTTCAACATTGGCCCAGCAATCCACGGCTCGGATCTACCCTACACGTGGAATCAGGGCGGCGTGTATACGGTAGAAAACGCAACGCTGGCCAGAATGCACCAGGAGTTGATTGTGGACTACACGCTGCACGGAGACTGCGCGCTCGATGGGTGGCCGGAGTGGAGCGAGGATGTGGCTAAGGCTATGTGGTTGAATGGAACCGGACTGGGCGTCGATAAGGATTATTATGCGTGGGCAGTCAATGTGGATCGGTGCGAGTTCTTGAAGGATGAGATTATTGGGAAGGGTTAAGGGACGGGACGATTTGGGGGGTTTTTGGTTAAGCAAGTTATGTAGGCGATACTCGGCGGCGATTCGAGATTGCTGGTTTGGTGGCTTTCTGACATTTTAGCACATCTTACGATACCTAATGTTGATCTTTTCTCGCGTACCTGCATTTGTTTGTCTGTCTGTCTGCCTGTTATCATGAGTTGAGAAAAATTCAAAGTTATGAACCATCCACACCGTAGCCATGTCGATTCCGAGTATGTACTTGGTGAATCACCCGACCCCGTCAAGGCGAGCACCGAGTGATCGCTGTGCTGCGGCGGTCAAAACCCCAAACCCACACCGCACCGGCACACCTATAAAACCACCACCCCACCCCACTACCTTTCTTCCCTCTTCCGTTCTTCTCCAACAATACAACTCAGCTCACGAGAGCCCCCAACACCCTTCTTCCCTCTTTCCCCACAACACAACTCAGCTCACGAGAGCCCCCACCATCCTTCTTCCCTCCCCCCTCCAACAATACAACACACCCAAAACCTCCTGGATTTCGACGTACGGAAAGCCGGTGACTGTTGAGGGGGATGCCGAGTATTGGGCATGCGATAATTCTCTCCGACAAAGATACTATCTCAACAACCGTCAGTATTTTTACACCACAGAAGGTGACAGGTACATATTTATCTTCAGGCCAGACCGGTGTCACAGATTTCTCTAACCATCTCTCAACAGACATAATAACCGAGAAGTGGACGCTCATCGTGAGCAAAGTACTTTGGCTGCCCTGGCTGCACCGGCAGTTCATCCGTCGGACAGTGGACTGCCAGTTCAGCCAGTTTTCCCAGAAATAACCGCCATACTTACCTAAACCAACTACGACTTGACACCCTCTGTTCCCAACTTGACTGGCAACGAGACCATCCAGAACTGAACTGTTTCAACCGGCTAACTGTTGGAGGGTCTGGGGCCACTGTGGGGGTGGAGGATGCTGGCGGTCGTGTTCTGTAGAATCGCCATTGATTGGCCCAGTATGTAGGGCCAAAGGGAGTGCCGCATAGCTACATAGACTCGCGGACGGATACCTATGGGCTGGTGATTTTGTTGGCATTCGCTGTAGTCTTAACACACTCATGGACGTGAAATAAAATTGATGCCCCCCTTCACCGTAAAGGCACGATTCGACATTCGCCCCAAGAGGCACTGTGTGCGCTTTCACAGCCTGCTGGACGGTGACACGAGTTATCCACCCCCCCCCCCCTCGTTCGGTGCCTCCGTAAGATATCACGTGAAGTGGAGATGAGAGATTGCGTCCATGGAGCTGTAGGTATTTTGCTATCACTCGACGATAATAAATTTCCATATCTCAATTGACTGCCCAAAGTTGATGGTAGAAAAACTATATGCGAAACAAATTTCATGACCCCCGCACCCCCCAAAGTCCCTGGACGTCACGGTTTTGAGAAAATCGCCGCTGATCTTCGCACACCTCCAATGAGTCGCGGTATAACGTTGCATATTCTGGTCAAAAGTGCACAGGAAAAGAAGAGGAATCACTCAAAGTCACTCCGATAAGCAAGTGAGACTCAACATCATGAGCCGAGAGGAATTTCGTGCGAGAATTCATGCTAGTAAGTAACCTACTGCTTACAACCCACTCCGATCCAGCCAGCCAGCCAAACACAAGCAAAAAAATCAACCTTACACGACAACCATAACTCCCCATCCACCTCCAGCTAGGCCCTACTTGCGGAAAGATTGCATACGGAACGTGAAAACAAGATGTAAAGGACGGCGTCCCCTCACGTAATTGACCCGTAGAACATCAAGGCTTCATAGCTAAGAACGGAAAGGAAGAAGAACCGCAGAGGCAACATGAGGAAAACAAAATGAAACGCCGACAAAAAGTGCAGAGGTATATAAAGAATGTCCCAGCCCGTAACCCCTCCCCGGGACACACAGGCGGAGCCGGGGTATAACGAAAACAGTAAAATCAGAACCCCAACAGCATGAATGAATAAAGACACCCGCACACTCCATGCACCACAACCAAAATAAGGAAATAAGTGAGTTACCGCGCGTGCTCCACCAGCTGGTCGAATAGCTCCGGCGGTATCCTCCGGACCAGACCGACGGCGACGTCGATGATGGTCTTGGAGTTCAGAGGCGGGAACTGCCGTAGCAGCTTCATGGGACTCTGTGCGCCCAACAGGTCATCGCGCATCAGTAGTAACTGTGCCACAACGCAGAGAATGTTGAGATGTGCACCGTACGCTAGAAGGAAGTCCCAGAGCTTGAGGACTTCCGGCAGCGGCGGTGTACATGCAGAAAGAGTCAATACGGCTATCACCACACTCGTTAGCAATGGGACGGTACGTAATCGCGGGCTCAGAGACTTACATGGAAACGCATACAGCTCCGCAGTCAAGAATTTACTCTGCAGATGTTTGAACAGCACTGGATCCACCGTCTCGAGGCACTGGTCGACCAGTTTCAGCCCGGAGTGAACGCCCTCCATGGTCGGACGCACGTAGCCGGGACACTCGCGCTGGATAAAGACGGAAAACAGCGAGAACGCCTCCACTTCGCTCCTAGCGGCGTAGAGAAACGGCGCAGCGATCACGTTCATTCCCTGTACGTATTGCGCGTCCTGTGCGTCCACCCCTGTATCCTTCATCTTCCACTGGAACGCATTGAGCAGACGGATGATGGACGACTCCGAGACGCGGCGACGGAACAGCGGATCCGTGGCGAGCGTGCGGAACGTGTCGTTGCGAATCTTGGAGTAGCTACTCGAGGCTCCGCGCCTGACGAGAGCGACGTACTCGTTCGTCCGCATGGGTCCCACGCCGAGGAGGATCGACCAGATGTAGATGCGCAGTGCCGAGTTTCCATCGGCATCCGCCGCGACGCCCTGGGTCAAGATCAAGTGTCGCAGGTCTTGCAATGCTTCGGTGAGGGAAGCCGGGGGTTTGCTGATCAATCCCTCGATGGTGATCGGCTGCTGTTGTTGCGAGAGCTGTGCCGTCGATGCGGCTTTGCGTGCGTAGCGCGAAGCTGTGGATGACGACTCGCTGTGGCTGTGGCTGTGTGAGGACAGAGCCCCAAAGTTCGCCTGCGACACGGACCGTGAGCGGAGATGCTTAAAGTTCCGCGACGTCGGAAGGCCGTTGTTCTGGACCTGTGGCGCGTGGGTGGACATGCGGGCATTCGTCGCGGCGGCGTTGCTGTCGGGTTCGATGCCCGAGGCCGATGGAAACTTCCGGGCTCGACGGAGGAACGGCGGTGGGTTGGATGACATGATGGAATGGCTTCGATAACGGTGGTCCGAGGGGTGTCGGTGGTTTATGGCGGGAGAATAAGTTATTCGGGACTATCGGTGATCATGAACAATGGAATGGCTGGTCTACTGGTGCGTGTGTTTCATGGGTTTCATTGAGGGTGGAGGTTGTGCATAGTGCTGAGTTGTTACACACGAGCACAGCGGCCACGCTATCCACCAGAGCCAACCCCGCAACCACACGGCGCTTACATACCTAGTCCAGCTCACGCCCATTGACGCTAGTCTACAACTCTAGCTTGTGCAGCAATCACGACACGTCAACCCCGCGAACGCGACGTTGGACCTCGACAACAAACTGCCTACGACACCTCTGCACACGTCGCAATCATGCCAGAAGCTCCCACGATTCCCGCCACGCCCGTAGCAAAGCCCGTGCCGGTCGCCCAAGCCCACACACGCGAGCAAGCCGTCGCGTACTACGAGAAGGTGAAGAAGCAGCTACGTGATCTGATCCATCAGAAGCGACATCACGACAAGCAACTTGTATGGCCCCCCTTGCCTCTGATGCCGTGCATCCCTATTGACTCTGTCGTAGGCGTTGTACGAAGACAACATCTACAAGGCCGAGACAGCGTACCTCGAAGACACCCAGAACGGCAACATCATCAAGGGGTTCGACAACTACATCAAGGGGGGCGTGACGCGCCGCAAGACAGCCCTAAACGACACGGACCGGATCTTCTCGCTATCCTCGCTTACGTATGCAACCAAGGTATTCTTTCGCCCCCCTCTCCCCTCCCCCTGATCCAAGACTGTGTGTGCGTGGATGGTGACTAAGCGGGCTTGGCGGTATAAAACAGTTGCAGCAGGAGCAAGAGTCCACGCCCGTGACGGCCAGCTCCACCCCGACGGTTCCGGATCTACCACGGCTCCAGACATCACACATTGCCAAGAGCAACAAGAAGAATCCCAGCCGTAAGCGCAAGGCGGACGATGAGTCCGAGAGCGTGTCCGAGGTGGAGACGCCTGGGCCGAAGAGAGTGAGGATTTCGTTTTCGGGACAGGGCGGTCAGTAAGATGGCTAGCACAACTTGTGCGTGCCCGATAATGTCTTTATTTATTTATGAATAAGTGTATTTTAATCCGGACGGCGTAAATGGCGTTTGCTTGTCTTTGCTTTCTGGGAGGATCGGGTCATGTTTTTTTTCTTCTTTTCGCTCAATGCATGCATAGTCTGGTAGAATACAATGATGAGATTTGCACACAATCCCTATCTCGATGTCACGCATCACGCGTTAATAACACACATTTAATGGCTCATCGTATGTACTCGTATGTACATGAGAGGAGTGGCACTCAGCACACTTTTTTCTCCACGATTACATATTCCTCGGGAACTCACAAGCCCGCGGTGCTTTCCCCGCAAACTCGCCTGCTATTTATGCTGCCTAGTACCTAGGCCCAGACGAGAACTCTATATCTATGTGTCCGTCGACGGCAGCTCCGGCCGGCCTCAAGCTTGTGCTTGTGCTCGTGCTCGTGATTTCCCCACAGTCACATCGTGAAGTACCGCGGTCGGTTGATCGTCCCGCATGGCATAGCATGGCATGTTGCTTGTTGCTTGTTTTCTCCTCTTTTTCCCTCTTTTCTTCTTCTTTGCTTCTTTTTGCGGGGCAAGACGCTAGAAACAACTAGAAACACGCGCACGGACTCGAACTACCGTGGAACTAGAACTCGGGCCGAACCGGAGAGAGAAAGCTTGCTTTCACGTGGTGCCGAGCTTCGTCCCGTCCGATCGACGACGACGACGGTGGTGGTGGCAGTGAGAAATAAGCACAAATAAGCAGAAAAAGAAAAGAAACACCGCTGCTAGACTCGGAGGGCTTGCCGTAGGTAGGTGTTTGGGTAACTTGGGCTGAGCATATGATAATGGATGGATGGATGGATGGATGGATGGAATTTCGAGTCCTGTTCCGCTCAGCTCAGATTCTGCGGACGGCAAGATGGATTGCCACGGCTCGCGGATGGTGCTGTGAGCATGCTGTGTATCAGTATACCTACCAGTAGTAGTGTATAGAGTGGATTAGGTAGAGTACCACTTGACTGTTGGAGCACCCATTCACGACCTCACAGCCCGCAGCGGCCATGCCCAACTTCCGACTTGAAACCCGAAAGAAAAGAAGAAAAATGGATAGGATGTGAACATGCAGTATCACTCGACTTTTCCGCTATACGCCTATGTAGCACGGCCCCCGACCCCACCCGACCCCACCCCACCCCCCACCAACCCGGTAAGTCCGGAGAAGTGACGACCCGAGTCGACGACCAACATGTGATGCGTGCGATTCTTGCGATGCGAACCAGTGGAAAGTAGTTTCACGCGAAGGTGTTGCGGACGGACGGACGGATGGAAAACTGGCACATCAAGGACAAAGGACAAAGGTTAGGGGGTTTATGTATAGTATGTAGGGAGTTGGAACTTGGGCCCCACCGTCCGCGACGGGAAAATAGGTACGGCGGTGCCCGTAGACGGCGGGAATGAACGAATCGACATTCGTCGCCAGCCATCGATCACTCACACACACTCGCACAACAGAATCCCGAAATCCGGACTACCCTCCGCGGCCCATCCGTCAACGGCTCAAAGCTTGTCTCCCCCTCTTCTTCTCCTCCTCGTCGTCCTTCACACACCGTGACGTGCGTATGGTAGACTACCAGGCCTGTGAGAGAATTCGGCAGTGCTCGCTTCCAGAAACCCGTCAAGGTGGGTAGTAGGTACCCATCTACCCATCTGCAGAGATCCGGGTACTCCAGAGTACCCGGGTACATAGTACATATCCCTTCTCCTCTGCCCTCCGTATATCAGGTACTATTAGGTACATTAGGTACGTATCTCTGTGTGCGTATGTGTGTGGCAGTAGCCGCACCCCCTCGAGGCGAGTCGGTTCGCGAGCACGTGTATCCGCCTTGACTCTCGAGGCTCGGGTCCGGCCCGCCTTACCTACCAGATCCCGCATCACGGCAACTACCTAGAATGCATACATAAGCCTCAGTAGTCCTCAGTAGTCCTCAGTAGTCCTCAGTAGTCCTCAGTAGTCGTCGACTAGAGTTCTAATTAGCTGACGGGAGACGGACAGACAGCGGGGGATGTAACGCGATGGAGGATGGTTCGTTGGGTGATTCCGAGGCTGCCTGTGGGGGCGGAGAAGGGGCGGAGAAGAGGTGGGGAGATTTGTTGCACGTTTGGCACGTTTTTGCTAGGTGGGGATGTCTATGTAAGTGCCTATTGGAGTATCTATGTGCTCCAAAGAGGCTTCACCGGCGACTGGATCGAGGTTGTGGTCAGAGAGTAACGGGCCTGATCGGGGAGAGGGGAAGGGGGAGGGGGTATCGCAACGGCTATGCGTTTCACAGCAGCGTAGGTGCGTCCGTCATCCTGTCATCACATCTCCAATCGAGCACATCGTAGTCCAACCGTCCAAGGATATATACCGTAGAAGGATTCACAGCTCCCACGACACGGCTACCATAATCCATTAGAGTACCCACATACCCAAGTACATATCTATAGCCCCTACTCCCTCCGCCGAAGGGCCGAAACTTCGCCCAACAGGGCGTGCGGGCATTCATTCCTATCCGCACCTAGCTCCCCCTTAGCCTTCGCGGGTTCCCGGCAACTAAGTAAATTCGTCATCCGCCGGACTGGCCGCCAGACGCCGATCCCCTCGGCGAGCATCCTGGATTCCTGGTCGTGGCATCCATGTCGTCGTCGGACGAACCAATAAACCAACCAAACTCGGGCGGAATCCGGATACGTAGGTAAAACAGTCTACAGGCAGAGCCCCCTTACGCAGGTACTGACGGTACGTTTCGACGGCGAGAGGATCCGAGACGTAGAACTTCATCGAGCAGCGGCGGGGACGCGCGGTGGGTAGTGGGTACTTATGATGTGTGTACCTGGGTATGTATGATGGTGGATATGGTGGTAGGTTCGGTCAGCACCGAATTCACACGGAAGACCTGTCACCTCAGGGCTCCACGCATACGCACACGACACACATACTCGGTGCTTAGCTAACTTTTCCAGGGACTCGAAATCCACTCGAATTTACTCATCCACTCATCCCTTCATCCCTTCATCCCTTCATCCTTCATCCCTCATTCCGAGACGGTCGGAGGTTGCATAATATGCAAGCACCCGCCGCGGTCGCCGCGGCCCCGCTCTCCTTCCTTTCGTCCCCCTTCGTCCCCCTTCGTCCCCCTTCGTCCCTGCGCGGTCGATTCAGGCTACTATATAGTAGTACATAGAGTAGACGAGCGAGCTCGGTGTATCATAATATAGAGTAGAGTAGATATAGTAGAGTAGAGTACCCCCCCAGCCCGCCGAGTCGCTGAGTCGCTGACGAACTTGTGGGGTGCCCAACATCTCATCACTACTCCCTCTACAGTAGTTTCGATAACCGCAATCGACAGGATGCCACACATTCCGCCTACAGCTAGAGTACTAGCAGGTGGGTAGGCACTCGCGACTGCACGGCGGCGGCGGCGACGGAGGAGGACGACGACTATGTAGGACGACGACGACGGTGAGGACGACGTTAACCGCCGCACATGGTTACTGAGTGGCATATGTAGGTACATACCTGGGTACCTGCCTGCCTCCTTGTCCATGGGGGCCGCCGCCGATGCACATACACACATACACATACATAACAGGAAGGCCGCTCTCTCGCGAGGATTTTCCGAAAACTTGCGAAAACTTGCGAAAACTTGCGTCGATTACAGTACCTGGAGACTGGAGCATTGTATGGTGCTTGATCGTCCAACTCGCGGCCGGCCTGAAGGTATGCACCAGTACATAGGCAGTATGTACCTGTAAACCCGCGGCTTCGGCGTAAGCGGGTCCACCTTTGACCACGGAGAGAGAGGGAGTGTCAGAGAGAAGGTGCGACGTTGTCACCGCGGCGCACTCGGCGCAGTCGAGTCTCGGCAACGGACGGACACGGCTTCGCTTTGTTTTTCGCTTTCGTTTCGCTCCTCGCTCCTCGCTCCCCACTCCTCGCGGGCTAGGCTACCTAGCCTAGGGTGGAGTAGGTAGGGTGGAGTAGGGCCGTCAATGCTCGAAGCTTCCGCCCCCTCGAGCTCCTGCCCAAACAATCCTCGGCGATTCCTCGCAGCAGCAGCGCAAACCAATATCGCGGCAGGGGCGAGGGGTAACTTACCTACTAGTGACCAATTTTTAGTCGCGCAGACGATTTTCCCTGGATAGATAGATGGATGGATGGCTGGTGGGCTGGCTGGATGGATGGCTGGTGGGTGGAGAAAGTTACTCTAAGATGATCATCCGCTTCAATCGCAATACTCTAGTATAAAGTATCCAGCCCTGAGCATACGAATCCAGAGTAGAGTACCTGAAGTAGTTCGCCAGCCCCTCCCCTCCCCCTCCTCCCCCAGATCTGCCCACAACCCCATGGCTCCACGGAAAAACAGAGGATTCGTACGATACGATGATTCTCCAGTCCCCTCCCCTCCACACGCCTCTACTCTACATATGATAGATACAAACCAGCCCGACAATCGCAGCTAGCTAGGTCCAACCCCATCCCTCCCGCTACATATGCAGCGGCGGGCGCGCATTATCCACGGACCACGGCTAAAAAGGCGTTGCATGTATGTACGTACTGGTACCTACATCATGTACCTAAGGCGATGCGGCCAAGGCTATGCATGTGGTCATGTAACCAAAACCCACGTGGAACCGTTTCCCCCGTCCTAAATACCTACTAGTAGGTAGGCTACCCCTCGCCGCCGCCACCACCGCGGTCGCCGCCGATGCCGCCATGGCGTTTCCGCTGGTGCCGCCGTGGCGTTTCTGGAAGCCAGGACTGCGAAGCATCAAGCTCCAAGCCCAACACTCGCGGCTCCAACCTCCAGGTAGTCTCCAGCCTCTAGCTTCCAGCCTCCAGCTTCCAGGTCCGCGGCTTCAGGCCCGCAGTCGGGAAACAGGAGGAAACACACTCCCCAGCCAGCCAGCCAGTCCACCAACCAGCCCACCAGTCCTCCCACCAGCCCGCAAGTCCGCCAGTCCGCGCTCGGAGGAAGAAGAAGGTAGTACTCAACATCGATGATCACTATAGGGTACATAGAGTACATACCTACGATCGCCCCAACCGACCAGGTTTCCATCGTCCAGAACGAAAGAATTTTTATCGTGTACATAGTATGTATGATTCTACCGGTAATCCTTGCTTCCTGCTTTCCACGGAAAAACAGACCGGACCGGGAAGGAAGAAGGAAGAAGGAAGAAGGGGCCGAGGTGAGGTGAGGTGTGGGTTCCACTCTCGACGGGCTTGGACTCACGGTTGGACTTGGACGGTTGAACCCGGGCTTAGGATAACTTGTTCCGAGGGTCGTGGTCACTGGTGGTAATGATGATGGTGGAGACAGGACCCGCCAAAAGTTTCGCCGTTTCGTTGGGAATACATCCTGCGGTCTTGGTGCAAATGCAATCTTCGTGATGGGTATCTGATATGCTACTAACGTATCTACCGCGATACAACAAAAAAAATACACAGTCAGGTAGTGGTACATATCCCGTCAGAAGCCCCCCAAAAAACCAACCTGTGGGGAAAATGGAAAAAAATGACACCCATTATACTCCAGATAAACACCCGCCGCCGCGCCCGCCGCCCTGTCCCCCGCCCTGTCCCCCGCCCCGTCCCCCGCCCCGTCCCCAAAAAAATACACAACCCCCCCTCCATTTAGAGTAAAGTAGAAGACTAGCCCACCAGCCCACCAGGAAAAGCTCGAAAAAAATCATAATATATACATGAAACCACACCCAAGCCCGAGGAAGGACGCGAGTTGGAGAAAAAAAAACCTGTAAAACTACATAAATACAAAAAAAAATATGACCCGCACACACCAAAACAAACGCTGAATGCTGAGGAAAGGAAAGGAAACGAAGCGAGGGTGCGGAGGATGAGGGATATAACCCGCTAAAAGGCCCAAAGAGGTGAAGTCGCCAATATGAACAAGGACGGATAAAAAGCGGAAAAAGGGAACAACCAAAAAAAAGAAAACGCAAAGAAAGACAGAAAAAGCAAAGAAAGACAGAAAAAGCAAAGAAAAAGAAAAAAAGAGGCGTCGAGGTCTCGATGCGTCTATTTCGCAAAGCCAATTCGGGCTCCCTCCGGGAATTTCGGACCTCCGCTAACGGGTGTTCGGTTGGGTGTATTGTCCGCGTACGGAGAGAACGATGGCGGATTCCGAGAATCTGGACTGTTGTCGTAATTCGGTAGATCGTGGAACGGCGAGAATGGGGGCGGCGGGGGACTCCGACTCCCACCGGACTCGAGATCGTGGTAGGTGGGATAGGGGACCGCCGACGCGGTGGTGATGCTCGGCGTCGGCCGTCCTCGCATGTGCGCTGAGAAGGTGGACGGGTTGTATTCGCGCAGCGAGCTGGTGAGGTCTGTCCGCACGATGGAAGGCTCGGGCTTCATCAGGTTGAGGTCGGCGGTGGACGCCGTGTGTCGCGTCTTGCTCTCCAGCATCTCGTACGACGAGTTTGTGGGCTCCGAGATCCGTCGAGCGTTGTATGACACAAACTCGTCGGGCGATTTCAGGGGCACGAAGCATTGCTTGATCATGGCGAACCAGGCGGGATAGATGCTGGGTCGTCCGAGCAAGATGAGCGCCCAAATGCCGTTGAACTGCGGGAATGTTAACACGGCCGAATTAAGAGGCCAGCGATGGATTAGACATACCGAGAGCAGAAACAGCACGGAGAACGCTGTCCCTTCGGACACCACCAATTTGCTCGCCTGCTTGTGACATTGGTTCTTATCGCCATCGTTGATCAGCATGCACAGGAGCCAATCCAGGGCATGGCTCTGGTTCGTCTCGTTCCTCTGCGTGGTCCCATCGAACTGCAGGAAGACGGTCGAAAAATAGATGACGTCCGCCAAAATGATGATAACGACAAAGATTCCTCGCCACTGAAGCGCAAGCACTCTTCGGATGCGTCGGAAAGCCTGGAACGCGGTGACGGTCCTGAGGCTGGTGCTGTACGGGTTGTTGGAACCGCTGGAGGCCTGAGTGTTCGATGGCTTCTCCTCGAACAGGGAGCGCAGATAGACCTGAGTGACATATCCGAACCTATAGATCGAGTCAGCATCAACTGCGGGGGCGGTGTTGCGGGGGACGGTATACTGACGTTATGGATTGCGTGACGATGGAAGCTGCCGCCATCGCAAGCATCGGGCCCCAGAATGTCTGGATGCCATTCTTCGAGTTGATGTGGCAAGATTCACCGAAGCGGAAAGAGACACCGGTCACGGACATGGCGGCTGCCAGAAACACCGCCGGGATCGACCATCCGGCCAACTGGGCACCCACAAAGAACTTGTTGCCAGGTACAACCTGCCAGCAAATCTGAAGGTGAAGCGAAAGGGTTCGCAGAAAGACTAAGCTGTTGTCAGTGGACTGAATCCTTCGGCTCAACTCGAGGGCTCCACATACCCCACATCACTGCACACATGCCTCCACCCAACAGCAATGCACCCGAGAGCGCACAGTTGACGCTTGAGTGCATGTCGTGGGGCGTGATCAGGTCGTAGCATTGGTTCATTTGGTTTCCCAGAGGTACCACAAAGGACAGCTATCAAGTAGTGTCAGTGGGGTGGCTCTGCGTACTATGCACAGGTTGGCAGTGTATGCGTCACGTACCTGCATCAACAAAACCGCCACGGTCAAGCAAACACTCAGGTAGTGGCGGCGTGTCGCTTCTATCGGAAGCACGCCAAAGCTAATTAGGAGGAAGCAGCAACAGACGACGCTGACGAGGTTGATATAAGTTGTCGAGTGGATCATCTTTTGGAATCCTGCCAAAGCCAAAAGAAATCGTCAGACCGAGGCGGGAAAGAATACGGAGGAGGATGATGAGTGACATACGGTCCGGGTAGAAATAGTTTTGCTTTGGACATGGCAGACAGCATTCTGGAAATCCTTTGATGGGAAGCGGTGTACAAAACCGAGCATTGATATCTGTAAATCCACCATCAGAACAAGCCCCGATAGGTACACAACTCGGTGGCGTAGCAGATCGGCTCACCTCCTCTGAGTTTCGGGAACTGGTATAGCGGTAGAAAAGGTTCCGGACATGTGTAGTTTGCGGACGAAGTCATCTTGCGCGGTTGTGATGGTCAAACGTGGGGAGAAAGGCCCCAGATAGCAAGGTAGCCTCGAGCAGCCCGGTCGACGGTTTGCAAATCAAATCCGAGGGTGTTTCCCAACACTTGAGCTGGCTAAATCTGGTTGTATGTATGTGTATTGTGTATGTGTATGTATGATACTGAATGCGAGTTTACCGAGTCGAGTGATCGTGATACGTAGGAGGCCGTGGACGTAGGTACTTGATGTATGTAACTGATGACTATTTTTTTTGTTGCTGTCTGGGTTGATATATGAGTATGATGATGATCGTCGAACTCGCAGTCGCAGTCGCTGACTTCGTTTTCCTTCCCGTGAATTGAAGTAGGATTCCCAGCTGTAAGTACTTAAGTAAGTAGGCTGTAGTTAACTAACTGGAGGGCAGCAGCAGCAGCAGCACGAGGTGTGTGTGTGTGGGGCAGGCCTCCATGATAAATACCTACACTTGTATGGGCCCTGCAGCACACACACACACTCACACACACAGGCACACACAGGCACACACACGGAGGCAAATCTACTTTGGAGGAGAAGAAGAAAGAAGAAGCTACGGTGCCTGCGATGCCTGCGATGCGGAACCATGCGCTTGGGAGTGCGACTGGAAGTGCGACTGCTTGGGGAGGGGAGGGGAGGCCAGGCCAGGAGTGATGGATGGATGGGTTGATTCGCCAGGGTGCGATGGGGCGCGCAGGGGTCTGTCTGTGGCCATCTGCTAGGTAGGTACGGTATTGAGGCGCGGCGGTGCGGTGCGATGCCCTTCGAGGGTAAAGGCTTGGAGTAGGTAAAACTCTAGACTCTGGAGTAGGCAGGCTGGCGATAGGCGGAGGGGCACTCTGCAGGCGCCGGGCGAGTGGCACTCGTCCACGTCCATCGTCCATCGTCCATCGTCCTTCAGGGATAACTATCCTATCCGTCGCGCAGGGCCGCAGGCCGCAGGCCCCACCGCCCCACCGCCCCACCGCAACTACCACATACCACACCCCCTCTCTCTCTCTTGTCTTGTACCAGTACCCCAACTCACAGCCTCCCTAGAAAATATTCTAGGGGGGAAGGCGTCAAAACGGGCCTCGAACGAAGGTGGTGGTGCCGGACGAACCGGTAAAATTGAGAGCTCCGCGCGCGACAATGGCAAATGGCAGAACACCAATGGGATCGTTGTTGCTCGCTCGCTTGGAGGTTGGAGATTGGGGATGGGAGACTCGGTGTACGTCTGTCATCAAAGGAGAATAAGAGACTCGAGCTCTCGTGAGCTCAGTGTACCCCCTCTCTGTGTCTGGGTCGCAGACGACGAGGAGGCCGGGTGTTGCCCCACACACCCCGATTGTCGATATCATATCACACTCTACTCTACATGGAGTACTCTACTCTAGATGAGCTGGACCCAAGTCAAGTCTGTGCGGACACGCACCGGACGGGAGGGCACTCTCGTCCCCTCTCGTCGGGATTCCCTCTCGTCGGGATCCCCTCTCGTCCCCTCGTGCCTCGAAGTTTACTCTGCGTACTATTTACCACACTATAGTACCTATACTAAACTATACTATAGTAGTACACCAACTTAGATCGTTGGATCCGCAAGGGTTCATCCTCATCGTCGCGCACGGCGTTGTCTTTTGCTTCTTTTGACTCTGGCTGGACTGGACTCGACTCTGCATTGAGCATTGCGAACAGCGTGGGTGTGGAATGCGGCTGCGGACCTGCGGCTGCACACGCTGCCGTTCGGTTCGTTGTTCGGTTCGTTGCGAGGGTTGTGAGGGTTGTGAGGGAAGTGAGGGAAGTGAGGGAAGTGAGGGAAGTGAGGGAAGTGAGCCTCCGTCATGCCCTATGTACCATAATCGTGCTTGTGCCTGGTGCCTGAGCAGAGAGAGACCGAAACGGCGCGGTGCGAGTCTCGCATAGGTACGGTACCAGTTAGGTGCCAGCCTCGGCAAGGGCTCGCTCAGCTCAATGAGTACCGTACTCTACACAGGGGACACAGGGGCACTCCCGGAGGATGAGAACTCGGCTACACACAACTTACAAGTGGTGAGGATTTCGAGCGCCTTACCGGCTCGCCTACGCCATGCTCCGATTGCTTATGTACTCCTTCCTTCTCTGATGCACGGGGGCGGGGGCGGGGACTAGAGTAGATACCAGAGTACGGTATGCACATAGGTAAGCAGGTAGGTGCCGACCTCGCGCCATGTGTATATCGGTATCTACGCCGCAGGCGAGAAGGACATCCCGCTCCATGTGGCATCTGGCATCTAGCATCAATCTACCAGCCTCTCCGGGGCTCTCCCTCATACATAGACACGCAGTCGACCCCACAGCGCAGCACGTTGCAACTTGCAAGTCGGGGGCGGGGGCGACATCAATGCGAACCCATGACATCGCCAGCATACCTACCGTAGACGCCGCGGACGCGCGCCGAAGTCTATCATAGTATGTACAACGCGAATTCCCGCCGTCACCGACTCTCGGGCACTTGCCAGTTGCCACTGCACCCCGCCGTCATCGCCATCGACTCGGGCACTGCAGCCCTCCGAACCTCGGGACCCCGGGGCCTCCGGGACCTCCGGGACCTCCGGACTTCCGGTTGCCGCGGTTCACTGCTTCACTGCTTCAGAGCTTCAGAGCTCCATCGAGCGATTCCTCGGGCACGGGTGCGGGCACTGCTGTTCAAGCATTATCAACGGTCAGTTCATGTGTGCATAACTACGCCAGCCAGCCAGCCAGCACGCCAGCACGCCAGCACGCCAGCCAGCCACATAATCTTACAAGCAAATGTCCCAAGAGCCACGGCCGGCCGCACTGACTTCCCTCCACGCTCCACGCGAGCGCTCCTTAGAGTATGTACAAAGCTTACACACAAAGCTTAGGATCGAGGCCCACCGCTCTGCTCTATTATGTCTGTATTTGTCCTCAGGGCCCGAGGCTTGAGCGGGATTGTCGTCATTTCTCGATTCGATTTGGGAAATGGAAATGCACTCCGCTGCTGCTCGGAAGCGAAGTGTCGTAATTCTAAGTTTGTACGATACCCTATGTAGCCCGGCCGGCCAGGCGGAACGTCATCGTTGGTCTCACCATTCTGTTCGCCGCGGACTGTGGTGGTGGTGGTGGTGGCATTCCTGCCAGCTACTCTACCTGCTCTGGGTATCGGCCGAATAGGTGGAATAGAATAGGTATGTGTGGTAATCAAGCTGGATGAGCAAAAGAGTAAAGAGAGTTTGCGCGGGCGCTCTCTGCCCATCTGTGACAATCCGTCTCGGTACCCTACTACCTACTATACCGAGAGTAGTTGGTGCCATTATCGCAGGACTGAGGAGAGATGTCCCATTGAATTGAGTTTGCAAGGAGGCATTCGCCGTTCACTCACACCTCACTCACTCACCTCACTCGCAAACTCATCGCATGACGGCTTTGCTTCTTTTGCTTCTTTTGCTTCTTTTGTCTCTGAACCAAGAACCCCCGCCCTCCCCGCCCCCCTCCACATCATACTCTAGAGAAAAAAAGAAAGCAGGAAAGAACCTCGAACCCACGCGCGGTCGCGCCCGCTGCGCAGCTGCAAGCTGCAGCTGCAGATGTCTTTCATGCCCTACATTCATGCGCAGTGTCTTCTTCTTCTTTGCCATGCCCACTGCCCATTGCGCATTGCCCATTGCACACGTGAACATGCACGTCCCAGGCATCATGCAGTTGCCAGTCAGTCTGAACCATCGTCGTCTGCTCGTCTTCATCGCTAGAAGAAGAAATGTGATTTGGTTGCTTCGCTTTGCCGGCCGCTGCTGAGCGGGACGATGACGATGGTGATGCGCAAGCAAGCGAGTAAGCGAACGGCAGCTAGTTGATATCCAGACTCCCGAACGGTCAATATCCACACACAATCGCATATTCCCACGATCGCAGACACCACCGCCCCGCCGCCGCCAAACAGTCCTTGTTTCCCACGCCGCCCGACTGCGGACTGCGGACTCTCGCTTCGGCATGTACGTATCTATCGATATCGATATCGTCTCCAGATTCCAGAAGCTGCAACCGGTACCGCCGTATGTACCATAACTAGTATTATCGCTCTGACACATTGCATGGAAACGCTCCAGGTCGAGCTCAGTCGAGCTCGAGTTCAGGCCTAGGTAGCCGCCGCCGCCCTGAAAGAGCTAGTTAGAGTGGTAGTTGAGTGAATGTTCGCCGGAAAGAAACGAAACGCCCTCGTTAATGGATCATGGTCATGCCCTACCACGAATCCAAGATGCGATATCCATAGTCGTACCAGGTCATACGTAGTCTGGGCAGGCCTGCCTATATCAATGCCTTCGCGACCCAACAGATTTTCTTTTCCTTTTCCTTTCCCTCCTCTCGGCCAGCGGTCACGTCGGAGTCAGCGGTTCGCTGGGCTGGGCTGGGCTTGACTCACGTGCATGTACCATGACATCGTTCTCCGCAGCTGTGTACTAGTACTCTGCGGTACCTAGAGTAGCGGTAGAGTATATAACGGTCCCGAGCTGAAGCCCCGCCTGCGCGCCCGCCGCACCGCACACACGTACCTACCAGGTACATGCTTCATGCTTCATGCTTGGTGCTTGGTGCTTGGTGCTCCATGCTACCATCCACGTCGATGAGTACTATAGAGTACCTACAGCGCGCACGCAGTGCCCCGCCCCCCGATTCCCACCGATTTCCAGTTCCCAAGCCGTCAACCGGAGAGAGAGAGAGAGGGATAGAGGCGGCGATCGGTGGGTGGATGTGTCGTTGGGTTTGTAAAGTATGTAGAGTATGTAGAGTATGTACAGTAGTCGTTATCCGACACGCAAGTTGTTGTTGTTGTTGTCGTGGGTGTGGGGGTGGGGTTGTTCTGTAGGTAGAGTACCTGGAGTACCCAAGGTAGAGTACGTACCTCACATGGACGCCCGAGGATCATCCATATCCGTTTCCGGAAGTGAAAGCGACCAACATGTTTCATCGTTTTGTTTATCGAGCTCGAGCCCGATTGGAGGAGATCCTCCACCTGCTCCTCCCCCTCCTCCTCCTCCTCTTCCTCGTCGAGTTGCCGAAAGCGTGCGCTGGTTACGTGGAGGCTCCTGCTCCAGAGCTCACACTTACCATATCATATATGGCAGCGATTTCTTGATTCGATTCGATTGGACGATATCGCAGTGTCGGATGTTTCGAATCCTCGAATCCCCTCTCAGAGTCGCAGCCGCCTTCTCTTGCTTGCCTGCTTTCTCACCCCACCCACCCCTCCACCCCTCCCCCCCGTCACCCAATCGCAAGCCAAACGTTAGGATTCAGCACACCCACTCGCAGAGTCGCAGCCCACCCTCCCTTCCCTCCGAGAACCAATGGAAATTCCGATGCAACAGTTGAACGCACATATTGTACGCACATACTTCTGCACGGTGGTGCATGGTGGTGGTCGCTACCCGGGAATTGTTCACATCAACAAAAAAAACCCCCCATTTTGCGCGCGAAGGATGGAGTGTGGAGGGTGTGTGTGGGTGGGTGGGTGTGTGTAGGTGGGTGGGTATGGCAATGAAGTGCAGTACCTGCATGCTTACTACTACATAGTATGACGGGCGGCGGCGGGTGAGGAGGTTACTACAACTTTGTGTGTAGTAAAGGTGTACCAGTACAGACATTGGGAACTTTTTCTACAGGGGGTTGATGGGGTATTTGATGTGCACTCTACTCTCGGTATTCAAGATGCCATCCGGCCCAACTGCCCAACTGCCAGTCTGCCATGGTCAGTGGCCACAACGAGGCGGCGGCGAGGATTTATTTAGGATTACTTTGAGCATCGCAAGGCCTGAAGAAAGCATCGTTCACCTACTTACCTCCTACCTTCTTAGTATGTACTCTACATAGTACGTACGCATACCGTCCTGCCTGATTCCTTCAGGCAACTACTGGCCTGCTACTCTACTCTATGTAGATGGGTGAGGATTCCAAAAGGAGAGGTCTCCAAACAGGAAATAGGGAAAATCGATATACATACCGGTACTCACTCTGGATCCGTAAGATCTCTCCTATATAATATATTCCCATGTATGTATGAAAACTCGCTCGCCTCCCTCGACTCCCTCGAACTTCCCCTGAAAGTCTGAAAACCGCAACCCTACCCTACCATATCACTCCGAATCCGGCATATACACCGTGCAGCGAAGGGGAGGGAAGGATTGAATCCCCGTCCTAGGAAGTAGGTTGATGGAAGATTAGCACACCTACTCTAGAGTACTCTACCTAGAGTACCCAGAGTAGATACCTGGACTTGACTTGACATATTCCCAGCCCAGGGTTGCGCCGGCCCAACCATTTGCTTGGACCTTTGACCTGGGGCCTGGGGCCCGGGGGCAATGGACAAGTCGTCATACAATAGGTACAATTGGTACGATACCTACAAAGCGAACGGATACCTACCTGTCTATCTACTTGCCTACTTATGTAAAACGAGTCGGATGTGTGTGTGGGCGTGCTCATAGGTGGCGTACTATATGGTATGCCACTCTAGTACGGTAGCTTCTAACATTGAGGAGTCGAGCCGGGGACTTCTCCAACTTAAGCGCCAGCCTCTAGGAGATTTATGTACATATAGCGGATCGACTGGAGGAGCGGAGAGATGAATCGTTTGGTACGTCTACATACAACGATAGGTAGTTGCTTCACCACCCCTACCGGTTATGTCGATCTTTCTACTACGGTCCAGTCTCCAACAAGCGAGCGAGCGAGCGAGTCGGGATATATCTGTCTGTCAAGCCTGAAGGAAAGTGAGGAAGTGAGGAACTGTGTCCGACTGGTGGATCATATGTAGGTATGGCAGGCGGATGGGCGGGTGGCTTGCATGCTTCCGAAGTCCCGTGAGGTCTCGTAGCTTCGGTGATTTGCTGCTTCGATGCAACGGCCAGGAGGCAGAGTGGGCGAAGTGGGGTTGGAGGGGGTTCGTTCTACGGATATGAAATGCGGTCGAAGGTCGAGCTTCTCATCCCCCTCCTCTCCATCTCCTTCTTTCCTCCCAGCCGACCCCCGGCCCGTATGAGGATTACAAGTTCACAATTGTCGAGCATGTTGGTAAGTACCGATTCCGATGCCACTGTTGATCTTCCCCGCCGCCCCTCGGTGCTCACCGCCTTCCACGGAGCTATCGGTATGTATCATACATACGTTACTCAAGGCTGAAGCCTGTAAGCTGTTGGTTTTCATCTCCGTGCCCCTCCTCCGCCCATCCCTCCATCCATCCCTCTCTCCCTCCCTTCATCCCTCCCTCCCTCCCCCGATCCTTCCACCCACCCCTACACAGTACAACCTCAACCTCGCCGTGAAAAGGAGATCGCTGCCTGGGGGGGCTGAAAGCACCAGATATGTACCTACACGTTTCTCGCACCTGTCCGTGTCCGTGTCCGTCGTCTTACGAGCATTCCAGTGGTCCAGTGGCACAGCAGTGACAGCACCAGCACTCCGACCCGACCTGACATACTTGTTTCCGACCCGAAACCCCCCTCCCCCTCCCGCCCTTCCCCCGCGCGCAACACCACCTCGTCCGGCCCAGCCAGCTGGATTCGGCCCGCTGCTCCCATCCCATCCCATCCCATCCCATCCCATCCCACTGGCAGGAGCATGTCGATAGCGGATCATCACTTAAGCTTTTCCGCATGTCGATCCATCACGGATGTGTCGAAACCGCTTCACGGGGCTGGGTAAAGTTACCGGAGAATATGCGATCCTCCGCATGAAACGCCACTGCCGAGTGACATCCCGTGAACGCATGACACGATCCACATCCTCCGCACCCTCCACTTTCTGCTTACATTGCAGGTTGCAGGTGGCGCATACCACATACCACAACGCTCATGCGTACGATGCGTGCGGGTGTGCGGGTGTGCAGGTGTGTGGGCGCGCATTCCAGCCCAGTCATGCTGCTTCCTTCTTGCTTCTTCCAAGACCAGCTCCATGCCATCCGCGCATTGTCCAGAATCCAGTGAACATACTAGGTACGCCGCAGCGCAACAGCGTCCGGACTCCAAACTCCACGCACCCCATCCACCCCCAGCCTCGCCAGATCCGCCAGATTCGCCATCATCACCTTATTCTTATTTCTAAATGTTTGGTATTCCCAGACAGGTACATGCGATACGGAATCGAAATCGGAAACACAGCCTGGGCTATGTACATACCTGGCCTGCACGCGGCAAGGTACAGGGTGCACTCGGCGGCTATGGTGGGTTCGGGCCGGTGCTGGGGTCGCTCTCACCCCCCAGCAGTTACATATGGTGCGGTGTATGTATGTAAGAAGTATGTACGCAGTGGGCCTTTGCTATGTGTTTAAGGCTGTTTGTGACTCTGTAACTCTATGATGTGGTTGTATATATGTCGTGCATGCGCGTGCTTTGCACCGTTTCCGACCCGACCGTTGAGTGCAGATATGATGGGAGCTTCCAGAAGCAGGCTGGAAGGGGCGTACCACTGGGAGCTGAGGGAGTTCTGATACACCCTTCCGCCCGCGCGGAATTGGGTTTGGAGTTTTTTTCTCCGAACGGCAGATTGGCAGATTGGCCGAGTCGGGTGTTGTGCTGTGTTGTGTGAGGTCTCAGATCTCACATGCACCTCGTGGATCAGAGTGAGAACAAGTGATACACGGGGGGGGGGGGCTCATGATAAGTTAATCCGAAACAGCACATCATGTACCTAATATAGTCGCTAGATAGGGATATATGTACTCGGGGTTGTGCAATGTGGGGTACGTTTGATCAAGTACATGTGTGTAGGTGTAAATCAATGTATTCCTACTCTAAAGCTAAAGCTATATGTAGAAACCATCATCACCAAGTTTTAACACCTGCCGGATCTCCGCCATGGATCGCCAAGGCCCAAGGGAATGTTCCGTTCGAGATCCACCGTCGAGACGAGATGGATTCACCCGTTGACAACAACGGTCGGCCTTGTTTGTACCGGCGCTCCTCGAGACCCCGGCATTGCCTGGTTGGGTTGCGCGAGTGCACCTTTTCAACATCGTCAGGCATGCATGGAGGATCGGGTGCACAACACCACGATGCCCAATGCATTGCTGACGGAATCGTCAGCGCCGAGCGTGCGTGCCACAACATCCGCTCGGGCAATATTCAGCTCTGCTCAGCATCCTCGGGAAGAACCCCATCCCCATCCTCGGTAAATCATCCTCGGCGCCGGTACTATGTAGTACTATGCTCGTCACATCGCCCATTCCTTCGTATAACCAACACTATTACACTTTTCCAATAATCAGCCATGCCCTCGGAGATTATTTGCAAGAATAGACATGAGAGAAAAAGGAGGTTGTCAGAAGTCCGGTATAATCTTCGCTCCAGTTCTGCAGCCCGAGGGCTACAGAACGTTTGTTGGAGCTCTGTTAAGAGGTGCCAAAATATGCAATGGATCATCATTCAGGGCGGGGAAGGGGAAGGGGAAGGGTATGGGGGTGTGGGAGATGGGGGAAGAGAGAGGACGTACTGTTTGTTCACGGGCGCGGGCGTCGGCGGGGTTGGTGATGCCGCATCAATTGTGTGGTCGGGGGGACGCGATGTTTTGCAGTGCAGAGACTTTTCTGCGCTTTAACGTAGCTGGGGCGGCGAAAACCTCTGGCGGGAGGGTTAGTCGGTGCGGCTCTTCCTAGGGTCCAGTGCGGCTCTTCCTCCTCAGCCGCTAGTTGCATGACTTGCACGAAAAGTTAGGGCAAACCCTTCCGCGCACACACAAACCGTTCACCCCGCGCATCCACACACACTACTGGGCAAAGTATCGCCAAAAGTGACCAGCCAGCCAGCTAGAAGCCCACGACAACCGACTCGACAAACTACGGAACCCCTCCCCGACACCTCCAACACCACCGAAAACCAGCAAATCAGTCGCAATGGGTCGTCTTCACTCCAACGGAAAGGGTATCTCGGCTTCCGCCATCCCCTACTCGCGTATTCCCCCGAGCTGGTACGGATACTCTACCCCCCGCCCACCCAGGAGACGCGCTCGACGGATGAAGCGCGATGAGTGGGAAGAAAGAGATATTGACGCGCTCGACCCCGCAGGCTCAAGACCACCCCCGACCAGATCACCGAGAAGATCTGCCGTCTGGCGCGCAAGGGTTCCACGCCCTCGCAGATCGGTGTTGAACTTCGTGACTCGCACGGAATCGCCCAGGTCAAGGTTGTCACCGGTATGCAGCCTGCTACTCCTCCTCCTGCGCTCCAGGAATCAAATCGTGCTCGAAGCTGACAGAAGAATAGGAAACAAGATCCTCCGTATCTTGAAGGGACAGGGTAGCTACTCCACCTCTACCTCCACCACTCGAGCCGTGGTCCACCGCCGCGCCGGACCATGAGCGAACATACCAGTTATGCCTCTGCTTGGTTTCATAGACTGACAGAGAGATTTTTATTCGATAAGGCCTTGCACCCGAGATTCCTGAGGATCTCTACATGTTGATCAAGAAGGTGCGTTCCGTTCTTGCCTGCGTATGAGGGGACGAAAGCGAAGATATTAACTTTTCGTGTTAGGCCGTTGCAGTCCGCAAGCACCTCGAGCGCAACCGCAAGGACAAGGACTCCAAGTTCCGTCTTATTCTCATTGAGTCGCGTATCCACCGTCTGTCCCGCTACTACAAGTCGGTCGGCGTTCTTCCTCCCACCTGGAAGTTGTACGTTTTCCCACCTCTTTCCCCCCGGTTGACGATATTTGCGATGCTAATGCTCTGCTTCCCACAGCGAGTCCGCCACTGCCTCTGCCCTTGTTGCTTAATTAGGTGTTGGGGAATAAAAAGTAGTTTTCACAATGTTCTGTTTCTGGAGAAATCAATCAAGACTGTGATCCCGTCCTCGTTGAATGTGACCGATTATTTGTCCCGAATGTGACCCTCAAATTGTATCGCGCTCATTGCTGTATTATCGTACAAGCCCGCCCAGAAAAACCACACCAGTAATGATCAGATGACCGAGTAAAACTACCGGATATGCCTGTTCAAGTGTAAATTTCCAGTATTTCCCTTCTGCAGAACGCCAAATCAAAGAGCACCCAAATCCCACTTCCTTCTCTAACTCTATCCACTGCCCACAACACCCCTACGCACTACCATTTGCATCCTCCATCTTAACATCCTTATCATCGTTACTCGCCAGTTCCTTATGTTTCTCCTCCAGGAACCTCGCCAGAGCCAGCAGGGGCTCTTTCGGCTGCTCACGTGCCAGCATGGTCATTCCCTCCAGGAGGGCAGGCGTGACATTCTCGTTCAGGAACTTTCTTGCGGGCGCGCCACCAGGCGGGATCTGCTTTGCAGCCACGGCGGGGACTGGCGCGGGCGACGGCTGCTTCGAGATCGGGGCGTGCTGCGGCGGCGACGGGTGCGCTGCGTAGCCGTGCTGCTGCTGCTGGGGCGGAGGTGCGCGGGTTTGTACCGGTGGTGATTGCTGCAGTATCGGCTTGCCGGGGGCCTGTTGGTATTGCATCTGGTACTGGAATGGAGGTTAGCTTGCGCCGTGCGCGTCAAGGACGCGTAGGAGGAGGATGGTGGGATATGGACATACTGGCGGCTGGCGGCTGGGAGAGTATGACTGTGGGGGAGGACTCTGCTGCTGTTGTTGTTGTTGCGCCATGGGGAATTGGGGCTGCGGCGGCGGCGACTGGTACTGGTACGGTGGCGATTGGTGTTGCTGCTGCGGTGGCGGGAACGCCATCTGCTGACGCGAGAGGGGGGGAAGTAGCGATGATGGCTTCTGCGGCGGCGGAGGTTGGTGGTGGTAGTGCTGTTGCTGCTGGTAGTGCTGTTGCTGCTGGTGGTAGTGTTGCTGGTATTGGTGATGGTATTCTGCAGAGGAAGTGGGAAGAGAAGCGCGTCTTAGGTCCACCGGGTGTTGCCGCGACAGGGGTCCGGGTCCTCCGACACCGCCGCCGGGTGGTGGGGGCGGGAAGTGTTGGTATAGACTTGGGAGCTGCGGGGGAGAGCCGTAGGGGCCCTGGAGGTAAAGGTAGTTGGCAGACGGTGGTGGTGGCGGCGGCGGGAGTGATATCGCGGTGCGAGGCGTGGTGGAGTAGGTGGTCGTGGTGATTGAGGTACCGGCCGGCGACGAAGTCGTGGTGGACATTAGCGCGTCCATGGACATGTCGACTCGTGTGCGGATCGGTGAGGACGCGGTTCTAGTGGGATTGAGCGGGAGCGTGGGTGTCGCTCCCGGGCTCGTGATCGTCGGCTTTGAATCCATGTTTATTTTTACGTGGGGGGAGTGGAGAGTGTTTGTCTATGGGGACGAAGGAAGGAGAGGGCTGTGGAATTGTGTGTGCGTGGGGGGAGGGGTGGGGTGGGGGGAGAAGGCAGTGAGGAGGAGTAGGTGTAGGAGTAGGTGTAGGAGTAGGTGTAGGAGTAGGTGTAGGAGTAGGAGTAGGAGTAGGACGAGGAGTAGGACGAGGAAGAGAAGGAGGAGGAGGGAAGGTTTCTTGTTCCGATCAATGCGAGACGTTGCTGGTTACAGCTCGGAGGAGGCTCTTGAGCTTGCATTAATCGGACGTTCAGCTGTGACCGGCCGCAATGGCGGAATGCAGCGCAGCGACGACGCCGACGAATGCATTAGCCATTGTTGCACAATTGCATCGGGACACAACCGCAAGCAGTCGATCGATTGCGAGAGAGAGAGAGGAAGAGAGAGAGAGAGAGGGAGAGAGTCGATAATTCGCAGTTCCATATTTCACAGCTCGAGAGCAGCAATATCTAGTTTCCTCGCGGACGAATAGGCGCTCTCATTAGATAAGCAATTTTGAAGTCTGGGAGAAACGACAAACAGACCGATGTTTGGCATCGACGATGACATGACGGGGGATCGCCTCTTTCTCTCGCTCGCAGTAGCTGTGGGTGATCACGTATGACGCGATCATCCGGGCCCGGTCTGAGATCGATTAAACCGAATCGATGATCGGTGGCCGGATAATCCGATGTCAGCCAAAAAACAACACCGGCCTCGCGAGCATACTAATCATCATGTACCATTTCGGCTCCGGCCCCGCCTTCTCGAAGGGGGGACTGCGCAGGAGGACTTCACGCCCGCCGCTTTAGGTACTCGACACCTGTACTCTATGTACCCTCTTTACCGGACCCAGCCAGCCAGCCAGCGTGCGTGGCCAATCATCCAATACCCAAACACAAAGCGGCCCGGGCCGGCATCCAGCCCGAGCCCGAGCCCGAAGACGGCACAGCGGCGGCATTATTGGCTGGCCCCATCCCCGCCCACCGTCTCACATTCCACGGCCGTGCGCGGTCACCGACGGCTAGGTAACTATTCCAGTGAGGTTTCTGATCCATCTTCCTACCATACTCTACTCTTTTCTATCCAGCTCAGTGCGGGACATGCAGGAATTCCGAGCTAGTTGGGGTACGTAGCGGCCTGGGGGCGGGGCGGGGACTGGGGGCGGGGACCGGGGGCGGGGAAGGGGGGGGATGCAGGGTGTTGCCGTAGAGTAGCGGGCTGCGGGGTTGGGCGGAAAGGAGGGAAGGGGGGGACTCGAGCTACGGGGACTTTGAGGAGCCCGAGCACGAGCCCGAGCTGTACATAGCTGTAGCTTCACTCCATAGCTCTGATCTGGCACCTAGAGCTCTGGGAGAGGACATTCGAGCTCGAGTCTCGACATGGCGTAGAGTACTTTACCCGACGACGCCGCCGCCGCTGCCATCCTTCGATCCTTCGATCCTTCCGGTCTGGTCGGTGGACGTGCGTACCGTCTATCCGCACCCCCACCCACATGATCCCCCCATACCATATCCTTAATCTCAATCGCAATCGCAATCGCAACATGCAACATGCAACCCAACGCCCTCGTGATCCGCCAGCGGCCAGCCCCACGATTGGCCAGCGTAACCCCACGATTGGCCAGCATAACCCCCCAATCAGCACTGGCAGATTATAGCGGCCCCGCCCAAGCATACGTACTGTGCTGGTGATGTGCTGTACTGGTGCTGTACTTTTCCAGCCGACCACCTTCACCTTCTCATCATTCCCCCGCTCCCGCTCTTCCCGCTCCTAATACTCCTCCCGCTCTTCCCGCTGCTCCTACTCCCGCTCTTCCTCCACAATAAACCCCCACAACCTCACCCGACAAACCACAACCATGCCCCGCCGCCCGCCCTCACCCGACTACGAAGCCTTCCTGCTATACAGCGCGTCCTCCTCCTCGTCGCCACGACTCAGAAGCGGCGGTGAGGGCGGCGGAGGCGGCGGCGGAGGCGGCCGTAAACGAGCCGACTACAACAGCGGCGAGTACAACAGCGGCGAGTACAACAGCGGCGGCTACGCAAAAGGCAGCCACAGAAAAGACCGAGGCAGCGGCGGCGGCGGAGGTGAGCGGTACTACCCCTCCTCCTCCTCTGGCTCCTCCTCCTCCTCCCTCTCCACCTCCACCGACGACGACGACGACAACTACAACGACAACTACAACTACAACAACTACAACTATAACTCCCCCCCCTCCCCCCCCTCCCCCCCCACCTCCTCCGAGGACGACGAGGACTTCGCCTACAACGACGAGTCCGAGGACCCCGACTACGCCGCGTACTGTACCTACGTAGACTCGGACGAGTACAGTGTGTACGCGCTGACGGAGGCGGAGGGCGTTTCTACCGCCGCTGCCGCCGCCGCCGCCGCCGCTGCGTCGGCGAGGAAGTTGGAGAGGAGGCAGAGACGGAGGGAAAGAAGGGAGAGGAAGGAGGACAAGGAGAAATACAAGAAGTATATCGTCCCGCTGCCGAGGGCGCCGGTAAGTCCCCTTTTACCTTGTGGGAGTGAGATGTGGGATGTAAAGAGTGCTGATGACCGCCCTGGGGACCAGGCAAAGAAGGAGGACTTTGGCATTGTGATGGTGTGTGGAGTTTTGACGTACTTTTTGGTGCGGAATTATGGGCGGATCTTGTGGGAGCGGGTGGTTTGGCCGCATATTAAACAGCAGTGGTGATTGGGGGTGGTGGTGGTGGTGGGGAGGGTGGGGAGTATGAGTACCAGTACATATGGGCATGTATCAGCAATGGTGAATGGTGATGGCGTGGATGATGGACGAGTATGAGTACCAGTATCGGTCCATATGCGTACATGTATCAGCAATATGGATGGATGGAAGGAAGGAAGGCTACGGCATCAGGGAACCCACAGAATACCCACAGAATACACCTCCGTCACTCGCAAGCCCTTATGGGTATATATCCCTTATATCCCTTATATATCCCTTATATCCCTCATATATCCCATCTATATCTTCAATCATTATGGCAATCATCACGGCAATCAAAGTCCATTTGCATGTGCGCTTCATGCTTTATTTTCCTTTGAGTTCATTCATTAACTTCGAGCCCTCAACTTCAGTCCTCAACTTCAGTCCTCAATATTGGCTTCATATGTGCAACCCTTCCACCTCAAACATCTTTTACACTCCCATCCCTCCCCGTCCATCTTCCCTCTTCTCCCCCCCCCCTCTCCTTCCCACCCTCTGAGAGCCAGTCCATTCATTATTCTATATCACGTCACAGTCACTGTTCACCCAACCGACCCGACCCGACTCACCAGCCCACCCACCCCACCAGCCTCACCCCACCAACCCCACCCAGCCGACCCCGATCCCGACCCGTCCACCTGAGTAGGTAGCACCCAGCAAAAACAAAAAAAAAGATCCTCCTAAACACAAAAAGCAGAAAAATATGAAAGGCAAAAAGGGTTCAGCGTACAAGTCCAAGTCCAAGTCCAAGTATCGATTGACAAGACAAGGAATAAAGAGAAAAAAACGGGCGCAACAAACTGTATACTGCATGTAGTATGGTATGGTATGATCCCCAAAAACGCCTGCTTCGCAAACCGAAGACCAAATGAAATGAAACGAAGCGGAAAGCAACAGTAAAACGAGTGTCCGAATGTATGTAAAGTATGGCCAGATCAGTCTGGTCACGATCGAGCTTGGGCAATTAGCAGTTCAAGAAACGAAGAAAAAAGAAAGAAAAAAGACGCCTAAAATGAAGAGAAATACGACGAATTGAGAAAGTTTAGGAAATGGATAAATAAATAAAAAAACGCAAGGAAAATCGTCAAGGCATTCCGTCGAGTGGCATAGCCCCCTCTCCGGCAGTCCATTTTCGTCCCCTCAGCTGTAATTCCGGCCGGCCGTGTATCGTCGTTTCGGCGTGGGTCGGTTGATCAGCACAGCTTGTAGCTCTCTCTGCAACGCCTGTGTAGTGTCCATTGTTTTTCTCCGCTCCGCCATTTTCGTCCGTTCCTCTTGGACTTTCCTGATTCTTTCATCGCGAGTCATAAAGCTTCGCGGCCGCGAAGGCGGCTCGGCAATTGCTTCGTACACTTCCTCCGTGTCCTGCTCTTGCTCGCTCTCTTCGGTCTGCGAAAAGAGTCCCAGCCCCGCCGCATCAGCCCAGCTCCCGCCCTTCTCGAAGAGCCCCGAGTTCCGCGGTGTATCTCCGACCAACGTCGTCCCGTCGATTGAATCCGGCGACCTGGAGTTGCGGGGGGAGTTCCTGTCCACACTCATGGAAAGGTACGACCGAGCGTTCTCCCATTCATCGACCAGACCTCGGAGATCGGCACCGATGGAATCGTAGTGCGAGAGCAGGTCCCGACCGAAATCGCTCAGATCCGAAGATTCCTGAAGGGTGCGATCCGACTCTTCGCGGAGGACGTGCATCTTTGCTTGCAGCCCTCGCAGAGCTTGCGAAAGCGAGTTCAGTTTTCTCAGCTGACCTCGACACTTTTCGCTTTCCGGTGACAACGGAGTATTTGTAATTGGGCTCGTGGGAGAGGTGAATTCTAGATGTCGTCAGCATGGAACCCCCTCCCTCCCCCCTGCAAAGACCCCCGTTCGACCGTGCATGTTACTCACGTTCTTCCTCGGCCAGAATCTTCCTGAGTTCTCCGGCAAGCTCTGCAATAAGATTTCCAAGACTTCTCAGCTGCTCCACAGCCAATCCCCAGCGTGTGTAATCCGAGTATCCGCCGTCGGCATCGATCGCCAGCAGGGAACAGAGGAATACCCTCCGGATCGTATGCAGGCGGTGGAGCAGTGTCTTGAGCGCCTTCAGACTCTCCAGATCGCCCATGTCTTCGTTGTTTTCGAACCCGAGCTCCGCTTCCTCCACATCGGCCAATTGGATATCGTACATGTCGTAGTACTTCTCCAAGTCCATCTCCTGCACGAGGTGGCGAAGAGAGATGCATGCACGGTTGTGGGGAGGTATAGCCATGCTAAGTGCTGACAACACCGACTTGCGCAGTCTCGCACACCGCCTCGTCTTATTGTCACGTTCCAGGCGGGTGATCGGCGGTAGGGGAAGACTTCTAAGGCATCGATTAGTATGCCGCCCCCCAAAACCCGTGTGTGTGGGAAGCCAGTCTGCCTTGCTTACAATCGGTATCCCCTTGACACTAACTCGACTTCTTGAATCAACGTGACGGCATTCGATGCCAAGGTGTCGAATGTTTGGCTGTTCTCCACAAAGACCGCCGCGAATTCCACAGCCTTGAGTCTCAAGGATCGCAGCCACTTCCTTCTGGCGCGGGTGAACAAGAAAATGCCCACGACCACGGTTATTATGACGGCAATCACAGCCCGTCCCTTGCTGAAGACTCCATCGCCACTGTGTCCGCGGAATATCCACGACAGCACGAGCGACGACGCCAGCACGAACCCTCCACTTCCAACCCAAAACCGCGCCCTCGTGGTTGTGGGGATTCCGAAGATTGCCGCTTTGTGATCGTCTTCGGAGAAGAGATGTTCCTGGCTTCGATCGTAGTGTGAAACATTGACGTGCCCGTTCAGCAGTTGCGAAGCTATGATGATGTAACGGAATCGCTCGAGGAAGCGGGCATTCTCGCTACGGCCCAGACGCGAATCGACCGTTCTCTGCTCGAGCACCAGCTGACCGTTAGTCTCATCATGCACCATGCGCGCGCCGCGCGCCCCCGCGCCCGGACGGTATGTCCGGAGGGAATGGGGGGGAGAAGCAGGAGAACGGACAGATGGAGCGGGTGAAGGTTATACCGAGAAGAGCTCGAGGAACCTGGCTTGTCTGCCTGAGCCGTATTGACTCATCCTCAACGGTCGCAACCCCTTGTAGCTGATCCTCGATCTCACGTTTGATGGCGGAGCAAAGCATGTGGCAGAATCCGATTCGTCCGAAGATTCGTCCACAAGCGGCTCAATTCCCCAGTCCGCATCATTTTGGCCGCTCCCTGATAGTGTGAATATTCTGTAAGCTGTCTGCGAGATCCTGGCCTGCGCGCGACGGAGGAAATGTGAAGGAGACGGACCTTCGAGGTATTCGGCGAGCGGCGAATTGGCGAAGACTATCGACTCCATGAGGCTGACGGTGGCGATAACGGCGACGACGGCAACGGTGGCGACGGCGAGGAAGAGGATATATTAGACGTGTATGACATGAACCATCGACCGGGCGACTTTGCAATGAAGGAGTGGCTGGGTGTCGAAGTTTGTCGTAGATGTCGGCGCTGTTGGTGCAGAAGGTGCAGTGGGTGCAGTGGGTGCAGTGAATGCAGTCGGTGATGTCGCTCAAGAGCTCGAAACTGGCAGATTCCGGTGGTGGTGGTGGTAGTTGCAGTGGTAGTGGTGGTGTGGAAGACGGTCTGAGGCGGACATAAACGGTTGGGGAAGACAGGAAGCGTCCAGACCCGAGTCCCGGGGGATTTGTATCGACCAACGGGGGGCGGTGGTCGTTCACGTGGATTCGCGCTCTGGAAGTGTGCCGTGGGGTCTCGGTGGAAATCTACTATGGAGTAGTACGGTATGGTAGTTACCGTATGCAGGCGTCAAGTCGAAAGTAATACAACTTCAGGGGGACCCTGAAATCGATCGAAAGGGGGACCGGAAATGGAAGCTGACGAATGCCGGCGGGCTTTGGGGGGGAAATGGTTTGTATACTATGATATAGTAGTACGTGTGGAGTATGTCGAGGGAGAGGCGAGGAGAGTGCGCCCTGGCAGGTAAATGGAGAATGGGATTGGGGAGGGGGGGACGGCTAGGGTTAAAGAAAGCCTCCGAAGCTCTATTAGAGTCTAGAGCTGTCGATAACTTTGCGGGCGGCATTCGTGTTTCTTGCTTCTGTCCGCCTTCGCTCGCACAGAAACTTGTCTACAGCACGTCGTCTGCACCATCACAGCCATGGCAACTGCCAGTCTGCCACTGGTGGACCAGCTGCTGCTGCTGCGCCTCTAGCTACGTCAACAGGTGCACGACACCAGCAGCAGCAGCGTCCGCACCCACCTCTCCCCAGTTAACTATTGGCGAGCTTGTCGTGACGAGCCTAGAGTACCTAGAGTACCATTTGACATGCCGGAAACTTGCCAGCACAAAGCCTATGTACCCCGAGGAAGTACCCGAGTACCGTCGACGGGCTGCAGCGAATACGGTATCTACAAATTCCATCCAAGATCGTCATCGGCGTCACCTTGCGGTTGCACTTCGAGGAGGAGGAGGAGGAGGAGGAGGAGGAGCTGAGCGTCTACACAGGTACAAAGACACTGCCGCCCATGTTCCTGTTCCAGCTCGGATATTTCACCATCGATGTCCTACGCCCTACCTATGCCGCCGGCAGAGCCCACTACCACATGTCATGTCCCTCCCCGAGAACCCGAACCCCACGCGCGATCTCGGTAATGCCTAGGAAGGTACCCCGCTCTGCGTGGACGACGGCCATTCGCACAAGCCAGCCGCGAGCCCGTGGACCGTGGTTATCCCGATTGGACGGGAATGCTGCAGTAATTTTGGACATCACAAGTTCACAACGTGGGCACCGGGGCCGGGTCGAATTGGAAGTGTACTACTGGTTAGCACAAGGGGGGCTTCGGGATCGTCTAAATACCGATCACGAGCATCTAGGTAAGACACCGCCGAGATGATGATGATGATCCGTACGGGACGTTCAAGTACTGATTGGCAAAAGCAGCGGCCCGGAGCATCACATGTTTTTATACTCGGTTAGTTACTACCCAGTACCGTGCCGTACTTTGTCTGGGAGAATCGAGAATCGAGAATCAAGATGGCAGGGAGGGAGCTCTCGTCCACAGTGCCTACTCTCTACATACAAATTATTTCTATCACAAACCGCGACAGACAGGATATCTACGCGGACGGAGAAGGTGGAAGTTGCAACTTGCACCTTGCAACATAGCACAGCAGCCAACGCTCAGTCAAAAGATTCAAAACGGTGGGTATAGTTGTGTAATTATAGTATCCACAATTCCGAGGAGATGAGATGGGACCTGGGTAACTTATGCGGCCACAGGGATTCGCTGACAGGCGGGTTAATGGGTTGGTGGGTTGGCACTGGGGGTGGCCAGGGTATAGAGTAAGGTAGGAGCAAGCAAGGTGTTGCGGTTCGAATGTGGCAAGATATTCTCTTTCTCCCCCGTGCCGTGGAATAATTGTCACGAAGGGGGATGGGCGAGATGGAGACGGCGAAGGAACTGGGGCAAATAAACAGCTAGAGCACGACTGAAGATTGGACAGGAGCACGCTAGACTCTAGAGCGGCCTGCGGATGTGATTGTGCTGCGCCTCAAACACCAGCGGAACGGTAGCGGGCAGACTATTTATGTAGGGCGATTGGAGAGGAGAGGAGTGGTGAGGAGAGGAGAGGAGAGGAGAGAAGAGACGTGAGGAGAGAAGAGAGGAGAGTGTTTCGATGTTATCTGGATTCTACATAGAGACACACGTGCTCAACCACCACGGTATCATACCTAGCCCAATGCACACTAGGAAAAATGTCGTACGGCTCCCGAGGTCAATGATTCCGCCGAAGGCCGAGTCACCAATAATGAATACTTGCCTCAACTCGATCCGACCTAGTTTCACGGAGCCGAGCCGACAAGTTTCCCATCATCCACGTGGACGTGGAGCCGTCTTCCAGACTCCAGCCTGATATTCCAGCATACGGCACAGGAGGCGTAGGCGCCTAGCGCGCCTGGTGGCACGTGGGTGCAGCCTTGCAAATTGCAAGGAGACTCCCAGCTGCGCAAGTTCAACTACACGTCCCCCCCCGCAGACCACGGACAGGGCAGAACTCCTATCCTGCCATTCTCGGCTGCTACTCACCAGCCGGAAACGAGTGTTCTGGAAGGCGCGGGATTCGTGAGACATGATGTGTCACAATGTGTCACTCGGTTATGTTTCGCCGCGTTTCTGGAACCTAGGTGGAAGCCTGTGGGCTATGTATGAGCTGTGAACGAGGGCGAAGGAGAGGCGAGTCGAGGGATGTACTAAGGTATAGAGCTTGGGTGATGGGTTATCGTATTGTATTGTTGCGTGACTAGGCGGTGAGCCGAGGGCGACGGGGGTGCTGTACCGAGTCCTGTACCGAGTCCATTACCGGAACTGCAGACAAGAATCAAGGATTGGAGAACGAGTGTGTGCATAGTAGAGTAGAGGACATCGCCAGAATTACTGGAGAGATACCGGTACTTTGGAGACGCGAACAACGCTGCCGAAGCGTGCGTCCATCATGTACCGTACTCTACGTCCCTTATGTAGAAACAATCGATCATGCGTGGATGTTACCGGTATGTCGACGACATAAATACTACCCCACCTTTTTACCCAGTTATAGGTACCTACTGCAATCATCGGTTGTATGTTGATACCCAAGTATCATACCTAGAGTACCTCGTACCGGTACCGTGGTGAGGCAGCCCCATAATATCCCCCACGCGCGGCACGCGACTCGATTGGCCCTCCAGGCTCACGGAGCTCATATCCATTCCCCAGCGTACCAGGAGCTGCCAATAAGTGGTGCCTCACCACCATTACGAATTATATGCGCAAGTTCACTACTAGTCTATATTAGGAGCGCACTAAGCCAGATACATTCAAATGAGTGAGGGGCTGTGACTAAGTTGAATGAGGGGGAAACGCTAAGCTGTATGGGGGGAAAACTGGTGAGGCAGCACTTACCCTTACACCCGAGTACACGCAAAAGTCCCCGTGATGAAGCTGTAAGTTGGTTAGCGAGCTCCCTCCGGTCGAACCCCAGTCAGCGCATGGCATGCAAAAACTTCATGCTACGAGGCCGCGGGGAGGGCGCGGATCCGAGATCTTCGGAAAAGAAAAGAAAAAAGGGAAAAAAGGAAAACAGAAAAAGAAAAGCGAAAAGCGAAACTCTCAAGATCGGCCACAGGAAAGAAGGTATGTAGAGTACTTGTGTATCAAAATCTAGACTCATCGCCGCCATCACGACATCACGACATTACAAAGTATCTAGGTACATACTCTCTAATCATCAGCCATTCTTCTTCTTCTTGAACTCCGCCCGTCGGCCGGCCACAAAACACGATTCGGCACTTGACCGCCGCCGCCGGCCGTCGGCCGCGTGCACTTCCCGCATAGCTATTCCGACGAACAGTGAGTAGAGCATCATCCTCACCTATGTAGAGTATACAAATACCTCCAGTACAGTAGTTAACTAAGTATTGGGCGCCAATCGGCCTGCATCCGTGTATGTATAGTATGACATGGCCCATACATTATACATAGCCGAGTGGATGGGAGCTCGAACAAGCCCAATTTCTCACGATTTGGCGGTGAGCCCACTGCGCACCCATCTGCTAGTAACTGCTTAGGTAGGGCCAATGGAGGAATATGAGAGTAATCAACAAAGAATACTCGGAGCGGGTTCGGATGGATCGTGACTGACTGACTGACTTACCTAGCCGGGGAGGATGAGGAGGAGGATGAGGATGAGAGGGAGCAGGGGGAGCAGGTGGGATAGGGCACTTTGGGATCCCAGGTTTCGAACGGAATTCCGAATCTCTATGGATCGGCTCCAAGGTTTGACGCCAGACCACGTGCATGCTGACGCCCGAATGCCCGTTCCAAACCCCGGTCAAATTACTTGCTGACGGAAACCCATAGAGTCACTAACTGCAACGGTTAGTTATACTGCGCAGAGCCCACACATAAGCAAGATAGACAGAGGGAGGGAATTAACCAGCCACTATCTGGAGTCGTACATACCCGCGCCGCCCCGATGGCGGATCTGGATCTCGCCCAGAACATGGCTCAACTGTGGCAATTCCCCGTATCTCGATTGTTGGAACAGGGTGCGGGAGGGGATCAGAATAGAACAGAACATCCGGCCGTCTGATGTGGTATCCGAGTATGTAATCGGACGGAATGGAAGCTAGTCGTGCCCAGCCATGTACCTATCGTTTGTCACTCGCCAAGTGAAGCTGTACATATGTTTAGAGGGCATTGCTGGAGTGGCTGCCTGCGGAGGTTTGCTGACCTCGAGCCCTACTGGTGGCTTCCCTCCTCCTCCCCCCATTTGTCCTCCGTGAGCACTCGCCAACGGCCAACGTCGTGGATATCCTAGACATGACTCAGTCTTGCCAGTCTTGCGGTCGGTAGTATTTTCCGAGGGTGCCGCCGCCGCGCGCTGCGGAGGGGGGAGGGGTGGGAGGTGAGGGGTGGCAGAAAAATCACACGCTGCGCTGCGGCCGGCCGGGGCCATGCCAGATGCCAGACCACATCTACTCGAAGGATTTCCATACTAGCAGGCGCCTGTATCCCATCCATTGGATGATCTCCCTCCGGGCTCCTCCATAAGCTCCGTGCGTATGTACCTGTACCTATCTATGTCATGCTACAAAGCAATAGTAAATAGTGGTGTCGAGAATACAATCGCAATGCACACCGCACCCCATCCCGCATGGTGCCTGGCCCATCTCACTGGGAGCTCCCGATCTCACCCACCATCCAATTGCAAGCCACCGTCGACATCCAAAACTACACCCGGTGGCCCGGTCCCATAAAGTTCGCCCCACCTACATGCATGCCACCCACCTATCCATCTCCCCAGCAGCCAATGAGGCCGATTCCCCACGACGAATGCTGCCGCCGCTGCGACTGCGCGTCTTCCGAGCTCCCACGCATACCTGCCTACTCCCTTGCCTATAGCAAGCCAAGCGATTGATATCGTATACCGCTGGCGTGGACAACTGCCTTACCTTGCACGCATGACAATATCCTACATCAACTGCTTGTCAAATCCCACACCCCACCAGTGCTATTTACTACCACCAACTATTACTGCATACCTATCCCTCGCTTGTTCGCAGGGCAGACTGAGACAGAGAGATCCAACATCCTACATATCTACTTACCTACACAAATACCTAGATGGACGCTTAAGCAACATCATCATCACATCTAGCGGAGACCAAAAAGACAAATGCTGCAGGATGGCCGCAAGCTTCATGTTTCAGCTTGTTCATTGAACAACCGCTGGCCTCTAACCAGATAGGTATCTCGAACAGATTCCGGGGCCCGGGCCCGGGCCCGGGGGGTGGGCATAGGATGATGATGATGACGATGATTATTGTTATTGTCGTCTTTCTCTGCTGCCTATCTCTCTCCACTACTCACAGTGACAGATTAGTAAAAGATGGAAATGAAAAGAGCACTTTTGCCTCACCTCCATCACCACAACACTGCGCGGAGATCCGGAGAAGCCTTGCTGGTGATATCCACTTCCTTGATTTTGGCCCACGATGCTGGATTGTTTCTCCGTTCTCGTCCTAGTTCTAGTTTTTGATTTTGTATATGCCCCGAGCATGCTTGTGAATGGAGTTTGTCGTTGGAAGTCTGGACTCTGGACTCTGGAGATACCAATGAGGATTCCTCAGAAGGACGATTGGAGGATGAGTACAGACTTAGTGTAGGGAGAAGGGGGGGAGCGGGAGGGGGGCAGTGTACCATCCATTCCTCCCGCCCTCCCTAGCTTGCTTCCCTACTTCCTCTGTAGCTTGAGCATCCTGAAGATCATATATATTGGGGCTCTCCAGCTCCTCGGTTCTGTACATATCTTCAAACAACCAGATCGTCAGCCTTTAGTTCTAACCAGTTCCCGGGAAACACAGCTACAGTCATCTCACTCCTCACAGCTATCCTCATTCCCCAAAAGCCGTATATAGCAGCAGGACACCGGCACTCTCCTCGGGAATCGTCTTTTTCAAGTTCACTTCCTCCTCCTCCTCCCCATCCGCCTACTACTACTCACCCCTCCTCCTCCTCCTTCTCCTCCTCCTCCTTCCAGCTTCTCCCATATACCCGCATCCCACACGAAACAGAACAAGCATACTAGATGGACGCCCGGGCAGAACAATTCGTAGCCAGTGCCAAAGCCGGCCTCCAAAACGTCCGCAGTTCCCTCCAGAGCAATCCCTCGCACTGGCGAAGCTGCACTGCGGCGGTACAACAGTGCATTTCCTATGTCGACCAGAGCAGGATCATGCACGATCCTCGGCGGATCCCTGAGCGAGTCGTATGCAGCCCCCCATTGTTTTGTCCTAGTGGATTGGATGTGCATGTGGCTGACAGTGTTTCCGTTCCTCCCAGTGGATTCTCGACGAGGTTCAATACTTTGCTTACTTCGAGCCCGACTCCGGCGGTGTCCCGGAGGTGACCACCTGGTGCGAGAGGGAATGGAACAGAGTGCTCAGTGTTGACCCGCACCATGTGGGTGCGCTCACGGGTTTGTACCACCCTTCCCCCTCCCCACTCGTGCGGACCGCATGTGCAGTGCGACGAGCAAGGCTGATAAGCGAGCAACACAGGCCTGGGACAAGCTTGGCTGTCCAAAGCCCAGTTCTGGCTGGCGCGCATCCACCAGCAGGAAAGTGGCGGCCGAGACGACGACCTCGCTGCTGAGCGCCGCCTGCACACCGCCGACTACGTAGAAGCCCGTGCGATCCTGCAGCCCGCGGTGGACTTCTTCGCCCGTGCCGTGGAGACGGCCCGTGTCAGCGGTTGTCTGACCGGCAAGCTACTCGAGAAGGTAAGTCCCCCTCCCCCCTCTCATCCTACGTTCAGCGGCATTACCCCGCAGAGACGAAGCAGATCATGCATGCTAACTTACGATTGTTCCCTACGGATAGAGAGCAGAGGCTTCAATGAGCCTCGGAAACGTCTCGCCCATGAGCGTGGGCCGCATCCACTTCCGGGACAGTGTGCAGGCGCTCCAGGCGGCTGTTTCCATAGGACATCATCTACCCCGCCATCTACGACGGTGAGTCTACACGGAAGCATCCCCCGCATAGTAATTCTTGACCTGACAGTGTTTTCTCCAGTTGGCTCGTTGATAACGAGCGCTACTTTTGAGCTGTAAAAAGTCAGCTAGTGGGATTGGACGCAGAGGGGCGTTGGAGGGGCGTTCACTTGTTTATGCGATACCTTCTGGTGTGTTTGGGGGGGAAGGGGGGGTTGAGATTGTTGTGCGTGTTTGATGCTTGATGGAGCCATGATTAGACCTGTAGAGTTAAGCGATGCTGTATGAATAGAAATTGAATGCCATGATCATACCGTATCCATATCCATTGACCGCAGATATGCGCACATCCATCGTCGTTATGTACCAAGGCTAGGAGAGGCATGTATACTGCCGTGTTCGTAACGACCGTGATCGTGATGAACCACCAGCTGCGTAGCGTCCTCGCCAGAAACCGAAACGGAGACCGAGTAGAGTAATCCCGAGAATGCTGCCTAGATAGAGACCCAGTAATACCGTAACACCGTAATACCGTTGTGTTCACTCTTCCGCGGACTTGTGTAATACCGTATGCATACCAACATAGGGAGACCAATGGGATCGTTGTAACGTGGTTGCTGCCGGGGTGGCTATTCTAGTGCTACATACGCCAATTAGAGTAGCGTAGTTCGCGCTTAATTACCGACTGCGTCGCATGGTTGGGCGGTTAATTCTCGACTGCCACCACCACTGCACCACCGCCGCGGCCGCCACGGCCACGGCCCTGGCGGGCATGTCAGCCCGCGTCGCCTTATGCATCTCGAGCCCGCCCCCGGCGCCAAATCCGCATCGCTCAAAGCCGACGACGACGCGAAAGGACATCATCATCATGGTGTTAACTCTTGACTCTTTAGCTCTGACGGAGTTCCGCACCGAGCACTCATCGATTCGCCACCCCAATCGCCCACGGTAGCTCTAGGCTTCCGTCGGTGAAACGAGACACAGTAACGAGTTTTTGCACCGAACGGCACGGCGTGCGTAAGCAACAACATTTTCGGATTACTATTCAGGTTCGAATCGAATTTATCAGCGGTGACGCGAAAAAGCTTTGAGTCTTTGAGTCTTTGAGTCTTTGAGTCTTTCAGTCTTCGACCGAAAACAAAACCCGTTGGGAGCCGCCGGTGCCCAGACTTATGCGATTGTGCGGATTCGTCAGAGCCATCAGTATGATGTACACGGCGGAAGCTGGCGAGGTCAGATCGCGAGGGAAAAAAAGATTAATAAAAGTAAAACGGAATCCCGTGCGCGGTCAGCGTCGCTGCATCGGCTAGGTACTTACTTTCACTTTTACTAACATAGGTATCCGGCCGAAGGAAACTGACTGTGTCAGTCAGTCAGGTGCTGTGGATGGATGATGGCTGGGCAATATTTGGGCATTGTGGTGTGTGCTTTCGCCGCCGCGTAGATCTATTGTGGGCCGCTGTGGAGCCATACAAAGACTGGAGGAATGTACGAGTACATACGTACATAGATAGGTGGGAGGTGGATATCTTTAACTCTCTGCTCATCGGTATTAGTCTTGGAAAACTTTTGTGCGGGGATTCGGACAGGCAGCTGTACTAGTATTTCCTATCACTAGATCCCCTCCCGCCCCCGCCCCCTCCACCGCCCCCAATGATGTACGCAAAGGAACGCCCGCCGTGGCAAGGATGGACTGTAGCGAACTTCGGTCTCCAGGTGCGCAGGCTAATCTTTACGGTGACATCCAGTAAGTACCTAAATATCGGGCCCACGCGGCCACGCCAGCAGAAAAGCTTAAACAAACCATATCCCAGATTCCCAGCGGACCGGCTCGGCGGTTCCAAGTTCCAACGATAGTCCAACCGAGGTTCCGGAATAGAACTCGTCCGTTCATTGGCCGTCTCTGGCCAAGGCCCAGGCATCCATCAGCTTTCCGTTTCTAAAAACAGCTCCGGCTCGGATCGAAGACGCAACTGCGGTCACGGGAGGGGGAGGGGGAGGGGAGATGGGGGAGGAGGGAGGGGGGGAGGGGGGGAGGCGAAACGAACTTGCACATTGCCCTAAACTCCAGGGACCGAGAAGAATAGTAATCATGATGCTTGGGAGCCGAAAAACGTTGCGGTCGTACCGGAAACTGGAAACAGCTGCCTACCAAGAGTATGGCCCGGTTAGAAGAAGTTTCAGGTTGAGGCGGACTGCTCTAGGACACTTATAAGTATCATCGGCCACCACCACCAGCATTACCACTATGCAAAAGACGGGGATTAAGTATTAGTGATCGATAAGGTGGGCTGCTGTCCGCCATACGAGAGTTTGCTCGTTTCGTTTGCTACAATCTGATATCCAATAAGATAGGCAGAGTACTTACCCACCCTGAGATCTCGATGAAACGCCAAAAACTGGTCTGGTGACTACTCGGAGATCTAAAACAATAATGACAACAAAACGGACGGGTGTTTCTGGCTTACTGGTGTATCGTACCGAACTGCATGGTGCCTGTCAGGCTGAGTCTGCATCATCCAAGGAATTCGAAACGACGGGTAGTATGGGATGCGCATATGCGTATATACATTATATATACAGGTAAAGAGACTCGAGGGCAGGAATGGTAGCGACGACGACGACGGATGTATGTAGTAATAGTAGCAGTAGTGGTGGTGGTGGTGACAGTGCTGGATTAATCATTGAAGGAACACGTACGTACACCTACCCAAGTCGGCCTCGAGTGAGGGATTAACGAGTCCGCACAAGTCTATTCTCCTCCGGCACTCCCCAATCATTTGATTTGGAATTGAAGGGAGACGGCCCTAATGACATGTCTGCTTGCTTGTAAGCACAACCAATCGAGATGTACATATGTGCAATCTTTTTGATCCTTTGAAACCTTCGGCGAAGAAACGGCCTTCGGTGAAGCAAATGGCCTTTCGGCGATAAGGCACCTGGTCCCTACCGACCGACCGAAAAATTCTCAATTGAGGACTTCTTACAGAACATTGTTTACACACGATCGGGAAACATGGGTAAGCAAGATGACGAAGCCGATATTTGGCATTCACCAGGCGCTAGTGGGGGGACATTGCACCAATGCGCCCATCACCTCGAAAAAGCGCACCACGCACGCTATATGCATAAGTAATCACCCCGTGCTGACCGATCTAGAGATGTTTCCGAGTCAGCTGAAGCTCCGTGATTTCGGCCTTCGGAATGCCACAGTAGGTGATGAGATGGCCATACTAGGAGCGGTAGGGAAGCCAGGTAGCGGTGATCTTTTGCTTTTTGTTTCATCGTTGATTGCTTGCGACACATCCAGATCATCGCAATAAATACTCTGTTTCCCCATTCACCGTCCAGGGCTAGCGGGTGAGATGTCATGACCATGTCGGGAATTCGTCCAGAATGATGCGCACTGGTGATTGAGCTATCTCCAAACTCAATTCTCAAAAGCTGAACGGTTATTATTTCTCAATCTCGCGAGGAGTAGACGATTGGTTATTTTAGGTATTATGTACGCGGAGGCTAACCTAATGAGGTACTTCTTGTACTTACAAACCGTATGTCCAACGTCAATACTTCCGTGCCGCACTCCATCCCTCTTCCTTATGACATATGTACATTCACGGTTCAACTCACCGGAAAAGAATTCAAGTGTCACTCAGAAGGGTATTTTGTATGACACGGTTGCTTAACGGACATCATTGGTATTGTGTGGGGAATTGCACTTCGAACATCGCTTCAGCAGAGAGCTTTTTTTTCTTTTCTGTTTAATCATCAATGGATTCGACCTCGGTAGATCATGGCAGTCACGCTGCGGTTCCTCCCCACTGCCCCTTCCTGCGATGTGGATTTCCTTTCCCCTCCTTCCGCAGCGAACGAGCAGAGATGGCCGACTGGCAGATCGAATGCTTCATCTCTGACGCCGCCGCCATAAATGAGATGTCGACACACCTACCTTGCGCTCGAAGGGAGTGCGGAGTAGTAGTTACATGTACCGAGTTGAATCAAGCCAATGCAGTACATAAGCCTTCGAAGCGGAAGTGCCTCCGGCCAAGTAAGGGCTCATGATGTGCAATTTTCTGCCTCCCATCAACTTCATCAAGCTCGGAATCTCTTCTTTCCTTCCATCCAAACTTCTACATACCTCGATCCTCCCACCGTCCACCTCCCACCGTCCACCTCCCTCCTCTCACCTCCCGCCTACACCTTCAACGACATCAACATGGCTCGCTCCCACTCATCCTCGCCATTCGCTTTCCTCTCGCTCTTTCACGACGAAGCCAGACTGCAGTCCGACAGTAGCACTATGAGACTCGAAGGGTGAGTGTATACTTCCCGGCTGTACTGAAGTACTTAACCAATAATTGAAGATTTCCGAGGACTGAATTCAACAAATGGGGTGTTATTACCACCATTGTGGTGTTGGTGCTGGGATATGCGGTTGTGAATCTGAATGGACTGTCGAAGATGGGCAAATGGTAAACTATCGGTGTTGAAGGTTTACTCATGGCGTGGAAGATAATGGGGCTTTGTTTTTTTCGATGCATCATCGGGTTGAGGGAGGAATAATGGCCGGATGAAGATCATGGTTTCAGTTGTAATATCTTCGGATGGATTTCCTCTAGAATCAGTGATGGACTATGGATATTCTTTTGAACCATTCAACGAGCATGATGAATCAAACTTTTCTCTAGAGATAGTGCCATGGAACCTTTGAAGGATTTCAGATCCCCCACGCGTTCTGTCCATAACTCAATCCATAAATCCGCCTCGCCACCCCCCGATACTTCACCACCTGAGACATTGGCATCTGTACAGGAAAGCAGGAATTTACAGACCAATTCACACAGCCCTGCAGACACCTGGTACGGCCGGAACAAAGAACTTCGGGCTTCAACTCGGGCTTCAACTCGAGCTTCAACTCGAGCGACACCTCCAGTTCAAGCTTCATCCTCCCTAAAATCAATCTTCCTCGAATCTTAACCTTCTCCTCTTTACTTTCACCATCAATAAAGTTAAGAAGCTAGCTCAACCGAAAGCTTTGTTGTCCACAACCACTGCCGTCATCGTCTTCTACTTGATCCTTCCGAGCAACATCCTCCGCACCAACCACCTGCCGTCTCGCCAACCGACAACCAACACTTCGGCATCTACGTCATCCCGAAGATGGCGCCTCCCACCACACCCGATGACCGTCGCTTCCCGTATCGAATATCCCACCACTTCCTCCGAAAGAAGAAGCCGGCAGTTCCCCCTGCCACCACCTCCACCTCCGCTACCACCGACACCGGTGAGGCAAACGCCAACCCCAACACACACCGCAAACAATACTCCTTTGCCCGCCTGTTCTCATCTCTCAATCTGCGCAAAAAGAAGAAGAACCCTCTTCAGCGTACCGGTTCCGCACCCCCTCTTTCTCCCTGCGAAGCACAGTCATGTGCCGTTAAGGGAGGCGACATCTCGCAACAGCCTGCCCTCAGCCGCCCCCCATCGTCCCCCGAAACTCCGAGAGACAACATCACCAAGCTTGGTGTAGACAAGGGCAAAGGAAAGGCCCAGAATCAAGATTACATCTTGCCGGTGTAAGTTCTCCGCCCTATCTTCTCCACAGTGCAGGATACTAATGCGGACGGAATAGGATCCGAGATACCGGGTTTTACGGCGGCGGTTGGGACGATGGCAGTATGCAGGCCACCACCGACGCGATGCTTGGTGTCCCCCGTCGGATGCTACACTCGGAGATGGCGGAGGCCTCCTCTAATTCCGGGCCGGCGAATAGCTTGTCTTATCCCAGTTCTTGGAATAAGAACATAAATACCATCGACCCCATCATGGAGGAGGTGGAAGAGGAGGAGCCCGCCGTTGCTTCGAGATACTCCACCAGTGCGGTGGGCAGGATGTCGGTGGAGGCTGTTGGGCGTGCTGCCGTCCAAGTCACCGCGACCTTGGTCATGGTGGATACGCAGGTGGAGGGAATGGCTGCCGAGATTGTCGGCACTCCCACCGAGGCCACCATCGAGGCAGAAGCTGGCGAGGAGGATGTTGGCGAGTCTACTGATACTGCCTCCCTCAAGACACCTGTCACTTCGGAACTTTTTGTGCCTGGCGCCTGGGTAGACTAGGGGCAAAGTGAGATTGAAGGAGTTGTATATTTGCAGTATTTGCTTTAACCAGGTCAAGTGCCTGCTGAACATAGTAATGTCTATTCTTGCCATTAAGCATTTGTCAAAGCATGGGAATTTGTTGGAGATGGTTGATATTAATAAGCCAAGTTCAAAAAACCATTTGCAACGTTCACTCGTGTTTGTTTGTATTTCCTCATATCTATTGCGCACTGATAATCTTCTTTGGCCGTACATACTTCGTCCACTTGTGTCTCTTCTCCTCATACCCAGCTTGCGGACCCACATGCGCTATCACCCAATGTTAGCATGCACTCCTTACACTTCCCTATTCTCCCCCCTTGCGTACCTTCGTACAAACACTCCTTGCAATAAATGTCATTATCGCATCCCGAGCACCTATATTCCGCATCCTCATTGCAAATACAGCACCACGTATCGATCTCACTGATGCCTGGCAGTTCCATCTTCTTTTTTGGTGTGATTCTGAGGGCACTCCCCGGCGCCACGGAGGGGACCGCTGGTAGATCGAGGTCTCCCCCACCGCCTTCACCACCCGTTCCACCGGCGCCACCTCCGCCGAGAGCTTTGAACCTAGCCGCCAACGCAGCAAGCTCACCATCATCATCCTCATCGCCCTCTTTCCGCTCCTCTTTCAGGTGCGCATTGTGATCCTCCTCCTCCTCCTCCTCCTCCTCCTCCTCGTCGGAATCGACCACCCCATGCCGGCGCTCCCACTCCACCTCCTCCCGCACCTTCTTTAAGATCTCGTCCTCTTCATCCTTCAGATCCCACTCGCTGCCCGTCCCTTTTGCCCCCTCCGCCTCCCCCTCCCCCTCCTCCACCCCAACATCAGCCAACCACTCCGGCGCCTCCTCCGCCTCTCCCGCAAACCCCGCCGCCTCCTCCAGCAGCGCGTCGATCTCCGCCCTATCCTTTGCGCCGACGTCGTCGCACGCCCGTCCCTTCTCCCGCTGCACCCCAGCGACCAGCTCCGAGAAGTCGAGCTCGTCCTCGGGGTTTCCCGGCGTATCCTTCGTCTTTGGCTTCGCTACTGCGGGTGGAGTAGTAAGGGTGGAGCCGGGCGCGCGCGAGAACAGTGCCGCGAAGCGCGCGGAGAGCACGTCATCCGAGCTGGCGCTCGCGGTGTCGTCGGGCGTTCTGTAGGAAAGGAATGGTTAGATGCACGTGTGGAAGGGCTCGAGGACGGGGCGGTGGCGGGTGTAGTTACGGCTTGGATTTGAGCGCGGCTAGGCGCCGCGCGAAGTCCTCGTCGCTACTGCTGGACGCGGGCATGGAGGTGGTTGGCGGGGTGTGGAGCTCTAGTTAGCTGGTAGCTGGAAAGGTGGGGTGACGGCCGTCCGTGCGGCCGCCGGCGTGGTGGGGTGGGGCTTGGCATGTGATTGATTGACGGTCCCAACTTGAATCAGATCTTGAGAAGTGGATGAGCTGTTCCAAGCTACATACTTCTCGCTCGCTGCATCCTCAACTACCTGTATCCTTCTGGATTTGGAAGATGCCTCGAGATCGAAAAACACATGCATAGACGATCACTCGAGCACTGATTCACCAAGCCTTGATGTTTAGGCAATAATCAAACGCAACATATATTTAAGCAAAGCAAGAGCAAAATCCAGCGCCATCCAGCCCAGATCCGAATAGTGGACCATTAGTACATAATAATATACCCCCACCACCGCCCAAAAAAGCCTTATCAAGCCCACGCGCCAACCAGCGCCATACCGGCTGCGCCCGCCGCAACCGCCGCACAAGCCTGAAGCCTCCGCTTCCCTGTAAGTATCACATAGCTCTCGTCACTCAAGAAGTCCTCTGCCAGAAGCTCCACCAGTCCTGCAAACAAGAGCAGGCCGGAGGAGATGGCGTTCATGACGCCGACCATGAGTAGACCGGTCTGGCTTGCTGGGTCGTAGAGGTTTCTGGTCAGTAGGCCGATGGCCTGACCGATTGGCGTCGTGGTGCCGTAGGCGAGACACATGAGCCACGGCTTGGGAGAGTCCTTGGCGAAGGCGGTGATACCGGCGATGCGTGAGCCCAGTGCCAGGCCTTCGAATGTTTCTACTGGGAGTCAGTCCTGGAATGGAGGGAGTGCGGACAAGGCGTACGTACGGTGAAAGGTGATCGCAATCAAGAGGACTATAAAATTCGATCCGGTAGCAACCGATAATGCCATTCCTAGGAGGAAGTTAGTCGCGGCAAGGAGAAGGCGGCATTATCGAGATTGGATATACCAATAAAAACACTATGGAACAAAATCCCCGCCTCTAACAGCATAACCTGCAACAGGTTCTTCTTTTGTTGCTGCTCCTCCGTCAGCCTTCCACCGCCAGGCCTCCTCGTATGACCCGCACTCGTTGACATCTTCTGGCCATTCGAATTCAGAGACCTCAACTCCGTGACCTCGTTAGCGTCATCCGAGTCGGCATCGTCGTCTTCATAGTCGCTCTTGTGATGCGCCTCGGGATCAGGCGAATCCTCCCCATCAGAGCAGGCCTCGTCGTATTGCAAGACATCCGCGCTGAGCTCGATCCTCTGCAACTGGCTTCCTATGCTGTTGCTCCTGCGGGTTCGGCGTACCGGTCGAATGGCCTCACTGGGCGGGTTTCTTCCTCCGTTCGTGAAGCTTGCCGCACTGGCGCTGCTGGCGCCGCGTCTGTGGCCGAAGGACGCTGTGGTGGGAGTGAGGACTTCGTAACCGGCACTGGGGCCGCCGTGACAGCCACCCATAGCGCCGCCGTTCATGGTGGAGAAGAACATCTCGATCGATACGACGACGAAGACCGAGGCCATGGCGATGAGGCCGGCCATCGCGGGGTAGCCTTCGTTCCAGAACTTGGGGAGACATGGATCCGTGAGGGATGTGAACGCGGTTGGTAGGAGCTGTAGTGGTGTCAGAATCGCACGAGACGAGAGACCAGGGGAGGGTAGCGCACGTGCACGAAGGCGGTAGCAATCAGAACACCGGTACCGAAGCTATCTTTACGTCAACAGGACGATCTCTCTAGTTGGGTAGCGGAGGTTTCGTTCGGGTCGGGGCGGAGGAAGAGGCTAATTACTGTCTCGAGAGGAACCTGGAAGCTGTCAGTAACGGCATATGCGGACTGGGGAGAGTATGCGCGCTCACAGGAAGTAATGCGGGACCCTGAGCTGCGGTGCTTTCTTGACGACTAACGGGAACGAACAGGCTGTCGGCAGTCAGTACCCTCTACAACCACCGCCACATCCACCACCACTCCCACCGCCAGACTGAGAGTACATGCCTAATACCGACACTGCCAGTATAATGAACAGAGCAAGAACGTGTAACGGTAGGTTGTACACGCCATCTGTCTTTCCGCCGCAAACCTATTCACAAGCAGGAATCTCAGCCCTGCGCAGTGCAGCATTGGCTCGTCGGAAACAGATGCCATGCGTGCGCGCGTTCGTGCGAAGCGCAAGGATTCGGAATAAACATACGAGAGACGACCGCGTAGTGAGCTCCGGTGGGAAGAGAGGTGGGTTTTGATTGTGGCCTTCATGTTTGTTGTTGGGTTCGTCAACGGCGTTCTTTTTCGCAAAAGGGGTGGTGAGCACGCCAAACTACCTTCCAAATCATAGGGATTCGTATCTCGTGTCGGACAGTTCATGATGATTGCGGGGCCAGCCGAAGCTGCGGAGGAAGTGGAATTCTCGGCGCCTGTCCGCGGGTGTGTTGGAGCGAGGAGCGTAGGGGGGAGGCAGCGGTACGGTGATAGTCGTCGTCGGCGTCGATGTCGATATTATCCGTGGTCGGGAGAGAGCTGAGCTGGGCAGCATGTGCACTGTACTAGGGTTGCCGCACGGGACAAGCCGTCTGAAGTGTTTTCGAGGGATCAGGGCCGAACTGGCCGCTGACAGAGATGTCGTGCTTTACAAAGCGAAGCAATCCGCTTACTCGGTTATCCCGGGTGTACACGGTAATTTTCCGGATTTAGACACGGTCTCTTGAATCCTCACGAAAAGCGCACTTGGAGCTGGTTCGCGCTGTTGACACATATGCATTCGGCATCCCGAGAGCCCGGTCGGTGGGGCAGGGCCGAGGCCGGGTTTCGGCCAGCCAGCATCAGACCGGCGGGCTCTTGCATTTCTAACCCGACAGTCCGGCTGGATCCATGCAGCGCGACAGAGCGCGACACTAAAGATGATTGTTGATCAGATGTGGTGAGACGACCGGTTTTGACATGATGCAGATTGGCGCACTTCATGGCGGGGTTTCCACAGCAACGGCTTTAAACTCCGGCGTATCAGATAATCGCTCGAAAGCTACACCGAGTGCGGCTATGCATCGCGTGCACTTCAACGGCCAAACAACTACGACTAGACTCGCCTTAAATTCCACATGAAGCACGGGCCGAGTGGAGAGTACCGTACTGGCGAAGAAGCGGACCAGATCCCCCTACCAGTAAAACTCTCTTCGTGCGGACCCACAGCTCCCAGCGGAGGAGAGTGTCAAACCGCCCCCTACGGCGGGATATCGGTAGTCTATCCTGTACCTTGTGCGGCTATACTCACTTCCTCACGCCGGAGGGTGCAGTTCACCGGACTCTCTCGAAAGAGCTGCCAATGTTGCTGCCATCGTTGGCACTGCCGTTGGGGGATGTGGGATAGGTACGCGGTCCGACTCGGCGGGGATGGTTTAACGCGAAACAATCGATTCTGTCGTGCAACTCGATTGATAGTGGATGATTTAAACGAGTTATTCTGCAGGCAAGCTGCGAGGAGTTACAATGGCAATTTGAAAAGTTAATCAGTGTCATCGCCAGAGAACAAATCAACACCGCTTGCTTTTGTAAATAAATGGCTCCTATCGAAAAGTTTTATTGTAGACACCTGAAGATTTAGATATATTCATCCTCTCAGGAGGCCAAATGATTGAATGGTGGACATGGAGCATCGCTATCCGCGGTCTCTAAGGACATGGCAGGAACTCTACTAAGCTCAAATCTCTATTCTTTACAGCTCACGGAGCAACCTCCCGCAAATCCCTCCCTTGTTTTCTCCATCTGTAGATCTACATATACACCTCGTGCGGACTATAAGCAGCGGGTGGGTGATCTTTTGCGATGAATTACGTACACAAGACTTGCAGAACCTTCCTCCCACGCTCCATTCGTTTACCGAGCACAAGCAATAGCACCGGAACGTCTCTCATGCTTCCAAGTCGCCTAATCGGCCTGGGCAGCCTCAGCATCCGCCACCACCGCCCTCATCGCCTCCATCACATCCTCTTCCTTCACCCTGAGCAACTCAACATCCGCCACCACCGCCCTCACCACCTCCGTCACATCCTCTTCCTTCACCCCGAGCAACTCGTTGTCACCCTCCCCTCTCCTCACCAACACACTCCTCCCCGCACCCTCCATAAACAACTGCACCCTGACCAAATCCAATGTGGCCCCCTCTCCCCTTTCCAGCTTTCCTCTCGCCCTATCCAGCAGCTCCTGCCCGTTTTGGTGCTCGACCTTCCATTTCACCCCCGTCACATCCTCAAACGCCCTCAAGATTTCCGCCTGCGTAGTCTCGACCGACCTTACCCTCAAGTACTTATTGCAGGTCTCCTGCGGGTGGAGCAGGATGCCGAGGACGGAGTCCGCGATTCCAGCCAGCGTCGTGCCGGTGAACGGTTCCGCGCCGGAGTCGATCAGCACCGCGGTCCTCTCCTTGACGTTGAAGCCCATGCCGTTGGGAAACTTCCTGAGCGCATAGTCGAAGAAGTTCCCTGTGGCCACCGCGCTCCAGCTCATGGCGCCGCCGCTCTCGTCGCATCGCCGGATCAGATACTCCATTATCGCGCTCTTCGGTTCCCGCGCATACGCGAGCTCCGCCAGCCCTTCTCCCGCCCCCGCTCGGCGCATCGTCACAGGCGCATTCGCGAACTCGCTCGGCACGAAACGGGCCACGCCGGCCGCTAGGGCCGCCTCGATCAGAAGCGTCTGCCCGGGTACCCCGGCTATCCCGACGGCGCTGACGACGGCGTCGGTGGATGCTTGCTTGAGGGCGGCGGCAAGCGAGGAGATGGAGGTGAAGTCCGCCGTGAGGAATTTGATATCTGGAGAGAGTTCTGCTGGTGGGGTGGTGGTGGCGCGGGAGAGGATCGTGACGTTGAGGTTTGCGGCGAGGAGGGTGCTAACTATTTTCCGGCCGAGATTGCCAGTGCCCTGGGAACCGTCAGTACGAAATTTGGCACAGTAAGGGAGCTAACTAGACTGATGGTTGGGAGTGAACTTACGCCGACCACGGTTACGTTCTTGATTTCGGTCATTTCGAGGAAAGTCTGGTGGCTCTGTGTGGCTTGCAGAGTGCTGTATGGTATGGTATGGGAGGTAATGAGCTGGATAGTCGGATGTCTGGAGAAGCCGAAGGTAATGAAGCTGGATTGGACGAGCTCGAGCTTGATGAGCTTCAAATTCCTCAATAGCGAGGATATCTATGTCGTCTTTATAATTCTCTCGAGGCCCTGGTTGGAAAAGCAACACCCGAGTACAGTACCGTACATACAGCGATATACCTAGCTACCAACCGGCGGAAGTGTGTGCTCGGAGCTCCGAGACCAAGCAGCTCGGAACTCCGATTTTGTGTTATACAGACGACTCACACATACCCCGGGTCCCGGCTGCGGTATTCTATCCGGGTTCTCGGATTCGCGGATTCGCCCTCAGCTCGGCGAGGAAGGGAGTTCGGTTATGTATGACTCGCTCTCTCCCGTCGTGCCGTCGCGTAGGTATAGTAATCGTATCCACCTCCGTAGTGGAGTCCCAGTCATCACTCTAAAACACAACCTACTATCTAACCAAATGGAGACTCAGTCATTGGATATAGTACCGTATGACTGGAGGACGTGAGTCTACATACTCTACCGAGCCGAGTCAATTTATTAAACGCAAGACAAGGGGATTCCGGTACCTACGTGCAGAGGTCTCAGGTTGCAGGTCACGCCTTTTCTTGTCCGAGAGATATGTGGATGCCGATGTCTGAGTAACTGCGTGCGGAAAATCATCCAGAGCCAGAGGATTTCTAAGGCTTATTTTTCTGGCCAAGCGTTGCCAGTGAGAAGACCTCCCATCTACTCGGCATCATGGCGGGGATCATCGTAGCCACAAGGGACAGCCGTGGATTGCCGGTAGCTACTAGGTAGCTCAAGCAACCGGAGTCTCCTTGGCCCGAAGCCGACACGGCAGGCATTCGTACTCTATGTAGAGCACCTACCGTACCTGGTACCGGTATGTACATGCCTCCCGCGCTCCACCGGCGACTGTACTCTACCATGCGCGAGTCGAACTCCACTGCCGTCACGTGACGTACCTACCGTACGTGGGTCATAAAAGTTCATCAGCAAAGGTCAGCTCACACAACCAACGCTGCAGTCCGCCGAGTCCGATGCCACCCTTGCACAACGTGGTATGGTTCATAACTGCGGTACGATTTGCGAGCTACGGGTCCCTCTTTCCGCCTCGCGGTTCCGATGCGCGCTAAACTCAATCCAACCTGTTTATCTGCTTTGCCGCATGTGTGCATATCCACTGCGAGCCGGATTTCGGGGTACAATGTAGAATATGTACCCGGTGTGTGTATGTGTGTACCTGATCTACTACCCTCATTCGCTATTCTAGCAGCCCGGAGCTACCTAGCATAGATCGTTACTTCTCGTCGAAGCGAGTTTCGTGTCACGGCGGAGTTGGTTGTGGAACTTGTGGGTCGTCTCGCCACCAATCCGGCGTTTTTTTATACCTGGACTAAAAGTATCTACCGTATGCGATGTCAAGAACGATCCGCCTCGATACACACCGTACTCCACTTTGACCTCGACGTCCTTGCGGTAACTAGCGGTACCAGCGGACATTCGCCGGCGTCTCCACCGGCAGAACAAATAGCCTCTCCAGACCTCGACCTACGAGCAGACTGAAGGCGATACCGTAGTCGAAGCTCGCGCGTAAAGAACGGCCTGAGCACTAGCTGTACCTACCCGCCTCTCATCCTAGGAACCGTGGAATCCTCTTGCGAACGGTCTCGGTGGCATATGGAGATATAGATACCCCGTCGGCAGGGCATCGATCTAGGCAGCGAATCCAGAGTCCAGACCACAGTACTGGAAAACGTCTTGGCCCTGGGCTTAAAGTTACCATCGTAGCCAAACAGGCGAGGGGGCACGAAGCATGAACGCCACGGGACCAGCTCTGTGAGTCCGTGGAAGCTGGGTATCTGTCTCTCGGATCTTAGCGAAAATTGGGAACTCCGGGCCCGAACCCGACTGCTAACTATCGGCAGCGGCGGCGGCGGTGAACTGGACATCCGCACTGCACAGGGGCGCAAAGAAAGCATTTCGCGTAGAGTGTCAATCATCGTGAGTATGTAGCTCTTTGTGTGGTGTGTGATCAGTTGTTGTGAGAGGATATGGCTGTTGTCGTGTGGGCGGTTTAACACATCAAGGCTCGAGACAATGGGTAGTTACTCACTGCGGTGTTCGAGACTCCTAGATTCACTGACTTCTATGGTGACTACATCGGCCCGCTTTGGAGATTATTTATTTTTATCGCTCTTCTGTGTAAAGCGCGTCAAGGTTCAAGCAAATATTCTCTGTATGTAGGTGATGTGGGTGGGATGGCGGCATATCATAGGTGAGGTGGTTGAAGGCACCGCATATATGCAGCAGTGTTGTTAGCGCCAAATGTCTCTCCGAAAATTGTATGTTATAGCCAACCACAAGCGTATACATTCGTCCTTCGGGACACATGGTCAATTTGAAACGATACAGAGAAGATTAGCATGGCCCCTGCACTAAGGATGACACGCTTTACAAAGAAGAGCTACAAAGTTTTTTTTATTGGGCGTGGGTTCGAGTCTCGACGATAACTTGCTTTTCTAACGAGCCACATCGCAAGCCACATCGCAAGCCACAACATCACACCAAATCCTCAGCTAAATGATAATCGCCGTCGCGATAAAAAAAACTGGACAAAGAGCCGTCTTTGATTGCAATAGATGTATCAAGCGGAACAAGGTTCAAACTGAAAATCTGGAGTCTGATGGTTGTTGCCGACCGAGAGTTACTACAGTGTGTGGCTGACACCCGTATAACTGGCGCCCAGCTTTTCGCATTATTTTTCGCATCATTGCTGCGGTTGCGATTCCATCCCGTCATACAGCTGCACTCGTGTACTTAGAGCACCTACATACATGCCGGTTTTCTCCAATGGCTCTTGTCGATTCGCCCACTCACTCATCGTACCTACTGGCAGGAACAAGAACTAGAACAAGAACTGTAACTTGTAAAGTCCTTCGTATGATGGTGTCAAGTGTTATCGCTTTTGCTGCTGACACCGATACTTGCTGACTGACTGACCAACTGACTGCTTCCTAATATCGTCACATATGGTCGTGAGTGGTAGGTAGGTAGTAGGTCTTCCAAGTTCCCAGCAGATAGATGTTGGGAGTTGGAGAGAGAGAGAGAGAGAACATCAATTTATTGTCGCATGCAGCCTTACTAGACTATGGCAACCACCAACTTCCAACCTTTCCTGCCAGCTCCGCGGGGTCTAGAGAAAGCTCTACCACCCCGGCCCGATGCTGTTGGGAGTTGGAAATATTGACTGATGTCCCATCGAACGAACGAACCGAGTGATATCTCCAACACGGTAGAGTACACCCAGGAGGTGAAAACGCGAGTGACACGACGTGACTTTCTCCCCCCATTGTAGCATTCCAACCCGTGACGCTCGAGATAGGTAGGTAGGTATATCGCCACTCAGACCTTCAACCCATTTGAGCTGGCGCCGTTGTGCTGAGTATGTAGTAGGGGTGACGATGATTACTGGCATTACCAGTAGTACCTATTCCTGCTTTGGCTTTGGCTTTGGCTTGCTGCTGCTGCAGTAGGTAGGTAGTTGCAGTGGTTGCAGTAGAGTAGTTGCAGTGGTACTGGTTGCTGCAGGTACGGTGCTCAATGCTCATTCATTCAAGCGTTCGGCCTCGCGACGTTTCCAAGTCGCTGTTGTTAAGATTGATGATATGCATGCATGTGCTTAGGTGTTCTATGCGTGCCATCATCGAGTGGATGCTACTTTGGCAGAGAGTTGTCGGGTTGGGTCGGGAGTGAGAGAGAAAATCAATTTACCTACTATAGGTAGGTGTTGTAGCAGCATGCGAGTGATGCGCAATGCGCGATGCGCGATGTTGTTCCAACTTCCGAGTTCCATTGGAGTCCGGCTTTGGAGATCCTCATTGAACCTTGGAGCTTGACCGGTTCATACGTGCACTGCCCCCCTTAGGCCCTTAGCAGGTCATTACACTTCACACTGCACAGTCTTCACTACTAGGTAGGTACCTATACTACCTGTTTCAGTTGCAATGGGAACCCGACGAGCTGAAGCCTGAAGGTTACCCGTGCTGCAGCTGCAGCTGCAAACTCTCATCTCTCATCTCTCATCTCCCCCTGATGACCCTCGGCAGCCCAGATGTTCAACAGCACGAACAGACAGCACGGCACACTTGTTTCCGACTTCGGGGCTATAGGTATACGCGGGTAGGTACATACTAGGTATACTGGTGATTGTCCGTAGAGTTTATTTGTGCATACTAAGTATTGGAGTATTTTGGCTCACTCGACAATATGCAGTTTCTCAAATTGTCAACTTGGGCTGGTATGTTGAACGCTCACCCATCACCCATCACCGGGCAACCGAACTAGCCCAATAGGTCAAATCACAGCTCAAGGCTTCATCATAGATACATCAAAGCAAGCCGTATGCAAGCCGTACATATGCTCCACAATCCCACCAGACTTCATAAATTATTGTACAATGCATCGTATGGTAAGGTAAATCCGTATTCACTCACTCCACTGCCTCCACCCCCTCAATTTTCTGCTCCTTCCCGCCTCCCGTGGACTCACTACTCCTCCTATCCCTCCTAATTTTCTCCCTGAGCAGCCTCTCCCTGAGCAAGTTCTCCTTGAGCTTCAAGTACTGGTATCAAGTAGCAAGTCAGCAAACCTCCGTAATTCCTGGCCAAACGGAAAAATACAAACCACCAACCTCTTCTTCTTCGTCACCCTTCTTCGCTGCTGCGTCGTCGGATGAGTCCTTGGTGCGCTTGTTGCTGCTAGAGCCTTGACGGTCAGGCGACGCGGACCGCTGGCGTTTGGTGCCAGGAGTCGTCTCGCGGTCCTTGCGGCTGCTGCTGGTGCCTCGACGGTGGGGCGACGCAGACCGCTGGCGTTTAGTACCAGGCGAGGTCTCGCGGTCCTTATTGCCCTCCTTTTCCTTTGCACGGGTCTTCTCGCCCTTCTCGGCATCATCCGGAGTGCGCGTGCGTCGCCTCCGATCGCGATGATCGCGGTCCTCATGATGACGGCTTCTATCGCGCTTCTCCTTCTCCTTCTCCCTCGTATCAGCATGTGACCTATGGGGCAATCGTTCGCGGCGTTTCTTCGCGCCATCCTCCCCCCTAGCGGACGAGACGGAGACGGAGCGGGTACGGTCCCTACGGCTGCTCTTCTTGTTGGGCGATGCCGACGCGGAGCGGGAGCGGGAGCGGGACCGCGACTTCGAAGATCCGTAGGATGACCGCGAACCGGATCTGGAAGACGCAGAGCTCGAACCGGTGTACGAGGATACGCTATACGACCTGCGCTTGCCGCGGTCCCTGCTGGAGGCTCCGCGCTTCCTCGAGCGAGATTTAGACCTAGACTCGGATCGGTGTCTCTCGGACCTATCGCGTCTGCTGCTGCGCTCACGCTCGCGCTCCGGAGAGTGGCGCGAGCGGCGGTCGCGGTCGTCCCTCGAGTACCCCCCGCGGCGAGAAGTAGCAGGCGGCGGCGACCGTTCGCGCTCGCGTTCGCGATCGTAGCGTCCATATCTGCTGCTGTTGTTGCCCCTGCCTTCACGGTCGTCAAAATCCCGACGATAAGATTCCCTGCGCGATGACGGAATGTACGTGTCTGCCTCAGCCCTGCGTCCCCCGCGGTCCCCGCGGTCAAACCTCCCACCGCCACGGCCACCACCACCACCACCACCACCACTCCCTCTCGCCGGCGGAGAGTAGTCCCTCCTCGCCGATCGCGCCGGCGGCGGAGTCGCGGAGCGACGCGAGTCACGGCGCGTATCCTCGCGATGTCCCGGCCCACCCCCCCTCCGTCGTCGGTCATCGCCGCCGCCGCGTTCCCCCCCCGCACCACCCCTGCGCTGCCGTCCGTCCCGCTCGCGTTGCCGAACCGCATCGAGTTCCTGGCGACTGGAGTCCTCCTTCTCGCGGCGCAGCCGTTGCTGCTCAGCAGCCTTTTCCGCGTCCTCCTGTGGGCCCCGTCAGCCCTTCAATCCCATCCCATCCCACCCGCACCACCGACCGCACCGCACCGCACACGAACCTTCAACAGCCTCAACTCCTCCTTCTTCTGCTCCAGCAGCTCCGTCGGCACGCCCTGCGGACTGGCCTGGGCGCTCAGCAGCAGCGTCCACATGGTCTTGCAGAAGCCGGGAGTCTCCTTCTCGAGGAACCCCGTAAGGTTCAGCTGTATCTTCCTAGGATCGGGCTTGTCTCTATCAGCCGCCGCCTCTCTCCCGCCTTCCCCCCCCCCCCACCCTTCCCCTTGCCCACGGTAGTTTTGTTTTGTTACTCACGTATCTCCCCTCCTCCAACATGCCGTAGATGAAGTCGATAACGACATCGTCCTCGTTGGCCAGTATCTTGACTACCTGCTTCGCGATCCACCTATGCCCCCGCGTCCGCATCAGCACCCCCAGCCAACCCCGATAAGTGCAACGGGGACGTACTGCTTCATCACTTCGACATTGACCTTCTGCATGTCCACCTTCTTGGAGTACTCGGGCGGGAACTTGGTGCTCTTCAGGAGCTTCGCGTCGACGCCGCTGGACATGGTGCGCGAGTTTTTGTCGTGGGTCGTGGCGTGTGCGGGTTGTGGTGGTGGTGGTGGTGGTGGTGGAGGTATGTAGGTGCTGTTGGTGAGGTGAGGTGTCGTGTGTGGTTGTAGGGTGTGTGGTGAGGTGTGGTGCGTGGGTGTGTAGGTGGTAAAGAAGAGTGTGGGTTCACCAGTAAGTTAACTAGAGGCTATTTACTCCAGAGTAGCAATTGGTGCTTAAACTCGAACCTGGCCCTGCCTGACTCTGAGGGATGTAGGCTTGGCAGGCGCCATTGGTTGCAATTCCAAATACATAGAGAAGTGCTTTCTTTTCCTCCTCTATCCTCTTCCTCCATTAGAACTCCAGAAGCGACCTTATCCAGCTAGATCCACAGTTCGAATGCGCCCTTGAAGTTTTAGCTGTTTATATATGGGTTCTGCTTCGTGCGGGCATTTTATGTACCGTAGGTAGTCGGTTGAGGCTGAACACAACCGAGCACTCGAGCACTCGTGCGGCTTTGGCCGGTTCACTCGATATCACCCGCAATGTCCCTTAATCGTTGATGGCCCCCTCCCCCGGTCGAGTCTTGATGAGGGTGGCGAAGACGCATAGGTACATCGCATCATTCTCTCTCTTTCTCGAGTCTTGGAGTTTTGATCTGCAGATGGACAGAGGTACTGTACTGGCCAACAAAAAATAAAACCCGAGTCTCGATGCTCATCGCATCATGCACACATGCCTTTCTCATCACGAATTTCTCACGAATTTCTCTCCACAGATTCGGAAAATAGTACTGTACCAGAGAAATCTCCAATTGACACCACATTCTAACATCCACACCTCGACACTTCCACACTTTCTAAGCATACCATACCATGCGCTCTATGTTTTACCAAAAAGACCGCAGAAACGAAACGAAACGGAAAGGGAAAAAAGGAAAAAGGAAAACCGCATAACCCAGCCCGAAAAGGAACCCAAAACGAAAAGAGGAAGGAAGGAAGGAAAAAAAGAGGAAGAAACAGGGGGCCGAAAATAATTACAAGTTTGCCCACACGCTTCTTCCCCTTCCTTCAAATCCCTTTCGTTCTTTTAATCAACACCATCGAAAAGCAACTCCCAAGCCAGAATAAAACATAACAAGAAACACAATGAACAAGAAGAAGAAAGCCGTGTCATTTAGATTAGATCATGGGGTTGGACTTGTATTCCGGGGCAACACCATTGGTCACGCTCTTCTCTGCTTCGACTCTGTAGAGATGACAAGGTCGACGTTAGTTTTGAGCACACCCATGACGGTCTGGATCACACTTACACTGGCACAGCCTCGTCCTCCTCCTCCTCGGCCAGAAGCCGCTCGCACTCCAAAGCAGCAATGCATCCGGATCCTGCGCTGGTGATGGCCTGTCTATACCGCTTGTCCTGCACGTCGCCGGCGGCGAACACTCCCTTGATGTTGGTATACGAAGTTCCGGGCTGGGTGATGATGTAGCCCTCCTCGTCACACTGGACCTGTCCCTTGACGAGCGATGTGGCCGGCTCGTGTCCTACGGCGTAGAACAGTCCGTTGGCATCCATCTCCTCAATCTCGCCAGTGACGACATTCTTGATCTTGAGCGTGCCCAAGAGCTTTCCGTTGCCCAAGCACTCCTCCGCCACGGTGTTGTACTTGATCTCGACCTTGGGGTGGGCCGAGAGACGCTTAGCCATGATGTTGGACGCCCTGAGCTTGTCTTTACGCACCAGCACGGTCACCTTGCTGCCGTACTTGGTCAAGAAGATGGCCTCCTCCGCCGCCGAGTCGCCACCTCCGATGACCGCCAACGGCTTGTTCCTGAAGATGGGAACGGCGCCGTCGCACACGGCACAAGCACTGATTCCCGCCTGCCAGTAGGTCTCCTCTCCGAGCAGACCCAACCGTCTCGCCGACGCGCCGGTAGCCAGGATGACAGTGTCGGCGGTGTTGGGCGCGCCGCTCTCCTCACCTTCGATCCAGTACTTGAACGGCCGGTCGGACAGGTCGAGCTTGGAGACCGTCTCGGTGATGATCTCGGTTCCGAACCTCTCGCTCTGGGCCCTCATGTTTTCCTAATCCACCAGAGTCAGGGCAGTTCCTTTCGATCGACGCCGGTGATGGGCGGGTGTGCGTACCATGAGCTCTTGTCCGCCAATTCCGTTGGGGAAGCCAGGGAAATTCTCGACGTCGGTGGTGGTCGTCAATTGACCGCCGGCGGCGATTCCGTTCGCGAGCATACCCTCGTAGAGGACCGCTGTACGGTGGTGTCAATGACTGCTCCATTATTTCTCCCAGCCGAGCAGAGCGGTTCGGAACTCACGTTTCAGTTCGGCACGGGCCAGGTACACCGCAGCGGTGTGGGCGGCGGGGCCAGACCTGTTGAGGCATTAGTGAGGGGAACGGTGTCACGATAGCGGGGTTGCGCATAGTACCCAATAACTATCCGGAGCGACCATCCGTTAGCAACGAAACAGGCAGACAACCAACCAGGAAGCAACACGACCACGGGAGATTGGGGAGCACTCACTGACTACTTTGCTGTGCATGTTGCGGCTCTGTTTTTGCAGGCTAGGATGCAGAGAAGACGGAGACGGCGGTCGGAGGGGGACTGCGGACGAGGCGGTAAAGGCGATTCCCAGCAACGGCCGGAGAGGAGCAAATCTGAAGAAGCGGGAGGAAAACGTGGTTGCTAGATTTTTTTCGGGTAGGATGGAATGTCGATAATAGGATGGACGCCGGGACGCGGGGGGGATGATTTATAGGATGGAAGCAGGTTGCGAGGAGAAGAAGAGAAGTGTTGGGGGGGTTGAGGGGTAGGGTCTGAGGAAGCAGGGGGGAAGCGGACGGAACAAAGGCGAAGAAAAGTTGCTGATGTGATAGTGGGTCGGGCTGGAACTTGGGGAGCGGCAGAGGGGACGATAGAGGCGTTGAAGGGCTCAGATCCTGACAAAAGCGGACGGCCGGGGGGGTCGGACGCTAGTGGACAGCACAGGAACCGATCAAAGTTCGGAGGAGATCACGACGGCTAAGTAAGTGCTGACTTGATCACATGAGAAGGGAGAGAGAGTCGATGGACCTTTCCGAGGCGTCTGTACGGATGCGAGATGGCTGTTGGAGATTCCGCACAGCACGGCGAAGCGATGGCGATGGCGATGTCTACAATATGTTTGGGCACTCTACACGTCTAGAGTACCTGAGAAGTAGGTACCGGTACTCCACCACCTTTGCTCTGCCATTCTACAGCCTTCCTTTCTCGACACGCACATGCACGGTGACCCAACCCGATCGCGACTCCTTCGATAGGATCGACCGAGTCGGTGCAAGATGATGTAGACACCACCACTAGACGCAGACTGGGCGGCGTGTAACGTGGCACTGGGAGAGACGGAGAGACAGAGAGTTTGTTAGCAGCTCGAGCCAGCCAGCCATGATCCGATAGGTACTGCACCTCCACTGCACCTCCACAGCTCCAGCTATGATCCAACCCATCGGCTCAACCCTCTGGCCGTCCCGAGTTACCGGCTGCTCCAGCATCACCAGCATCACCAAGCAGCTACCTACCCAGGTATCTCTGGAGTACATGGAGGACTGAGCGAGCACCCAACCCAACCTCCCCATCCCACCGGATGTCGGCTGCTCGGGGGACGGTATGTAAGTGAGATCTAGGTATCCGCCCACTTGTATCCATGCCATCCATGCCATCCATGCCATCTCTCTGTACTCTACTCTACTCTACGTGTAATGATACCTAGATCCTCCCGAAGCACCCCCGTCCATAGAGTACCTGTGTACTGTGTGCCGTGTACTGTGCTCGTATGTAGGCATGCTACGTATCTATCTACTCCATGTATGCCGGTGTGTGCCTCCTCTCCATCCAGCCCCCCATCCCCAATCTGCACGTAGTATATGTACTCCACACCACAGCAACCGACCACAGAGACCGGAGCCGACAGTGGTTGCGTTGTGGGATGGGATGGTGATTATGGAATCAGACGGCATCCAGACTTACGCAGGGGCCAGTCCGCCAGCCAGCTCTGGGCCCTGCGCGCAACACAGACACAGACAGACACAGACACGGATAAAAAAAGAAAGAGAAAGAGAAAGAGAAAGAGAAAGAGAGAGAGAAAGAGAAAGGGAAAGGGAAAGAGAAAGAGAAAGAGAAAGAGAAAGCCGAGGCGCTCGCTCGTGCGAAGGACGGAAACAGTCCTTGTAGGTACTCTATCTATATTACCTACATAGAGGTGGCCGAAACATGGTAAGTTGGTAACGGCCCTTGACGCTGCCGCGGCGCCGGACGCGCGCTAAGCTCGAGAGTCTGGAGTCTGGAGGCTTGATGACAATGTCAGCGACCGCCGACCGAGGCGTCAGGGCTCAGCACTCGGTCGTGCCATGTGCCGGTACGTAGGTTTATTTATGTCTGGCTGCCGGGGAGTAATATCGAGGTCGATAGGTAGAACTGAACTGAACTGAACTGCATTAAAGGAAGGTTAGTCTGTGGTTTTCTTGAATATCCGGCAGCTGGACGGCGTTCGGCCTCGTGAATTGTCCGTCCGCCAACAGAATCAGCTCTGGTAGGACACATTGATGCTGGTATCAAACGATGGAGACCGGTGGAGAACGGCACGCCTAACCACAGCACGCCAAACCACTGCGATATCTCTCCGTTGAGGGTCCTGGCCAGCACCGTACTGGACCAGAGATAGTGAGTAGAAACAGTACCAACCGCCGGTACCAACGACGGCCACAACAAGACTCCAGAGTGCCAGTATCGAACGGTAGTGAGCGGTGGAGCATACTAGGTACAATGACGTAGTTACCACTGCTGAGGTCCAAGTCATCCCCGAGTGACGGAGAGAGAGAGAGAGAGAGAGAGAGAGCCCGCTCCCCGCTCCCACGTTTCGGCGGTAACGCACCACGGCAGCCGCTCGGCTTCCCGGCTTCCTATCTGCCACCGATGAGGTTCCGCACCACAGCAAGCCTGCCGCATCGCTGGCATAATTACCGGTCAACATTCGAAGGCGCCCGTACGGAAGCTCATGGCCCAAGGGCCAACACACATTTCCCCGCCCCGATCGCATCGTATCGCATCGGGCCGTGACTTGAGTACCCTGATTCTCTGATTCTCTGATCCTCCGATTCTCCGAAGATGCTCACTCAGCCTCACTCCCCCATGCCATTAACTGTCATGGTAAAGTAGAGTGCTCTTCCTCCGCCTCTTTCGGGCCGGATCTTCCAAGCCGGTGTTCCAAGCCGGTGTGTTCCGGCTCTGTTGTGTTCCGGCACTGTTATTCCAAGCCGCTGTTCCAAGCCGCTGTTCCAAGCCGCTGTTCCAAGCCCGCATTTCCGAGAGCACACCCGCTTTTAAACGTCCTCGACACTCCCGGCGCCGTCCCGCCGTCCCGCCAGGCCTTGAATACCGGTACTCCCGACCAGTCGTGCTATGTACGAGGCTGCCCGTGTTTTCCTGGACAAGTCGCAGAATCGCCCACCCAGCACTGCTCACCGGAAGTTTAGACACCATAGCATACCAGCACTAATCGTTCTTTGTCCATTGGATTATAGATGGCCATTCACATCGCCGGACGTTTATCACGCATACCTCCAAGCCTCCGATGTCGATGATGGCAAGTCTTCTCGATACACCCTACACCCTGTACCCATACAGTCCCGTCCTCTTTGCCATAGAGCAAAGTGGGATCCCCCTCCTCCCTCCCCCCCTCCCCCCATCCATCCATGACTCAATGCGAATCGATCTTGTTAAACAAACAAACAAACAATAACCCCGCCCGCCGCCCTTCCCCCCACACCACCTAAAAAAACAGCAACATATACATTACACCCCGCACCTCCCAGCCCACCCCTCATCACCGATTCTCCCTCCCCAGCAGCTTCTGCCTATCCTCACCCTTGCCGCTCTCATCGATGCCCCTAGCAGCATCATGATCATAATAATCCTCCTTCTCGCTAGCCTCCGCATCCTCATCCCCATCCTCATCGTTATCATCGCTGAAGAGCTCCTCCTCATCATCACTAGCGCCAAAGGCATCATAGAGGTCACGGGCCTTTCTTCTGCCGCCTGCAGCAGCACCAGTGGTCTGGCCGCCGCCGCCGCCGCTGCCGCCGCGGGAGCGCCCACCGCCCTCCTCGAGATCGGCGTCGCCGAGCGCCTCGAACTCGTAGTTCATGCCGTCCTCGCGCGCCTGCGCTTTGCGCCGCTGCTTGAGAAGGTATACTGCTACTGCGCCGATGAAGAGCGCGATCACGATGATCGCGCCGTACATCCATGCTTGCGTCTTGGCTGAGACGCCGAAGGTGGGCAGGAACGAGGGGAGGTAGGCAGCTGAGTCGCTGCTGGTGGAGTCTTCGGCGGTAGTAGAGCTAGATGAGGGGGATGCGGCTGCGGGGGGTGAGTATGCTGTGTGTAAGTGGAGTGGGGGGTGCGGGACTGACCGTTGTCGGTCGGGGTTCCTTGCGCGCCGTTGCTGCTGCCGGGCTTGGAGTTCACCGGCCGGTGCAGGTGGTCGGTTGGATTGCCGGTGGCGGCGGCATGGTCTGTGGGGAATTCGCTGGGCAGGTCGGTCGTAGTGTGAAGCGCGCTGGTCGTGTGCGAAGCAGGCAGCTTGTTTTCCTCTCCCGGTAGGGGATGGGGCTCGGCCAGGTCGGCATTGATCGCCTCGCCCCACAGCGTGATGCTCCAGTCGACAAGCGTGCCGTTGTACTCGTTCTCCTGGGTGTCCCTGATGATGATGGCCCATTTCCCGATGCCGTCCTCGCCCCAGTGCTTGACGGTCATGAAGTCCCAGTTCTCGTACCCCTGCGCGCTGTTATCGAGATCCCGCTTCGTCGCGATGTGGCTGACGACGCCGTTCGGCGAGATGAGGTCGACGCTCAAGTCACCACGGCGGCCGTGCACAGCGTTCATGCGCACCTGCACGTGCTCGAGCCGCGCGACATTGGCGTCCTTGATGTGCTGCTCGGTGATTTCGATCTCGCTGCGCAGTCCCTTCTGGCCCTGCGGGATCTCGTGGTTCGCGAGCACCACCGGCGATTTGTACCATGTCTGCGGCTTGACAAGCTTGAACGTCTTGGCCGCCTGCACGATGGCGTAGGCATCGAGCTTGCCGTAGCCATACCGGTGGCTGTACAGCTTGCCGAGCGCTGTCTTCTCCCACATCCCGTCGTCCACGTTGATGGGCACCGCTGTGTCCATCGACAGGTACTGCAGGTCTCGCCATGTGAGCTCGGGCCGTACCGACAGGACGAGAGCGAAGATGCCCGCCGCCAGTGGGGCGGCAGCAGATGTGCCGCCGTGGCCGGAGTAACACTTGTTGGTGCCAACGTCGGTCGTGTGGATCGCATCGCCGCTACCACTGCTGTAGGTGACCACCATCTGCGCCGAGCAGTGTTCCGAGTAATATGGGTGATTCCCTTTACGGTCCACGGCTCCAACAGTGATACTGTAGATGCTGTTGGTGTACCCGTCGAAGTTGCAGTTATCGCCATTGGCAGCACCATTCCCGGACGCAAACACAAAGATCGACCCCAGCCCGCCCCGGCCTTGGTTGATACCCTTCAAGATCGCCTTCTTGATCAAGATTCCCGGCGCCTCCATAGACTTGCCGTCGTCCGGCGGTCCCCAACTACACGAGTAGATCTGATTATCCTGGTAGGCATAGTTCAAAGCGACTGCTTCGTCGGCGTCGGAGATTTGTTTCGACAGGATGCGGATACCCGCTACTTTGGCATCGTAGGCAACGCCGACACCGCAGACGTTGTTCCGCACCGCCGCGATCTCTCCCGCGCACCGAGTACCATGTCGATCGTCACTAAGGCGGGGTCTCGGTTCCGCGGTTTGGTCGTTGAAGTCATACGAACCTTTTGCGAACTGTATCCCGATCAGCCAAGCTCAACGGGACGGGGGACGCGGGACGGGGGACTAACGTAGTTATCCTTCAGGTCATCACTGTACATGTCCAGGCCGTCATCGACGATCGCGACCGTCGATCCGTGCCCGGTGATGCCCTCCAACCACAAACCGGTAACATTCACGTCGTGGCCCTGCTCCACGGTATTGAACAAGTGCCACTGTTCATGAAAGATCGGATCGCGAATATCCAGAGCGCTGGAGATATGCTCGAGCTCTCTCACCAATCCCTTATCCTGCGCGCGGTCTTCCAGCCTCTTCTCTCTCGGCGGCGGCGGTATCCGTTTCACGAGGCGCTTCAGCTTCTGTTTCTGTGCGAAGAGGATCCCATCGCTGCTCGCATCCCGCTTTCCTTTCTGCCGCAGCTGGTACTGTTCGATCACGTCGGCGTCCCCCTTCGGCCCCGAGAACAGGTAGTGGTCGTCGAGCTCCCCTATCTTCCCCTCGAAGTCCAGCCCGAGCCGCCCGGCGAGGTCGTGTGGTGTAGCATGGCGGGATAGGTGCACGGCGTAGTACTCCCGCGTATCGTACTGTCGCGCGAGTGGTGTGTTGCTGCTGCTGCTGCCGCCGCATAGCTCCACCGCCACTAGCTGGAGCAATGCTATCCACGAGGTAATCCGCATCGCTGTGTGGGTGGTGATGGCCGATTGTGTCGTGTTTGCCGTGCCGTGTCGTGGTCGTGGTCGTGGGCGTGGTCGTGGTCGTGGTGGTCGTAAGCTAATTGAGTTGCAGAGCTCTGGCGCAGTTGTTCCAGTAGCGTCTGTATGTAGGTTTGTAGGTACCTAGAGTACTTGAGTGGGTGGGTGGGGGAGGTGCGGTGCAACGGAAGAGTTCGGCGTCGTCGCTAACTGACAGTTCGTTGGTCGCCCGGGAGTCGGAGAAGTCGTTTCGCCACTGCTATTCTGCTCATCAAGTTGCTTGCTGCAGCAAATAGGACCGCGTCGATGAGGCGGTATGATGGATAATCCGAAAGTGTTCCCTCGTCGACACCGTGGCCTGGCCTGCTCTGGCCTGTGGCTGAGAGAGTGGCTTGGACGCAACAGCAAGCTTTGGTGGCCGCGCGGCAGGGGTCGGCAAAGTCATGGCAACGGCAACCCAAGCTGGCTTGTCCGAACGAACCTACTCTACATAAAGCACCCAGAGTACCTCACCACATCCCCTCTTTGTTATCTACTCTATCTACAGAAATGTGAATTCGCATGCACGGAGCAGCTTGCGAACGACGACCCCCCTCCCCCCCCATGGTCCATCGCGAGAGATCCGAGATGGCAGCGGTCTGTGGGTACTCTACATATGATAGAGCAGTTACGCCAAGACGGACGGACGTGCAGGAAGCGCCCGCCCGTGCCCGTGCGTGCGCGCGGCTTACACTGTGCAGTTAGCGTTTGCGCCCGTGGCCCGGATGAGACCTCAATGGCGGGTGCGAGGAGTGGCTCTCACTCACTCGGCAGGAACTTGCAGCGTCGACTTGGTAGGTACCATTTAAACTTGGTTTCCCCGGGAGACATCGTCTCTATATACTAGTACTATCGGCAGCGGTTAAGACTATATACTAGGTATACGGTCGCATCCTTTCACTCGACTTTCTCTACGGTAACCATGGTATCAAAGGCCGCTTTTCGAGACGCCCACATGACCTGTAGTCTTTGGACTTCATTATGGCCTAGGACCTACCTGTTCTTTGATCCCACCGAATCGACCGGAAGTCCGGAGATTATACCGTACTCGGTCGACACCCGGGGACCACAAAGCAGCAGCAGCCTGGTATCATATATATAGGAATGTGAATATAGATTCACGGCTTTGCGGCTTTGCGGCTTTGCGACTTTGTTCTCGGCTTACTCGTGGTGAAGGGGAAGGGGAAGGGGTCGGCGTCCCGCATTGTTCAATGTTGGTGTCGCCCGAGTAGTAAGTTCCAATCTGTATGAAGACTGAAGAGCGGGTTTGAATGGAATTTCTCAGCCTAGGTGGATAGCAGTATTCCACTCTCCCGCCAGCCCTACGGCTTATATGCGAGTGACCACCCATGATCCTCTGCATCACATGATAGTTTCCGGAAGAACGATCTTCCATATCCCCGAGTGATCCAGCATGCAGGGAGCCATCAGTGATAGACAGGGGCAACAACCATAGGCGAGGTGCGAATCCATCTCCATCCCTAATCCATCTCCACCGGGTGGCGAAAGGGATAACACCCTCCATCTCATTTGATGTTTTCCGTGATTGCGGTTCATCCCGAAATCTTGCGCTGCGCTGAACCCCCCGTCCAATTTCCTGGTGATCGTCGATGAAGATAATTGGCGGGCTAGGAGATGCGCGACCAGCGCTATGAGCTAGCCCGAAGATCCCCAGTGTGTGGTGACTGGCGCACGGCCGGAGTGGTCAACCGAACTGGAGTCTGGGCGGACACTCAGCTCGAATGGTCGCTGACTATAAACGACGGCTGCGGCTGTAGAGCTGAGGACTTGAGGACCCGAGGACTTGAGGTTCACGAGCTGAAGCCGTGCAGGCAACGAGGACTACAATTGAGAACTATTCCAAGTGCCGCTCTACTATGATGGTGCTCTTGGAACTTGCACTCCACTTCCTTGATGAAGTCGGGTACTACCAAGTACCAGCACATGGTACACACATCTCCAGCCACCCACTTCTCCCCGCCAAGGGCACGCGCCATCGTCATCGACTCGGCTACCAAGCCTCGCGAGACAAGCTACCACCACCACATAGAGTATTTTGTAAGCACTCTAGATACATAGGCTTCCGTCGCTACATCGCGCGGATGCTGGTGCTGGTGCTGGTATGTATCTCGAAGCTCAAAGGGCGCCGCCCGACTGCATCCCGTTCCGGCAGGATGTTTTTTCTTTCTTTCACGGCGGCTTTGTGCTTTGTTCTGGTGCTCTTTCTGCGTTGGAAGTTGAAACTGAACTCGAACTCCAGCTCCTTGTGCGCCGGACGGTGATCCATCCCTCTGAACTACTAATACTATGATATTACTATATCTGTATATATCTACCCTATATCCTATCCTGGTGCTGCATGACGGCAGAGCCAGGGCTGCCCCCGGTGCGCGAGATTTCGATTTCTCCATCGTCGTCATACGCATCTCGGATCTCTGCCTCTGCGTCTCTCGAGTCTCTAGCCTAGCAGTCGTACAAACTGCTCCGTATTCTGTGTCGCGTCTGTTTGGTCCACTGCTTGCTTGCCCGCCCCCAAGTACCTAGAGGACCTATCATTGCCTACTATTCCTCCTCCTCCCTCAATACGGTGCTAGGTAAGTAGAGTACACACACACCCACACACATACACACACACACACACACACACACACACACACACACACACACACGGCACACCTGCGTATTGTGTTGTGAGTCCCGCCCACCCGCCCGCACGCACACATGCGCAATTGAGTGATCCTCACACATTACCTTACCTTACCTTCTCGTCTTCCACTACGCACCACCTCCAATACCTGCACTCAATCCCGCCTTCACCTTACTTTCGCCGCCACCGCCTTATCCTTATCCTATCCATAACCTCCCGCCCGCCGCCTCTTCCGCCGCCTTCTCCACCACCGCCGCCGCCACACCGCGTCCCCCCAACTCCGCAACTCCCTCCTCCCCAACTCCAAATCTGGATTCCTCCCCACCGCCAGCTCGTCGAGTGTCGGGAGCAGCTGTGCTCCCTGGGACCTCGCCGACCTCACCAACAACCACTACATATTCACACACGCACACGCTGCGCAAGCCGTCGTCAACCTCCACGCGGTCGATCGATTTCGCGAGCGACCGATCGCCGCTGCAGAAGCTCGAGCGCGAATTGAAGCATATCAGCCAGAGCTCCGACGCGGATCCCGACGGCGTCGTTAGGTCGCTGAGTAGACGCCACGCTCAGGATAGGCACGGGGATAGGAGCGCGGATAGACAGGTTGGACAGGATAGACAGGATAGACAAGTTGGACAGGTTGGACAGAGAGGCGCTGCAGTTGGCAGTCAGCCTGCTGGGAATAGGGATAGGGATAGGGATAGGAGCGGACGGGGTGAGGCCGACGATACTATACGCAGTGCCAGTGGTATGAGTAGGAGGCAGCAGCAGCCGCAGTCGCTGCTGCGAGAGCAACAATTACAATCCCAATCGGCACCACCACCGCAGCAACAGCCTCGTCGTATTCATCCACATCCTCTCCCGCCTACACCCCAGCCGGACGAGGAAGACGAGCAAGAACCAGAGATGCCACCTTTCGGCCGCCGCCCGTCCCGTGATGTCCCGGTGGGTAAAGAGCACGAGATCAAGCGGGCGGACTACTACAAGACGCCGTCCGGAGCAGAGGACCACCCGGGGCCACAGCCCACGTATGATTTTCCTCCGCAGAACCCGGCTGCGATAGAGTCCAACAGCAAAATTGGATTCCGGCATCGTCACCGCCGGCTGTGGGGCGGTACGTCAAGTCGAGGCGTGGACTCCGGCAAGGTCGTAAAACCGACCGAGTCCATCGGAGGCGGATTCACGCACGAGTTCGCCCGACTGACCCTTGAGGATCGAGAGGCCGCCGGACAGGTGGACGACGGGCCGAATTGGCAGGGTAGGAACGGTTTTCAATACCAGCCTCAGACGGGTCCATTACCTACAGACATTCTTGGTCGTATGGCTAGACCCGATTTTTTTAGCCTGAACATTCCTGGCTCCCTTGATGGTCCCGCGGATACCGAAAATCCCACTATACCCAGACCCTCTCATGGCGAGTCTGAACATGGCGGTGACGATGCTGTTGGAGGACACCACCACCACAACCTGCATCTTCACCACCATGTTCACGATCCCGAGCATCCCTCTAACCACCACCATCCGGATCATCTCAAGGCCCCGCATACTAAAGAAGAGAGACAAGAAGCGCTAACATTGGCCTATATCCGGGCGATCCCCTCCCGTCCAGTCCCAGATCCACAACTCTTTAGACCCAGACTATCCGTCAAGTGCGGCCCGCTGTTGAGGTACACCGGACTGCGCCGCGACGATGCCTCGGCCCGATCACCGCAGGGTGGCCGCGAGACCTGGCGGGGTTCCGTCATGATACTAACCACCGACAGCGGATCGGACTATTCGACGACGCCAACCCTACGCCTGTATTACGTTAACGACGCCCAGGGCAGCAGAAATGATGGACGCAGGGGCCGGTTCTCGGAGGTTCAGAGCCTGAAGTTGCACGCACAGAATGGCGTGACGTTCTGGCGATTCAACCTCGAAGTGGAGCTAGCCAACACCCAGTCCAAAATTGCGTACCAGATCAACCACGCACAGGTTGTGCACTTCTGGGTGCCCGCGAAAGGCCAGATCATGAACATTATGTTTCACAGCTGCAACGGCTTCAGCCTCAGCGTGAACCCGAAGGACTTTTGCGGGCCGGATCCCTTGTGGCGAGACGTGCTCGAGAAACACAAGCAGCGGCCGTTCCACGTCATGCTCGGTGGTGGCGATCAGAGTAGGCTTCCTTGACATGTAGATGGACACTAGTTACTGACGTTGCCAGTTTACAACGATGCCGTCTCCAAGCAGACGACGCACTTCAAAGCGTGGCTGAATATCAAGACGCCTTTCAAGAAGTCGTCGCACGAATTTACTCACGAAATGGCGGTCGAACTGGAAGCATTTTATCTCGAAAGATACAGTATGTCCCCCCATGGGGTCCGTGGCCTGTAATTGCGCCGTGCTAACCCTCCAGGTATGTGGTTTTCGCAGGGACAGTTTGGCGTTGCCAACTCGCAGATTCCGATGGTCAACATATGGGATGATCACGACATCATCGATGGCTACGGATCCTACCCGAACCACTTTAACCGCTGCCCCGTATTTAGTGGCCTCGGGGCGGTCGCGTTCAAGTACTACATGCTGTTCCAGCACCAGAGTACCACTCAAGAGCGCGAAGAGGATGAGCCAAGTTGGATTCTCGGTAGTGCGCCCGGTCCGTACATCACCGAGCTGAGTCGCCACACGTTCATGTTCCTCGGACGGAGCGTCGCGTTTCTGGGACTGGACTGCCGAACGGAGCGGATGAGAGATATGGTAGTATCCGCAAGGAGCTACGACAGGATTTTCAACCGGCTCCATAAGGAGATGGTTCCCGGCGAGACGAAACATCTAATCGTGATGCTCGGTGTACCTATTGCTTACCCGCGGCTAGTATGGTTGGAGACTTTGTACGTCGCCGCCACCCCGTACTCGTGAGCGCCTGCTTACATGCTAATCCAGGTTGACGTCTCGAGTGATGGATCCGATCAAGGCGCTGGCCCACATAGGCGTACTCGGTGATTTCTTGAACTCCTTTGACGGCGGTGTAGAGCTTCTGGACGACCTGGACGACCACTGGACGGCCAAATCACACAAGTCGGAGCGGAACTGGTTGATGCTGAAGCTGCAAGAGTTCGCGCACCAGCACTCGGTCCGAGTGACAATCTTGGGGTTCGCCAACCACACACCCACACAGTCGCACCGAGTTTAGCTAACGCTGCGCAGAGGCGACGTCCATCTCGCCGGTATCGGCCAGTTCTTCTCGAATCACAAGTTGAAAGTGCCCAAGAAGAATGATCACCGGTATATGCCGAACGTGATCTCGTCGGCGATCGTCAACACACCGCCTCCGAACGGTAAGTCTGACTTGGACGGTCTGGATTCCAGCTAGCTGACCGCATACACAGCGTTGGCCGACATCCTGAACAAGCGCAACATGATCCATCATCTCGACGATTACACCGACGAAGACATGTACCCGATCTTCCTGACCGATGTCGACGGTACGCCACGCAACAACAAACGGCTGCTGCCCAGTGAGTGCGCCGATTCACATTCCGAGTGTAGCTACTAACAGGCACAGGGCGCAACTACTGCATCATCGACGCGTACGACCCTGAAAGCTGCAACATCGGCTTCGAGACCAAGCCAACCAAGAGGTCAACCTTCTCCAAGATCGTGAAACCACTCAAGAAGAAGGGCCCGCCATCGGCAGTCCATCTGCCGGGCGATGCTGGCCTCGATGGCGCCGTCGGCAGCTCCGAGTACATGGATCCGCACGAGGTGATGCGCGACGGGCTGCAGGTCACCCTGCGGATGGAGATCAACCAGCGCGATCCGTCCGGTGCGACCAAGCCGTACAGCTTCAACGTTCCGGCACTCACCGTCGAGAGGTAGCGAGTGCTTGTATGATATTGTGTGATGTGCGGTTTAGTTATACCCCTTCGTTTCGTGCGCTTGGTTGTAGAAGTCTTTTTTGCTGTGGTCGGTCGGTCATAGCGCCGGGTGGTTGAATGGATCGGTTGTTTGGTTGATTGGAGGTGGTTGCGATTGTAATGAGAGTAATGCAATAATAGTACAATTTTTTAATTGCAACTCGCGAGTGACCCAGGTGATCCCCGCACTAACTAATGCCGCATCATACGCGTAAGCGTCACCGTGTCGCTTATATACAGCCCGCCCATCCGTTCCATCCCTAGAGTGTGTGTAACTTTATGTTTGTGCGTGGTGTCCCGGTAATTATCATTTCATTACATAACCCAGGCGACAACTGACTGACGGAACACGAACTCTCCATCCCTCTTCTCAGCTCTCGCACCGTCGTTGTCGTCGTTGTCGTTCGGATTTCCTTCATTATTCACCCCGCCCCGCCCCCCGCACCCCCCCCCCCCCCCTTATTGTCACCCTCACTCACACCACACACACACACACGCACACACACACACCAATCAACCAACCGTTCATGGCGTCGTCATCGTCGGAGCAGCAGCAACAAAAAGACACGCTGCTGCTACCCCCGCGCGGACGCAGCGCGTCAGTCATTGCGACGGAGCAGGACTCGGTCCGCACAAAGTATGCGTGGCTGACGCTATACTTCAGCCTCAACCTGGCGTTGACGCTCTACAACAAGGCCGTCATGGGCAAGGTGAATAATAATATCCCACGCGCCGCCGCGCCGCCGCCGCCACCGAGACACGGGAGCGGGAGGGAGGGGTGCGGCTATATAGTATACGATATATAGGTAGTAGATAGCTGATAGGTAGCGGCGCACACACAGTTCCCGTTCCCGTACCTGCTCACCGGCATCCATGCCGCCTGTGGCAGTCTCGGTTGCATGTTCTTCTACTACCGCGGAACGTTCACGCTCACGCGCCTCACCGACCGAGAGAACCTCACGCTGCTGCTGTTCTCCACGCTGTACACTATCAACATCGCTATCAGCAATGTATCCCTGTGCGTCCCCCGTCCCCCGTCCCCCGTCCCCTAACGAACGCGGGGCCTCACCGAACTGACCGGAGACGGATGGGTGGATGTGCGCGTAGGCACCTAGTGACGATCCCGTTCCACCAGATCGTGCGCGCGATGACGCCGTTCTTCACCGTGATAATCTACCGTTTGGGATTCGGCAAGACGTACAGCCGGGCGACGTACACTTCGTTGCTGCCGGTGGTAGCAGGCGTCGGCTTCGCCACCGCCGGGGACTACTACTTCACGCCGATGGGTTTCATCCTGACGCTTCTGGGGGCGTTCCTGGCGGCGCTCAAGACGGTGGTAACGAACCGGATCCAGACGGGCCGGCTCAAGCTGTCGCCGCTCGAGCTGCTGTACCGCATGTCGCCGCTCGCGTTCGTGCAGACCATGGTGTACGCGTACTTCACCGGCGAGATCGCCGCCGTCCAGAAGTTCGCTGGCGAGAATATCGGCAGGAGGGAGGTCATGATCCTTGCCGGAAACGGAATCCTCGCGTTCGCCCTCAATGTCATCTCGTTCACCGCGAATAAGAAGACGGGTGCTCTTACGATGACCGTCGCTGCGAATATTAAGCAGATCCTCACGATTATCCTGAGTATTGCCTTTTGGGGCCTCGCCGTGGGCTGGTTGAATGGCCTGGGCATATTGTTGACCCTGGCTGGGGGCGCGGCGTATGCGTGAGTTTACTACTACCCATCGTCCCCCGCTTTGTTACTTTGTCACTGACACATAATAGGAAGGTCGAGCTAGAGGCTAAACAGTCGAAAACGACGGTGCCGACTGTGCAACTGGAGGAGGTCAAGTCGGGGTAGTCGGAGTAGAGTAGAGTTTTGGAATATTTAGAGGCTTGGATTGGATTGGGGCGCAATTTGTGCATGATGCGATGCGATGGATGGACTTGCGGGTTTCATAGATACATATACCCACTACTGGTTTTTGTCGCTCTCATACTTTGGCTGGCTTGGATTGGCTTGGTTGTGGATGTGGGATGTGGGATGTGGGGTGTGGGGGATGTGGAGATGGAGATTCATACCTGTCGTTGTTTCTGTGCGCCATTTTGATGAATGTCCGGGCGAGCGAGCTGTCTTTATGCTACATACCGACCGTGTCGGTGTCGATATACCATACATTAGGTGCTTAGGCAGATGGCCATTGGCGGTTTTCTTTGATGTTCCAAGATGCTATTATGGGCACACAGATAGCGGGTGTGGACATATACAGCGCAGTGATGCCGTCCGTGCTAGTGGGTGTGATACAAGCTGGTTGGTACGATACAAGCTGGTTGGTACGATACAAGCTGATTGGTTGATTGGTGGTTAAAGAGAGAGAGATCTTCCTGTTTTATTTCGCATCCAGCCTATCTAGACTATGGCGAACCGTCGCACTCCTTTCCTGCCCACTCTGGCCGGCCGGGGGTTGGGACCCCGTTACCAGCCAGCACGATGTGGCGTTGTTGTTGGTTGGTGGTTTTACGTGCTATGCTATGCTGTGCTGTGCTGTGCTGTGCTGTTGCTGTAGCGAGTGCAGAGCTGTGACACACCCTCGTATGTATGTAGAGCACAAGAAGGGAAATTCTCCAAAGCAGAAGCCAGGGCGGCCGAGCACATTGCGGATTGGTACATACATACCTCATAGGTTGCTCGAGAGCTGTCAACGCAGAGCTGCTGCTACCGGTATGTAAGGCCGCACCCTGGATGCGGAGTGGTTTTTTGTATTGTACTTGTACATAGGAAGCGGATGGTGGATTTCACTTTTTGGCGAGGTTAGACTTGCGCTGGAATGGATTCTTCTCTTTCTACATGCATTGAGTATGGTGCTCTACAGAGGATTGTCCTGGACGATGTCGGAATGGCACGAGCGTAGGAGATACTTGTATGATTTTGAGAATCCACCTTCAGCTAAAAGAGCACTCGATATAACTTGAATGTTTCCCTTGGTTGCGCTCATTGGGCTGGTATCACCGGGACCCCTGCTTTTGTGTCGCGTGGGTACTGTCCGATTCCCGTGCAAACGCAGCCCATTTTCGAACCAGCATGGGTCTAGGTACTCTATGCACATGATGCTCGCTACAACTCAACCCCCCCACCACGACCTCTACCTCCACCTCCACCTCCAGCATACTTAGCACACCCACCACACCCACCACGACCTTAGCAATGGCACCCAGCATCTTCATCGCGATCGCCGGCGGCGCCGCGTCAGGCAAGAAGACCGTGCAAGCCGCCCTAAAATCCACGTTGCTATCTCTACACACGGGGTCAGCAGACACACTCACGATCGAGACGCTTCACCAGCGTGACTTCCGGCACGCATCCTCCAGCACCGCGCTCGATCCCGACAGCCTCGGTGCCCCGCCCTCCCCTTCGCGCTCCTGCCGTGCAGCACCACTAACAGCGCTTTCCCGCAAGAGCAGAAACCTACGACCTCGACCTTTTGGCCACACACATCTCTTGCTCTACCAGCACGGTAGTAATCGCGGAGGGCACGTACCTTCTAACACACCCCGGGCTGTTATCGCTCGCGACCGTGAAAGTATTTGTCGACAGCGACGCAGACGTGCGGTTGGCGCGGCGGGTGCTGTCGCTCCCCGCCACGGAGCTGCAGGAGACGCTGAAGGCGCACGTCGCGTTCGGGAAGCGCAACTACGAGGCGGTCGTCGCGCCCACGAAACAGGTCGCCGATATCATACTCCCCGATGGCGGCGGGAGGGAGGGCGAAACTAGGAATGGCGTGTTGCTTATTGCCGGGGGAGTTATGGATGATATTGTCAAAGTTGTGGGCGCCAGGGCGGGGTTGGTGGGTAGGGCGAAGAGCTATGAGGGGAAGGAGGCGAAGGAGGCGAAGGGCGTGCTGTGTGAGGCGGATCTGACGATGGGGATGCCGACGTACTATGAGACTGTGTAGTTGCGGGATGGCGTAGGCGGTGGTAGGCATGTGGGTCCGAGTGGAGGTGGGTTGATATCACGGTGGGCGAGATATGTTGCGCTCGTGTCGAGATGGGCATGCATGTAGGAGTACATTGTCGCGCATGGCCATATACTTCACACACATGCTACACCGGACGATGGTGGACGATGGTGATCGCTTCTTGCGGATGACAGCTCGGTCATCGACTGTCACACGAGCACCAACTCGACGATGATGCAATGTGGTTGGAATCTTAAATACGCTACATACACCATCTGCGAGCGTCGAGAGCTATCCGTGTTTGTGCCGGTATGTAGCAAAATAAGCCACTTCCTCGTCGTCGGCTGGCAGAGCTTCACTAAGTAGCCAATATCTTCAAAATCGTCATTGTCACTTCGGTAGCCTCGCATGCGGCTTGGACGACGGGACATGAGGTTAGAAGGTGGTGGGATTGGGGACCGGATGCATCGGTCGGGAGGAGGAGAACACAATGGCAAGAGACTGTGAGCGATCGAGCAATCGAGTGAGAAAATGTGAGCGACTGATCTACTATGACTCAGGCTCGAAGTGAAGGGCTGGATAAACTAACCGTACAACTTCTCGACTAGTCGCGCCGCATTACTCTACATACATCGAACCTGAGGAAAGGTACCAGTCAGACCCTCCAACAGTTCGAACTGGGAACAAACTGGGGGTGTTCCCGAACCAACCAACTGTTGGAGGGTAGTGAACTGAACCAACTGGCAAACTGAACCAACTGCCGGGGTTTGAACTGGGAAAACTGCTTGTACCATCAGTTAAGTGAGGCTTAAAAGTTTGTGATATGTAAATCTGTTGCCACTACAAACCCACCGGCCAACTGCCTACAACTCACCACCTAGGTAGTCGCTACTACCAACCTAGCGCCCAGTAGGACGCCGCGGGTTGACGAGCTTCGCGATTGTTGTTCATTGCCTGTCGAGAGGAATGTTCGAAACCGGGCTGCCGCGATCGAATGATGGCTAGAACCGCGGCAGCAACGTCATTTTCCTAACCTCGGCCGAATGGACATTGACATTCTGTCTAGGTATTCCAGCCATGTTGGCTGAGGTTGAACGGCTGTTCTCCGAGTGCAAGATGATTCAGACTGATCACCGGCATTCCCTAGATACCGAGAGTGTTGAAGCTTTCGAGTGTATCCAACCCAACGGTATCGATATCCGTGGTTGACTGGGTGCCATCTCGAGTCAATAATCATGATTGACTCCGATTGACTCCGGGACACGTTTAGTCAATAAACGTAATTGACCCGGGAGCGTCCCAAGTCAATAATCCTGATTGACTCGGATTGACTCGGGTGCATGTTTAGTCAGTAACCGTAATTGACTCTGCGCCACCAAGAGGTTCAATCGCCGTGCTCCCATAAGTTAGGTAGGTAGCATCAGAGTAGTAATTCAAATCTAGTACTGCACATACATCTTCTATAGCTCTTTCCGTGACCGTTCACAACTAGGTAGTACTGAACCCATTTTCTACCGCTTTTCCGTGACCATGGGAACCACCTATCTCGCCCACTTTTGCTGCCCTAGCTGAACTGGCAGTTCATCCGCTGAACTGACAGTTCTACCAGCTTTCCCAAGAACAACTGCCAGACATATCATATCTAAACCAACTGGGAACTGACAGCCTCTAGTGTCCCCAACTGAACCGGGGACAAAATCAACCAGGACTGAACTGTTTAAACCAGTGTTCCCATTTCAACTGACTACATAACTGTTGGAGGTCTGGTACCAGCGTGGCGACAGAATAATGCGGAGGAATCCCACTATTTACCCTCGAGCACCCTATGCGACCCGTCCCCGGAAGGCTGGAACACCCGCCCTCCACCCGCCCGCTTACCCACCAGACCACCAGGCCTTCGTCTCTCCACACGCCATCCAGCAGCTCGGTACTCTACGCACCCCGTAGCAGCCGGCTCCCGCATCGCATCTCGTGCCTAATGCCACGTGTAAACTGTGGTCCGTGCCCGCGACTTCCGCGCGTCAATTGATCACCCCACTACTTTCGCCAGGGCGAGGGGGGTACGTATGTGTTGGGCGGGACGGACCGCGGTCTGCGGCGTTTCACATACATACATGATATCAGCCGGGATGCTGTGGCCAGTGGGGTGATTGTGGGATGCGGCGGGGGGTGGGGGAAGGGGGACGTAGAGTACGCGATTGATCGGCTTCCCACGGACCTGCTGTGCCGGAGGAGGAGTCTGTTCGGCTAGAACGAGGCCGTTTTTTCAGGGCGGGGGCTCCCTGTAGAGTAGTACCTACGGTATTGGTGGGTGATGGGCGAGGACGCAGTGCTACCTACCAAGGCGTCGCTCGATGGGACTCGGGGGGCGGCTGTTGCTGTTGGAACTTGCGATGTGGGCGGTCCGTTAGGTCGTGCCGCAGGCCCGCAGTGGTATTGCATACCGAGAAACTTGACTACAGTGCACGGTTTTGGTCGTAATGTATGGTTGGGTTGGAATAATTATACCCGCGTTCGGTTGTAGGCTGGGAAGTTCGCGGAGATACCTAGGTACTGTGTCTGTGTCTCCGTGAGATGGGCTGGCTGGGCTGGCTGGGTACTTCTCTGCTCAGGCCGATCGCCATGCTGACGGGACGTCACGGATTCTTCTTGAAATCATTCACGATAGCACGGATTCCTCTGGTGAAGGTTTGGTGCCGTCGCGGGATCTACTGTTCGGTATCTATAGTACCTACCTAGAGGCTAGAGCCGATATCAAAGACCCCGAGAGTCGCCGCTTGAGCCCGCCCGCTCGCCATGCTAGGTAGTATGATGCATGGCCGATACGCTTGGATGCGGACGGATATCGCTACTCCACGACGTTACGCTATCACAGTAGGTAGGTTAAGAAGGAAGATTCTGCTCCATATATCGACATCACTCGGGAATTTGCACCTCCACAATGACCAGCCAGCTGTCAATGCGCAATACATGCTCGATATTTACCACCAACCTCATCCGCGGATCCATCCGCCACAAATTCCGAGTGCTCCCCCATGACCCCATGACCCTCCCTCACCCGCGGCGTACTCCGAATCCTCCGCTGCTTACCTAACCTCAAACCTGCACATTCCGCCGATCGCGCAATCCCAAGTCCCACGTTCAGCTACCTACCCTTCCCTCATAAACATCTCAAACAACAAAAAGCAAAACACACGCATACGTCTTGTTATTGCTTTTGTCGCCGGCGACCAGCAGCCCGAAAAGCCTCGTGACGAGCTGAGCTGAAACGACGACGACGACGTTTCCCCCACGCCATGCCCCATGCCACCGAACAATAAGCCGCCGACCGAATAGTATTAGCAACAGTTTCGACAGCAGAGTTCGCTGCCTTCGCTGCGCCCGCCGGGTTTGGCCGTGCTTCGCCGTGGAGATGTGGAGATGTGGAGATGTGTTTCTACGTGCGTATCTGATGTGGAGGAGGGATCTGGAAGAACAAACCTTGGGGGAAAGCGGAATGCCAAGGATGTGCGTGAGTGAGAGGTCGGACTCGCCAGATGCTTATATGCACCTCGAGCTAGGGAGATGTCACCAGCAGCTCAGCTGGAGCCTGGCGTCGGCGAAGTCCCGTCACGGCGCGGGGCGGGGCGGGCGCCAATTGAGTGAGTGGCGACCGTCCTCCTCCCGTTCTCCCGTCCTCCCTGCCGCCCGTCGTCGTCTACCCTTCGTATATAAGACACTCCAGTCCGGTGAGGCTGCCTCGATGTTTCGCACCAAGCCCAATCCACTCAATCACCAGAAACAACGTGATCCTTCACCCTTCACCCGCAGTCCACCCAGTCCACCCAGTCCACCCAGTCCAACCACAATTCACGTGACATCACTCGAGCCAAGGCGTGCGCGTCCCCCAATTCCTCCAATTCCTCCAAATCCCCCAATGAAGTTTCAAACACCGGGCCGGAAGCGTGCCGATCGCTGTTTGAGGGGGGTGGTGCCCCGTGCACACAGTCTACTAGGAAGTGAGTAAGCCCCAACAGTTTTATTGGCTGCGTGTATCGGCGATTCGGCGATATGTAGAGTATTAAGTGCTAACCCTGTAGAGTACAAGGCCTGGGGACGGAATTCCTCCACATTCGTGAAGTGAAGTTGAAGTGAAGTGAAGTGACTTGGCCGCAATGGGTTTATTCGAGACATTTGGGTCACGTTATGGGTGGGTAGAGTGCTGTGCTATATAGAGTAGAGTAGAGTAGAGTAGCCAAGAGTGGGTAAAGACATGGTGGAGGCATCAAACATCGTGGATATGAGTTGAATCCCGCACCTTCTTGCCGCATATCCATCCGGATTCTTGTCGTTTGGGACGCTAGATGCTGCCGTGAGGCGTCTATCGAGTAGGTCGATGGGGTTCCCTAGTATAGTCTCAGTCCTTTATAGCATGTTTACTTCGAAATCTGGATACAGTCGTCGTGAGTGTGTTGCTGTCGGAAGAACGTGCCACCGAGGGCGAACGTAGTGAAGTGAAACTATGGGGTAGATGTTGACATGTGGGAAAGGTGAGTGTTGAGTGGTTGGAGGAATTTGTTTGGAAGAAACCACCGCTGCCTTTGGAAGACGCAGCATGTACTGTGACTTCTGTAACTACATAAACTAACCGAAAGACTTCCTGTCAATAAAACTAGTTGAAGGGGCGCTTCCAAGTTCCAAGGCCACCATATTGATACCTATTCGACCCTCTTCGGTGCGATCCAGCATCGCCGGCTGGTCCGGCTCCCCAGCAAGAAATATATTTAGATCTTGCTACGCTTAAACTGTAGGCTCAAGCTTCGATGTTTTTAGAACTCCAAAACTTTGGCAGGCGACGTAGTCGTGGCTCGTAGCTTCAGGCATTGCGAATGAAACTTTGGCTGGTAGACATGTGTAATTGCTGGTCAAAGAGACTGCCATAGATGCAATTTTCGACCATTCTCGGTGAGCGGCGGGTGTCCGGAAGGCAGCGGAATGCAGTGGAAGCCAATTGGGATGATGGGGCCATTATTGGGCAAAGTGGGATGAAGCAAGTCAGCAAGACAACACAGTTTCGGTGAGTAGCATTGGAGAGAAGCATGTAGTTGACGGGAACAGTGAAGATGATATACCGTAGCTATATAAAGTGCAGATTCCCAGAGTGCAGGTTCTGGAGCAATGTGGGCATAAGCGAAAGCCAATTCCCAGCCGAGCCGTTAGGAAACTTCCTGTAAGATTCCGGCAGCAGGTGGCACTCCAGTAGCCGTCGCGGACGAATTCCGGGGCCGAGCTTGGGGGAGACAGCGATGACTTGGTAGATTATGGAGCAGCCGTCCGGCGGAGCTGGAGGAAGCTCGCGATTAGGCGGTAAGCGCGGCAACGGACGACCCGCGACGAAACCAAAGCTCCCGCGTCGTTGCCCGGTGGACACGTTTCGAACGCTTCCAAATTCCCCAGTTCCCGTAAACGACTGCAGCCAAACAGCCCCGGACGTCCAAAACGAAGCGGCGATTTCCGTCCCGATCGGGTAAAAGATGATGGATTTCCGCTAGTCGAGGCCATCCTCCCTTAATTTGCCCCCCCTCCCTCCCCATAAGCCGTCTAAGCATCCACGTGATCCCCTGACCATGCCTTACCCTGCATACGTCGCTTGGCTGGGTGAAGGCGCGCGGAATGGAGCAGCAGTGCGTGCCAAGGGGTGACATTTGCACGGGAAGGAAGTTCTCCGCAAGCACAAGCACAAGCCGCGACAGTTCCAGCTCGACTCGGAGAGAGAGCACTTTGAAGCGAAGGAAAGCTGGGGCGACAAAGTCCGTACCCAGACAAGCGGGCGACGCCTACTTGGGTCCTTGCAGTGGGACGCCGGCGGCGGCACTAGCTGGGATGGAAAGGGAGAGAGAGCATGGATCAGCACGGTAAGGAACATGGACTGAAGGCGGACACACAATTGGTCGCGGCGATGGTAGGTGGTGGTGAGGTGAAGTGGTGGTGGTGGACCACGGGACATGAGTCCACCTTTCAACAGCAGAGTCAGGTAAGGCGAGTTCGTAGGCAGAGTACGAGTACCTCCTTTTTTTAACTCGCTGTAGCAGGTAGGTAGGCGTAGGTAGCAGCAGCAGCAGTGCTAGCAGTAGGCAACTGAGGCAGTTGTGTCTGTCGTGGTTATTATTACCCCATACAAGGGAGAGAAGTACCTACCGTGCAATTAGAGTACAAGTACCACGGGAGCCCCCCTTCTCCTGACCTTCTTTGAAAGTTCTTCCGTTCTTCAACCCATCGTTTGGCACTGCGTCTACCCTCAATCATCATCTTCATCCCTTTTGTTTCTTTCCCAACGTACTAGTCAGTACTCCCTTCGAAGTCGTGCCTGACAATCCTATAATCCTCCTCGATTGAGTCGACGCCTTCACACCAGCAAACTCCGCTGAACGACCACCTCGAGAGAAAACCCCACGAAACGGAACAGCCAACTACTCAACTACTCTTAATACCCCCCCAAACACCCCAATCAAAATGAAGGGTATGCTCCCTCTCCATCTACCTGCCAGTTGCTTCCCCCTCCGTTGCGGATGCGCGGAGCGAATGCCGAGTTGAGGCTGACAGCTGGCGTGGTGGACTACAGCTCTTATTCTCGTCGGTGGTTTCGGTACTCGCCTGAGGCCTCTTGTATGCGACCCCTCCATCTTCCGTCTTCCCTCCTCCTCCTCTCCATCCCGTAAACCGTGTCGCAACTCTACGGAAATGTGCGGCTCCGCTTGCGGGGCATCGCTCAATCCATCGCATCAAAATGAACTCGGCCGCTGAACATCACTTCAATAGACCCTCACCCTGCCCAAGCCATTGGTCGAATTCGGCAACCGCCCGATGATCCTGCATCAGGTCGAGGCGCTGGCCGCTGCCGGTGTCAAGGACATTGTGCTCGCCGTCAACTACAGACCGGAGGTCATGATCAATGTGTTGCAGAAGGTACGTGCTATCGCCAAGCTCGACTCTATTTCGAGCTTTTGCGGGGAACTAGTAGGTGGGGGCTGAGCTGATGCATCGATTCTACAGTACGAGGAGCAATACGGCGTCAAGATTACCTTCTCCGTCGAGACTGAGCCATTAGGCACCGCCGGACCCCTCAAGCTTGCCGAAGAGATCCTCGGAAAGGATGATACTCCGTTCTTCGTCCTCAACTCGGACGTGATCTGCGAGTACCCGTTTGAGGACCTAGCAGCATTCCACAAGTCCCACGGACAGGAGGGTACCATCGTCGTTACCAAAGTCGACGAGCCGTCAAAGTACGGAGTCGTGGTGCACAAGCCCGGACACGCATCGCGCATCGACCGCTTCGTTGAGAAGCCCGTGGAGTTCGTCGGAAACCGCATCAATGCCGGTATCTACATCCTGAACCCCAGCGTTCTCAACCGCATCGAGCTCCGTCCTACCTCCATCGAGCAGGAGACCTTCCCCGCTATCGTCGAGGACGGCCAACTGCACTCGTTCGATCTGGAAGGCTTCTGGATGGACGTCGGACAGCCCAAGGATTTCCTGACCGGAACCTGCCTGTACCTTTCCTCGCTGGCAAAGAAGAACTCGAAGCTGCTCACGCCATCGTCTGAGTCGTACGTGCACGGTGGAAACGTCCTGATCGACCCGTCGGCGAAGATCGGCAAGAACTGCCGCATCGGCCCCAACGTGACCATCGGTCCCGGTGTCGTAGTCGGCGACGGTGTCAGGCTCCAGCGGTGCGTAGTCCTTCAGGGCTGCAGGATCAAGGACCACGCGTGGATCAAGAGCACCATCGTCGGCTGGAACAGCACCGTCGGAAAGTGGGCGCGCCTCGAGAATGTCACCGTCCTCGGCGACGACGTAACAGTGGCCGATGAGGTGTACGTGAACGGAGGATGCGTGCTGCCGCACAAGACCATCAAGGCAAACATTGATAGTAAGCTCTCCTTTCCCATACCCGTCTCGCCATCATCCGCTAACTTTACTTCCAGTCCCTGCCATCATCATGTAGAAGAAAAAACAGGCGGTGATTGTTTTTGGTTGGTTGCGGGGCGTTCTTTTTTCCTCCTTTCTTCGGTAAAAACAAAACAAACCTTTGTGACAGAAATTTAATTTTGAGGGGGCTATTATTTTTTTATTTCGTCTTTTGTGTTTTTCGTGTTTGGGTTCGGTGGGCGGCGGGCGGGCGGTGGGGAAAGGGGTTGGATGGTTGGTTAGGTCGGGGATTGGGGATTGGGGATGGGGGGGGGGCACTGGGTTGGGGTGGGGTATATGCATGTCAACGCAGTTTATGAGAGTCCTTGATTGAGCGATTGATTGAATTTGGGTGCTGCTCTACGTGATTGCAGAGGTACCTGTATTGGCTTGGACGCAACGAATGACTTCAACTTCAACCACTCTATGGAATAGACAGACATTGTAGTAACTAAACCAGACCAGACAAATGCATGCTTCAATACCAACCAACACCAAACCACACAACAATCTCATGAGTTCCACGGATATTACTCGTCTAGTACTATATATTACCGCGACATAGACAACCACCAAAAACATCAAACATCAACCGTCAAACACAAGCAATCAATCAATATCTGCCGCCAGCGTCTCCTCGGTCTTTTCACCCTCCATCTCCCCCTCTGTCTTTTCACCCTCCACCGTCGTCTCCGCCACCGGCTCCCCCTCCTTCTGCACAGGCTCCTTCACAGGCTCCTCCACCACCACAGGCTCGGGCACAAACACCGACTCCGGCAGCGGCGGAAACAGCTCCTCCTTAAGATCGGGCAGGAACCGTTCCAGGCGTTTCCACGTCTGCTCCCACAGCTGCGACTTGCCGTCTGCCTCCGCTTCTGTTGTGGTTGCGGTGGCGGTGGTGCTGGTGGTGGAGGTGGTGGGTGAAGGACGCTCCAGGAATCCGCCGCTCGCCATGACCAGTAGGATGTTCTTGAGGGATTCGGGGACGGCTTCTTCCTATTTTTGTGCGGGGTTGTTAGCGGGTGTAACAGGGGGACGTTGGGGGTAGGGGGAGGAGGGGAAGGGGGAAGGGGGGGGGGCGGAGGAATATACCAAATGGTCGCCCTGGCCGCTGTTCATGAGCCTATCCATGATATCGAGGATGCGCAGCCACAGCCCCAGCATTCCTTCCCACTCGCTGAGCAGGACGAGGTAATGTAGGAAGATCTTGCAGAGCAGCGTAGCCGCCTGGACCCTGGTATCGCTCATTCCCCTGGGATCTGCCTGGAACACCTCCGGCTTTAGGAGTCTCCCGATGAGCGGGAACAGGACGTCGCCAAAGATGGCGGTCCACTCGCCGTGCGAGGAGTCGCTGGTTACTTCGGGGCCGAGCAGACTCTGCCGCAGCAGCCCGAGGGATAGGTGTCGGATCTCGCGGCACGGGTTGGTGCACTGCGTGCTGAGGCTCTGGAATATGGGCAGCCAGTAGGCGGTCCACGCCTCGTTCTTTTCAAGGTGCGATTGCGTGATGAGGGCGGGCACGCGCGTGTGCAGGGAGTAGATCATTGCTAGCGCCTTTGTTCCGCGCGCGACGATTTCGACGCCGGGGTAGTCGGTGGATTTCTTCTGCAGCTTGCCCTTGCGCGCGGATTTGTCCTGCCGCTGCTCGTACGCGGCGCCGATGTTGGCTTCCGATGCGAAGTCGTTCAGCAGCGAGACTACGGCAACGTAGTTGTCGGCAGTCACGTTGGTTACCGGTTCCGATATGATGACGTCCAGGATCTCGAAGACGTCGACGACGGCATCGCGGTTGTGCAGCAGCCCGTGCAGAACCACCCATAGATCGGGAGAGTTGATGATTTCACTTCGGAGGGCCGACGTGCGTTTGATGCATTTGGAAAGACTCTTGGCCACAGGCAGGGCGGATTTGTCCAGAAGCGTTCTGTCTAGAGCAGCAACGGAGTGGAGAGCCAAGGGTGCCCTGAGGAAAGAGTGTTCGTGGCTATGCTCAAGAAGAGAGAACATGTAGTAGATCGACCGTGAAACGACGAGTGGATGCAGCCTTGCAGCATTCCGGACAATGGCCGTGAGCGTTTCAGCGAGTGCTTTGCCGTGAGCGAGCGTGGTCTCGGCATCTCGCAGAACCAAGCATGTCGTAAACTCCAGAACGTATACCAAAGCTGGGTCATACTTGGGTCCTTTCCACATAGGATTTCCGTTCAGCAATGGCGAGGAGGGATGCTCGGGCTTAACGATGACAACCCCTGGGTCCTCGTCATCTAGGTCTGGAATCTGCCGGAGGAGGGAATCGATGAGTGGCTTAAGAGATGCAGAGTCCAATTCCCTGAAAGATCGTTAGTAATTGTTACACAGCATGATTCGAGTAACCAACATGATATTGGCAAATACATCACCTAGGAAGCATGCATTTACGCAGTCCACGGTGCATAATGTACTGTCAAGTTCCTCGTCCGAAGGCTCTGGCGGCTCGTCGCTGGCATAACTCGACAGATACGAGGAAAGAGTGGAGAACAGACCAACGTCTTTCGACGATTGGTCTCTATCTATCACCACGGAAGGTGTCTGAAGCTGAATGGGCGGAATGTCCAGTCCATTTTGGGAGGGCGAGAAGAACGGTGGGATCAAAGAATTCACAAACAAGTTGAGCCATGTTCGGACAATCTGCAAAACGTAAGTACAGGAGGATATGTTATGGAGAGGGGAAGCATACATGATTCCAACCGTTGAGCAAGACACCTTCATTCCCAGTAATCACCCGGAATAGGACGACGGTACCCAGCTGTGCCTTGAAGTCCCGGCCAAACTTAACGGCGAGCTCGCTGACCATGACACTGTTGCCATTGACTTGGATCTCCGTGTTCAGCGCGGTGCTTGGTGGGTTCTCGGTGCCCAGTGTACTGATCGTACTCAGGCATCGTACGATGTGGTCGAGCGCCTCGGTAATCTTGTACTTCGCCGCGATCCTGGCGCATTGATCGAAACCTGTGATCACCCTTGCAAAGACAGCATCATCGGTGGCCGACATGAAGACATAGCTCAGTGTCGCAACGACCGGTTTCCAAGTGGCCGCGAACATCTGTGCATCGTAGATGTTGGTGTTGCAGATGGATAGCTCACCGGCCGAGTCAGCATTGTGGAGCAACTCCTTCCAGGCGTAGTCGAAGGCATGCTTGTTGTCGTGCTCGGTGGGCAGGATGATCTCGTGGTGCTTGATCGTTTCATAGATGAGCTGAAGGTATTCGGGAGCGAAATCTTTGCCGTTGTTTACGCCTCTCAGATTGCGGCCGAATTGTTCCAACGTCATCCGAGAGCCATTCTGAGGACATTGTCAATACCAGTGCAACAAAAACAGCCATTATTTTGAGTTCGGAGAATCGTGTTTACCTTCATATTAGGATTGTGCTGGTCGGTATTCAACATAATAATAGCATACGATAAAATGAAAACGGCATCTTTATCCGCGACATCCTTCAGATTCGCTTCGGTCTCGCAGTACTTTTCCGAAAACTCCAGGACAATACGTTCAATCAGCTGAGATTCACCTGGCAGCCGGAAGGTCTCGAGCATCTCCCTCAGCGCCTGGTCTACTCGCTTGCCACTAAAGTCAAACATTTTCATAAACGCGCGTAGAATCTCGGTGTTCTGTTTCTTGGAGATGTACTCTCCCAGGAGTTTCTTGTCCGCCCGAGATGTGCCTTTCAAGAACCGTGCGATCGACTCCGGATGATCAACACCCTCAATGATGCCTTGTTGGGCAAGGAAGATGATACCCTTCTTGGGATCCTCGTTGAACTTCTTGATGCCCTGAACAACCACTGCTTTGAGCTGCCTCTGATCCTGGAGCTTTTGGGGTGCCGAGAACCCTTCTGTACGCGGAGCGTCGCTCAATCGTTCATAGATGAAATTCACGTATCCCAACAGCGCGTCCAGACAGAGAGGCGGTACATTGGTAGTACTCCAGGTTGCCGAATCAGGGAATGCATTCTGGAGAATAGAGGATTAGCATAGTATGTTTATGGCAGGCGGGAATTCCATTACCCGTGATAGAAGTCCGATTATATCCTCACAAAGGTCTGTACGGTCCACATCGCAATCGTAATTGACGTAGAGTTCCACCATGAAGCTCGGAATCCGTGACAATGCACCCACGCACTCCACCATGGCTTCGCGTGCATCAGGCCTCCTCGACCCGCCTTCAAGCCCAAGCTTCTGCCTCTCTTTCACCGGCACTGGAGTCGAACGTCCGCTACCGTTCTGCGTTGGAGGGGGCTTGGACACCTTCGGTGCTTGCGGCACGCCTTCGTATAGCAAAGGGTTAACGCCTGGTTCTCTCGGTATCTCAACCTGAGGGTGGAGACAGGCGACCAGATAAGCTAAGAACAACTCCTGTTGCAGTTTTAAAACTCCCCGTGTTGTCGCCAGTAATGTTTGAATGACTCTCAATGACTCCTGTAATATGGTCATGGTATCCGAACGTACAAGCTGGAAAAGATACCGGCAAAGGTTGTCTCTAGCCAAATCCGCAAGGCTGGGGTGTTTGGCAATGGAAGGCCCAGCAACCTCGAATGCGACATCAATTATCCTCATGGCCATCACTCGCATGGTGTCCGTATGTGTCTTATCATCCGGGTCCAAAAGCTCCACCAACACTCTGAGAAGCTCCCGGATAGATGGTAATGAGTAAGGCTTTATTGGGGCCTCCTCCGTCTCGTCTTGCCCGGCGACTCCCTCTGCACCACCACTACTGCCTGCCGGTGCTATAGTCATTCCGTCTGCTACCGCCTTGTCGTCTGACGTTCGTTCCACTTCTGGAGTCGTAACCACATGTTCCCCCTCTGCCGACGGCGCCATTTTGACGCTCTCCATTTCATCTTTAGATTCTTCCTCCAAATTCTCCCCCGCGGCATTGGCTTCCAGCTCAAGATGTTTTAGCCTCTCAAAAACCACTTGGCACATACAAACCATAGTCATCTCGGCGGACCTCCGTAGTACCTCTGAAAGTCGCATCTGACAGCACATGCTCAACCCAGTCTCCATCATTTCGCAGACGCTCTCGTCGCCCAGCAGCTCGCCGCCGGGCCCGGAAAGCATCATCTCCATCAGCTTCAAAATCCGTAGCAGCACTACCTCGTCTTGGGCGGAATCCGACGCTTCAAACCGGCAGTGTGTGATCGCCGACGACAGGAGCTGCATGGCTACCGGGAGCCGAGGAGACGCTCGGTTGACCAGATTGTACGAGAAGAACTTGGTGATTGCGATGAGCGCGAGGGAAGTTATGGGACCGCTCGTCGACGAAGATCTGATGACCTGAAGAAATGGGTGTAGCAAGCTCGGGGTGTCGAAAGTCGTGATGTCTATCGCTCCGTCCCGCAAATCAGTACCTCTGCAACACAAGAAATCCAACAACCAAGGGAAGAAGGCCGACCTTTGCACTCTTGCAAATCACCCCTTAGCTTAGCGAACGCAGCCATAAGAGGGTTGTCCTGTATGCTCTTTCCCTTCTTCCCGCGCAAGCCCCACCTCCCAGCTAACCCCGCATCACCGTCTACCTGTGCAATCCCGCCCGCCCCCTTACGTGTCAGTCCCGGGGTATTGTTTCCAGGAACATGAGTGTAATCGCTGCCGCCGCTGGTGCCACCGTAACCCGAGCCTCCGCCGCCTCCAAGGATCGCAGCCACCGAGGACTGGGCCCACCGCGCATTCTTGCGCATCGCGGAGGTGACAGTGATGCATTCCGAGGTGACCAGTGCAACCGGGTCTATCGCGACAGAGGTGGCGGAAGGTTCTGTCGCGTTCTGAAGCTCCGATGTAGTCTCCCGGCCATGCTGTGTTTCGGTGACGGCCGCCATGATGGTCCGTTATGTATGCCACTGGAACTCCTCCAAATGCGGGAATCCGAATGAGTGGTGAGGTGCTATTGCGGCAGCTGTAAAGCTCGAAGAGGTTGCCCGATAGATAAAGTATGAATCTGGTATTAACACGGTCGCAGAAAGGCCCACGGGATGGATTGGTGAGCTTCTGGCGGGTGTGTCTCTAATCGCGGGTGTGCAAGCTTGAGGGGCCACAGTTGGCGAAGTTGCAAGGGTAACCACACGCCACGACGCATCAAACAAAATACCAAGCCTAACCCTAGAGCTTGTTCTGACTCCTTTATCCCTGAGTCTGTCATTTCTCTACCAGAGCGTCGGACCGAGCCCGACACGGAGAGAAGATGCCCGAGCATAAAGTGCCACATACAAGAGCTGAAGGCCCATATAGAATGTGTCATAATCTGTACCAGAGGAGTCCATTGCTAATTTGCCTGTCCAGTCATCGCCAAGGTCCGAGATACTATCCAGATAATTGAGGACTTCAGCCACCTTCATCTCCCTCTCTTCCGAGCCTGATCGAGGTGGGTGCTTGATAGAAAACGTGTCAATTATGAAGGTTGTTACATCGGTTCAGCACAAGAACAAGCATGTCCAGTCACTCAGATTTATCTACGAAACATACCTTACTCTCGCAAAAGAGAGGAAAGAGGGAAGTCAAGACTCCAGTAACCAACTGCCAAATATACAAAAGAACGCCCTTCGATGAGCCATGAGAAAAAGCCTCCAGAGAGAAATAGAGAAACAAAAGAGCAGCCAACAGGCGAGTCGTGAGTAGACGAAAAAAGTTCATATGCCCAAGTGAAATGGAGAAAAAGAATGAAAGAATCTCTATGGTACATCAACGTAATGGCTTCGCAGTGATGCAAGTTGACAAGAATCATTGGCCATATTAGACGGTGAACCACAGTCGTGCAAGCAATGAGTCGTTAACCCAAACCAGCCGACTGTGCTTTTTCCGTTCGACGAGACCAATAGATGATGCGTTTCTGAGTTATGAGAACTTCCACAGATTTCCACAGTTCTCGCAAGTACAGAACTGAGCATGTTAGTTGTTGACAAGGCTGGTGGGGGAGGTAGCAGTAACATACCGTAGTCATCGGTTCATCGGCAGACCGTGTCTGGGCTTGGGTATAGGAGACCTTCTTCTGTCCGCACTTGCCACACTGCAGCTGGTCGCTGATGCTCTTCTCGGGCTTCGCAACCATTGCCTTTCTCGTATTCTCCTTTTGGATTTCTTGGTCCTCTGCCTTGCGCTCGTCTGACGCCATCTCATGCGATTCCATTGTGGATAATCGCGCAGGAGAAATCTCACCTTTAACAACACGTGTGCGAAGGCTAGGATTCTTCTTGTCCTTGAGAGACAGGAAAAGCATCTGAATTCGGCGCTTATACTGCACTTCAATCTTCTTCTTGTGGTTCACGAAGACTTCAGCCTCAAGGGATTTAGCAAGTGAGAGTATGTGATCCGAAGCTATTCGTTGCGGCAACATCAGTAAATGATTTCCTCAGAGGATAGGCGCAGGTACTGGGCTTACGGGCATCTGATCCTACGCAAAGACCATCGTACAGAATTCCAATGCAGTTATCTCGAGCCTTGTCGCCGGTAACATTGTAGTCTACGCCATCTGTCGCCTTGGTCCTTTTACTCGGGTCCACCTTGACGAGCATATTCTTCGGTTTCGGTTTCGGCGAGGTGATGGTCGGAGATGCCGTGGATCGGGATTTCTCTTGGGGACGCGGGTTGACTTTCTTGTGGACGTCCTGTTTCGCCTTCTGGTGGACATCCTGTTTCCACTTCCCGACAATTTCCTTGGCCAGATCGGAAACGGTCTTGTCAGCGTGGGTGCGCAGTTTGTTGACTGCCATTCCTACTCGAGTTTCCTGTTAAGGTGAACTGTTAGAAAGAAGTGCATACAGGAACGGGGAGTCGGATCTCGGGACAGGTGATGTGAACGATCGAAAGAGGACTCACCCGAAGGAGTTTCTCGGTAGCCACAACACCCGTCTTCAACGACTTCAATAGGTCAGCAATGTGCGCTGCCGGTAGCTTTTCCTTGACCGCGGTGTCGATGTTTGTGACATGTGTCATGACCTCTTTGGCATCCATATTGGCGGTGGTGGCGGTGGTAATCGCGCTGTTGGCAATGTGCGATGTAACACGTGAGAAGTCGCGCTACGAAATCCTGACGCGGAGTTCTCTGTCAAGCGAATGAAGAGAACTAGGTCCAAAGATTATTGTCGTCGGGGTTCGTGCGCTGTGTCGAGTAGGCTGTATGTGTCGGGAGGAGGGGTGATGGTTGTGTTGTGGGAGCAAGCTCCAGAGATAGAAGAGACAGGAGGGAGACAAAGGGATTCCGGAGATGTTTCAATTGCGATTACTTACCTGGGTAGTGACTTCAACGGCCACGGCGAAAGTATGGAGTATGATAAGTTAGGGTGTAGGGTTAGCGAGGATGTCGACTCAAGAAATTCCCGCCTCGCGTCGCATGGGGTCGTTAACTAACGGATTGTCCCCAATATCACAACACCATTTCACTACTGCCGCCATCACAACCCTCAACCACGAAAGGAATTAGTTGAAGACGGATTACTGAAGGTATACCCATCGAAACTTCTTCCGTTCTGCAGACTCGTACGGACTTTCTAACCCCAGTAGTCACGTCGCCGAGCTTCTGCCCAAACTACCCTGAACTCACTCCTGAAGGCGCGCAGAACGCCCCACTCGCCACTCTTCGAACCGACTTCACGTCTCATCCTCATCCATCTACCTACAGCCACTCTTACCGACACATCAATCCGCCCGCCCGTCATCCCCTCCTCCGCTTTTCGACCGCCGTTCTAAGGCTCTTCCAAGACCCCCGGAAGGCTCCGATCGCCCATCATGGCCGACCAATCGCAGTACAAGTATGCCGCTATGTCCAACTTGGTTCTTCAGCCGGACAAGCGATTTTACAGCCGCCGTACAGATGAGCCGACCGGTGATCCGGAGACCCTTGCGGGCAAGGTCGACATCAAGGAGATGGGTAGCCGTGTGTTGCGCGATACCGCGCCCAAGGAAAAGGCGAAGAAGAAGAAGCGGGAAGCCGGGACAATCAATCTCGATGCAATGGACGAGGGCCGGGAGATTCTGGATCGGGAAAAGCGAAAGCGGAAAAAGGGTGCCTCAGCAGGCTTCGGTGAAAGCATATTGTCGGCTACCGATGATGTTTTGGACCTGATCTACCATCCCCGTACGGCAGCGACACGGGAGACGTACTCCTTAATTCTGACGTTGACGGCCGGAATTCTCGGCGATGTGCCGCACTCAGTCGTGCGGTCTGCAGCGGATGCAGTCCTAGAGATACTGAAGGATCCTGATGGATCGAAGAAGGACTTCGACAAGAAAAGGGGCATCGAGGATATCTTGGGCGACAAGATGGACTCCAAAACGTTCTCGGACCTCGTCACTTTATCCAAGAAGATTACTGATTACAACGCCGGAGACGAAGATGAGGATATGGATGGCAAGGCGGATGGCGCCGGTGGTGATGAGGATATTGACGACCGAGAGGGTGTCGCAGTCGTCTTCGAGGACGAAAGCGATGAGGAGGATGATGTCGGCCAGTTCGAAGTCCGGGACGACGAGACCGATGACGACGCGGAAGCCGACGAGGATGAGGGTGAGAAAGCCGCACAGGCAGCTGCCGATGGCGAAGACGGTGACGAAGAGGATGGCCTGGTGATCGGTGGCGACAGTCGGAAAAATAAGGATCGGAAACGGGTGGTGGACAAGGACATCGTGCCCGCAACCGATATCGATGCCTTTTGGCTACAGCGAAAAATATCCTTATTACAACCAGACCCTCATCTCGCCTCCATCAAGACAGCATCCGCTTTTGATATTTTGTCTGCGCCGGAGTCCGAGAAGCCTCTCAGACAGGTTGAAAACGATCTGATTGAGCTCTTCGATTATGACCATTTCGACATGGTCAAGGTTCTGATGAAGAACCAAGCCAAGATAGTGTGGTGCACCAAGCTTGCCCGAGCCGGAGACGGTGAGGATAAGCTGGTTATAGAGAAGGAAATGGTTCAACAGGGCCACGGCGGTATTCTGGAGGAGCTGCGAGGAACATCTGAAGCGCCTGGGCGTAAGCCTAAGATCAAGGCGGACCTGATGGACATCGATGTACCCACCTCGGCGCCCGAAAAGACTGCCCAGAAGGAGGGAGGTCTCACTGGCGGGTTGGAGCCTCGCAAGACCATCGATCTGGAGAACTTGGTCTTTGAGCAAGGCAACCATCTCATGACCAATCCCAGCGTCAAACTCCCTCAAGGCTCAACTAAGCGGACGTTCAAGGGATATGAAGAGATTCACGTTCCGGCACCAAAGAGAAAGAATGACCCTAACGAACCAAAGTTGATGCAGGTGTCCTCAATGCCGGAGTGGGCGCAAGGGCCTTTCAAGAGCAATCCCACCCTCAACAGGATTCAGACACGTTGTTTCCCCACTGCATTTGAAGACGATGGCAACATGCTTGTCTGTGCGCCCACCGGATCCGGAAAAACTAACGTCTCCATGTTGACCATCCTGCGGGAAATCGGAAAGCACAGGGATCCCGTCACCGGTGTTATCCACTTGGATGATTTCAAAATTGTCTATATCGCACCGTTGAAGGCCTTGGTCCAGGAGCAAGTCGGCAATTTCGGGGCGAGGCTGAAGCCGTACGGCATCACAGTGTCCGAGCTCACTGGTGATAGGCAGCTCACGAAGCAGCAAATTGCCGAGACGCAGATTATCGTCACCACCCCTGAGAAATGGGATGTCATCACTCGGAAGGCTACCGACCTGAGTTACACCAACCTTGTCAGGCTGATCATCATTGACGAGATCCATCTTCTTCACGACGAGCGTGGGCCTGTTATCGAGTCCATCGTTTCGAGGACTATCCGGAAGATGGAGACGACTTTGGAACCTGTACGTCTGGTAGGACTCTCGGCAACACTCCCGAACTACCGTGATGTGGCCAGCTTCCTCCAGGTGGATCCATTGAAGGGCCTTTTCCACTTTGATGCTACGTTTCGACCATGTCCCCTCAGACAGGAGTTCATTGGTGTTACGGATAAGAAGGCGATCAAGCAGATGCAGACGATGAACGAAGTTTGCTATACGAAGGTCATTGAGCAAGCTGCCACCAATCAAATGCTTATTTTCGTTCATTCGCGAAAAGAAACTGCCAAAACCGCCAAGTTTATCCGGGATCGGGCGGTCGAGATGGAAACGATCCAGCAAATCCTGAAGAGTGACGCGGGTACCAGAGAGCTTTTGCAGCACGAAGCCGACCAGGTGGCTGATGGCAATCTCAAGGATCTTTTGCCATATGGATTTGCCATCCATCATGCTGGTATGAGCAGGGCAGACAGAGCTACGGTGGAGGATTTGTTCAGCGACAAAGCGATTCAGGTGTTGATCTGCACGGCAACCTTGGCATGGGGAGTCAATCTTCCTGCGCACACAGTCATCATCAAGGGCACTCAGATTTACTCACCCGAGAAGGGTAGTTGGGTTGAGCTGAGTCCTCAGGATGTTCTGCAGATGCTTGGTCGTGCCGGTAGGCCACAATTCGACACATACGGAGAAGGTATCATTATCACGACGCAGGCCGAGATGCAGTATTACCTAAGTTTGCTCAACCAACAGCTGCCGATCGAATCACAGTTTATGCGCAAGATGGCAGACAACCTTAATGCCGAGATTGTCCTGGGAACGGTCCGGACAAGGGACGACGCGGTCGATTGGCTAGGTTATTCCTATCTGTATGTCCGCATGCTTCGCTCGCCCGGGCTTTATGGTGTCGGCACGGATTACTCCGACGATGTGTCCCTGGAACAGATGCGTGTTGATCTCGCCCATTCCGCCGCTACTATATTGGAAAAGTGCAATCTCATCAAGTACGATCGCAAAACCGGAAAACTACAGGCAACGGAGCTCGGGCGGATAGCCAGTCACTACTACATTACGCACAGCTCCATGTTGACTTACTACACTCATCTTCAACCACAACTGTCGACTATTGAGCTTTTCCGCGTCTTTGCGTTGAGTGAGGAATTCAAGTACATTCCCGTGCGGTCCGAGGAAAAACTTGAGCTCGCCGAACTGCTCGCGAAGGTACCGGTGCCGGTAAAGGAAGGTATTGAGGAACCACAGGCCAAGGTTAATGTTCTCCTACAAGCCTACATCTCCCGACTCGGTCTGAACGGTTTGGCGATGGTGGCCGATATGGTCTACATCACCCAGTCAGCCGGTCGTATCCTCCGTGCGATCTTCGAAATCTGCCTCAAGCGAGGCTGGGCGTCAGTTGCAAAGACTGCCTTGGATCTCTGCAAAATGACCGAAAAGCGCATGTGGCGTACCATGTCTCCTTTACGTCAGTTCCCGGTCGCCCCCACCCAGCTCAACCCAATTGTCACCAAGGCCGAGAAGGCGGCGGAGTTTACATGGAACAAGTACTTCACTATGGATATTCCTCACTTGACAGAACTCTTCAACGGCAACGCCCGTGCAGGAAAGCTCGTTCACAACCTTGTGGAACGATTCCCTAGGTTGAATGTGCAAGCACAATTCCAACCGATCACTCGGAGTATGCTACGAGTGGAGCTCACCATCACTCCCGAGTTCATATGGGACGACGCGTACCACGGCACCGCCGAGCAATTCTGGATCCTAGTCGAGGACTGTGATGGCGAAGAGATCCTGTATCACGATCTGTTCGTCCTCCGCAAGAATTACGCCACTTCGGAGAATAACGAGCATCTGGTTGAATTCACCGTACCTATGACCGAGCCGATGCCACCAAACTACTTCATCACGGTTGTCTCCGACCGGTGGATGCATTCGGAGGCAAAGTTAGCCGTTTCGTTCAAGAAGTTGATTCTGCCCGAGAAGTTCCTCCCCCCCACAACGTTGCTGGACCTTGTGCCACTTCCTGTGGAAGCCCTTAAAAAGAAGGAGTTTGCCAAGCTGTACCCAGACTGGAGCCACTTCAACAAGATTCAGACTCAGGTATTCAAGAGCCTGTTCGATTCAGACGACAGTGTATTCATTGGTGCGCCTTCGGGCAGTGGAAAGACGGTGTGTGCAGAGTTTGCATTGCTTCGCCACTGGTCTCAGGAAGAGTCCGGAAGAGCTGTGTATATCGCACCCTTCCAAGAGCTAGTTGATCGGCGATATGAGGATTGGAATGAGAGGTTGGGTCGGTTGGCTGGAGGTAAAGAAATCACCAAGTTGACCGGCGAGACGAGTGCGGACCTTAAGCTGCTAGAACGCGGAGATTTGATCATGGCCACACCTTCACAATGGGATGTTCTCTCTAGGCAGTGGCAGCGGCGGAAGAACGTTCAGACGGTGGAACTTTTCATCGCGGACGATATCCATATGTTGGGCGGTCAGAACGGATACATTTACGAGATCATTCTCTCGAGGATGCACTACATGGCCGTACAGACCGAGAACGCTCTGCGGATTGTAGCGCTCAGTGTTCCATTATCGAACCCTCGGGACCTGGGGGAATGGATTGGCGCCGACAAACACACTATCTTCAACTTCTCACCTGCGTCTCGCCCGGTCCCGCTGGAGATCCACATCCAGTCATTCACCATCCCCCACTTCCCGTCGCTGATGATGGCCATGGCCAAACCGGCATACGTTGCGATCTGTGGCACACCAGCTGACAAGCCCGTCTTGGTCTTCCTTCCAAGCCGAAAGCAATGCCGGTCCACAGCTCTGGACCTCAACTCATACTGCGTTGCGGATGACCAGGAGGACAGATTCAGAAATGTGGCGATTTCGGATATTGCTCCACATCTGAGCCGCATCCAGGAGAGGGCTTTGGCCGAAAGCTTGTCTCACGGTATCGGATACTACCATGAAGCCCTGAGCAAGACCGACAAGCGGATTGTTGAAGGATTGTTTGCGTCTGGTGCTATCAAGGTTTTACTGGCCTCGAGGGATGTTTGCTGGGAGCTGGACACGCCTGCCCATCTTGTCATCGTCATGGGCACGTCATTCTTTGAGGGTCGTGAGCACCGTTACGTCGACTACCCTCTCAGCGAAATCTTGAAGATGTTTGGAAAGGCATCGCGACCTGGTGAGGACAGAATCGGTAAAGCGATTTTGATGACACCGGCAGTTAAGAAGGACTACTACCGCAAGTTTCTGAACGAAGCGCTTCCGATCGAGAGTCACCTGCCAGCGTACCTCCATGATGCTTTTGTTACCGAGATCAGCACCACAACCATCGCCTCGACTCAAGACGCTGTCGATTGGTCAACCTACACGTACTTCTACCGTCGACTGTTGGCCAACCCCAGCTTCTACAGTTTGACCGACACATCCCACGACGGACTGAGTGCGCATCTTTCGGAGATGGTTGAGAACACGTTGAGGGATCTCGCGGAAGCCAAGATAGTGGACATGGATGAGGAGGACGATACCGTGGCGCCGCTCAACCCAGCCACAATTGCTGCCTACTACAATATCTCCTTCATCACCATGCAGACGTTCTTGTTGTCTCTGACTGGCCGCACGAAACTCAAGGGTCTTCTTGAGATCGTCACTTCCGCCACAGAGTTTGAGCTCATCCCGGTTCGGAGACACGAGGATCGTATCCTACAGCGTATCTACGACAATGTGCCAGTCAAGATGGCGGAGCCTAACTACGAGAGCCCACACTTCAAGGCTTTCGTGTTGGTGCAAGCACACTTCTCGAGGATGCAGTTGCCAGCGGATCTCGCAAAGGATCAGGAGATGGTTATCGGCCGGATCCTGAACTTACTGAGTGGTTGTGTGGATGTGTTGAGTTCTGAGGGTCACTTGAACGCCATCAATGCCATGGAGTTGAGCCAGATGATTGTTCAGGCTATGTGGGACCGGGACAGTCCTCTCAAGCAGATTCCGTACTTCGGTCCCGACGTCGTCAAAGCGGCCAATGATGCAGGGTATGTCACTTCCAATATGTCTCCTATCGTGACGATGCAAGAAACTAATAAGGTTGTGAATATAGTGTCAATGATATCCTTGAGTTCATGGACGCCATGGCGGAGGAAGACACCCGCGACAACCTTCTTAAGGCTCTCAACCTTAACCAGCGCCAACTCGCTGACATTGCCAACTTCACCAACAACAAGTACCCCAACATCGAGATGGAGCACGAGCTCGAGGACGAGGAAGTCACTGCCGGCGCCTCTAGTTACATCAAGGTCAAGATCGAGCGAGACGTCGAAGAGGACCAAGAGGTGGATACAACCGTTCATGCGCCCTTCTATCCTGGCACAAAGATGGAGACTTGGTGGCTCGTCGTTGGCGAGGAGGAGACGAAGAGTCTGCTCGCCATCAAGAAGGTTACTATCCAGAGACGCCTCGAGGTTCGCTTGGAGTACACTGTGCCCACGCCTGGCAAGAAGAAGTTGACGCTGTCCTTGATGAGCGACAGCTATGTTGGTGTCGATCAAGAGCAAAAGTTCGAGGTGGATGTGGCTGAGGGTATGGACGAGGATGAAGAGGAGGACGAGGCGATGGATGAGTAGTGGATTTGGGGCAATGCAACGAATGATTTTGGGATGCATCTTATTATGTAGGCATGATTGGTGTGGGGAGATTTTCTTTCTGTTATGTTTTCTTCGTTCTGGTTGGTGTATGTAGTGGTTTTGCTGCTGCTGATGGATTCGGGCTGTATGGAGCTGTATGATAGACGGTAAATACTAGTGAGCAGAACAAAACTGCTCTCCATGTAATCTCCCTCGTTCCACGCACGTGACTACTCACTAGTGACACAACCCGCACACCTTCAACCTTAAGCTTTGGCTTGCTTGCCCGTCTCCATCAACACCTCCAAACCACCACCACGACCACCAAAAATCCATCACCCCCATCACCCCCATCAACCACCGCCGCCATGGTATCTCCACCTCCCGCCCCCGCCCACTCTCCAGCTAACCAGCATAGTCCCTCCGCATCATTCCCGCCGCCCCGCACGCCTCCAAGGTCAGCACCATTGCCGACGGCACCGCCGCGCCCAGCGCACCCTCGGTCCGCGACAGTCTGCGCACGCAGGGCCCGCACCGCATAGCGGCGGACCTCAACAACCGGCACCCGCTCGAAGCGCGCCTCAAGAATTGGGACGCCACACAGATGTCGCTGAAGATGGAGGGGCTGCGCCGTCTCTACGGCGCCGCGGAGCCCATCCGGAGAGGCATGGAGATCAGCTTCTGCAACGACTACAAGCCCGCCCAGCTCGGTGGCCCAAGCAACCTCCACAGGGATATCCTCGAGAATAGGGATTGCGATATTACTTGGGAGGATATCTACTCTGGTCAGTGCTACGGGGAGATGGGCTGCGATGTCCGCGGGGGAGTGGGTGGGATGATGGAGGCCGTGCTAACGTTGGGGTTTGGGTAGGCAACGACAACGTCTACGAACTGCCAGACTTCCATACCGAGCTCGAGACGAAGTGTCGGATGAACTGGTAGAAGGGTGGATAGTGGAGCTATTAGACTCGGTTGTTGCTCTGTTTGGGCGATGGATGCTTTCTACAATGGGATGTGATTGATTCCACCGCGAGGGAGAGGTTGAGTGCAATGATGGATTGCTGCTCTTGCCATACGACATTTTTTCCCGTACTGATTAAGCTACTCTACCACACGTCTATGTTGACCAGGCCCCGCGACATTGTATTCTAGCTCCTTGATGTACTGCATCAACTGGTAGCGTAGCGAGTGAGGTACCGTGAACAATGATTTGAATGGCCATCTCGAGGCCCAAAAGACGGTCACATATGACCCATACTTCGCAGCATAGACTGCAAGTCCTCTATCCATGGACTTCCAGGCTAAGCACAAACCGGCGAGCCGCCCTCACTCAAACCTTTCTTCCCCTTCTTAATCTTCTTTTTCTTCATGAGCACCACCGCCGGTTTACCCCCGTAATTGCCCAGCGCAGTAACATCTAGCTTATTGCTACACGTAGTGCATATCGCACCCTTCGGGGGAGAGCAAAATACTGCTTTGCCGTCAGTGACTCAAGCTATAACCAAGGCAATGCAGTCCTGGATGTCGTGTAGGTAGGATCATTCGAGTTGTGTGGGCGTAACCGTTGTTTCATCTCACTAAATTGACTGGGCGTGATATCACGGAACCGGGGAGGGGACGTAGGGGGGACCAACTAGACAGGCATATCGAGCACACGAATCCGATATCTACCACTCGCTTGTGGCAAAAACATGCGGCGCGGAAGTCGACGTTGATCTGGCTTGGGGGGATCAGATGGCGGCGGGTCGCTGGATCTGAGATGAAGCAGGACTACTCGCACTCGTCAGTTTCCGGAAGCAACATGGAGAAGTTTGGGCTGCCCACCAAAAGGTATTGCAGCAACGACCTAGGATGCTGCAATTGCATATAAATCCCACCGGTCGAATCCGACGCCTGCTGAAGAAATACCGTGTCTCCGGCGATCTTACAGATATCGATCGGCACCCGTAGCCGTTGGGCGGCAAAGATGCTGTTCATCACTGAGACATATTGGTTCGCCAGGTCACCGGAGACGGAGACGACGAGCATCCTAGCGGTCATCGACGGTCCTGCAGATCCCACATCCCCCGCTCGCGGAGCCGACGCGGTAGTAGTAGCGCCGGTGGTGGGCGAGAGGTCGGTTGTGCTCCGGTGGATGTAAGCTAGCGCGAGCGACAGCGCGCCGGACATCATTGTTTCACTGGTGCCCTCGAGGGTTGTGGCTGCGGTTGAGGAAAGGAGCGTCCGCAGGGAGGTTTGTACGGTGTGCTCGATTTGCGCGAAGAGACGGTATTTGTTCGCATCGCGTAGTGGGTCGGCGGCGGGTAGGCTGGGGGTGGACGTTGGCGTGCTGGAGGGAGGTACCGGGTAGAGGAAGGACGCGGTTTTGGTGTGCGAGGCGATTACGGCTACTTGGTTTCCGTGTGAGAAGCTGAGGTGCGCGTTTAGGAGGAGGAGGATGTGCGATAGTGCGGTCTGGAGTGGTAGTTCATCGTGTAGTGTTGCCCAGGCGAAAGGGTTCGTGTCGAGAATTACGACGAGGATGGAGGGTTTGTCCTCTGGTACGCGGAGGAATTATCAGTGGGGCCGGGATGGTAGTCAAAGGGGGTCAAGAATACCGATAACGCCTTGGTAATGGGCACTGGCATCGACGGTCTCCATGTCGCTCTGCGGTTGGGTTTGGAGGGGAGGAGGAGGAATCGGTGGTGGTGGTAGTAGTGGAGGAGGAGAGAACTTGAGACGAATGAACGAGCTCTCGAGTCTCCAAATGGCTGGAGCTCTCTGCTACCTACTCACATGTTACATAGTACCCTACTGGTACTAACTAGCAGTTCATGCGAATCCCTTCCCAGCCAGCTGTTGAGCCCCAGCACCCTACCTCACCCCACCACTCCCGCCCTCAATTTCACCCCAAATGACTCCCGAAGACACTCGTGCTGCATCACTAGCCACAACATCACTCGAGCATTTCCAGGCCAACCGACGAGAGGTACCACTCCCATTTCCTCCGGTTTCCCTTCATCCACTCACTGGTGTAGGATGCGGTCCGCCTCCTGCGCGAAGCTCTGAGCCTATCCCCCCAGAACCCAATCGTCCTCTCGACCTTCGCCGTCCTCCAAGAAGATGCCAACACTCCACCGACATCAAAGCTTATCCACAAATGCGTGATCAACTCTGATGAACCGGCGGGCCACGAGGCGCTCCGATTACTCCGCGATCCGAACGCTGCCTCGCTACGTAACGACACAACGGTAGAATGTCTAGAGCTGCTTATGTCCACCCCCACCGCGCCGCTAGCCGGAAAGCTACTGGGGGAACTTCTACGAGTCTCACGAGGTGCACGGGAGCACGTTGCGTTGAAACTGTGTGGTGGGATTGAGGATGTGATGAAGGTGTTTGATACCCTGGGGGAAGAGGCGATTGACGGTGTGGTTGCGGTTCTGCTGGATGGTAGTGCGTGGGAGAAAGACAGCAGTACCCACTCGAACTGCCTCCGCGAATGCTTCAAATGGCTCCTATCACGACTTGCCGGAACGACGTCGGACCGTCGACTATGTGTTGCGCGCTCCGTTGCACGGCTACTGGCGAGTAAAGCGGAGGAGCTACACCCCTTTGTTTCACAATCCGGACTCGAGCAGTTACTAAACCTCCTCGATGCCACTTCACCACCTGAACTACGATCTCACGCCACTCTTGGGGTCGCCAAATTCGCGGACGCCGCCGGTGATGTCGGACAGAGTATGATCGGCAAGTTTGTTGCGTTTCGTCTAGCGGCGGATGAGGATGAGGACCTGAGACTGGCGTATTCGGTCGCCGCCGCGATATTTCCGCTTGTGCCACAGTTTGCAGCGACGTTGTTTTTGACTGAGGGGTTTGTCGAGGGGATTGTACCAAGTTTGCAGGCGCGGCCGGAAGATGTTGAGGCTGCAGCACTGGATATGCTTAGTGCTGCATGCGTGGATAAGACTTGTCGGACTTATATCGCCACGCATTGTACTGAGTACCTGGAGGCCCTGGTGAAGAGTGGTGATCAGGGGAAGTCCACAGCTGCCGTGGTCCTGGCGAAAGTCAAATACACTCCCGGAGAAGGGAAAGATGTCAAGCAGAAGGATATGGACAAGCTTGCGAGTGTGTTTAAGGGGATGATGTTGACATCCGACGCGGAGGTGCGAGATTCGTCGGTGGAGGGACTGGCGTATACTTCGTTGAAGGGTTCGGTGAAGGAGATGTTGATCCGCGACAAGAAGTTCGTCACCAGCTTGGTCGAAACCCTCCAGTCCTCGTCCGGAAAACCAACGGTGATGTTTGGCGCCCTGACGGTGGTCAACAACCTCACGGCATACGCACCTACCCTCTCCGAAGAGCAGCAAAAAGTAGCTCAACTCAAGAATTACGCCGAGACCAAACCGCACGCCAAAGTCGGCCTGGATCCCGAAGACAAAGACGAGCGAGTAACCCCGCGCTGTAAAACCCTCCTCGACGCCGACATCATCCCCGCCCTCGTAGCTTGTAGCAAAAAGCTTACGCCCAATGCCATCGGCATAATCTCGCACATCCTCCTCTCGCTATCCAAGCACCAAAAGCACCGCGGCCTCATCGCATCCCAAGGCGGCGTCAAGCTCTCCCTCAAATTCTACTCCTCCACCACCTCCAACGGCAGCGACGCCGCGCAGCAATCCGCAATCCGCCGCACCTCGGCGCACGCCCTCGCACGAATCCTCGTCTCCGTCAACCCCTCGCACGTCTTCTCCTCGCAGCTCGCCATCTCCTCCGCCATCCGCCCACTGTACCATCTCCTCGAGGACAGCGAGGAGCACAAGGACCTAATGCCTTTGTTCGAGGCGCTCCTGGCACTCACCAACCTAGCGTCAACCGAGGACACCACACGAGACCATATCATCCGCCTGGCATGGACCAAGATCGAGGAGCTGCTGCTGAACGATAACGTCATGATCCAGCGCGCCACGGTCGAGCTGATCTGCAACCTCATGGCGTCGCCCACGGCGGTGGCGAAGTTTGCCGATGGCTCGGCCGCCGCTAGTAATAGACTGCATATCCTCCTTGCGCTCGCGGATGCGCAGGATCTGGCGACGAGGAGAGCCGCCGGCGGTGCGCTGGCTATGCTGACGGAGTGGGACAAGGCCTGTGAAGCGGTGGTGAAGAGGGAGAGGGGTGTGAAGATCGTGCTGGGGATGGTGAGTGAGGAGGGCGAGGAGATGAGGCATCGGGGGGTTGTGGTGCTGAAAAATCTGGTCTGTGGACCTGGGGCGTATGTAGATGAGGTGAAGAAGGAGGGCGGCGTGGAGGTGCTGAGGGAGGCGCTCAAGAGTACTAGACAGCCGGAAGTGCTTGGATTGGGCGTCGAGACGTTGAAGGCTTTGATGGGGGTCAATTGATATCTATGCACTTTTTATATATTGGACAAGCTGGGAATAAATGATTGCGCTTGACGTCCGTACTTGATCACTGCTCCATTGTCCATGATGTACATAAACCAGTCCATCACAGCTCATTGCGAAGGGAAGAGAGGCCTCAACAATTCCATCACTTCCTCTCCTGCCTGCGCGCTGCCACACTTGATTTACAAGGCGGAAACCAACCATCCAAAAGCAAAAACTTACCACAAGAGCAAACAACCCTTCGAATGCCAAACTTAACAGACGAAGGTCTAGCCTTACTCGGTCATTAGCCATCTTGTCGTTATCATTAGCAACAATCTTGCAGTGGGAGGGGAGGAGAAATTCACCTGTTGGCGTGGCATGCCTGTTTGGATAATCAATAGAGGGGAGGGAAGAGCCTGCATCTTCTCATCCTGTGGTTATCTGAGTCGGTAGAATGGGGACCAACACTCCACCCATGCAGGCCTTGGGATTCCGCTTGTTGCGTGACATGATGCTGTCCGCATCCCTCATCGCGACACTTTGATATGCCAATGCCTGCGCACCACGATCACCCGATTATTAGTGGGACGAAATATCTGGTAGCTTGGAGTGAGGTACCATGCTGTCCGTGGTGTGCCCGTAGGTGAAGTGAATACGTCTGTTCTGGGCCACCTTGTCGAATTTTATGGCCATTATTCCAACAGCAGATGACATATTGGATTCCTGAACGACATTGGAGCCTAACATGGAGCATCATTAGCGGGATTGGGTGAAGAAATAGGACGATGAGAGGGCGAACCCATGAAGTCGTGCTCAATTGCGATCTTGAGGCCGTTGAATTCATCATCGGACTCGAACATGCGCTCCACGGCTTTCGAGGCGATCATCGTGTGCGCCATTTGCTCTCCAGTACCTGCAGTGGCCCCAATTATTAGCGAAGAAAGGAACCCCATGAAGATATATTTATACCGGAGCAAGTAGTAGCTACCACCGTCCCATCGTTGTCGGACCTGATCCAAGTACCTACACCAATCAACGCCGCTGGCCCGACCCTCCCTCGGAACTTCATCCCAATCCCCCCAGAACTACTCCCGGCAGCGACCCTCCCCCAGCGGTCAACACAGATCGCGCCTACCGTATCCGTAACCAAGTCCTCATCCTCGGGCACGGCATCCGCATCCTCGTGCACGGCATCCGCATCCTCAGGCACGGCATCCGCCTCCCTAACCTCTGCCTTAGCGGTAGCATTCGACACCGAGGAGCGCTGAGTATCCGTGGAGTCTCTCCTCGTGTGACCCCTGGATCTAGACCTCGATCTGCGGGAGCGAGAGTTGGAAGATCCAGCGCCACGGGGGCCGTCGAGCTCGCGCTTCCACTTCAGCCAGCGCTGATGTGCGCTGTGGCTTACCAGCTCGTCGTTGGGAATGATTGGGAAGTGGAACTGGCTGGCGTAGAGCTTTGCGCCCGGGCCGGCGAGGAGAATGGGAGGAACCCGCTTCAGCGACATGGGACGGCGGCTGTTGTCGAGAATCAGACGGGCCATCGCCGACGGATTCTTGAAGCCTGCGGGCGGGTACACGCGGAATCAATCAACCATCCCGTACCAGTACGCGTGTGATGTGTGATGTGTGTGTGTGCGTGTGTGTGTGGGGGGGGGGGGGGGGGGGAGGGGGGGGACCCACTATCCACCGCTCCGACAGCACCGGACCGTCCACTCTCCTCCATGATCGAGGCGTCGCACTCAACCGTTCCGTCCAGGGAGAGGTTGCTGCCGAAGCCCGCGTTGGTAATCTCGTTGTCCTCCATGCTTCGAAGAGCCATCTCGACGCCGTCTACGGCGGAGCCACCGTTTCGAAGGAGTGCCATGGCTGCTTTGCAGGCCCTGCGGAGATGACTGTCAGCCATTCACTCATCCCCCGCAAGCACAAAGGGAATGCAGCATCTTACAATGCACACGCTTGGAGATGTTGTGGCTCATTCGATTGCGAGTGATATCCAGCTCCCGCGTGAACAAAGATGCAGGACCAGTCCGCATCGTCGGGAGGATCCATTGTTAACATTTGAAAGGGTGTATCTAAATGGTACAAGCTGAGGGAACTTGTACTGCGCCGGGGTATCAAACAGGGCTTGAAGGAGGGATAAAAGGATACGAAACAATAGTTAATTGAGTGAGAGACAGTGAGGAGGTGAAGATGGAGAGAGCGAGGACGGTCTTCAGTGGGCCAGTAAGCAACCACACACAAGGCCGGCAGGGTCCCTCGTTTATGCACGAGTAGATAGCAAGCACACGCGCTCTCATCCCCCCATTATGAACATGTGGGGTAACGCAAAATGGGGCTCAAAAATAAGCCGGCCGTGACGTGATGGGATCATTACCCTGTCTCATCTGCCTCAATTCTGGAGCTCATGCAAGTCATCTATTCGTCAGGATGCGTACATGTAGTCTATCATAATAATATATTGCAAGCAAACAAGCACACCCAACCCAAAAATATGTACGCCATCCCATGCACCCTCATCCATCTACCCAGCCAGCTATCTAGGGAGAAGAAACCAGAGAGAAACACCACATCTACGCCTTCCTCGTCCGCCTCTTCGCCGCGCTCTTCGCCGTCCCGGACGTCTCCGGGCGTCTAATCGGACTTGTCTCCTCCTCGCGGGCGGCTATAGCCGGAGTCTTGCTCCTACTCCTAGTGTTCCTCGCGGGGGTATCAGGTACCGTGAGTTCCGGGGCAGGTGTGGGGCTCGGCGCCGCTTTTGGCACGACCTTTGGCGGCAAATCCAACATCGCACCCTTCGCCTCCTCCTCCTTGATGAGATCGTCCAGCAGCTTCTTCTTGCGCGCCTGCTCGGCGGCTCGCTTCCGCAGCTTCTCCTTCAGCTCCTTATCCTGTTCCGCCTCGTCGACGATTTCCTCAACGGAGCCGGAAGCTTTCTTTGCCGCCGCGCGTTTCTTGGCGGATTCTTTCTCGAGCCCTTCGATAAGCTTCTCGGTTAGTTCCCAGAGCTGCTTGCCGACTGTGGGATCGGCAATTTCGGGTTTGCGGTAGCTACGGGGTGTTAGTGAGGCATAATTTGGAGTGGATATAGAGGGAGACATACGCTTGGACTTTACACTCCTTGATCAGCTTCCCACCCTCGTTGTCGGCATAGTCCCTACTCATCGCAGCGGCCAAGAACGACTGCGCAGCTGCATCACCGCTCTTGAGCACGAGCCACCAGACGGGCCACATGATGATGTACAGCGCCAATCCCCAGAGCGTTCCCAGCGACAACCATCTCATCGTGCCGGGGGTCCTCGCCATTCCGGGATCGACATTGTAGACCTTAACGTTTGTCTTTTCACCATCGGGGCGTTTGTAGCCCACCATGCGGCGCTGCAACTCGATTCCAAGGATCATAACGGCCATCTTTGCTGCGCCGTAGCACTTCCAGGGACGGGACGAAGGGTACTTTCTACGCAGGAACTGCAGATCGTTGAGATCCAGCTCGCCGAGAATGTGCGAAGAGCACGACGCCAGGATGATTCTAACATCCCTATCTGGGGGCTGCACCCTAACCAGCGGACTGAGCAAGTTCAAGAGGTGGAAATGCGAGAGATAGTTGATGCCTAGATGCGACTCCACCCCGTCTTTCGTAGTGGTCCGGGGGGTATACGGCGGCGCCATCAGTCCGGCGCAGCAGACGACCATGTCGAGACGGCGGGGTGGCGAGCTGTCGATGAACTTTGTCGCGAACTGACGCACAGAGTAGAGGTCCGAGAGGTCGCATTGCTCCGCGTAGATCAGCTGGTTGTCGTGGCGCTCGCGGAGGTCTTCGATGTACTCCACAGTGAAGATGTCGGTAGTGTCTTTGACGAGGAGGATCAGCTGGGTGCCGCGTGAGGCGAGGTCCTCCACTACTTGTCGGCCGATGCCTGATGTTCCACCCTTTATCACCGTTAAAACGCGTTCATCCGCAGCATCCAGAAGAAGGAAGTAAGACGTACTGTGACGATGGCGACCTTGCCATGCATAACCCGCACATTCTCGTTATAGGTGCCGTTGAAATACAGTTTGAGGATATACAGCACAGCTAGCCAAGGCACAAGCTTTAGCACGGGAAGAAGTCCCGGCACAGCCCCAAGGCCGTTGTAGTAGACCTCGCCGAAGATGGGAATCGGCATCGTGATGATGTGTTGTTGTGTGTGAAGAGAGAAGGAAGGAACCAAATAATTTTCACGCACAAGACAGCACGTCCCTTTCATGCCAATGCCAAGCCGGAACCAACGTCATTCCCCTTTCCCGTTCGTTCACCTTTCCCAACCTCATCACCAATCATTGCGGGGATGGCCGCCGTCGGGACACATGGGCAACATTTACACGCTCGGACCCTGGAAACGTGGCCATATTATCACCGTCCGCCGCCGCTACCAGAAAGCCACAGAAAACCACCGGCATGAGTACTTATCTACAGCGCACACACGGACGCGGGAGCTTCCATTTGCACTTCACGGATGCACACGATATAGTAACCGCTAGTCATCTCTATTTTGGAGCCCAAGAAAATTCGTAACCGTTTAGATACCCTTTTGCCTTCCTTGAGCCCGGAATCGTAGAAACGTATTCGAAGAACACCAAACCCAACCCAACCCGTTTGTCCCCACCAGTCATCGCATTGTACCTTCCGAACCCAGCAGCCAAAAAAAAGAGATGATTCACCTGGCACCTGGACAGAAAGAAGAAACAACTTTTGGAGAAACACCCAATGAAAAACCGCAAGAAAAATTACACAGAACAGCAAGATTAGAAAAGAGATTGATGAGTTGTTTAACGAGTAGACATGGCTAGAAGGCAGAAGTTAGCAAGCAGAACACGGATGGAGTTCAGCGGGAGAAAAACATACCCTTTGTGACAACACGCTTAAGGGCAAGCTCCTTCTTCTTGAGGTCCTCGTGGGTAGAGTCCTCAATCTCGAGCTGAGCCATAGCGTCGCTGAGAGTCGCCTCAATCTTCTCGCGAGTACCGCGCTTGAGCTTCAGGCTCATGGTGGGGTCGCTGACAATCTCCTCAACCCTCGAGATGTACGACTCGAGCTGTTGCCGGGCCTCGTGCTTCTTGGAGAAAGCGTCGTCGGTAGACTTGAACTTCTCGGCATCGGCAATAGCCTTCTCAATGTCGGTGGTCGAAAGCTTTCCAACGGAGTTGGAGATGGTGATGTTGGCGGTACGGCCGGTAGACTTCTCGGTAGCAGTGACCTTGAGGATACCGTTGGCATCGACCTCGAAGATGACCTCGAGAACAGCCTCTCCAGCCTTCATGGGGGGGATAGGAGCGAGGGTGAACTCTCCGAGGGAGGTGTTGTCCTCACAGTTGACACGCTCACCCTGGAAGACGGGGAACTGCACGGTGGTCTGGTTGTCGGCGACGGTGGTGAAAGTGCGCTTCTTCAGGGTGGGGACGGTAGTACCGCGGGGAACGACGGCAGCGAAGATGTTACCCTCCATGGCGACACCGAGGGAGAGAGGGCAGACATCGAGCAGAAGAAGGTCGGCAGTCTCCTCAGAGGTGGCCTTTCCGGACAAGATACCGGCCTGGACGGCAGCACCGTAGGCAACAGCCTCGTCGGGGTTGATGCTCTTCTCGAGCTTCTTGCCGTCGAAAAGGTCGCTCAACATCTTCTGGATCTTAGGAATACGGGTGGATCCTCCGACCAACACAACCTCGTCAACCTTGTCCTTAGGGATACCAGAGTCCTTGAGGACCTGCTCAACGGGGGCAATGGTGTTCTTGAAGAGGGAGGCGTTGATGTCCTCGAAACGGGCACGGGTGATGGAGGCATTGAAGTCCTCACCACCGTACAGGGAGTCGATCTCGACGGTGGTGGCGGTGACCGAAGAGAGAGTGCGCTTGGCACGCTCACAGGCAGATCGCAGACGACGGAGAGCACGGGGGTCGTCAGAGATGTCCTGCTTGGTCTTCTTCTTGAACTCGCTCTGGAAGTGCTCCAACAGCGCAGTGTCGAAATCCTGACCACCCAAGTGGGTGTCACCAGCGGTAGCCTTGACGGTGAAGACACCACCTGTAATAATGTCAGTACCCCGAAAATACGAATTGGAGGATGGAACACTGACCCTGGATGTGCAGAAGGGAGACATCGAAAGTACCACCACCCAAGTCGAAGATCAGAACGTGACGCTCCTTGCTCGACTTTCCAGCACCAAGACCGTAAGCGATAGCAGCGGCGGTGGGCTCGTTGATGATACGGAGGACGTTGAGTCCAGCAATCGCACCGGCGTCCTTGGTAGCCTGACGCTGGTTGTCGTTGAAGTAGGCGGGGACAGTGATAACGGCCTTCTCAACGGTCTGGGCAAGCTTGGCCTCGGCAACCTCCTTCATCTGTTGGGTGGGAAAACCACGTCAGTCCGCTGTTGTAGACTAAAAGTCTGCATGCATCCGAGTACGAACCTTGATCAAGACCATGGAGGAGATCTCCTGGGCAGTGAACTGCTTGGTCTCACCGAGGTACTCAACCTCGATCTTAGGATTGCCATCGGCGGTCTCGATAACCTTAAAAGGCCAGCTCTGGATGTCCTTGGTGACCGAAGGGTCATCGAATTTCCGTCCGATCAAACGCCTGTGGAAAGTCGATCAGCACATATGCTCGAAAGTTCCAACGAGACACGGTATTCTCGAGTCAATGATAGCGGACAACATACTTGGCGTCGAAGACGGTATTCCGGGGGTTAAGAGCAGCCTGGTTCTTTGCGGCATCACCGATCAAACGCTCCTTCTCGGAGAAGGCAACGAAAGAAGGAGTAACACGGTTACCCTGCTCGTTGGCAACTGCAGATCATCTAGAGTCAGTAAAGCCGAACGTATGCTGGGTAAAAAAAAAGCAGTCCCATATGTGGTTGCATTGTGGGGTTGGCTGCTGCGGTGCGCTTGTTACGTACTGATCTCGACACCGTTGCCCTCGTAAACGGCGACACAGGAGTAGGTGGTACCTATTCACACGGAGTTAGCAAATTGATCAAGAACCTATCGACCCCACCGGAAAGATTCCGAGAAGCCAGTTTCTGTAGGAATTCTGCGGGGTAAAAACGTACCAAGATCGATACCGATCGCACCCTCGTAGGTTCCCTCAGACATATTGGCAAATGTGTTTTTTGTGTAGGGGGAGGTGGAGAAGGGTGAGGAGGGAGAGGAGGAGTAGGAAGAGGTGGTGTTGGGGGGAGGTGAGGAGGGAGATTCTCTTTCGAAGGAAGACAGAAGCCAGGCTTTTGTGTGGGCGTGGGTTGTGGAAAAAAATTCGGTTTGTGGGTGCGCCAAGACTGGAGGGGCAACGGTTCAGCCCCACCTTTTTCTTTCGTTCAATCGTTTTCGGCTTCGTTCTTTGTGCCAGGGATGGAAAGATCAACCTTTGGGCAAGTCAGCAAGAGAAAGCAAGCCGGTGCAGCGTAAAGTGTGGCCCTTTTTTTTTCCCATCCATTTTCGACTACATTTTTTTTTTTGTTTTTTTTGCTTTTGCTTTTACTTTTGCCTGTGCTTTTGCTTCGGTTTCTGATTTGCTGGTCGGATCGCCGCTTCTACTCCCAGACCCCCGATACTGAGGCCGCCCTACATGCTTCCTGGTCCGTTTACCAGGCAGGAGCAAATTCTGAGCTGCGGGGGGACCAGCACCACAATTGGAGCTCGTTCGGGCAGCCCCACGCAGCAGCAGTTGTGGTGGGCGTCGAAATAAGCTGCGTCCTTGCCAAGGATGGAGACCCAACCGCAAGACGAAGATCGGCAGAGGGCGTGCTCTGGACGGCACAGGTATCGGCTAAGAGCGGTGTTGGATCGTGAGATGCTGAGAGGGATTGTTGGTTTTCCGATGCCAATTTCTCACCAGATGCTCTTCGAGAAGTTTTGTCCGCGGATCGAACTCTACTGCCATTCCCGGTATGCTACTTTGCCACCAATGGTGGATATCTGGAGCAGACTCGATCGAGTGGCACTGCATAACTGGACGTTGCTGGGAGAGGAAGACGACCGAGATCAATTCCAGTGCCAGACCACTACTACGTAAGGCTACGTCGTCCGTGCATGCCCGTTGCCATATATGCCATTTTGGGCGCAGGAGTGAGGCTCCTAAACTCCGTCTGAACCTAGACGTTACTCGCTACCACTCACTTTTATCATGAACACCCTTTAATCATCCGTAACTACTCCTCCCTGCTTAGGTTCGTCCTGAGTTCCCACACCTAGTGCAATCTGTATATTGCCTGGGCCCCGGTAATCGATCTCAATCGCCATATCCCACCTCCACCGTTCTCTCCTATCAACCAGCTCATTCCTATAACTGCAGTTAATGTGTTGGCCAGGTCGTATGACTAAGGAGCTCTGCAGGGCTGCTTCCCGCTGAGCACTCTTTCAGGCTGTAGCCAGCCCGTCAAAAACGATTCGAAGAAGCAGTTAATTCTCCTGCTTTTCCCCATACAGTCCTATTTCAAGCGTAGGAGCCTGGTGCATCTCTCGGAGCCACCAATTTTCAGGTCATGGCAATGTACCTAGACACTCCGTTTCCTTGTCCACTGTCCAACCCAATTTTCGCCAGGTGGCCCGTCGTAGCTTCCCCTGCCCTCTGCTCTCTACCTTCCGCCTCCTCGTCAAGAGATGCCATGCAAGAGGGTGTAGGGAGGAACAGTTGTGGGAGGACTCCCGCTCCTCCTTCACCCCGGCGTCCCCTATCTTCTCCTCCTCCTCCTCATCCTCCTCATCTCCGCCTACCTTTCTTCCCGCTCCTCAACACCCACCCCGACGCCTCACTAGCTGCGTCTTCCTCAGCGACCTCCGAGATCCGCCTGCCCACATCAATTCCCAAGATGGCCTGGCTGTACCACTCGTCCGCAAAGAGCTCTCGGATCTCGAAGTCGCAACCACCGCCTTGCCGACGTAAAACGAAGCAACGATTTGAAAGTTCAAAGCCGAGTGACCGTCGATGATCTAGTGACAGACCTAGATCCCGTACACGGTCGTCGGCTGGTCCATACATACAAACATAACCACCGTCCGCCTTCCCTGGCTTGACCAGACCATTATGTACATAGCAGGAATGCCGCTCCATACATAGACGCGCCCTGTTGGAACTTGGCCAAGAATAGACCGCTGTTGTTTTTCATCTAATCATCAATCGCATGCTAGGACATGGTAATATACGCATCTCCTCATCCCTTCCGCGGTTCGGCTCCGAGAGTCGGCTCGGCTCAATGCAGTACCGTAGTCCCCTGAAAGACATATCGCCTTTTTTGTTGTTTAGACATTAATTGCTTGTGGCCTACCTACATACCGGTACATATCGGTACATCATGTGCTTGGTATCTAGACGATGGTAGACCATAGGTGAATCATGGCAATTCTTTACACACACTGTACCGCTCGCCTGCAAAGATTTCAAAAGACCGACCGACCTCGGCACTGTACCTATGCGAGTGATACCCCATGTCCCAACATCCCACCATCCCTCCGTCACACCCCTCCTACCTGGTATGTATTCCGGATTCGCCGCACCGCCAATCAGGTACCAGTACCAGTGCATACCACCAACACCGACAACCCGCATGCGCCAAACTTCCGATCGTATATACATACATCATATCTCCTCATTTCAATCTCCCCGGAAGTCTCCAGGGGCCCCGTCCCCCGCCCCTTCCCAATCTCTAATGCACATCTCCACTCGAGCTGCAACCGGCCGACGCCCACTATTCACCACCCACCACCGACGCCCGTAATGTGTTTCCGCCTGTATTTGTCCCACATGCTGTTTCAAATTCCGTTTCACGGCGTCCGTATGTACGAGTACAATGCAAAATGCGTGCGTGCCCATTCGATTACACATACCATACTATGCCATGCCACAATGCACATACAGGTGCATTGTACCGCATACAAATGGACATATGGTACCGTATGATGATGATGCAGGGACCGAGATACATTGTATGTATGTACATATAGTAGATGTTACAATTGTGGCAGGAATTCCGTCCCGCATAGTTACTAGTATCATATGTAGATACCGGCCGGTAGAGTAATTCCATAATCCCATAATCCCATAATCCCATTCCTCCCCAAAATCTGCAAAATCAATGAAATCAATGAAATCAATGAAATGGTGAGGCGCTTCCACATACATATAGACCAGCTCAGCTTCCAGCGTCAATCGTACACACCACCCACCAACACACCCATCACAAAAACCCAATCAACCAACCAAACCAAGCAAGCAAGAAAACAGACAAACTCCACCCTCCACCCATCCATCAAATCAAATCATGAACCCAAATCAAAAATCAAGCCGAAACCAAACCCGCTCCTTGAAAGGACATAGGAAACGATGGGAAAATGGAGAGAGGTAGAAACAGATCTGACGTAGGTAAATGCTCCGACAGACCGGATCGATGTTGGTATCGGCGATGTGCAACAACAAAAAAAGGAAAAAAGAGGAAAAAAAACCAGTAGAGGTTCCCAGAAATCTATGAAATCTCCAAATATGTGCCCCTGATTACCGCAAAGTCACCCCCACTCCCGGTTGCCGTGGACGATGAACAAAAAGAAGATGATATCCCGTCTATTTTTTGCTGAAGCGTTTCCCGAGCCAGCTCTTTCGTTTTTTGTCCTCTTCCGCGGGCGGTGGTGGTGGATTCGAAGCCGACATCCTGATCACAGGCCTCACAGCTGGGGGCTGTGGTGCGTGTTGTTGCTGTTGCTGCTGCTGGGGCGGTAGATTCGAGGACTGGCCTGTGTAGGGATTGCCGCCGTGGTTCGAAGCTCCGCCGGGAGAGACAGGGTATGCGTTCCCGTTCGTAGGTCCCCATGAATTTTCGTTGTCTCTCCAGGGCGCTTCTGCGTTCCCTGCCGAACCTCCTCGTGAGGGGTGATTTACCGACTCGCCGTATCCGGTGTCGGCGTATCCTCCATTGCCCGAGCCGCCAGAATGTCCTCGTGCCCGGTTGTGCCCCGGCATTGCCGAGCTGCCCGCGACGAGGTTATCGTTGAGAGCGACTCGACCCGACATCGCACCGAAGGAGGCCAATTCCTCGTGGGAGCTGTAGAGCGCGTTAGCACCCGGGGAACACTTTGATCCGTCATAGGGGGAGCGTCGTACTTGTTTGTCATAGGTGTGCCGGAGCCTCCCATGCGATTGGGCATGTGTGGGTGATCGTAATGTCCGCCTCCGCCTCCTCCGTTCCTATGGTGGTCGTTTCGCACACTGCGTCCGGCCTGCGACGGAGGACTCGAAGCCAGCGGCAAATCTACAGCAAACCCCCGTTAGCCAACCGTGTTCGACCCCAAGTGCGCAGGCTCCCACCCTCAGCACCGTAGTAAGAGCGCCTATAACCTCTATCGACCGCCTCCTGGAAGGATCTGATCGTGTCCAGCGGACGTTCCCATCTACTTCTCGTGGGGTTTGTGAGATCTGGCTCGGCTGCAGAGCACACACACGTTAGAACTCGCGCACACAAAAACCCGCGTTACCGGAGATGATCCGTTTTTCGCGTGGATACGGGGGAAGAGGAATTCGTACCGATTTCGCGTCCCCAGACATCTTTGTGCGAGAGCGACGAGAGTCCTTGCTGTGGTTTTTCTTGATTGACCTGCCCTAGAATTCGCAAAAAACAAACCGTTTCGTCAGCCCTGTGTGCACGGGCTGAGCGCATGCACGCACTAGGAGATGGTTTGACGCAGAAGCGAGACACCTCCCAATTCTCCGTGCAGAGGATCGCAATCTCGTTCCACGAGACACTAAGATAACGAAAATGAGAGAGGTGGAGTAGAACTCACAAGGTTGCAGCTCGTGAATGGCTTTCGACGGGTCCGATGTAGAGGTCATTTTTGAGGCTCGTGATTTCTCGAAGTGCTTCAGTGTTTTGCGCGCTTCCTTTCGTTCCTTGCTGTTTTTTGATCGTCCGAAAAGTCCCATAGATGCAAATAGTGAACGGAGGGTGTCGACTTATAAGTACCCTGGGGGGGCGTTGTTGGGAGGATAAGAGAAAATATGACGTTCGCGGAACAGTTTCGAGCCGGGGGGGGAGGGTTATGGTTGCAGTGGTAGTTTGCAGTGGTGGTTGTTGTGCTGGGGTGCCGGGCTGGGGGTTTTCGAGCGAGCGAGCTAACTAGGTAGGAAGTTGATAGTTGATATACCAGCCCACAGTGCGAGGATGGTCAGGTTTGGCGACGCGCGGCACAGGTGCGGAAGTTGCGTGGATCCGGAGGAGCGACCAACCACAGGAGGCAGTGATGCACCGCTGCAGCTGTGCTTCAAAGGGAAAAGTGGCCAATATGGGAGCAGATGGACAGATGGGAATGGGGCAAGAGTGGAGTGGGATTTTCGTTCTGAAACAGGCTGTGTAGGCAGTGGTTGGAGGTTCGACGTTAGAGCTGAAGAGATCTGGGTAAGGATAGGAGCCGAAACACCGGTGAGATATTGGGTGTCGAAGCGGCGGGCGGATAACGTAGTAGAAGGACAATGGAAGACGGAATTGTGACGAGACAGGTTGGAGCGACATCCGAGTAGAATCGGGCGCAGAACAAAGATTTAAAGATGAAGGCTGGGAGCTTCGGATGGAGACGGAAGTGTTCTTCTGTACACTTCTAGACAATAGAAATGTTCACATATGTGAGTATGGTACTATGCACACACACCCACGCACAGCGCCGGGCGAGAAAACGGACAATCGTCTACTGGAGCGACGGACTCCGCGGGATCCGGATGATGAACGGAAGGCTGGCCGGACAGAACACTAGAGTAGGGTAACGAGTCTGGGCGTGAGCTGCGGCAGCATGCACATGGTAAAATCGGCATGGGTTGTGGTGGTGGTGATGTTGGCGGTGGTGGTGGTGGTGATGGTGGTGGTGGTGATGGTATGTAGTACCTGTACTAACTACCGCTCTGAACAGGCTTGACGCCGGGCAGTCACGGGGGCAGCTTTGGAGTCACCGAGAAGCAGGAAGCGACGCCGGTTCACAGTGCGCAATACTCTGTGCCTCTATTTGTGTTTCCGATGGGACAGCCATTATTACTGTTATTTTTGTTTAATCATTGACTGCATGCGAGGGGACAGCCAAGTCGGCGGGCGGCGGAAGTGGCTGCGGCGGTAGTACTAGTAATGGTGAGTGAGGTAGGGTGATCCGGCCGATTGCAAGCCCGTGATTATCTCACCACGAACGCTCATATAAAGTTTTGGGGCTCGGTACTATACACACGTCCATGATCTTTCGCCGCGGCTACGTGCGCTCGCATGGTTGACTTTCAATTGGGACCAACCGAATGATCGTATCCATGAATCCCAGCCACAGCCCATCGATCGACCCTCATGGCGGCGGAGTTGCATTTGCTACCCCCTACTGGCGCGACTTCCCATCGGCGTGATTGTGGGTTAGGTTTGCATAATCCTACCTAATGGGAAGTTGCGCCATACCGAACATCAATTACCAGACATCGTAGATAGTGCACATTGCTCTGCTCTATTTCCCGAGACCGTGCCTGTAGGAGATAGGCCACAATTCGCAGCGTTGTCCACAGGATGTATGTCTGTACCTGGAATGTTGCCAACACTCATACGCAAAATCAGGGAGTCGAACATGCGGGGAGGGTCCGAATATGTGTGGAAGGCCCTGCTAGTCAGGCCCTGTGAACCAAAACCCCAGACGAATCGGTCTAGAACTACGGAAGCAGTTGAATCCGTGCCGAAAATCCGCAAAGTTCCACGACCAACAAACAGCGACAGACGCCGCAAGTCGTCCAATAACCGCAACAACCGCGCACCTTCCCCCTAGCTTTTCCCACTCCTTGCTAGCCCCCCATCCACCCCCATCCACCCCTCCACCCAACACGAACACGAATCACTCAATTGCTGCGCCCCCCCATCGCCGTATACCGTTCATGCGTTCCCAATCCCCAATCCCCGGAGACCACGCAAGGGGCGTTTCAGAGACCCCGAAGCACCACGACGACGTCGACGACCACCACCACCACCAGCATCACCGTATCTGCGCTCCCCATCAGGCCCCGCTCCGTCCGCTGGTTTGCAAAAACTCAGCTCAGCTCAGCTGCCCCGGCCCCCGGCCCCCAGTGGACTCAGAACACAGCCCGTTTCCTAAGGCCCTAGCGGAACCGGAACAGATCCTGTACCGACCCCGAGTCTCGGAAACCATTGGTATCCGACACGCGGCATGCAGGCCGCCCCCAGACGCTCCCATCCTGGGCGAGGTACAACACGCTCTGCATATGCATCCGTATGTGTGTATGTATGCACGCAGAAGTAGTCGATGCATCTACTCTAGGTAGAGTACCCACCTATGTGGAGAAGGAATCGAGCTTCAATTCGAAATCCTCCCTCAGCCAGCCAGCCAAGTCAGCCAGCCAGCCAGCCAGCCCGTCGGTGCCACGTCGCCGGCAGCTCGCTCGCTCGCTCGCAAGGCTTGGTACCTACATACCGTGCATACAAGGTACCTAGACAACTCTCAGGAAACAGTCGGTACCAAGCATTCGGAACCCACAAAATCGGTGGCAATCTTTCCATTTCTGGCTTGCATGGATTGATGGAAGGAAGACGCGGACGTGGGATGACATCATCATCATCGAGGAAGAAAGAAGAAAAAAAAAGTATACTAATCAGCCGGGGTCGCCTCCGGATCGTTGAGGGACTTCGAAGTTCGCAGGTGGGAGGGTTCTATACATAGATCTACTCTACCTATCTAGCGAACTAGAGTACTTAGACTCTTAGAATAGGACCTAGGTAGGTGCTGGATAGGTAGGCCATCGTTCGGGGAGGGTGGTTTTTTTGGCCCCGCCTCTCTCGAGTCTCAATTACAAAAACTGTGCGGGTGATATCGCATGAAGGGACCGAATAGTTCGCAGGAGAGGAGGGAGGGGCGGGGAGGGGTGGCGACGTGGTGGGGGCCGTGTGTTGGGGATCGTATTCGTCTTTCCGCTGTCCTGTTCGGTAACTGGTGGCCCGAAGCAGATGTTCTCCCGGCAGACGCATACAGCAGAACAAGGCAAGGCATTTGTATGCGTGCAGATCGATTCAATTATTCGTGCATACATAGGGGACGGCACATCTGCAGCGGTTCCTGCTTACGGTGGACAGATTTCGCTTGTGACTCCCACTCGCTCACTCGCTCAGCCAGATGCATAGGACGAATGGCACATTCCGGTCTGTCGCTTGGGCAATTGCGGTGGTCATGATCACTGCTGCGGTATGTACACAGGAAGTTAACCTAGAATTGGAGTGCGTTGGCAGAATGGATTCATATTCATGGAGATACATCAACGCCTGAGCAGTTCTAAAACACTGGACAAACATGCAGCGAATAGAAACATGCGGTGATGTGTACATGTGTATACTTCCAAGTATGTGTACAAGCTATGTCTTGGTGACGAGAATCAATATGATCCTCAACTTCGTGGATATCAAACAGAAATAAGCGTGCTTGCCTGACCCTTCGCTGGAAAAAAAAACGCCTGCAACAACTCATATCCCACCATTACGTCTTGCATAAGCCACATTGCTATGGAGGACCAATCTCAATGTTATCGACCGTCGGACCCCGCCTCTCGCTCGAGCAGGACTTACCTTGTATGGGCCAACAAGAACTTAACACAAGTGAGCGTGTACTTGCAAGCACGAGTCCACGCCTCATCCTGGTTGAACGCGAGTCTAATGCAACTATCACCGATCTTGTCCTTTGCGATTTTGTACGGCAGCTTCATGGTGGGGTCTCGCTGCTCGACGAATTCTGCCACCTGTCGTAAGCACTCGAGGAATGCCACCATCGCCATATCAAACTTTCTGTACATGAACATGCGGCCTATGGGCATGTCCCCGGAGGAGAATAATTCGAGTGTGGTTATCTTGGGCTCGGTGGAGGAGGCGGAGCTGGGCGGATCGAGCTTGTCGATTTTGCTGGTCGAGCCCATGGGTTTGAGACGGTAGCCGCTGAATGCGAAGCCGAGTTTTTCGGCAATCGTGGCGAGGAGGAGGAGTGTTTGGCCCCATGCCGCGTTGACTTCGGCCCACTCAACCTGCTGCTTAACGGTAGGTGTTAGTGCCGATGCTTGATGACCAGACAGTACCCAACTCATACCGCCTGATTAGGTAACCGCCCGAGCCGCAGCGAGTTGATGGTCCCAAAGAAACCGTCATGACCGATATTAAACGTATCATTGTAAACATTCGTTCTCTGGAGCTTCTCCAACTGCTTGGAGTCGTGGTCATACTGCTGATTAACGCAATCCCTGATATTCTGGAACTCGTCAAGTTTCTGGGTAAACGCATTCCTGTCGCGCCAGAACTCTTCTTCCTCCTTATCGAGCTCCCTGGATTCCTCCTCGAGCCGTTTCGTCTCCGCCTCGACCTCCGCGCGCTCCCTCTCTAGGTCCTCCAGGTCTTGCAAAGCTTCCGCATCCTCTTCCTCCAGCCTCCGCAGCTCCTCCTGCTGCGCTTCCTGTTCCGCCTCGGTGGGTATCTCCGCATTGACCCGCTTGAGGAACTCCACGAATGCATCCCTCTCCTTCGTCACGACCTGCAGACGCTTCGTATAGCCCTCCACCAAGAGCTCCGAGCACTCGGCACAGATGGGATGATCGACATCCGTTCTCGCGCTCAGGATCTCAAACAGTCTCTCGGAGCGCTTCGCGGTCTGGCTCTGCGCGTTCTGATCATTATCGGCGGCCACCCTCTCCAACTCCTGGGTCCGCGGACTGTTCTGCCGACTCAAGCTGGGCGCCGGCGGCATCATCGACGACTCCGTGAGCACGACAAAGGATTCCGCCGGGTTCTGGTAGATGGATTTCGACTGCGCCGTGCGCGAGGACCGCGGGTTCGGCACATGCCGCTTGTAGGAGGGCGCACCGCCGGCGTCGCGCACGGCTTTTTCGTACGCTTCTCGGCGGTCCGGCGGGTACGCGGGTTTGGTGGACGGCGTGTGTTCGACTAGTGTGGGGTGTTCAGATGCACCTGTGAGATGTTAGCTATCTCCGGGGGTAACAGGATGCAGAGGATAGCACCTATTAGCAGGTTGAAAGCTGCCGGACTCATATCGTCGAGTGAGCCGTGCAGTTTTATCGCTTGCCGACATCGTTGACACTTCATTTTGCGCGTGTGGGGTTGAAAGGTGGGCGATTTTGAGGGTGAGCGTTGTGGACTTCAGATTGAATATGTATGGAGTGGAGTGGATGCGCCGAGCCACTACGTAAGGCGGCCAGCACGTGCAATAAGGCGGGACTACGGGAGATCTGCGCTTGAAGACGTCCGACAAACTAACGATACATAAAATCCATCACGGCACGTTTTCAATAGGCATATTCGGTAAGTGCCTTCAAGACCGGCTTCTTGGATCCTGCACCGAATCTTCAAATCCCAAGGACCGTGAAACAGCCAGCCAGCAATAATCAATGCATTCATACTAATATCATACTATCTGGAGGAGTACTAACCCGCACTTAGAGAACATTCGCTGAAAGTACACAATCGAGATCGCATCCGGATAAGACGAACAAGAGAAGAAAAGGACAAGAACAATGACAATGACCCCGCAAAAAGCCCCTAAACTAAATTACTCTGCCCCGGACCAGCAAACTGCTCACTACCGCAGACGACACATATCAGTTCCTCCTGCTGCGACGGCTGCTGAAGTCCCTCAAGACACTTCCGATGGAAGACATGTCTACAGCAGAACAGCACGAGCACCGCCGATTGCGCGTCCTGCTCTCCCTCCGCCGGCTCCGTAATTTCAACACTAGCTTTACCCTTCCCCCTGGCGACGGCGGAAACACTGGCATCAGCCTCCATCCGACGCTCTTCGCGCAACTTCTCGAGTCGCCGCTGATTCTCCAGCCGAGTCTTTTCCCACGCGCTGTAGATACCGCCTGCTGCGCCGGGTCCCCATACGCGCTGCCCGCATGCCTCGCAGGATTGACCAGCGGGTTTCCAGCCGCGTTGCCGGAGGCGCGCGGCGGAGTCGACGTGCACGAAGAGGTCCTTGTCTAGGAGCTTGTTGGCGAGAGAGAGGAGTTGCGCTTCGTAGAGGTAGGTTTCGAAGATATCGGTGAGGACATTGCGGAGGTCGGCGAGTGATGGAGAGGCCATCGAGGCACGGCTAAGGAATTCGCGGAGGATGTGCAGGAAGGAGATTTGGAGTGGTGAGGAGGAAGTCGCAGTCAGGAGGGAGGAGAAGGTGTCCTGAACGAATTTGCGGAGGTGAGCGAGGAGTTTTTGGGTGTCGAGGCGCTTCTCGGGTTCTGTTGAGGCGCTGGCGGGTTTTGGTTGGTTGGTGAGGGAGATGCAGTTTTTGGCAATGCGGACAACTGCATCGACGAGATCGAGCCAGAGTAGTTCTTCCTTGTTGAGGGGATCCTTTTCGAGTCGGCGGTTGTGGTTCTGAGGACGTTGAAGTCGCTTGCCGCTCATCATTTGGCCTTTACAGAGCCAGATGCCAACTTTGGAGTACTTCTGTAGAGATTCAAGGGTTTCTGTGGCTGCTTTTTGGCTGGCTTCGAGGTCGCCGACACTCGATGATGCTTCGAGCACCGCTATGTATGCGGCTTCAAGAGTTCCTAGATGTGACAGCAGCCGATCCATAGCCTGCCGGATCTGTCCTTCGCGTGCCATCAACACCACAGCAGCATCCATAACTCCACTACTCTCCATGGCTGGCAGGACCTTTTCCAGGCGAAGGTCACCCGATTGCAACCCGCCAACGTAGTCCGATACATGTTCTGGATCGAAGTCACACATCAAGCGGACGTATGCCTCAACAAAACCAGTGTTCTGCATGATCGCAGGTCGACGGTTTATATCGTGCTGCTCCTGTCCATCCGAAGGCTCTAGGATCGTTCGGAGGTATGAAAACTGTTCATCTGGACTATCCTCAACGGCAACCAGCATTACATTATGGAGGTCTGGAGCATAGGTGTTGATGATTCTTGCCGCGCGGGCATCTCCAATTCGTACGAGTTTCCTGGCGTTTTGCTCGATAACACCCTTGACTTCTTTCCGTTGCTTTTCCGTGAGGTTACTCTTGGGACGCAAGCAGTCGGCAATGCAATCGAATACAGCTTCCAAGGCTTCTTCATCTTCGAAGTATATGCGGAGGAGTTTGGCGTACTGCTTTTCGGTCCGGAATATCGACTTGAGGACCCGGAAGAACCCAGCACTGGCGAAGAGTTCGACCAAGCCGTCGATATCTGGAGGTCGGTAAACTGTGAGCAGGTATTCCACACTCAGCTGGCAGTCGTCCGCGATATCGTCACCGGGAGGATTGCACAGTCCGACGAGAACTCGATGGAGAGAGCTCCCAGACAGTAGGACGAACTGTGGGAACTTTGGAAGATTCCGTGCGATGAACATGTCGAGGTAGATCGTGTCTTGGGGCGGGAAGTCGGTAGGATTCATGACTTCCAACAAGATGCTGACCACGTATTGTCGATTTACGGATCTTCCAAAAACTTGTTCTTCCCCGACATCTGTTTTTCCACCATTAAGCAAGGTATCTGGTGCACCATTGAGAAACGAGTCCTCGAAGGCTTCATTAAGAGCACTCAAGAAGCTAGCAGCATCGAATTGCAGGATCAGCCGGAGGTAGGGGAATGACGGCTCCGGTTCCGCGTTTCGTTTTGTGAGGAACGGCTTGCCGCCTTGTTTTGGCCAGGTGATTTTCTGTCCGAGGAATAGAAAGTAATAGAGTTGAGCCTTCGCATTCGACGCTTCGGGCTCAGAAAGTGCCTCTCCTGTTGGGTAGACTCTACCAGTAAGAGTGTAGGAAAGGTAAGGGAACAGTTTGAGTGCATTCACGGCATGCATCGTGTCGCCGTTTTCAAGCATGCCATTCTGGATTATGGGTACAAGAAGTGCAAGGAGGTCTATCATCGGTGTAATGTAGTCGTTCAGAGCGCGGTTCCAAACATAAATCATGGCATCGTAAAGCTGGTGCTGCTTGCATAGCGTCGTGACTTGGTCAATATCCAACGTCCGGGTATCCATGTGGCATATCATTTCCTCCAATCGACTTTCCTGCTCGAGATGTGTGAATTGGATGATCAGTGCTTTGACAACGATCGGTGGTATGAAGGATATCTGCTGATCTAGTATGTGTGGTTCCAGTGTCTCTAGAAATATCCCCACCGACGCTCCTTGCTCAAAGAACTCAAACGCCTCGTCAAACAAGAAGTCTGTCCGGTCCATGCTCAGGCATGCGTCGAAGCACGCGGTGGCAAGATCCTGCAGCTGGCCCTTTCCGAGTACTTCCTTTCTTGGAGCGCTTTGATTCTTCCCGAACGCATAGCGTAGCGAAGCAGACATCATTTCCAACAGCTTTTCTTCGACCATTGGATGGCGTACCGTGGGATCCTCGGGTAGTCCAATAGTCAAGCTATTAGACTTACCAACGTAGTAAGTGGTGGCTAAGCGGATAGCCCCGATAAAATCACCGATTTCCATCATTGCGAGTAGACGATCGGCCCAGTTGGATAGTGCTCCGACAGATACCTCTTGCGAGCACTAGCGCCCCGTTAGCTAATATGCCCGACGGACAGAGAGGAGGATCGCTCATACCAGCAGGAACAATCTACCCTTGTAGGCCCGAAAGCTATTGTAGAAAGCATCGGCGACGTGTGGATGAACGGAGCCTTCCTCGTCCATCCGATTCACGAGAGATGCGAGATGTTCCGAAAAGACATCCCGGTGAAGGATACGCTTCGGCATCAGATCAAAGGTTTCGGTCACTCGCAACGCCACATCTTCCAATATGATCAACCGCTGGGTAACAGTCAAAACACCAATGATCTATATACCGTCAGACATACACCACATAAACAAATCATTAGAATCACGCACCTGCCGACTGAACCACTGCACTGCTACAATAGCTTCTTCGCACCTATAGCGACTGCGTGGGCGAAATTCCAGTGCAGGTGGCCGATTGGGGTCTTCCGGACTCTCGTGTTCAACAGTGCTAAGCTCCAGAAGTGTCAGAACATTGGACCACGCATAAGCTAGTCTGGCCTTCGAAGATCCTGGTGGAGTGGATGCAGTTGGCTTTAGTTTGACGGCCGGATACCATGCTAGACATCCAGTAAGTGCACTTTCGCTGGCAATCTCTTTCGGACGCACTGCTTTGTGCTGGGTCTGGGCTACTGGAGTGGCGGATACGATCACCAGAAGGTATGGTGTCAGCATCGCAACCAGACCCATCGAATCCGTTCTCTCCGGCGAATTGCCTAATGGGAGCACAGAAAGCCCGAGTACTGAGCTAGGTTTTCGCGGGCGTCCGGTCGGTTCTGTGTCTACAGGATATCTCCCCAATATGCGAGCTGTCTTTACCGCCCTGCCAACAGCACCTAAACCTCGGGTTGCTAGATGGGAGAACGCCATCCCTCTATCGTCCGCCGATACCAGGGCGGTATGCCGATTACCCAAGAATCCTAGGTGCAAGACCGATACTCCTTCGACATGACCATCCTCTTTCCGGTCTTCCATCTGGTACGACGCTAAAGGCGGGATCTTTAGAAATGGACGGGAAGGCTTCGCCAACTCCCATGTGAAGATATGTCCATTTGCATGGCCTCCAGCGATTGTTGTATGGTCTGCAGAGACCGCTAGTGCAGTAATGGGGCCGCACTCAATCGCTGCACAGATTAGCCCATTTAGTAGGTACCAGGCAATCGGATAGTAGCCAACCTTTCGTTCCGGGACCAATGATTGACTTTAGGTTTTGTGAGTAATCGAATATGAGTATTATGCCTTTGGACGTTCCCAGCGCAATCGTCGCGGAGACAGTGATGCATGTCGGTGTTCCAAAACTTCTTCTCCCGGCCTCGGTGAATAGCTGGCCAGTGATCTTCTTGAGTTTTGTCCACCGAACTACATCCCACGGTGCCGACGAGCGATCATCCAATCCTTCAATCCCGACATCTTCGAACTTGCTAGCTACCGACGAATTCCGCGAATGGACACCTAACAACGACGGTGACAATGCGCGGGGGGTAGATGCCTGGCTGGGGCTCGAAGGTGAAAGTCGCGATTGGAACCGACGGTCAAAGGGTCTTAATGACGGCGATGGCGAGAAACGGGATCCTCCTAACACACTCCCGACGAAAGAAGAAGAGGTAACAGAGCCCTGCAACAGCTATCAGTCAAACGTATAGTAGTCCTCCACCACATACATACGTGTAGACTCGGCGTATCGTCCGGAGTGGAATACGATCCCGCAGAACTCGGTGCGCGATTCGTCGGAGATCTCCCACCAGCTTCGTGAGCTTCTTCCATAGCCTTGAACTTTCTAAAAGCGGACCCGTTCGTCGACAATCCCACCGCCTCTTCCCTGCCCTCTTCTCCCCGAGCCTCCTGTAGGTACTCCAACGTCCTGTCGGCTTCCCCGGCGCCCGCTACCACGGCATCATCCAATGTATCAGGCATCGCGTAATCTCCAAACTCCACCTCCTCTTGCTCCTCTCCTTCCAGGTCATCCCCGGCGGAGTCCCGTGCCGGGGCTGCCGAGCTCTCGTCCGGCGTCAGGCTCATCGGTGGGGCTTCGGGGTCGTGTTCATGTCTCGAATCGAAGGATCCGTGCAATCGCTTCCCTGTCGCTTTTCCTGAAGTGCGGTGGGGCGGGGCGGTATTCGGAACTTATGAGGGGACCGAGAATGGATATCAGCGACGTGCTATCTCTCGGTCAGTCAACAAGAAGATTGAGAATGAGTTGAATGCAGCTCGCCGGTGGTGGTGATTCTGGAACGGGTGAACGTTGCACCACCACCACCACCACCTCCAGTGTCCACCACCATCAGTTGCGGGATGGCTTAGAGTGCTTGGTGCTGACTCAGTCCCGCTAGCTACTAATAGTTAGTGGTCTGGTGGTTAACGTGTTTCTCTCAAGCACCAAGCTGTCGGTGAAGCTCTCTTCCAACACCACCTCAACCACAATAACGTTCAATTCAATTCCACACCCTTCACCTCTACACTATCCACATCCCCTAATTATAATCGCAGCCATGAGCGGCAGTTTCGTTGGTCCCCAGATCCCAGCGTACATCATCGCCAAACGAAAGCGCGCCGCAGAAGAAGAAGCGGCCACCAAGGCGTCTGAATCAACAACCGCCGCTTCACCTCCGTCCAAACCTTCAGAAGATGCTTCTGCGAAAAAGAAACGGATGGCGGGACCCGCGATGCCGCTTGCGCCGCTAGATCAACGACCAGTAGTTAGCCCAACCGATGATTCCGGGAATGAGAGCAGCGACGATGATGATTTTGGACCTGCGCCGCCTGCAGCATCGCACACAAGAGTAAGTGGCGCTCAGCACAGCGTAAAGCGACTCCTGTTCCCGAAGTCTAAATTAATAACACCTATCCAGGAAGAAGAAGAGCTTGAAGCTCAACGACGACTAGCGCGATTCCAGACCGTCCAGAATGCCACTGTCGATGACGGCAAGCCCAAGCGCGACGAGTGGATGATCGTACCGCCAAAATCGGAGGATTGGTCAGCCAAGGTGGATCCCACGAAGATCAAGAACCGGAAGTTTCAAACCGGCAAGGGTGCCAAAGCGCCACAGAAGGGCGGGGGAGACAACACTCTGTGGACAGAGACCCCCGAACAAAAGCGGGAGCGCCTCACGGACGAAGTTATGGGGCGCAAGAAGCCAGCCACCCAGGGACCCGCGAGCAGTGAAGCACTTGCGAGTACAGCGGAATCAAGGGAGACTGCGCGACGAATTAAGGAATACAATGCAAGTGCAGCCCTGAAGGATAGTGCAACCCATGCTGACGGGATAATCAGGAACAACATCGGAACAAGACTCTGTATGATCAACATAAAGCACAAGCTCGTTTTGAAGAAGACGATCCCAGCAAGAGAGCATTCGACAGGGAAAAGGATATTGCTGGGGGCATCAAGATTGGAAACCAACAAAAGCAGGAGATGCTCAATCGCGCCGCAGACTTCGGATCCCGTTTCTCATCGGGAAAGTATCTTTGAAAATACATTTCCGTTTGCTTGTTTTCCCGCTGGACGGATATCGATATCGTATCAGGCCGTAATGCTCTGTATTTAGATCGTGTTGGTGTTGTATCACTACCCTTTTCTTGAGGATGATAGCATTACCACAAATTTTACACTCGCCTTTTTCGGGTATTATTCATTAACAGCACGCCTGAAATACGCTAGGACCCATCTCCCAGTAGCCGCTGCATACGACAGCCGCCTTCCCAACTACCTTTGTGCTAAACTGACCAGTAACCAAGCACTGCCTACGCCCGAAAACTAAAATGAGAAGTCATTAGAATCACATAATGCTCCCACACGCCCTCACCCAGTCTCGCTTCCAGCGGATCATACCACATGACAATCAAGGCTTGCGCTCAGCCAAAACAAAATATCCTTATCCCTACGACGTTAACCAGCCAAAAGCTCGATTTCCCTACCCAGGAGAAATCAATATGTTCTGAATTGCCATCGATCACACTAGGTGCATCACTTATCGGCGAACCTCATATATCAAAGGACGAGCCAGTGTTCGACACAGTCCGGATGGGACGGACTGTCAAGATCTGGTCCAGTCCGGCCATTTGAAAGGACTGCGTGAAAGTAGTCCGTCCAGTCCAGGTATTTCTTGGACTGGGTGTGGACTGTAGTCGACCGCAGTCCAGTCCAGTCCGAGGCTCAGGATGGACGGACTGGACTATGTCGAACACTGGGACGAACCGACCGAGAGTTACGATGAGGTGGGCGGAGACGCCGGCTGAGATGCACTCTACTATATACAGAGTAGAGATGAACAGTGGACTTGAGCATATATATCAGGGCCAGAATTTTGGATCGGGAATAATGTTATCGGTAGAAAATTTGGCTGATGGTGCTACCGGCGTAGCAACAACGTGGTAGTCATAACTCGTCACTCACACTTAGGAATCACTCAGCCCTCGTCAGTGATTTGATATCGTCACATGAAAGCCAACGGTATACGAGGTGGATTGGGAGGCGGACCATGTAAAGTTGGAAAGCGGAGCACTGGATGTCAAAGGAGCCTGGCAGAATCCAAGAAAATTCACCGTCGTAAATTTCGCCCAAACCAGCCGCAGAGAGGCGTGCCGTTTACTTTTTACTTTTGCAAGCTATATGTACCCATAAACTCTTCTTTCAACGATAAGGCTCTCGGGGGAGAAGCGAGTGCCGCGAGTGCCGCTTGCAAAGCGGCTTTGAACAGTACATAAGATGTGTGCTTCCGGAACACCCACGATACCTACACAAATTGTGTATTACGTTTTTTGAGAGCTGTCAAGTATCCCAGTAGATCCACTTCCTTTGGAAATACGCATGGTATGCGTTTAAATGTTCGTGGCTTTTTGTTCTCCACCAGGTTTCGACGACCTGTTGGGAGATACTGAAACTGCATGTCTCGACTCAGCCGTTGACGTGTGCTACCAAGTTTTTATAAATTCTCATCCGCTGCGTGGGATTATCAGACCTCCCCTCACCACCACCAGCACCAGCCATGCTCCCATATAACTGGTTCGAGGCCCGCTCCACAGGGCCAGCTCACTCCTGCATACGCCGAGATGCGCACGATAAGGCATACTTCCCTTGATGAGTTGTATCTCCTAGTGTATGACTCTCATGTTGGGTTTGCTCGAGTAGAGTACCTAATAGATCGGCTCCCTGCTACGTGTTGCCTTGTCCTTTTGCAGCACCGAGCTACCTAGTTTTGAAGTCTACGTGATCGGAGGATCAGGACAGCGAACCGCCCACGGCTGAAGCATTTTCACAGCGAAGAACCTATATGAAGATACCTATTACATGACCGGACAACAATGACTGAAGGAACTGCCGGACGGGAAACTCTACTCTTCGTTGGTAGTGCAACCATATCGGAGAGGAAAAAAGAAAAGAAAAAAAAGAGAAAAAAGAACCCCCAATCACCTCGACTTTATAGAATGCTCCAACAACTCCAAACACAATCCAAACAAACCCGAAGTGCATCTACCATATATTTCCTGATTACACGAGTATCCCGAAAACACAGAACCTAGAAATGCGGTATATAGTTGGTCCACGGCACGCTGAGATAAACACCTTCCGGGACCCTCCGCAAACACAAGAAAGACTCGAAAACTATCACGACTCGAGCCGCGATATAGAGCGGGAGCAGCAACAAGGAGAAAAAAAGGTATGGATATCCCACCAACCCGACCAGAAATCTTCCGAGCCTCGCACTGAAGTCCCCCTTAACAAATCGCGATGAACAGAACTTGTGTCCTTCAATGACAGCTCTTCGCGGTGACCGGTTCAGTTACAACACTTGGTGAACCAACTGGTGCCAAACCGGCATTCCTAAGCTTCCAACTAACATGGTGATGGACGAAGCTTTCCAAATGTAGGCATCGATCTCGGTCGGAAAATCAAAACTCCAGGCCGCAAGATGAGCTCCTCCGTACGCCGCGGACGTCACGGCCATCGTAGCCGCCTGCAAGAGAATATCGGTACCGTTGAAATCGTAGGCGATATGAGGGATGTTTTGGGCCCTTGCAACTACCAAGTCTGTGGATTTCGAGGACCGCAGACTTTGCTGTTCGTCCACCAGCAAACGGGCAATTTGTTCGTCAATGATAGTCGGATCCTCTACCCCCGCCGGCTTCTGGAACCAAAAACAGTACAGTAAGAGCGCACAGAAAACATGCCCAAGCGTATGTATCTCCAGCAACGAAATCGGCAAGTGGTTGATTTTGCGAGCACTGATCTGGGGGTAGTTCAAACAACCATCAGCGAGCGGCACATGGAAAGACGCCAACACGAGACACAAACCTCAACAACCATCCAGAAAGCTTGCATGATCACTAGTGCCTTGGCGATGATATCGACTTTGCTCTTGTCCTTGATCGTGTCGGCGCTGATGGTGAGGAATTTGCCTTGCTTGGCCAATGCGCGGACTCCAGTGGCTGACAGTCATCCTGGGAGGTAGGTCTTCGCGCCCGAGTTTCGTCGTATCGAATGCAAATCCTCCCATACCGACATGGAACCCATATTTTAGGGGGAATTTTTTTAGGGATCCGAGTACCGACTTCCACAGAACACGGAACGGCGGTTTTATCGCGCTTGCAGTGCCATCGGTGCTGGAGTTACCGTTACCACACAGCTCGTTGGATTTCCTACTCGCGGGTGATATTGCCCGTGGAGGTTCTGCTGCAATAACAATGCTTCCCGGTCGTTCGTCGCTTGCACTGCCATCGGTGCTGGAGTTATCGTTATCAGACAGCTCGTTGGATTTCCTACTCGGGGGTGACGTTGCTCGCGGGGGTTCTGCTGCAATAACAGCGCTTCCCGGTCGTTCGTCGCTCGTCCGTTCGTCACTCGTCCGTTCGTCGCTCGTACGTTCGTTGTGACGCTCCAGGTCGTGACATAACCGCAGCGCCTCGTGCAAGTGAATGAACGCAAAGACGAGGACGGCTTCGGGCAGGATCAGGGCCATGACAGCCCACTTTACGCCGCGTCGATACCTGCGGAACGGAAATCGACCTTCTCCTTGAGCCGGAACGTTAAGGTGTAACGCGGAACAAACAGCCAAAACAATCATCAGCGTACAATTGCGAAGGATGGTTAGAGTTCCCCGGTATCCGGGCTCGGGGACCCAAGTTGGGGCATGGGACTTGAGTGCGGTCTCGTTGAGCGTCGGCCGCCATCCGTACGGCGGCCGTGCGGATGCTCCGCCAGGAAGAGAGGAAATAGGTTGAAGCAGACAGATCATGGTGATCATGATCGGAAAGGTTGGGGCCCGATACATCTTGGTATGTACTCGCGGGTCAAGGCTGCAGGGCAGAGAGTGAACCTGTTGGGTCGGTCCCAGTCATTGATCTGGGGTATTCCGGACTTGAAGTATTCACCATGTTTTATATATATATATATGTAGAGCGCACGTATTGTAAACCGACCAGGAATATATGATATGTCCGGTCCACTGAGTATATACTTAGGTACGGTACGTGGCGTTTATTGGGCAGTGGGTTTCGCTGCACTAGAGTTCAGCTGGCCGGAATATTCACGACTATTGGTTGCTTCCAATGCATTCTTAGTGACGAGGCTCCTCACGACATGTTCCAGACATCAGGCTATGAGCAGGAATGGAAAAATAGTCAGAGATGCACCCGGCCCGCATACGTGCGGTACTCCGAGCCATAGATACTAGTTCTCTGTCCAGCACGTTTTTTTGCGAGAGCCAACCAGAAGGAGTCCAGGCTTCGGCATCTGCGCCGATCTAAACACATCACTGATGAAAGGCCATCCAAGGTGTCGGGTGGATTCTCAGGCGAATTTTTGGTTGGCCAATGGGAGGAATCCACTCGGGAGGAAGTCTTAAAGACCTGGACGGAAGCTCTTGGACATTCATTGAACAAGGAAGACGGATCAACGCAGGGAGGTTATCAACGCCACGAATTGTGGACAGTCCCTCACCAACGACGAGACTTTTTTTCATTCCTAGTCGTAGTAGCTTTGTGAGTCCCCAAGCTGCCAGGCGCTTTTGACGAATCCTAGGCTGACCGGGTGGTTGGTACTCAAATGTGGAATATATCGCCATGCGTCCTACGGCATACACCTCCGGTGATTGTCTCCTTCAGTGTCTCCGATAGTCCAGTCCAGTCCGTCTTTCGGCAAAAGTCGGACTGGACTAAGAGGTTCAGTCCGGCTGGAGGCATGGGCTGGACTGGGCAGTCTGCGCAACTGGTAGAGCTGGACGGACTGCAGTCGACTGGATGGACTGGTACTTTGAATGGAAAATGTTTCAAATCAGTAATGCAATTTTTGTACACGTCTATAGTACAGCTATGCAGATCCTCCTCGCACTTTGCATTGTACATAGTCTTCATCTCCTTGATATCTCCTTTTGCAGCAGCTACAAGACCATCTCGTTACCAGCTTTTAAAACATTCCAGTGCCTCCAGTGCGTCATTACTCATGTTGCAGCGGCGATGAGAGAGAGTTTGTAGCTCCACTAAAAACCCGTTCCGGCTCTGCGCTCATGGCGGGAATGCTCAAATACTCGAGGCCAATTCTAGCGAAATCTTTCCAGACAGGTTCATGTAATTTATTCGCCCAGTACTCGACTGCAGTCGACTGCAGTCCGAGACGGCAAAATGTTTGGACGGACTGAATTCAATCGTCCCCCAATTGTATGGACTGGACTAGACTGATGCAGTCTGTCCAGCCCGGACTGCCGTCCGGACGGGACTACCGGGAGCACTGGTCTCCTCCAATCACTTCTGTCGTGGAAAATACCCGCTCTGGCTCCAGTCAGCGTCGAAGTATGCATGAACGATTCGCTATGGCGACAAAATCCCGTCGGCTATGCGTGGTCCAGGACGAGCATATTACTCGCAAGGCTCCTCACGTGTAAGCGCGCAGCTCCATGAACATAATCTGTCACCCGGCTGGATCGAATCATAGCATATCACTGTGACATCCGCAATGTCGAAATTTGTTCTTCGTAATAACCGTATTACGGCTCTACCAGCTGAAGACGGGGCACCGATCTGCCAACTAGCACCCCCAGTGAACGCAGAGCCGCCCGGACACACGGTACGAATGGTTCCACCAAGATCCCGAGTCCAGACGTGGGAGCACCTCTTCTTTGCCCTCTTCCCCCTTCCTTCACATTCCCGCACTCAGTGTTCTCCATAGTCCGGACCAGACCGCAGTCCGGACGGGACGGACTATCAAGATCCAGTATTGTCCGTGCCTTTTTGAGGACGGGATAAAAGTAGTCCGGACGGACTGGACCGGACTACCTATGGAGAACATTGCCCGCACTTGCTGCAGGTCCTTCTGTACTCGCTACATACTGTATATATAGTGCTCCCGATAGTCCAGTCCGGACGGCAGTTTGCCGCCTCGGACTGCCACCTTCTGATTTTTTTGAGTCGAACTATGTGGCTAGCGGGCAGAACTCTTTCAACTTATCACGTGTTCTCTTTTCGTATCAAGTCAGCTCTCCATCTGAAGCTGATGCAGATCATAGGTGGAGCAGATGCACCGTCTACCGCGAAGGTAAAGAGCAGATGGGACCGCAAGCGCCGTGCACTAGTTACAACGTGTTGAGCATCGAGATATGATCCAGGTTTTCCAGCAGGAACCGACCCCATGCGGTTCCATCGACAATTTGGTCAATACTGGGCGAATAAATCACATGAACCTGGCTGGAAAGATCTTGCCAGAAGGGGCCTCGAGTATTTGAGCATTCCCGCCATGAGCGCAGAGCCGGAACAAGTTTTTTGTGGGGCTAAAACCTCTCTCTCATCGCCGCTGCAGCATGAGTAAGGACGCACTGGAGGCACTGGAATGTTTTAAAAGCTGGTAACGAGATGGTCTTGTAGCTGCTGCAAAAGGAGATATCAAGAAGATGAAGACTACCTTTGCTCAATGCACAGTGCGAGGAGGATCTGCAACAGCTGTACTGTGGACGTGTAAAAAGAGTTGTTTACTGATTTGAAACATTTTCCATTCAAAAGTACCAGTCCATCCAGTCGACTGTAGTCCATCCAGTCGACCGCAGTCCGTCCAGTCCTACCAGTTGCGCAGACTGCCCAGCCCAGTCCACGCCTCCATCCGGACTGGGCTATCGGAGGCACTGCTTCTTCTCTCTTCCTTCACATTCCCGCACTTGCTGTAAGTCCTTTTGTACATACTCGCTACCTTTTTAGGATCAGCATATGACTTATTTCTCGCTGGGAATACCTACCTACATAGTGCTGCACTTCTATTCCTTTTCTTCTCTTACTCCGTCCCTTTCTCGTGCTCAGTCCCTTTCTCGTGCTCCGTCCCTTTCCCGTGCTCCGTCCCTTTTCTTGCTCGGGTTCCTTCACTCTCGGACTCCAACCAGATGCTTCCGATCCGTAAGGCAAAAAGGTGTTTTTAGTTAAGCCAAGAGCTGTGTTGTTTATGTTGTCGCTATCGTCGTAGTAATCAAGTGCTAACTCTGGCGTACCGGAGGATTTTGGGTTTAATTGGTTTTGCTTGTTCTTCATTTTATGCTTTGAGACAGGTAGCACAGTTATTCGATGGTAATGGCAGTGCTGGGTTTCGGATGTGCGGTTGTGTTTCATCTTTGCGTTGGAGAGATCACCGGTTTTCAAGCAGCTCCTCTCTCTTCCTCGGGACGCATGTTAGAAGTAGGTAGGATGGTTATACCACCTCTTGTGCACTGGAGTAATTGGGAGTACTGTTGCTAGGTGTGTAGATACTCTACTATATATCTGAGAGGGCTCCAGGATGAGATGGATTGAAGAATCACTGAAAGATCACTCGATTCACCCAGCAAATTCCTCCACGTGAATGGGCGAGCTTAGAGCACCATGCTATTCTTTAGATACCTAGGTTGAAGAAGAGAGTTTGGATACTCTACCTAGTACCTGTTAACTCGAATGTGCTAAATCTCCAGCTACACGGAATCCTGGTGATGTGCGTCAGCGACCGACGTCCCCACCCCAGAGTACCTAGGTACATAACCCAGACAGTCTCTTCTCTACAGCTCACGCTTATCTGCTTTTATTCTTTTGTGCCCAGAGCGATTCTTGGATGAGTTTTGGTGACGACGAATATTTTTTAGTGAACACCTTGGTGTGGTCGGTCTGGCTGGTAGTTTTAGCGTGTTCTTTCCCGACATAGCCCCCCTCCACCTCCCCCCTCGCCGGTTAGAAGACAGCCTGCGGCCCCACTAAGCAGTGTGCTGGAATATACTCGGTTTCCATTCCTACTTGGTACTTGGTTAGTGGGTGGATAGATACTTCCCTTAAGTACCCAGGCACACCACAGAACGATAGGTAGCATAGCAACAGCAGCAGCATACTACAGCACCCAACCATGTCCGCAGCTGCCTACCGATCCGCGATGCTGCACCGACGAGATGATGTTCCCATCGACGACGACCACTTCAGCGACGACGACGGCGACGGCTCGCGGACAGAGTCGTGGTACTTCACCGAGCAGGCCACCGCGATAAAGTACGGGATACTGTTCGGGTTGTTGTCGCTCGGGTTCCTCGTCATCTTCGGGAGCTGGATGCACGCGCGACAGCGCATGAGGAAGGGACAACCACCGCTTCCCTACCATCGGGTACGTTGGAGTTGGAGCACATCCACCCCCCCTCCCCTCCCCCCCGTGAAGTCCAACCGACGTCGAGTGCAGCCAGCTAACGCGCATCGATTGGCAGTGGCTGGTCCCCCGGATGTACCGCGCGCGCTTCGAGCCTCACCTGCGAGTGCCAGAAGCGAACTTCTCATTCTACGAGCACGACGAGCGACACCGGGGCGGCGGCGGCGGTGGTGTTGGTGGTTACGGCGGCGGCAGCGGAGGAGGAGGAGGAGGCGGCGGAGCTGGGGATGGCTACGACATGCACGCGGTCCCGCCGCCGGTGTACAATCCGCATCTCGCGCAGCCACCAGCATACCCCGGGTTCTCGTCGTCGGCCGCCGCGTCGTCGCCGAAACCGAATCCCTTCGAGGACCCGCAGCACGTACAGCGCGCGAACGGCGAGGGTAGCAGCGGCGCCTTCCTTGCGCTGCCTCCGCCGTCGGTCCCTCCGCCCCGTTACTCGTAGGTACTCTGGACTCGCCGCCCTGTCATGTCGGTCCAATTTCCCGCTCCCCCCGCCACTACCACCAGGGGGGGTGAAATTATTACCCTCTTTTTTTATATATTTCCCCAACACCTTCGGCAATATTTTCCCAACATTATCGCTCGTGCAGCATGCATCTTACCATTTTTGCTTTTTTCTTTCTATATCGTTTATCGTTATATGATTTTGTTATTTTTTCTCCATAAATCTTTCGGGCTTCGGGTTTTGCGGGAGGAGTTTTTGTCGACTGGGTGTGTTTCTCTCTCTCCTTTTCACTTGCCTTTTTGGTCTTCCGTTCATTCGTTCATTCGTCCAATACGTCGCAGTCCTGGGTGACTCCGTTTTTGTGTCGTCCATAACTATTTCGTTTATCATAGGGAAAAGGGGAAGGGGAAGGGGGTGGGGAGCGGGATCATCGGTTGCATGTTGGGTTGGCTATTTTTTGTTGTTATTTTTCTTTGTTTTTTCTTTCTTTCGGGATGGGACAGCGGAACCATCATTCATCATCACTGACTCGTTTTTCTTTTCCTTTTCTTGTTCTTGTTCTTTGATCTTGATCGTTTTGTACTACTTTTACATACATGTATATTTGGAGTTTGTGTCGTCGTCGTGTGCTTATTACAAGTAGGTAGGAGATGAGGGGTCGAGATGCGAGGAGGTGGAGCAAGGAGAGGTCACTGTTCGTTCGTATAAACATACGCTGCGCGGAGCTCAGTGAGCGCTACTGCTACTGCTACTGGTAGTGGGAGTCATAGTTCAATTTCCATTGCATCAGGATCATAATCGTATCCATAGCCCCCCGGGCCCGGCCCCATCGCCGGCTCCCCGACATACCCATTCGCCTGCGCCTGTCCAGTGTACCCATTGATCTGCACCGCCTGCTGCTGCTGCTGGCCGCCGGCATTGACCGCGAACCCATTCGCGCCCATACTCGCCGCAGCCGCCGCACGTCTCGCCCCCTCCTCCCTCCACCTACGCTTACTCTCCAGGATCGCCCGCCTCACCGCCGCGCCCCCGCCCTCATCCTCAGTGCTCAGGCTGTCAGGCACATCCCTGTACAGCACGAGCTCCATTCCCTTCGCCGCAGTCTCCGCGCCCACGCCCATGCCCTCACCCCCACCCCCCCTCGCCCCACTCCCGCCCGGATTCAGTATGTAATCCGGAATCCGCGTCATCTCCCGCTCGATGTCGGGTATGAACGTGAGTTTCTTCCTCCTACTGTTGCCGTCGCCGTCGCCTTCGTCGTCGGATGAGGATGAGGATGAGGAGTAGTCGGAGCTCGATAGGTGGTCGATGTACACCACGTTGTCGACGTCCATGCGCTCCATCCGCTCCATTGTTGGTGATGATGATTGTGCTCGTTGTGCTGGCTGGTGTGATGGTGATGTTGCTGGTGCGAAGGGAGTGGGAGTGGGAGTGGAGTTTTGCTCGGGCTGTCGCCGGCGGCGCCGCCGTGGCTCTGGGGAATAGGTTAGCTGGTGCGGGTAGGGGGAGGGGAGGGTGGGAGTACTGCTCGGTGGTGACGGGGGACGCAGTGATAGCAGGCTTAGCCGCTTTGCTAGTGGAGCTGTGGGCGCGGGAGACTCCGCTGGCCGCTTCGTGCCGGCGACGGGGGCGGGGAGCCAATCCATTGTTCCGTTGTTTTTGTCCGTGGTGGTCGTGTTGCTTTGCTGGGTGTTGCTGGGTGTTGTGGGGAAGTTCAATTCACGGCGTAGTGTGGTAGGTAGGTTGGTAGGTAGACAAATCAATCGATGGGTGCGGTGTGGGTAGGTAGATAGCTGGCTGGAAAGCAAGGGTTGGCGATGGCGGGTTTACATATAGATAGCGGGAGCTGGAAGTGCTATATAGGTGTGTACCCTATGATGGTACAAGGCGTTAGGCCAAGAACGGCTGGGGCGTCATCGAGAAGACTCTGGAAGAAACGCGAGATCGAAATCGTGGGGTTGGCGGGCGATGCTGCCTAGATAAGATGGCGGCTTCGCCTAAGCACGTGGTAGGGCGGATATTCCCGGTGGTGATTACCCGGCTGAGGGTAGGAGTGGGGCGCGAGTGCGGGCAAGTGAATAAGTGGCCATTGAAGACGAAGGATTGATTACAATTGCTATGAGGTAAGTACTTTTACGAATCGCGGTTTGAGCTGATGCATCGAGGAGCTAAACCATCAACCTGATAGCACGCCAAGATAACCATCAGGAGAAACAACTAACCTGTCGAAATTAAGAAGCAGGCGAGCCCACTCCACTCTATCCTATTATTCCCCACATCGCCGCGATCCAGATATATGTACTAATCTCCCGCCCCCCGCCGCCTCACATCTCTCCGCACTGCGTAATCACCACATCCGTCGTGGGCCTATCCAGAATACAGCGAACATTCTCAATCTTCCTGACCACATCCATGCCGTCAATGACCCTTCCGAATGCGACGTACTGACCATCCAGGAACGGATGCGGCTTGCTCGTGATGAAGAACTGGCAGCCATTGGTATTTGGGCCGGAGCTATATCGATCAGATCAGTCCCTGCGCACACGTACGTAGAGGTGGGGGGAGGGGGCGGAGTACTTCGCCATGGAAAGGATCCCCGGTTGGTCGTGCTTGATTATAAAGTTCTCGTCCGCAAACTTGTCCGAGCCGTAGATGGTAGTGCTACCAGTTCCATCGCCGTTCAGGAAATCGCCGCCCTGGATCCTGCGCGGGATTAGCACCGGTGCCATTCGTCATTCGATCCCCTTCCCTTTCGTCGGGGGATCTCACATGAAGTCCTTCATCTACACGACATCAGTCTTCCACTCCACTCCGTCCACCATCACCACCACCATCACCACTACAGCCACCTGCTCAAAGAGAAACTCACCACACGATGGAATTTACACCCCTTGTAGCCCTGGGGCCTCCCGCCGCGGCCCTTGGTCTCGCCGGTACAGAGTTGTCGGAAGTTTTCGGCGGTCTTGGGGACGATCTTTGGGTAGAGCTCCATTTTGATGCGGCCGAGTAGTTCGCCTGGAGAGATAGAGAGTTAGTGAGGATCGGAGGTGGGAGGAGGGGCAGGCAGAGGAGGAGGGGTATAGTACCGCCCAGAGCGACGTCGAAAAAACAGACGGGGTTCTCGAAGTTGGTCATGGTGTTGAGGTATCGGTGAAGTGGGGGAGGGGGACGCGTTAATTTGGTGGAACGGGCGGAGGAACGCGTGCTCGTAGTTGCTCTAGTTACCGTACTAACAGGTACGGAGTAGGGTTTCTTAGTGGCTGCCAAGCTTTGGTGTCTGCGACCCAAACCAAGTTCCAAGCTTCAACGGGAGCAGCCGTTAGTTATTTTCTCGGAAGCGGTGCTCACTTTCGAGATTCGTTGCACCGCCATTCAGACACTGGACTGTGATTTCGATGAACTCCCCCAGCTGGATAACGCCAAATTTCCAAGCCCAGTACTGCCAGCAGAACAGATACCGGTATACCTATTCGATAATTTCGCTCCAGCTACACGAGTGACAGTCAGGAGCATCAAAAGGCATGTACCGTATCCTGTCAACGTCGGAAGAACCAACACCGAGTGACAATTACGAAGAAAGTGGTGTCCCCAATTCCCATCAGGCCTCTCTGCAAGTACCTTGGTACCGAGTCTACGGGGCAGATCCATGCACTCCACTCCACCCAAACCAAGCAACCACTATTATACCTCCATACCATACCTCCATACTATCTCCATTCCATTTCATAGAGTCTGGACAAGGTATTCCCAGGTCCACGTTTGTTTCGTCAGTGTATGACAATTACAGGCCACATCCACGCAGACATTATACGCATAGAGACAGCTTGCGACGCACCAGAAGCCGAGTGCGATCGTTGTCGACCTCGGCACTCCACTATCGCCGACCGCCGTGCTGCTGCATCGGGAAGGATTCGGTGAGTTGACAAATACCTCCCATAGAGAGAGAGAGATGGAACATCAATTTATCGTCGCATACGGCCTTACTGGCGGCCCCGCCTACCCGTCCTTTCCTACCAGCCCCACGAGAAATCACCTCTCATAGAGAGATAGAGCGAGAGGGAGAATCGATTTTATTATTGCATGCGGGGGAGCGAGCGCCAGTGATCGAGTGAGTGTGAGTGGAGAAGCAGTGATCCAACTTCTCTAGCCACAGCCGAAGTATCTAGCGGTATGTACGTAAGTTGTAGGTACTTGGATACGGCGCCGAATCTCCGATGAGCCAATTCGACCGTCGGATGTATGTATTGTACGTATGATACACGACTCATCCACGCCGGACGCGCGTTCGGAAGACTGCACTGCACTGCACTGTAGCGTTCAGTTGATTCTTGCTGGAGTACCTACAGTTATAGAACCACGTACATACGTGAGTGAGTACTGTACCTATCACTCACATCTCACCAGTACTCCCACCCACCTACCCGGGTATGTACTCTACGGTACATATGTCATCTGCGGCGTACGACATCTGTCTTGGAAGCGCGGGCCGAGTCGCCTCGGCCCTCGCGGGGCCTCATCCATCAGCCATCCAGCAGCCATCCAGCATCCGGCGACTTTCTCGATACGGCGGGGACTGCCGCTGGTTATTTCGTATGTAAATCAATTGCGCTGCGTGGTTGCCGGTCGGCTTCGTTCCTGATTAGATTACCTACCTCGCCACTTCACTTGACTGACATCTGCACATCTGCACCGTAAGCCCCGGGGCTGAACGATTTTTTCTTCTTTTCGCTTTTTTCTTTTGCGTGGCTGGGGAGCGGGGGTGGATGGTGAGGGGAGGGGGGGAGGGTGGTCGTCCCGCACGTTCAGGCTGATGTCGTTGGCGACGAAGGATTTTGGTGGGCGGTGGTGGTGGCGGAGAGAGATTGCGGATGGAACGGCCAGCTGTGGTGGGCAGGTGCGCAGGTAGCTGGGTAGGTGGATATGGAGATATGGATGATCGCGGTGGGTCATCTGCTCTGTGCCGTATGTATCTAGAGACTAGAGCAGGTATCTAGAGTAGAAATGTGGAGTAGGTATGTGGAGTATCCGCATCGAGCGGCGACAAACACATATCTACACACATATCAACATATCTACATGCATACGATCCTCGTGATCGTCCTATCTCTCCGTGTATGTAGGCATCGTAGATATCGTATGTCTATGACATAGTTACATAGGGCCGAATGATCCCCCCTCTTGGCGCATCGGGCCCGAGCGGACCCGCGGTTTGGCGAACTTCGAAGTGGTTTGGTTTTCAGCGCGCACTATGCCATCCTAGTGCACATCCCCGGCTAGGCCGCACGTTACATACTAGTATGTATGTTGGGCGGGCCCACTGGTCACTGGTGATTGAGTGGCGACTGACGATTGACGACTGGCGACTGACGACTGACGATTGACGCGTCTGTAGCTAACGGTATGCCGGCGTTGGGATTTGCACTATCAACAGCACGATGGGTACTTCACTTTTGTGTTTGGCATGCAGTTCATTGCAGTACCCAGAGCCTTAGTTATCGAGAATCCCCAAGGCTTGATTGAGCACACACAAGCACACACAGACTTTACATCCCATCTCTCTCTCACACCCTGCCCCCCCCCCCCCCCCCCCCCCCACCCCACACACAGAAGAACCGGTACTGTTGCGTCACCGTCGCCAACCGACTTCCCAACAGGCTTCCCAACAGACGCCGTCACCGCGGCGAGCAACAGGTAGAGTAACTACAATCGCGGAAACCGCGCCGCCAACCTTGCACACACCCAACGTACCCAATGTATGTCCCTACCCCTGCGAATGGACTCCCACCGACGGTTTAGGACCAATCATAGCCCATGCACCGACCGTCAGGCTTTGCGCACCCTTGGTCGCATTAACTGGAATTTGGGGAATTTGGACATGCAGTTGTTGCGGTTGTTCGTCAGACAGAGAATAGAGAATATGTAGAGTGGCGGCGGGTTCGACAGGAAACGGTGGGACTAGAGTATAGTACTCTACCTGAAGTGGAGTGGAGTGGGTAAGTATATATCCGATCCCATTCTGCCTACATGAGAACCTGAGTGAGAGCATGTAGGTATACCGGCCATGTTCTCACTCCTCCAAGCCCATACCACCGAGTACCAACTCCCGAGATGCCAAAGTACCGTGCTGGGTCACGAGCGTCGTAGTGAACCATTGAATGGGGGTGGCTGCCGTTGCGGGAAGTAGTGCACCTACTCTACATACCGGTATGTTAAAGCGGGTGTTTATGCCTGCGCGGGTTGGCATGATCTCTCGTGAGTCGCTCCTGGGGTCAATCCCGGGCACCTACATTCCCCCCGCCCCGCCCGGCCCCGTCAGACGTGCATGTGGCATGGACATTCGACGATGGGAGGGGAAGAGTACCCGGGGAGGGGAAGCCTCTCTTGTCTGGAATATGGATGACACGGTCGAACTCGAAGCCTCGAAGGTGAAGGTGAAGGAGTTGAGTTGAGTTGAGTTAGTTACAGGCTTAGTTACAGGCTTAGTTACAGGCGTGGTTACGCCTTACGGGAGGAAGTTCTATGCATAGCCTAGCATTCACGCCGACGGGCACTGGTTACTGGTTAGTTACTGGGCAGTAGGCACATGGCACAGAGCAGGCAGGGGATCATGCTACGTCACTCACGGCGTAGTCCAATCGCCTCCTCCAGGCTCCTCCTCCTCCTCCGAACAACATTCCACATACCAGATACGGTAACTCGAGCGGCGTAGGAATTGAAGCGGTAGATAGTAGCGGCATCGCTAGATTCCATTCGATTCGCTGCGGCAACTTCCAGCCGCGGTGCCAGGGCATTGAGGGTAGGGTTCAGAGTTGCAACACACTTCCAGCGTCCAGAGTCCAGAGTCCAGAGTCCAGCCTCCAAACAAAACAAAACAAATAAACACAACCTTCGCTTCTCCGAAACGATGGCGCACACCTGCTCTACCGTATTATCTCACATGAGAGGTCTGGGTATAAATGTCACTGTTATAGGTCTAAAGCGCGCACTAGGTCAGACTAGAGCGCTTAGGGGACTAGCGCAATATCAAAACGCGCCCTATGTGCTCGGAGACAATTCTCTGGCTGTCCACAGAATCTATTCTATAGACTGATTTCCCCCCCCCCCCAGAATCGATTACAATATGTACAAATCTAACTAAAACTCGTCTGCTCGCCAAAATCGTACTCAACACCATCATCCTCATCCTCACTGTCACCCTCACTGTCGGTAATTTGCGGGAAAGAAGTTACATGGCTGCGCTGAGGTTTCCCTACCAGCCTGGCTCCGGGCTCCTACTGCTGGAAGGGCAGCTGGAGTTGAGGTTTTTGGTGCAGCCGGTGCTACGGCTGGTGGTGCGGCCGGTGCTGCGACTGGTGATGCGGCCAGTGATGCGCGCGGCTGGTGGTGCGGCTCAGCGTCAGCGTGCGGCCGGTGCAGGTGGAGGAGCAGCCAGTACAACTGGAGGAGCGACTGGTGCTGCTGTTGGAGTGACCGGTGCTGCTGCTGGTGGTGCGGCCGGTGATGCGGCTAGGTATTGGGTCCAAAGTGAGTCGACTGTTCGACTTCGTTTGGCTCTGGAAGGAATGGCGGCTGGAGGGCAACCCAACGTGGGACGACTGCGATGGGTTGTTTCCGGGGCCCTGGTGGAGGTTTGAACTTAGCTGGTGAACGCGTGAAAGGTGGCCTGACCGGATCGGTAGATGGTTAGCTGTCAAGCTGTGAGAACAATGATGTGAGGGTTTCTACTGGCGGCGCTGAGTCCGATACTTGGTCGTTCATCATGGTGAATAGTTGCATTATTCTTCCGAGATGTGAGGAGGATAGTACTGTGTAGTTGACGATACTTCCAGCTACAGAGTCGTGTGTTCAGCTGTATGAACATACCTGCCAGCCCCTGAAGGCTGAACACCTGACGTTGCATAATTGCTCGGCGCGCTAACCATAGACGCCCTAGCTCGCACTTACATGCACTAGTGCCTTCAACAGGAGTTTTCATAACCATACCTCTCATGTGAGATAATACGGTACCTACTCCAGTTATTTCATAGGTAGCTGGCATCCGACTCTATATACCGTATGATACCGTACCGAACGATGGAAGCCTGAAGGTTGAAACATGAAACAGCGCAATGATTTCCGTGCGATATTTCCGTGCGGTACTACCTACTGGTATTATGCACGGCCAATGGCGGCCAACACATTGCATTTAGCTATTAGTAGCGCATTTTACCGCCGGGAGACGGTCGGTGCCAGGTGCCAGGTGCTAGGTGGGCCCCTTTGCCGCCCGCCCGCCCGCCTATGGGTAGAGTATATGAGTAAGTGGGTGCTCAGGTATTTATGTAACCTTTCGCATGTATGCGAGCAGCGGGAGAGAGAGAGGGAGAGGGAGCGCTAAAAATATCTGCATGCACTCTGGAGTGACCGCTGGCGAGTCTCAACTTCCAAAGGGAAACAAAGATCACCGGAAAGTTGAAACCTCAACGGTCCTCAAGTACCGTATGATAGGCATTAAGAAACAATACGACCCCGCAACACAGCAACGCAGCAAATTGACGCAGCGAAACAACACATTGTAATAAGTATTTACAACCCGATATCGATACGTGTCTAAGTAGTAAGCCAATCATTCCGGAAACCTATGTATGTAACATGTAGCAACGCAAGGATTGATCGCCCTCTCCTCCTGCTCCTGTTCCTGTTCCTTCTCCTCCTGTTTCTAGGAGGCCGTTTTCACGGCTTCAGATTATACTATCAGTCTCTAGATGATCCTGACAATCCTGATAGCCCATGGCCCATAGGGCGTTCGCGGGGCATCCGACGTCCGTAGCCGTTTCAACTTTCTGTATGTAGTTCGACGGGAGGCCGGAAACTTCCAATTTCAGTACCTATCACGGATCCGTGATTCCGTGACGGCGTGGCCCATTCGTGGCTGAGAAATGGCTATCTCGCGTTGTGTGGGATGGGGAGGCTTGCCTCGATGGTTGCATCCCATCCACGGATCGATACGTATGAACCATGGTTCTGAATATCAGCCGCACCCGTCGAGATTCTGGATTCGAGACGTATGACGGTCGGTGCGGAGAGGTGGATGGCTGCAATTGTATTCACAGTACCTAGTAGTAGGTGGTTGTGAGGGTGCAGTGGAGCTTCATGGGTGATGGCTGGACAAGATATATCGGTATCGGCTTATACCAGGCTACGGGCAATTGTGGTCGGTACATACTATGATAGGTAGATCGCAGAGAACCGACCAACGGTCGAGATCTCGAGGGAGATCAGCTGTGCACTTCCATCTAGGCGTGCGGATTGCTACTAGGTAGTATGTAGGCTACGCTTTCCAAAACCATCCCATGGACGCCGGTACATAGTGACGATCCGTTTCAACTCTCGGCCCTACCTATATTGAGCCCTACCCATCGAGCCCATTGTAAGTTCTCTGCTGTTGGACACCAACTAACTACTCTACGATACGAAACCAAAAGTTTGACCCCCGCGAATAAGTGAGCGAGCGAGGCTCTATGTAGGCCGAAGTTAAACAGCTTCACGATAGTTTCGACGCCCTCAAGGGTGGAAGCCGGAGTCGAGCATCACCTACCATGGCCACCGGTTCGAGTAGAGTATCAGGAATAAAACTGCTAACTGAGGATCGGCAACGAGCCTTCACCCGTGCCCTCGGAACCGACTCTGCCCTACTTCCCGAGCGCGGGTAGTTAACTATCAGACTACCATCCAAGGGATGTGAAGGTTCAACTCCAGGATCTGTTGCGAAGGGGTGAGGTGCGAAGTTTAATCCTATGATGTATACCAGAGGCCAGACCGCCGTTGAGCTGTGAAGCAGTGAGGTCACAGCCCGATGGTAGGCGGCCCGCTAGTCATTGATTAGCGGCTCCCCACCTAGCGCTGGCCCGCGGGCCCAGCCGTGTGCCTGGACTCTGGCCTCTGGAGAATCCGTGGATCGTGGTTGGCGTTTGGTGCCCGGAGCCAAAAAAGGATCGGAGGTGGAAGTCGATCCTCCAAGCTCCAACAGGTAGTCTACCGGTAATCTTCAAAGTTCAAATCATAATCGGTACTATACTTGCGGGTCGAAACAAACTCGGCACGTTCGATCATTATTACTTTTTGGTTTCAAGGGCCGGCAACGATTCGCGAACGATTGGTTGTTTCTCGAATCCCGACCCCACGCACTCCACACTCCGCACTTCCGTACTTGAGGCTGGAGTACGGTATGTAGGGAAAGTATGTACATGTGGTAGATGCTTGCATCGATGTAGGTAAGTTGCAAGGAGCCAAGGAGGTATCATCACGTCAGAAGACTGCCTGCCGTACCAACTTACCCACTTACTTTAGCAGCAGCTTGCAGTCGATTGTCCGATGCACGCCCGCGATTGTTGCTGGAGGGAGCACTCTAACGATCGACGTCCACATCTCCTCCACATCTTCCTCCTCCTCCAACGGTCAGCCACCAGAATTGGAACGAACCCCGGAGAGGATCCGCATTCCAAATCCCGATATATCCTCGCTCCAAGAGTAGACGGAGTAAGGTAAGTACTAGCAGGTAGTGTGCTCGACGCCTCGAACGGCCATCACCTCAGACGGTGCCGCAACCCAGCAGCACCGCCACTAGCAAACCGCAATACTTATCATCTTCTTCATCTTCATCGGCAGCGTCATCGCTGTTTTGCTGCGGCTGGTGCCGGTCTCGCAATCAGTAATCGGCTTCCCTACGTGCTCTCCTCCGTTCGCTGCTGCTTCAGCTGCGTCTTCCTGGCCATACATTCCATGTAAACAAATCCCCTTCCCCCTCCCCCTCCCTCCCCCTCCCCCTCCCCCTCCCTCCCCCTCCCCCTCCCCGGCCGTACCGCCCGCTCCCTACGTCTCTCATCTCCAAGTCTCCCTCTCTCTCCGATTGCCGGCTCGTCTGGGGTGCGGTTGGGTTTCCAGCGTTCATCTCGTCTCGTGTTTTGGACGGGTGGGTGGTGTGGGAGCGAGAGTGTCTTGTCTGTGGTGGTAGGGTGTGGTCTGCAACTGCAATAGCGACTGCAGCTCTTTGCTTGCTTGTCTGCTCGCTGCGGCTAGGTGGTTACTCTACATAGGCTTGGTCGCACTCACGCGCTCCTCCTCCTCGCTTTCTTTGATTGCTGCTCACTTCTCAGTGCTGAGTGCTCAGAGTGCTCATTCACTTCGCTTTACTCACTTCCTTCCTTCCCTCCTTCCTTCCTTCTTCTCCGCACAACAACACCACCACCTCCACCATCTCCGCACAACCCATTCATAGTTGTTACCTGGTACACTCACTCAAGCTGCTCTGCACCTACATAACCATCTCCACCAAGTGCCTTCCCTCGTTCGAGCTGCACACTGCACACTGCACACACTCACACACCACACCCATTCACCCACCATTGACTAATAACTGCCACCCACCACCCACCACCACCACAAATACCAATACATACCACCACCATATCCACCACCACCATATCCACCTCCTCCTCCCACCACCACAACACCCGCACTTACTCTAGCACAGCGCCTGCCTGCCACCCTCCCAAAAAACGAGTGCTCTCACCCTGCCTCGCGCCCACCCCCTCGCTAGTGCAGTACCTAAACGAAACCAACCAAAACCAAGTCGCCCCCCCCCCCCCCCCCGACCGACTAACTGTCCGATCGCCTTCAACTCCACGCACCACCATCCACCACCAACCCTCCTCCGCCACCTCCACCCCCTCCTCCTCCGTCGCCGCACATCGCCGCTAGGTACTCGATCTCTACGTCCTCCCTCGGCCGGATATCGAATGGGTGCATAGAAAAAGCGGATCGGACTTCCTCTCCTCCTCCCCCTCCTCCTCCTCGTCTTCCTCCTACTACTACCTTCTCCACCACTGCGCCCCGCCTGCTCGTCGCGTTTCTCGTTCGAAAGTTCCTTCAACATGGCATCAACTCCTACCGGCGCCCCGCCCGTGGAGACCCCACATGACAACGGTGGTGGTGGAGGCGGTGGACCGACTAGTAGTCCTCTACTGTTCTTCGTTGCATTGGGTTTTGGTGTTGTTTTTACGAACTTGTGGTATGTTCGTGTGTCCCCCCAACCACCATCCCCCCCTCGGAGTCCTGCATAAAGGAACAGGAAGAAAGAAATGAAAGAAAGCACAAAAGAAAGAAGAGGGGACAAGGAGAGCTGCGTCTGCTGCCAACCGTATTATGGATGAAACCAACTCAAATTTTTGTTTTTTGTGCAGGATTATCGTCGGTGTCAAGTACTGCTTTCGGTACAATGCGAGACAGCGAGCGCGAGCCAACGGCGACGAGGAAGTTGTCGACTTGCAGGCCATGCCGCGACCGCACCGACGACGTAGAGAGAAGAAACTGATGACCCTGGACGAGGTCAACGAGCGCTTCCCCACGATAAAGTACAAGACTTGGCAGGCTCAGAGGGAAGCCGCGGGACTACCTTCAGAGGGTGGAATCACGACCGCACCCAACAGCAGGGCGGGCAGTATTCACCATGTCGAGTCGGCTGTCAGCGAGCAGTCGTCGCCGGGCTGTGGGAACAGTGACGACCGCGACGGTTCGACGCCCAAGGTCGGCACCCTCGCGATGCCTGCTCCTCCTGCTGCCGCGCATGTGGTGGACAAGGAAACGGGGGCTTCGACATCTGTGGCCGAGGCTCAGTTGTTGGGCATAATTGAGGACGAGAAGGTGTCCGTGAAGGACAAGAGGATGTCGGACATCTCGGAGATAGAACAGGGCAAGGACAAGGACAACGAGGAAGACGACGACGACGATCACGAACACCCCGTTCCCGCCGAGCTACTCAAGTCCGCCGGTGACGCCTGCGCGATCTGTCTAGACACGATCGAGGACAACGACGACATCCGCGGCCTCACCTGCGGACACGCGTTCCATTCGGCGTGCCTGGACCCGTGGCTCACCAACCGTCGCGCCTGTTGCCCGCTCTGCAAGAAGGACTACTACGTGCCAAAACCACGGCCCGAGGGAGAGGCCCAGTCGTCGGACGCACACGGTGGTCCCTCGCGGTCGGAACGTAATCGCCGACAGCGACAAGCCGCAGCTCCGCCGACTGGCATGTTTACGGGCGCCCCATTTCACCGCCGACTCTTCTTCTCTTCGAATCGGCTCGCGTCGTCGTCTACGGCTGGCCGCAACGATGGACGGAATGGGGTAAGATCTTCGAGAACGTCACCACGGCCGCAGAACCCGCCTCCTCCCCAACCACAACAGGGGAGTAGTCGGTGGAACCATTTCCAGCGCCCAGCATTCCTCAACCGCGGAAGAAACGTGGACAGGACCACGGCTCCACCGGATGTGGAGGCGGGCACCGCGAGGCGTTAGTCAGCAGGGGAAGCAAAACTTTTGGGTGGTCAGGCCATCGTATATTGAGCCGAAATCGACAGATATGTTTCCATAGCTGTTGCTTTTCGGACGGTCTTTTGTATTCTTCATCTTCCGGGCTATTTCCGTCGAGGGTTTTTTCCTTTTTTCCTTTTTAACTTTTTTACTTGTTACTGCTTGTGTCTACTTACTGGGATGGCGTTCGTTGGCTGCGTTTGTGCGTTTTATGCGTTAAGGGGGGCGTAAGTATGCTTGCTTGCTTTGGTCGGTCGGTCGGTTTGCCTCGCTCGTTCGTTTCGTTTTGTGGGTAAGATGGAGGGATGGATGGTTGGTGGTGTACATTTGTGCAGCGGAGTGCGGTTTCTATCTATTTTCTGCAATGTGGTTTGGTAGGGAAATGGAGTGTTGTGTCATGTCGTCTTGTTTTTGTCGGGTCTGGTTTGGCGGGTTTGGCGGATTTGGCGGGTTTGGCGGGTTTGGCGGGTTACTCTGGTTTAACTGGTAGGGCTGCACGGTTACTTGGTTACTTGATTACTTGGTGGAATTTTTACAAGAGAATAATACCTACTCTACATCACTATGAGATGCGGAAGCCTGAAGGGTGTAACTGGGTGTAACTGGGTGTAAATGGGGAGGGAGTGTAAGCCATATGGTATGGTATGGTATGGTATGGCATGGGCGGCTGGTGAAGTGAAGGAAGTGAAGGAAGTGAAGTGAAGTGAAAAGTGTTGTTTCTGTATATCTCAGAATATCTCAGATGGTTCCCTACCAACCTACCTACCTTGGTCCGCTCACTCGTATCGTTGGCCTAGTTGGCTGAGTGGATCTGCTGTGAGTGGATGGGATATTGTCGACGCCGACGCCGGTACATTGTCAAGGGCTTTATGGTATTGTCTGACGGGTGAACGATTTTTGGTGGGTTGGCCATTGATATTGTGCTTCGTGCACGGTACCTGGTGTTTACACGCTGCGGGGCTGAGCCAGGGTGAAGCGGGGTGCACCAGATCCCCCGCTCCCCGCTCCCCGCTCTTCGACCCGCTCTTAGTATCCCCGCATTTATGGCATCCCGGTGAGTGAGTGAGTGACACACTGTGACTGTGACATAGGTACTGTAACCGTAACCACGAACTCGCATCTTGCATCTCATCTCATCGTTCCCATTCTCTCCCTCGCAATCATCCGCATTATCATATATAAAAACCCCCCATTCCACTCCCCCCATCCCCCATCCCACTCCCCCTCCTCCCCCCTCCCCCCTCCCACCGCCCACCCCCCACCACCACCCCCACAACCAAGAAACAAAAGAACTAACCCCACGTACCGCCTCCACCACCACGGCCCTGCCTCTTCTGCGCCGAGAGCCTCCAAGAATCGTCGCCCTCGCCGAAGCGATTGAACAGCGGCTGGATGCGCTCGTTCTTCCTGCGTTTGGACAGCTCGCCCTTGCCGCCGCCGACCTTAAAGAAGCTGGGTGCTACTTCGACTACTCTGTATTAGCCTAGGGATACTAGAGGATGGGGGAGCAGGGGGGGAGGGGGCGTACCTAGCCATTTCGGCTCTATACTCGTAGTGCAGTGCATATACTCCTTCGTGGTCATGACGAGGGTATGAAAGATGACGTGTTCGGCGGGTTTCCCAAACAGGGCTGAGGAGGGGTGCATATAGACCGGAGTACCCTCTATGAGGGTGCGGTAGCCCTCGGAGGGGTCCTTCCTCGCGGAGTTGCGGAAGAAACCCGAGCACAGGGCCTGGCGGACCTTCATTGTGTTCCTGCCGCAGGAAACGATCTTGTGTTTGTAGCGAGACATGATCATTTCGAGCTGCTGGCGCACGTCCTTGGCGCGCTTCATGGAGCGCGCCTGGATGAAGTTGTCGAAGCACCAGGGATTGGAGTACGCAGACTGCTTCCAGCTGTTGTACACGTTGAGCAGCGTTAGGTGGTCGCCGTGCGGGTCGTGGAATTTCGCCTTCTTCTGGTCTGCTTGCTGCTGCTTCTCTTTGGGCCGGTAGAAGACTGTCTGCACGGACAGCATCGCCACGATGCTGAGGATCTCGTCGCTGCATCCCATGTCTACGCTGGCGATCAGGACCTTGGCTAGTGCGGGTTCCATGGGGAAGTCGGCCATCTTGCGGCCCAGGCGGGTAAGTAGCCCTTCGTCGTCAAGGGCGGAAAGGGCATACAGCTCTTCGAGCGCCGTCAACATGGTGTTGGTAGGAGGCGGGTCCATAAAGTCGAAATGCAGGAGGTCGTTTATTCCCATGGCTTTGAGCATCAGGATGGTATGCGAGAGGTTTTGCCGCTGGATCTCGGGGACGGAGGTGGGCAACATCTCGCTCTGGAAGGCGGCTTCGGTGTACAGACGGTAGCACTTTCCAGGGCCGGTACGACCTGCACGACCCGCTCGCTGTTTGGCTTGCGCCTGCGAGATGGGGGTGACGACTAGAGAGTCCATGCCCAGCTTGGGGTCAAAGGCGTTCTGCTTGACGAAGCCCGGATCGATCACGTAGTAGATCTGGTCAATAGTGATGGACGTCTCCGCGATGTTGGTGGCGATGACAACCTTGCGACTACCCGGAGGTGCGGGCTCGAAGATTCGACTCTGCATTTCGCTGGGCAGTGCCGAGTACACCGGGAGGATGATCAGTTCCGGAACACTGGGGCCGAGCGCTTTCATTCGTTCGTAGAGGATCTCGCAACTCGTGTCGATTTCTTCCTGCCCTGTCAAGAACAAAAGGATGTCTCCGGCCGGCTCGCTAAGGTGGATCTGCATGACCGTGATCAACGCAGCATCGAGGTAGTCGCTCTCGGGCTCCTTCGTGTACAGGATCTCGACGGGGTACGTTCGTCCGGGAATGGTAAAGATGGGGCACTGGTTGAAGTAGTTGGAGAACTTCTCCGCATCCAGAGTGGCAGACGTGACGATGAGCTTGAGATCCGGTCTCTTCTTGAGTGTTTTCTTCAACAGTCCGAACAAGACATCGGTAGCGATGGTACGTTCGTGCGCCTCGTCGAGAATGATGACCGAGTATCGCTTCAAGTCCGGATCGAGCAGGACTTCACGCTGTAGCATACCGTCCGTCATGTACTTGATCTTGGTCTCGGGACTGGTGCAGTCTTCGAAACGGATGGTGTATCCGACCTCCTGTCCGACCCTGCAGCCAACTTCCTCAGATACACGCTTGGCGACGGACATCGCGGCGACACGTCGAGGCTGCGTACATCCGATGATGCCGCGCTCGGCGAATCCTTCCTCCGCCAAGTACTGCGTCATCTGTGTGGTTTTCCCCGAACCAGTATCACCGACCACGATCAAAAGCTGGTTCTCGTGGATAGCCTTGATCAAAGAGCTTCTCAGTTTGTAGACGGGAAGCGATTTCCTCTGGTCGCTGATGCTCATGCTGGTGATCCTTCCGAAAGATGCATTTTTGCCCATGGCTACTCGCTTCCATTCCGGCAGGTCACTCGGCGGGTTCGCATTGGTATTTTTGAGGTCCGAAGCGAACTTGTGCTGCCCAGTAGGGACCATGGGATCTTGCCATTGAGCCGAGAGGTCGACTTTCTGGGCTTCTTCGGCAGCCGCGTCGGCCGCCTGCTGCTGCCGCAGCTCTCGTCGTTCCTTGGCGAGTGATGTTCCGGCCATAGCAGCACGGTTCAGGGATCCATCGGGTGCCTTGACAACTCGAATGGGCGACAGCTCAAGACTCTGCTTTGTCTGACCAGCCAAGAAAGGCGGTTCCTCGCCCTTGACTTCGATATCGAGGTCCTCTTCCTCCTCGAATTCGCCTTCGCCTCGCAGCGTTGCGTTATACTCCTCGTCGATGTCAGGGTAGTCCTTAGCCGACAAGACACCCGAGGATATCAATTGTTTGATCTCCCATCGCTCGGGGGAAGTCATGCGTTTCTTAGTACGCATAGCTCTGCCGTCCATATCGCCCTCGATGACCGGCACTGCGCTGTCCAGAGTGCCGTATCGTGACGACGATCCGCCTTTGCTGAGACCTTCCATGTTCGCCCCCGATGCTATCCGCTTCGCCGGATCGAGGTCGAGCCCGGTCTTCTGATCGACGTCCTTCATCGACAAGCCTATCCGATCACCCTGAATGCTGATGACCTTCACCTTCACGACCTGGTCGATGGCGAGCAAATCCGACGGATGATTGACTCTCTGTCCCTCCCGGATCGCAGACACGTGGACCAACCCGACAGCATTTCGTTTGGGCCCTTGTGGCTTGACACCAATGAGATTGACAAATGCACCAAAGTCCTGCAGCCCACTGATCTTTCCGTTGTAGACCTTGTAGAGCACCGGGGCATCGTCGACCTCGGGGGTCGGTGGCCTCCGAAACTCATCGTTGAGTCTGCGCCCGCCGCCGTTTCCCTTCCCATTACCGTTCCGGTCGTTCCGATCGTTCCTGGTACTCCTCCCGAACTCATCGATGCCGTCGTCCCGACCCCTGTCCTTTCTAGACCTCCGTTCTCGTCTCGCATCGGGGGAGATGGAGCGCGACCGTGATCGTGATCGGTGCCTAGTCCTCCTCTTGCTCCGTCGAGAATCCTCATACGGCGACACACTGCGTTTGCGGGTCGAGTCATCGCCTTTCCGGGGTGGTGGCGCTCGCCCAGGCTCCATACTCTCCAACAGGGCCAAGGTATCGTCCACCGCCACCACGGGAGCGCTACTATTCTTCTCAGACTTGGTCTTGTGCTCCAGCTTCTCGAACGCGGCGAGCGTGTCGTCAATCGCATCCTTCGCAGCACCGTTTTTTCCGTTTCCGTTCTCCTTCTGGTCCAGATAGCCATTGCCATCCCACGGATTCTTATCGGGCAGGGCCAAGCCGGTGAACACGCGCGCCTTCTTGTCCACGTCCTTAGGCTCCGTCGCCGCAGCCGCGCCGTTGTTGTCTTTCGATTTCTTGTTGCGGTGTTTCGGGTGCATCGTCAGGATCAGCCGGTCGATAGTTTCGGCCAGAGAGTTAGGGAACTCGACGCCCACGTCGGCAAGCTTCAGCTTGAACTCGTCGAGCGTCGTGGACTCCCCGTGCAGGCTGATGATGTACTCCGAGATCGTCTTCTCGTTGATTCCCAAGTGATTGCTGAGCTCCGTCGTGATCTTGGAGACCAGCGAGAGGAGCTCGAGATCCGCGAGGGCGTCCATACTGGCTGGCTTGCTGGGGCGCGCAGCTGGCTGAATTGGCTTCGTGTGTGTGCGCAGCGATAGGTGACGAGCAAATGCGAATTCTGGTCGACGTGCGGTATGTGGATTTATTTTTCGTTCCGTTCAGGTCGTGCTGGTGCTGGTGCTGGTGGTGGCGTGTAGTATAGTTGGCGTCACTCAGTCCAGATGCAGACAGCCTTTTGCGCGACTCGCGAATGCTTGGCGCTGCAACTGCAGCCTGCAACGGCGAGAGCCGTTCAAAATTTCGTGAACGTCTGAGCGAACTTTACACCCCACGTCGAGAAGCAAAAAACCGAGCACACGACTCCCCCCGCCACCACCACAACCACAACCACTACTACGACCACAGTACTGCCGCAGCCATGCGTGGGAAACGTTCGAAGGCCTACAAAAAACTGATGGGCGCGTACCATCAGACATTCGGCTTCCGCGAGCCCTACCAAGTTCTGCGTGCGCACTCTCTCACTCTCCATGTGTCTCTTCCACAGCCCACTGACCCTTAGTCGTGCGGGCCCGCAGTGGACACAGAGATGCTTACGGAAGCGACGAAATGCGCGATGGAGGTAGCGGCGGCTTTGGAGCGCACACTGCGGGGCAAAGTGAAGCCGAGTTGGGCGCCCCCCTCCCCCTCCTCCCCGAGTCTCCGCGCACTAACAACCACAGTGATAACGCAATGCACGATCCGGCACCTATACCAGCTTCCGGCCGAGCACCCTGCCAAGGACCGCCTCATCGGTATCGCCAAATCCTTCGAGCGGCGAAAATGCAACCACCACGAGCTGGAATCGCCACTGCCGGAGAAAGAGTGTTTCGCGAGCGTCGTGCTCAAGAACGGCGTGAACAAGCACCGCTACGTTGTCGCGTTCCAGGCGCGCGACGTGCGCGCGCTCGTCAAGGACGTTCCCGGCGTCCCCTCCATTGTCATCAATCGCAGCGTTATGCTCCTTGAGCCCATGAACGACGCGAGTAAGTTCAAGCGCGACGGGATGGAGAGGGAGAAGTTTCTGCAGGGCATTGTGGAGGCGAGGGCGGCTGATAAGGTCCTGAAGAAGCGGAAACGGGAGGAGGATGGGGAGGTGGAGGGCGAGGGCGCCGACGGTGAGGTCAAGGAGAAGAAGAAGAAGAAGAAGCGTGGGCCGAAGGGGCCGAATCCGTTGAGCGTAAAGAAGAAGGTGGCGCCGCCGAAGCCTGTGGCGAAGGCGGAGAAGCCGGCTGCTAAACCGACGGAAAGCATTGAGACCACTACGGATGTGAAGGAGAGCGCCGAGGCAAGTACAGCAGATGGACAGGTCAAGAAGAAGCGGAAAAGGAAACACGGAAAAGCGGCGGGAGGAGATGGTGGTCAGCCAGCGCCGCCGCCAGCGACACCCGCTGCTGCTCCAGTGGTCGTGCTGGTCGCAGACGATTAGAGGCGGGGCGAAAAATGTGCAGTAATAATAACAAGCAGCCAAGAATCTCGTGGTCGTCGAGTGATACCCATGATCTGAGCTTGTGCTCCTTTCCCTACCTAGTACCACCTGCATTGCTTTCACTTCTGTTCTAATATGGGGGGTTTCAATATCGAAACCATGTTTTCGGGCCTAAACCATCGTATTACATTTTTGTTTTCGTTGTTAGTACTAAGTGACGAGCTGTGTTGTGGATATCGTCAAGGGTCTTGAACTTCAGTCCTTTGTGTAGCTCTCTTTGTATGTTGAACTCTTGGAAACCTCAACAATAGAACCACCTACTCTACTCATGAACTACCGTGCCATCAACAGCTCTGAAGCTACCTACGAGCTCCGGATTAGTTTCCAAGAACCACCCACACTGGCAGGTAATATTACAAACATATGTCAAATAATCTATATACAAAGCACTCTGGTATCTAATCTATCTGGTATCTCCATCTTGCACGCCATTACGCATCGCGGCTACTACGGCAGCACCGTAGCCTCATACCTCAAGCCAGGCCTCAGCAGTTCCTCCTGCGACTGCACGAGCCTCAACTCGCTCGCTCTGGTGACCTGTACATGCCTCTCCTTCTCTCCCTGTTCCGCGGCTTGGCTCAGCAGGATGCGATCTCTCGTGCTCTTCGTCTTCTTGAGGACGAGATGCATACTCCCCAGGACGACCTCTACGGCCTTCGCGAGCGGCAGATCGAGCGTCGCCGTCTCATCGGGCGGGATCCATCCGGCAGTGCTTAGCAACCCGGCGGCGGCAGAGTGCTCGCGTAGCCGCGCCAGCGTCAGTGCTGCGAATAGGTCGCCGGTCCCAGAGAAGAACCCGTCAATGATTGGCACGTCGACGACGAATTTGCGGCTGGCGCCAGAAGAGGTGATGCTGCTGCCTGCGCACGCCATCTTTGATGCGCCGTCGAACGTCACCGACGTGATCACGATGTGCGGGATCAAGTACATGCGGTGAAGTGTATCCAGCGCGGTGGAGAGCGTGGCGAGGGAGGTCACTTTGACGCCCGAGATGAGTCTGCGGGGCTGGGTTAGTTGGGTTGCCGAGAGGAAGAGGGGGGACGGGGGGTATACTCGGTCTCGAATTGGTTGGGCACGATGAGATCCGCGTGGTGGATGAGCGACTTGTAGACCGGCACTACGCCCTCGGAGACGTATAGTTTCCCCTGGTCGCCCATTACGGGATCGAGCACTATCCGCGTCATGTCAGCCAGCCGTCTCTCATCCCCCCTCCCCTCCCCTCTCCCCCTCTCCGAGTAGAGTACTTACACCAGAACCCCCCACCCCTCTTCTTAACCTCCCTTGCAATCTTTCCCACAGCGCGCAGCTCCTCCTCACCGGGAACATACCCAGTGAGCAGCATATCGAACCCCTCCAGCAAGCCGGACTGCTCCAGCCCTTCAAAGATCTCGAGGATCTGCGCGGCCGACGTGCGGAAGCCGCGCAGCTGCCGGTAGCCAGAGTGGTTGCTGAACTGTACGGTGTTCAGCGAGCCCGTCTCGAGCCCTAGAAGGTTCAGCACGAAGGTGGTGGTTGTGTTGCCGACGAAGCTGCGAGGGTTAGAACGCGGTGTGGAGGGAGGAGGAGGGATGGTGATGCTACCCGGAAACCACCTGTGCTGGTCAGCGAATGATGCAGAGCACGGAGAAGCGGCGGGCGCGCAGGCAGGCTTACATGACTGGCTATGGCGAGGACCTTTCCCGTGTCCGTGTGCGTGTGCGAGTTCGTGTGCGAGTCCGTGTGGGTGTCCGTGTGCGTATGTGTATCCGTCGGGTCCGTCATCGTCGCGTGCGCAGCGTAGAGTACCTTGGTAGGTAGGTGATGGAGAGAAGTCGCGGATCCCCTACAGCAGCTCCACGGCAGCGATATGTAGGAAAGTCCCGCGGATAGTGATGGTACTACCTACTGCCGATAGTACCCAAGCCACCACGATGCTGGTATCTACCCAAGCAAGCAGGAGGTATGTAGGAGGTATGTAGGTCCACAAAGACAACGTCCAAATAAGCTTTCCCCTGGCACCTACCTGTCAACTAAAGCGCAGACTTCAAAGTAAAGTATGTAAGTGAGCGTGATCGAGAGGTCGTGCGTGCGTGCGTAGGGACTGACGGGGTGAATTTGCGGGGCACCGTAGTTGTATGGTCGCGCATATCCATCCCCCGCACCTCACCGCACCCCGGCACCCGGCCGGAACGAGTACCGTACCATGAACCCCGCCGCCATCTCGCCATCCCGGTAGGCCCACCAGCTGCCGGTCGGTAAACAGGCCGGCAACCGGAATTGACTTCCGACATCCTCACACCCGGCTGCTATCCTGCTGCAACCCCACGAGTTCTCACTCGCAGTTACTCGGTCAGCCTGTCCATCGTCTAGCATCCGGCGTTCGGTGTCCGGCGTTCGTCCAGCGTCCGGCCTTTGTTCGTCAGTCGCCAATCGAACAAAAAAAAGTGAAATGAAAAAGCAAAATGCGAACGCCGAACACTCACACTCTACCTACCGTACTCTATTTCCAGATGTCCTACCCTCCCCCCCTCCTACATACCCTCCCCCATCCCCTACCGTACTCATCGGCAGTACACAGGTACCGGTACATAGATGACAGAAAAACCCTCACTACACCCACTCCATCCACTCCACTCACCAGAGTAAGTGAAAAAAGCAAAGCAAAGAATAGAAAAAAAGTGCGAGGTGCAGATGTACTCTATGGTGTGTGCAGAGAATAACAGGTAAATATGCGCATGCAATGTACCGTACATGTGGAATGTGGAAGTGCTCGGCATCTGCCATCACTCCCTCATCACGCCTTCACAGTGCACACCTTCACGCCTTCACACCTTCAAAGTGCACACCACATTACATTTACATTTACATTTTACATTCGAGTGCATACCATATACCGTTCACACCACCACCACCATCACCACCACATATGCGCCGAGTTGCATATAACTACCGTTCCCATCACAACATCACATCACAATCACAATCACAATCACACTCACACTCAGCCAAGTGCAAAAAAGCCAGTATTGTGAATTGTAGATAATACACGTTCCAGTGTTTTTTTTTCCAATAAAACCTATAGATACGGTATGTAATCGTGGAAAGAAAGAAACGAAAAAAAAACTCCGGCGGAAGCAAGCGGATAGAGTAAGGGAGAGCAAGGGAAAACAAAAAAAAAACACCCGACAAGAAAAAGCAGGAAAAACGAACACACGCCATAGAAGATACCCCGAAAACAAAAAACAAAACGGCATCAAACACCTACAAAAACATACAAGTAGAGTTGTACAATAGCCCCATGATACAGAGATATGGAAAAAGTAGAAGGAAAGAAACAGAAAAGTATGTGCAGGAGTAAAGGGGAATAGATCGCAAGAGAGAGATCAAGAGAAAGACACATAAGCATACCAGTGTGGGTATCGAGCACCAACTCGAAATGAAATGGAAAAAAAATGAGGAAGAAAAAACAGGGCAAAGAAAAGAAGATTAAACAATTACAGGCGCGCAAAACGTACAGACCGGTCCCCGAAAGCAAGCCCGATATCACCCTATTTACCCAGTCTATAAAAAGCGGTCATGAAATTGGAATTCCGTAAGTCTCTTGCGTCGTAAGGCGTCAGGAACCTCCGGTTCTAGAGAGAAATTGTACACCACCACAGTTCGAGTGAGATAGGAGTGGGAGGGGGAGAAAAAAAAGAATCGTCATGGCGGACGGAGGGTCGTGGTAAACTCGAGCATGGACGGGCGGATTTGTTTTAGCGAAAATCTTCTAGTCTCCATTCCGTTTTCCTTGGTGGACCTTCTTGTGTCTTCGCAGGTTCGATACCACGGAGAATCGCCGGCCACATCCATCTTGTTCACATGCAAACGCTATGGAGAGAGTGTGTCAGCCGGAATGGTCTTGGAAAAATGGAACCGGAATAAAAATATTTTTTAAAAACAGGTTTTATGTAGGGACAAACTTACGTTTCTCGCCCGTGTGACTGTAGGTGTGGGTCTGTAACGAACTCGGCCTCGTGAAACGCTTATCGCAAACTTTGCATTTGTGCTTCTTCTGCGTGCTCGACGTGATCTTGGAACTGAACGTGGTCATCATCTGATTCGGCACGGTCGCGCCGGTGTTGAGATAGCTGTTGGGACGCGACGATCGCATGGTGCCGGCTCGTTCCTGGGGGTAACCGGAGCCGTCGGAATAGTCGGTGGCCGAAGAATCGACCGAGCCGCCGTAATACGGGAACGAGTGCGTCGACGAGACCGACGAATTGGCCGAGTGAGAGGACTGGTAGATCGAGTCGTGACGAGGCCTGGATGGCTGGCTCATGAGAATCCCCCGGGTGTCCATGGAATTACTGGTGAAATCGAGGTCTCCGGTGTGCCTGGGTCGGTACGAAATATCTGTGAGAGAAGCTTGCCGTGGCTTTGGCATGGAGTCAGCACTCAGGAAGAGTGAACTCGAATGCATGGCAGGCTGGGACAGACGGCGATCAGAGGCCTGGCTTCGGGAGGAAAGGTCAAACGACGCCGAGAAGGAAGGCATGAAGGTCCCCGCAGAAGTGGTCGGTGAGGGTGCCGTCGATCCAGCCATGCTCATGGCCATTTCCGCACTCGTAAAGGCTGGGAGTCCTACACTGCTAACACCCGGCATCAACCCCGTTGGATTCGAATAGTGACTTGTCGGCTGCGATGTGAGATGCCGCATGTCTGTCCGTGAGGTCAAGAATGGACTCGACACTCCGGTTGTTCTGATTGTTGGCGTTTTCGAGAGAGCGTGGAGGTTGGCTGCGTCGTTCAGATGATCCTGCGAGACCCAAGGATTGGTGAACTGGGGGACGTGTTCTGGGGACATGTAGTGCATTTGATTTTTCGGGTTCTGTTTTGCAACTTTGTGGGTGGTATATGTATTTTCTTTCTTTCCCTCTTCTTTTCCTTCTGGTATTGTTGGAGTGAATTTAAACCGGATCGGTTGAGTGTTGTTGTTGTAGTCGAGGGTGGAAGCTTGACACTGTGACGATCCAACTACCTTCAAGCATTCACCTAGCAAGAGATCGACCGGCGGAACCTGTCAAGGGCTTTTGAATATTTTCGAAGCTGGAGAAAGAGAGGTGAAAAATTGCGGGGATCGACGAAATGGACTACGGTGAAGTTCGAAGGGCAGTCTATAGACGAACAACCGAGTTAGCACGGATATCGGCATACAGACGACAGACAGAGTTGGCGGCGGCGGTCGAGTCGAACCGGGGGTGGATGGGTGTTGTAGGTATCTAGCGCTTAACCGCCTAAATTGTAGGAGTGGGCTGCCGTACCGTATATCTGACGGGGACTTGGAATACCGAAGTGGACCGTGCTTGACGGGGGGAGGAATATATTTCTTCGTTGAAAGCAATGCGCCGGAGGTATGGGAAGGGGTTACAGACAACCAATGACGACGATGAATCAACACCGAGGTAGGCGGACCGGCGGAGTGGCAGGCGGGTAAGGGCGGGATACGGGATATCTCTGAGTGCTCGTGGCAGGGGAATGGGGGACCTGGAATTCTGGTACGATCGGCACAAGGGGGAGGAGGTGGAGTTATCGTGAAAAGAGAGTTGGAACAACGGAGGAGAGGGCGAGGAGTGTTTCTTTCGCTGTATATATGTACTGGGGTGGTGGTGGTGTTGTTGGAGGTAGTTGAGGTGGTTAGGAAGTTGAGCGAGGGATGTCTTGGTAGATGTATTTGGGATTGCGGACTGTTTGAGGGACCGGGGGGGTGGGATGTCGGGAGGTTAAGGGAGGGTGGGTAGGAGGTTGATAGTTGGTTGTATGTATATGGGGGGGGGGGGGGTTCTTTGCTTTCGAAGCCAAAGAAATCGAAGAACAGCGAACAGCAGACAGAGAACCAGATATGAGATAGATATGTTATGTGTGGGGTGGAGGGGGGGGTGTGTGCGTGTGCGTGTGGTGTGGGCGTTATGAGCTTAAAGGGAAGATCAACTTGGGGGGAGGGGAGGTACGACAGACAGGGCGCGGGATCCGGCAAGAAGACTTTAGCTGGTTGCTGTCTCTCGCTGTGGCCGCCGACCCATGTCATCCATGATTTCCATCCAGTTCAGTTCTCTTGCCGTGCAAGTGAACCGGCCACCACACATTCCTCCGGCCATTTTCTCTGGCTCACAGTTCTGGCTGTCTCTTTCGAGCCATGCAACATCCCAGGATGGTGATGGGGGTGGGTGGTAGGAAAAGAGCAATGAAAGGGAGGGATGGGGAGGGATGGATGGATGGCAGGATGGGTGGATGGATGGATGGATGGGCAGTGATGGTAGAGGAGGAGGCAGTTAGTGGTGGTGGTGGTGGTGGTGGTGGTGGTGGTGGTGGTATTGGTAGTGGTGGGTGGTGGTGGTAGTGGCCATCCTGGACGACAGTGGTGGTGGTGGTGGTGGGGCGCAACCTGGGCGGCCGAACAAGGAACCGCAGACGGTCTCTAACCGCTTCCGTCCGAACAAAAGGCGGTAACCCGCCGTCAGACCAAGATATCCGAAAGGCTCGATGATAACCAGGCCAACCCTCTCCTAGCAGGAATGACAGGGTGGTTGAGCAAAGCAAAGCTGAGCAGAGCAAAGCAAAGCAAGAGCAAGAGCAAGAAAGCGTAGAGTAGAGTTGAGTTGAGTACGTAGTGCCGGGGCCATCGAGGTGTGTGGGCGTCTGCGTGCCCACATGTACGCTGCCCGCGTAGGCGTGTGCATGTGCGTCCCTCCCTCCCTCCCTCCCTCCCTCCCTCCCTCCCTCCCTCCTCCCCTAGCAGATGTCTCCAGTTATTCCCGCCGGGCCGCCAGAAGCAGGCAGGACCGCAGGACCAAGGCAACGGAAGGGCACAGCTAGCAAGACAATAATCATCCCGGGGAGGAGGGGCGTGTGTAGGCGGAGGGCAGCCACGGCAGTGGGATCGAATGGAATCGAGCAATAGGTACATACTACATGACGGAATGATGGAGTGATGGAGTAATGAAGTATTGGAGTACGGTAATGGAGCAATGGAGTAATGGAATCGGCAGAAGTAGGAAGAAGGCCTACCCACTACCTACAACATGACGATGCGCTCGATGCGAAGAAATAATAGGCACAGTTGCATAGGTACGGAGAGGGCATGCATACGGTGTCATATTACAGCAGAGTAGGTACACGGCCTTCCTGTCCACACAGAGACCACGGACGAGAGGGAGAGGGACGAAAAGGAAGGCTCCGTGGAGGTGACTTACCGACCAACAACCATTGGCCGTGGAGTGGTGGTCCGCTCAATGCACTCAAAACGTCCTTGCAGTAGTCTCGAGTTGCCGCCGCTTCAAGTCGGTGGCAGGAAGGCAGCAAAGCAGCGCAGCACCAGTCGGGCGGCGTCAGAGGGCTGTAACGACACACTTACTCACTCAGTACCATGATACAAAGCAGTATCGGCAACGAGAAGGCAAAACTTCGGAGGTTCCGAAGATGGGGATTCTCGGCTACACAACGGTGTTCCCCCTACCTACAATTATCTCCCGTGGATATCGATATATCGATACCGATGGGGGATGATGGACGGGAACAAGGCGCCGTGTTGGTGATTTGCGGTTGATCGAGACAGACAGCACGGCGAGGAAAAACAGAGCCTGGAGGGATGATGGGCGATGGATGAATTGCCCTTGGAGGTTGGTTTTGGCACGATGGGAAGACGAAGATAAAAACGCTCGATTCCCGCACACCCTTCCGCCGTTCGCATGTATGTCTGCGCCGACGACACCCCATGGGGCGACCCTCTCCACACTCTACACGATACTGCCGCCGCGCACCTTATCCTCCATCTCCTCCTCCACGATCGAAGGCCGACATCGACCAACAGACCCCGAAGGTTGGAGCCGACCACGGAGCGACCCCCTACCTCCTCTATTCTACTCCGTACTTCATTCCCACCCCACCCATGGCCGACCTACCTAGCTGTCGACACACACACACTCACACACACATAAGTGCCCTATGCAGGCAGGCCCTGTTCCTTCAGCGTCCACGGAGAAAGAGCTCCTGTGGATACCGAACTGTGTAGAGTACGGTACTTGCAGCCAAAACCGATCAGGTAGAGTACCCATCTCCAGACAATTGGCACGCGTTTGAGCAGCTGCCGCTTCCCTGTCCTTGACCAAGTTTTTGCATTCTCTCGCCCCCTCCATCAGCATCATCATCATCATCATCATCATCATCATCATCATCATCATCATCATCACCACCACAAACACCACCACCACCACCAACACCGCCGCCGCCGCCGCCATATGTCACCCAACACCACATCCACGGCTATCAGTCACCACCACCCTCCATCAAACCGCCCCCCCTCAAACCACCACCCCAGCGACATCATCGGCTACACACCACCACCACCACCACCACCCCGTTCCCCATACAAACCCAATAAACGCCTCCGATGACGATTGGTACGGAGTATTTTCTCTCGAACTCCAGGTTTTTCCCCAGCTTGGCGTCGTCGCCTCTGCTCTACTCTAGCTGGCAGGCAAGTATTTAACTCTCCTAAATTTGGTGGTGCCGGGTGGATGTGTCACGGAGGAAACAAAGCTGTCGCGCGGGAGGGCGTCATGCACGTACAAGGGTTAGGATGACGATGGATGGGGAGGGGGAGGGGAATGTGGAAGGGGTGGATGCACGCCAACCTCCGTCCAGCAAGCCTGCCCGAAGAAATGACGAAAGGGGGTTCCAATTAATGGACGAGTAACCGGATTAATACAAAGGCGTTCGGCATGAGGCCAACCGGCTCGGACGGCAGGGCTTAACACTGCCAAGCGCAACTATAGTGGACTCTACCCTACCCTCTCCACCCTACCCTGTGCGGAGTTAGATTCTACTCTGAGTCGTCGTCAAAGCGCCTACCGTGCGTTCGCTCTCCCTCGAAAACCACACCTGGGACTTGCCGTGCGAAGGTTTGTTTCGTTTACGGACCCCCTCGACCTATCGATCGGAGACAACCCTCACACTCCTCAGCTGCACACCTCTCACCAACACGCTGGAACGGAGGATCCTGGGGAAACCGCCGGTAGAGAGAACGCCACCACCAAATGTACCGAGCGGGCAAGGGACCGTTCCATATCGATTGACTGCGCACTCTGTCTCTTCCTCTCCCTCTCTCTCTCTTTCCTCACCCGGAGATCACCGGTTTGGCCCCGCGGATTTTCGTGGAGAAAGGTGAGAACAGAGCTTACTGCATACAGGTTGGAACCGTTTTTGCGGTCCGTGCTGCTGTTCCCGATTCGTCGCCGGGTTCTTTCCGCCGTTACGTCACTGCGCATCTTACCATGGCCTTGGCGGCAGTTCGGTTCATCTTGAGTGTGTACTCTACATACCGTACGTAGAGTACCGGAGAGAGAACTCGATGCAAAGAAGATGGATTCTTCTACAGCCAGCCAGCGGTTGGACTTCCTCATAGGCAGGCAGCAGGCGGGCGGGCAGGGCAGGAAACGGGGGGTTGGATACGGATGCCTATTCTTGACAGCAAATATCTAGGTAATCGATCATTATATTGGCGGTACATAATTATATTCGTCACTCATCACCATCATCATCGCCACCAGTCGGGACCTCGTATACGCGTTGCAGCAGAATACATGAGAACAGGGTTCTTACCATTCATCGTCTCTGAGACACTACCACCACCCACACACACACGCCACGCACACACCACCACCATCACCACGATCAATCAAATCCAGTCCATCCTTCGCCCTTCGCACTCCATCCTTCAACCTTTCATCCTTCCTAACCGGGCAGCCCGCCGTTTCACCAACTGCGCGGCTTGTTTCAGAATGCATCCACCACCAGGCTTTCTTGAACGGGGAACTCGGTGGATGCAGGGAAGCTGCAGACCTGCAGGCATGGTGACGTACCGTTTGCAGGTGAGGGTGGCGGCTCCTCACCGTGTGTGGTGGTGTGTGCATGTGTGTGTCTGTGGGTGTGTGTGCTTGCTCATTCTGCCTTTTCTTTTCGTTGATTGATCTTTACTCTCACTCTTACTCTTGACTCTGTTGCCTCGTCCAAACATACCGGTATCCCTTTCTCTCGCATACACACCGAGAGAAGAGAAAAGGAGACGGCCCGATACCCAGTAGGAAGCATTTTCCTATGGTGGACATGCAGCGCTCCTCCCCCTCCACCCTCCCCGCAAAAAAAAAAGGGACTTTGTTGAGGTTGAGCAGCAATTGCAAGTTGCAACCGCAACCGATTTTCGGGGGTTATTTTTCGCCTCGCTTGGCACGGGTACCCCCAACCCCTTCAAGTTCCCCCCCCCCCCCCCCCCCACGGAAATGTGAGCCGCAGGCTCGCAGCAGAGGGAATGCTTGGCATCGACTTGGCTGTGCTTGGCTTTCTTACATAAGTAAGATGTGCTTGGCTGCATATTGCATTCTGCATTCCGTAGAGCACGACGAAGCATTTTGACATGCGTACTCTACCTACGCAGCCGAATTGAGGATGGGAGGAAAGATGTGAGGAACTTTCCACCTCCACCTCCACCCTGGACCATAGCTACGGTACCTACCGTCGAACGTCGAACGTCGAACGTCTAGAAGAACACGGAGAAAACACGGAGAGAACACGGAGAGAACACGGAGAACACGGAGAACACGGGGAAGAGAGAGGAACGTGCTGCGATGATCACGATAGTTACTCTACCTACTTTAGTCTGCCGTGAATTTGAGAAGTTATGTATCTATCTACATAGAAGGCCGGAGGAATCTCGGTAGGTAGATAGAAGGGAGGGAGGTGTAAGGGAGGTTGAAGGGAGGTCTAGTTTAGTGTATGTAGTTGGTGAAGCCCCAGTGCCCCGCAAGTGTCCCCGGGCGGGGAAATGGAAGTGAAGGTATGGCACGTGTAGGTAAGATGATAGGTGGTGGATGGTGGGGGACGAGGGACTTGGGAGTCCTTCTCGAGGCGCGGGAGAAGCTCCAGGCGGACGAGAGGCGACACACGCCGGTGGTCGATGGTGAAACCCATGGCCGCCGATGTCGATGTCGAAGCGTTCTATAGAATACACACTCATAACCGTCAATGTCGAAGCGTTCTGCAGAATACGGTACATACCGGCACCTACTCATGACACCCGCCCACCAACACCGTCTCAAAAACGGACTCGGTCAACTTCCTTCCTTCCCTGTGCATACAAAGATACATCATGTACCTACCGGTACCGGTACCGTATCGACACGACACTTCTGTACATTCGGTGTTTCATCTACATCACATATATGTCGAGTCTTGACGCAAACGAGATGAACGGATAAACATAGTAAACAGGTATTTGTCGATACTGGTATTCTAGGTGGTATTCTATTCTGGATATATCAGGCACTACTAGTAGAGTAGAGTGGAGTACGGATGGTA